GTGTTTTATCATATCCTGTTGTACCGTATTTTATCACACAGCAGTGTTTCCCCCAGAATTTCAGCTGTTAGCCCCACTCTATTGCCGCTCATGAAGCTATGCTGTTACGTCCATGTTATATTATGTTACCTGTGCCTGTATAAGCTCGAGCGTTACCTTTCACATTAGTGGGAGAGGGTTTATATGCGCACGTTAAAGACTCAAAACAAGTCAAAAATAACGTTGTGTGTTGTTGCGCTCACACAGTGTGAGTAGAAATCATTCGAGGCAAAGTGATATTAATAATCATGTAAAATTTCAGTAGCGGCGCACCGCTGCTGCTGCTGCATGAATGCAGGGGAAATACTGCACAGTACAGTATCGTATCATCATTATTGCACAGTATCATGTCGTATCGAATCGTATAATATCGTACTGTATCGCACGTATCGTATCGTGTCACATCCAGTGGTATCATATCTAACCCTACAGTATCAGATCACACTCTTGTTTTGTCACATAGTGTATCATTGACTGATTTCATATTTCCCTGCCTTTATCGTACAGTGTTGTATCAGACAGTTTCACTGCAACTGACTGCCCTCAATGCTGTCCATGACCTGTCCTCATTTCCTTGATGTTGGGAAATCCACCTTCAGTTTCAAACATTCACAGACTACTAAATACTTTTAATTTCTTTTTATTCTGCTTTGCTTTATCGTAATGAGGAAACCCTGTGATTTTAAAGCCTGACTGGATGGAAACAAAGAAAAAGTTCTTTGTTGAAGACTTTGGTCCAACAGAAATGATCCTCTTAACACATTTCATCACCTGTGCCTGAGCTGATGCAGAAATTCAACGCCACAATGAAGAAAAGGCTCCTGGGATTTAGGAACGATCGGATGCATTTCCATGATAAAAATCTGCAAATACAGACACAATATCAGCTGCAGCTCCTCTTTAAACCTTTCTCTCTGCATTAGCTTTTACACCAAGTCAAAGGGGAATTGTCTGGTTCAGGGTGATGCTTTTTTTTTGATTGGGAACTAAAATCTCCTCTTAGTACAAATCATGAGTGTAGATTTTACATTAAATCCACACTAAGCACAGCTGAAATTTGAATAATGGCATTTTAAAATCCTCTTTTCAACGTGGCCTTTTTACATACATTTCTAACAGCTGCAGCCAGGTTTCCAAATTCTCTCCAATCTGATCAATCTAAAAGTTTCACCCCAAAAAACAGAAAAAACTTCCTCGAAACTTCCCAGAGCGAGCGGACGAGACAGACGATGGAGAGTGAGTGAAAAGCGTCTCTGTTTTGACTCATGCACGTCTATAAATGCAGCCGGTTATGTAAAGATTTGACAGTTTTGTTCTCAGATTCATGCTGTATATATAATTTTGGAGAGGCATTAACGTATTCACACAGCTGAATAGTTGCACATGGTTGCCTAGTGATAAGATAAAGCTGAAGAAAAGAGCGTCTGTGAAGCTCATAGTGCAGCTTCTCTCTATAAAAATATAAGTGAATAGGTTGTCAAGCGTCTATTGTTCTTTACAAATCAAGAAAATACAAAGTGCTTCACAGTCGGTGATTACATTCGAATCAAATGTTGGAAAATTTAGCTGTTTTTATAAAAACCCACACAGAGCTGAGAGGCAGAATCTGCTTCAACTCAGCGTTGAACACAGTCAGACCGCTCTGCTTTTGACCTTTGAACCCTTACCACGCCATGAAATGCACCATGGGAACTGTTATAAACAAGCACAATAACTCTCATATCCGCACTTTTCTTACACCTCCTCCTTTTTTTATATTAAACCGTAAAAACATGGTGCTGGTTCAGTTCAATATAAACAAACTTTCATATTAGCAGAAGAGTCTCTGATCTGTAATGATAGTCTTAAATCAGCGATCACAGATTCATTATACTGTGATGTTTTTAAAGACGCACGACGTGTTTACGGGGTCGTATTACGTTTGTCATGTCCTGAACGGTCTCACACACCAAAACTTCACGGGATTACATCTGAGCGCACCACGTCACCTAACATCATATCCTTTCAGTTTCAGTTTTTTTATTCACTGTTCAGTCACAAAGACAGGATCTTTTAACTAAATAAATTTCATTTTTTCATTTTTCTGAATTGGCAGAAGCAAAAGCTTTTATGCCAAAAGAAATTTAAAAAGTTACAATATTCTACCCCAAAAATTTCACTACAAACAAGTAATGCTTTCAAATATTTAACGGAGACAAAGTTCAACAGTCAGCAATTCCTCAGGGGGCTCACTCATAACTTTCAAATAATTTTTTACAGACTTTTATTTTGAAAATATTCTGTTACAGGCTCAATTCAATCTATGATCCACATAGTCAGCACACATTATATCCTTTTTACATCAACTTTGGATATCCTACACATCTAAAAAAAAAACTTTAAATCTCATATTTTAGTCTGGGCTTTTAAAAGACATCCACAACAGTAGACAACAACACTGAAGTATTATAATACCACTCATGACCATAGCTCACGACTACAGCACCAGGAGGATGAAAGGTGGAAAGACAGGGACCGTCCAGAACTAAGTGTCTGAAAGTCAGCAGAGATGAACTGAAATACGAAGTCACAGAGTTTAAAGTCTGAGGAAAAAGACGCCACAGTCAGAGAAAGTCTTACAGTGGTTCCCAGAGTGGCTGAAAAGAGAGAGAGCGTGTTCCCAAAAAGGTCAGCAGATATGTGGATCAGAGAGTTCACTGGACCCTGAGCTCTGAACGCTGAGTAGGAGTTAGAGTCCACGCTCGTGTCGACAGAGATTACAGTGATGTTGACCGAACTATGATGAGAAAAAAAAGGACTAACTCTGGAAATGATGCTGCTGCTGTATTTAAGATTTGCTCTTTACAAAACCAAAACCTGAGGTCAGACCTGCAAGGTCACTGCGTCTTTTTTCCTTTGAATCATTAGAAACACACAGAGAGGTCTTGAGTAACATTTCACTCTGGGAGTCATGGCAACCATTTCCCTCCAGACCCCACCATTACCTCCTGCACACATCAGGCCTGAGACACACAAAGAAAGGTGGACCTCCGGGGTTTGTGTTGGTGCTTTGTTCCTCCAGGCGACCTCAGTGAAAACTCCCGGACAGGTCACGGCGGGCACAAACACTCTGACCTCTGTGTGATAATGGGCTGCTGGGAATCAAACCCTTCACATTAGGCCCGTCGGGGGGGACAGGAAGAGGAAGTCTCAGCTTGTCTCTTGACCTTTAAAGTGTCAGCCACTGTCTCCTGGGAGAGAGGACGGCGGAGGACGGAGCGTCTTGATGGCCTCCTGCAGCCGGCTGCAGGCTAGTCCAGGACAATGAGCAATCAGGAGTAAGTGTTGGTGATTAGGAGCACTCAGGGCAGCAGACCTGGTCTACACTGAACCTGCTGAACCTTCAAGATGCTATCAGCTCGCAGCGTGTTCCTCAGATCATGTCTACAGATGGTTGAGGAGCTTTTTGACAAGAAACTCATTTTGTACCTTCACTGATAGGACAGGTAGGGACACCAGGGTCACACCTGGAACAGATGCACGTCTACTTTAAAGGAGTGGTTTGATGAAGAAACTTTTATCAGCAGCTGTTTAACGTTTTTAATCCACCTATCATCCTGCTCTCTCAGTCAGCAGCACATGCCGAGCTGCGATGCAAGATGGCGCCACACAAACAATGCAGATTTATCTCAAAGAAGCACTTCTACGCTGCTTATTAAATAATCAGTGAGAGGAGTTCTTCAGTGTGATATTATTTTACCCTGAAGGTGGCGCTTCAATAAGATAGTAAGGCCTGAGCAATTTATAGACAAACTAATTAAATATAGACAAGTTTAGCCCGTTTAAGACTGATCAGTAATCGGGCAAAACTCACAGGTATTCGCCGGTATTTTCAAACTCAGGGTCCGACTTTGATCAGTCGGTCTTCCTGTCGGCGTAAAGAGCAGTAGCCTACAGTATATCTACAGTATATATATATATATATATATATATATATATATATATAACTTAATAAAAAAAATTAAAAATCCGCCTTTTAATTGGTAATCAGATTTTTTTCCCCCCTAATTATCGGTATCGGCCACAAAAAAACAATATCAATTCGCTATAGGTATCTCAGCTGCCCGCAAGACTATAATGAGGTCCCTCGGGTTCTTCCTGTGATGTGACGGTGACGTCCTGAACACCGCAGAGCAGGGAAGTTTACACAAAAAGTCTCCTCAGTTTAAAACAAGTGACCAAAGTTCATCAGGCTAAGAGCAGGAGTGCAAAGGGAGCTACACGCTGCACCCAGACTGCTCATTGTGGACCCCGCTGAACTCAGAGTGAACCTCTTTCTCTCGTGAAGAACAAGTCAGCGGTTATATCTGTAACCACCTTCCCTACATATGAGAGAATCTATGTTTATCTCATTTTTATGACAGAATTAGAAACTTCTGGAGTTCATCCTGCAGAAACACTCCGGATCTCGAGTCCAGAGCAGATATAAATATCCGTCTGTCCTTCTTTGAAACCGCTCTGTCTTTATGATAATCGGGTTGGGCTTTAAAATCCAGCACATATCTGCGGGCTTCAAATATCTGAAAACAACTCTGTTGTAATCGAAGCGGCTCCGGCGTTGAAGCAGACGCGGCGATTACCATATGGTGACAGCGGCGCGCACAAAGACGTTCCCAGGCTTTGACGGTAAAAACAGAGGACGCCATTGATGCTGCTGTGAATGCGATGCGCCTGTAATATGCTGCATATGTTTCTCATCCCTGTGCTGCAGGATTAAGTCTCTGAAGCCACACACACACACACACACGCACGGATAAACACACACATGCAAAGACTCCGGCCTCCTCGATCTCAGGGTCCCCCTAATCATGTTCCTGCCATGGGTGCCCCTCTCTTCATTAAAACTCAGACAAGAAAAGGGGGTGCAGACGGGAGCAGGGTGCCAAAGAAAGGCTGCTGAGACCGAGTCCTCCAGCCTGTCTGGTTGAAGTGTGGGAGCGTGTGAGTGACGGTGTGTGTTTTTGGGGGTGGGGGGTGTATGGGAATTGACTCTGGTATTAAACTGATTGAGAGACAGCCACCCGCTCTCCTCCCCCGACCAGAGGACGGGACCGGCAGCCCGGCGGTAGGCGAGGGAGCCGCCGACTTCCACGGCAGCAATTTGCTGTCTGGGTGGTACAAAGGAGAGGTCAGAGGTCAAATAAGTGTGGTGACACGGAGGTGCTTTCTCATGGTAATGCTGCCACAAACAACGCGACATCATTCCAGAGCTCCGCGAGGAGAAATTTATGGATTTTTATGGTCAGGAGGGAGAATGACGTCCCAGAGGAGTCCACGGAAATAAAACAGGAAGTGTTACGCTGCATTAAAACTATAAATCACAGACACACAGCAGAGATCCCTGACAGACAGATCCAAAACATCACACTCTGACTCATCCAGATATCTGAGAAATCAGTCAAATCTCTTTATAGTTCCAGTGTTTGAATTCAGGGACATGAGACGACCAAACCTTAACTCATCCACTTCACAGGAGCGTCACTTCAGAACCTGAGCCGTCAAATAGACCCACAAACCAATCAGAGCGCACAAAAAAGACACACTACACAAGGTCAACACAGACCCGCCGACATGTGTTATCTGAAGGTGAACACGTCTGGATAAACCCCCAACACCAAACATGTTCACGTGTCGCAGAAGTTGCATTACCGCGTGCAAATTCATCCACTAGTTCCTCACTGAACCACTATGGAGGCTGTTAAGAGCAGCAACACAACAGAGCAGCAACACAACAGAGCAGCAACACAACAGAGCGTTTGTCCTTTAAGCAATGCAGATGTGCAACACATTATTTAATAGGAGAAGAGAGAGAGAGAGAGAGAGCTGCAGCTTTACGTCTGCACTGCAGTCCCTCATGCCGTCTGCATGAAGAGGCCGTGTGAATGGAGGAAAGGAGCCAGTTCAGGTCTGAGATGTCGAACTGAACACTCACCGTATCTGCAGGTCTTGTTTGTTTCATGACGTCTCCACCTGATTGAAGTCTCTCTGTGAGGAAAGCAGCGACTCTGATTCCTGAAAAACCAACAAAGACGACACATAAAGAAGTTAATGTGCTGATTTGTCTTGATCAAATTTACCCGTGCTGCCCCTGAAGACTTACTCATGATCTAAAGACGTAAAGGTGCAAACAGGTGTGAAGTTTCTTTGGCTTTTTGCAATAATTATTCATCTCTGAAGTCGACCCAAACTACCTCCACCTCCACATGTTCAGTTTTACAACACCACCTTTCAAACTACCCTTCAGAGCCTGACTAACTTTCACAAAAATACGCAAATGACTGAAATATTCATCATACAAATAATAAAATGCTGCTGACAGTAATAAAAGAAACTGGATTTAGAGCTAGTGTTAAAATACAAACCAAAGATGCTCCTACTACACTGACAGCAGCACGATCAAACACCAGATCAAGTGTAATTCATAAGTTAAATATTCATCATACAAATAATAAAATGCTGCTGCTCATCTTTTAATCGGCACCCATAAGCATGAACACATGAACAGGTGAACACATGAATACGGGCCTCTCTCTTCGCTTTAGGACACCCGTTTGTTTTTGTTCTAAATCCTGGATAAGCTCCTCGGTGCAGCTCTAACCTCCACACTTTAGGGTGTCCTCAGCCTCACCTATCACATGTTGAAACAATCTTTTAAATATATTAAAGGTCTGTTTCCTTTCATTGATCATAAAGCCTGATATGGAGGGAGTGAAAGGCATTAAATCATGAATCAAACTTACAGCTGGACTGCTGCCTCTGAACCTGGTCCACAAACTGGTCCTTTAAAACTTATTTTTACTCAAACTTGTTTTTAACCCAACAGAAGAGTCAGACATCTCTTTATCTGGGTACTAAGTTTGACATTTTTCTTTACATTTAAACTGACTGTATTTAACTGTGTGGCTTTTTGCTAAATTCATATTGATGTTTTTTTTTTATGCCATCAGGGATTCTTCTTTCATTATTTTTAATTAGTGTTTGTGTTTCTATGATTTTTAATGTTAATACTCACAATAAATGAGACTTGGGTTAAAAGTTGTCAGGATGAGAATTTTAAACATGTAGTACAACCATGTAGCACTAAGAGTTTTACACAGAAAAAGGAATTAAAGAAACAAAGAAAACCCAAATCTACCCCAACCCAACTCCTCATTCCCACGCCAAGATCTAAACACAACAGAAACAGGATTAAAATGCATGAACTTAACAAGGGCTTGATTTGGTGGAAACAGGAATGTGTGCACTGAGTAAACGTCATTTTAAAACTCAAGATAAAGAAACACTGGAGGTTTCAAATCTAAAAACAAAGAAACATAAAATGAAATTTAAGAAATAATTAAGTGAAATAAAAACAACAGTGAAAAATACTAAAATAAGAGCACCAAAATAACTCAATAAAGATGATCCTGTCATTAAAACTAGAAAGAGATAAATGTTAAAACACTTAAAGTTAATGATATAAAATTTAATTAAAAGTGAGACTAAAAAGGTAAATTTTCAGTTTGTTTTTAAAATCATTAAGGTTAGTTTCAGCCCTCAGGTCTTCAGGTAAACTGTCCTATAGACGAGGGTCATAGTAAAAAGATGTCTCACCATATTTTAACTTTAGGTAATGTTAACTTAATGTTAACTTAAAATCTATTCCAAAAGAGATCTGGACCAAACCGGCCAAAACCAAAGAATTACTCAAAGGACTTTTGAGTAAACTTTCTTATCTAAAAAGAAAATAAATGTATGTAGTTTTAGTTTCTTTATAAAACATATTAACAGCATCATGCTGTAAAGTCTAAAAATGTTTTAAGTGTTGTTTTAACAGGATTCATTTGGTCTGTTTATTAAAATGTTCCTCTATAAAGTAGGAGAGAGAGTATTAACTCTTCATAAACTGACTCCTGCTGTTCCTGTTTCAGAGCTTTTCTTTATTTCTGTCTGATTAAAAAACTCTTCCTCACAGTTTCTGACTGTTTTTTATCATCTTTACAGAGTAAGTGTTTCAGACTCAGACAGCTAACAAAGCTAACATGAAGCTCAGCGCTAACATTCACTCTTTATTAACAAACACTCACCTGAGGAGGAGGAGGAGGTCTCCTCTCTCTTTCCCTCCTTTTCTGTCAGACGGTTTTATCCATTTAGACTTTTATTGTTGTTCCGCCGTTTTACAGATTTGAAGCCGAAAAGCCCTCGGTATTTCCGCCATTTCCTCCACTTCCTGAAACAAACGTTGCGCAGAAGCGTTCGGCGGGAGAATCGCCGAGAGTCGCTGTAATGGCGCTCTGCTAAAACAGAATATCTCCCGACCATTTAATCTACAATCTTTGGTTTTATCTCCATGAAAATTCGTTTGAGCTGTTCCTGAATCCAAACAAACAAACCAAAGGCCAATGATCAGGTGGACTAAATCAGCTGCAGGATACCTGTGTTACCGCCCCCTACTGGCAGGGAGTGTAAATACACCACAAAAACTAATGTTTGTTCGAAATGTGCAAAATAAAAACAAGTAATATGAAAAGTACGAAAATGCAGATATAGAAAGAAACAAATAAATCATTGAAGTTAGCCCACATATCTGCTAACATGTTTAAAAAATCCGACTCATCAGGCTACCAAAGGTCTAAAAATGAAAGTTTTTTTAGATGTCTAAATTTAGACCAAGTCTAAATCAGGGCTACGTCTAAACTACACTGTATATTGCTGTATAACGGCTATCATAATTATTTTGGTTAAGTACTTGGGGATCAGTTATGCAACTCACAGTTGCTTTTTGAAATAAATAGTTATCGAATAAAGGGTTAAAGTGCAACGTCTAAATTACATCTAAAAATATACAGAATTTAGACAGTGCAAATTAGGGTAAAAAAAAATTTGATGTCAAACAGCCGTCTATTGCTCAGTGAGATAGACTGGATCTAGAATGGACGCCGTCTGCCTCCTCGCTGGGTGAAGTCACTCCGAGAACAGCGCCCTCTGGTGACGGGCTGCAGCACAGGTCATAAATCCCGCCTCCGCCAACAAAGCTTATGGAGCTGTGGACAAACTTTAGAAATTAATGACACAGAATATAAATGTTTCTCCCCCCTGCTTGCGATGTTGTGGAGCAGGTGGTGGAGTGTGTTCAACGCTACTGCGCAATGTTGGTTTCAGGAAGTGGAGAGAAAATGTGGAATTACAGAGAGCTTTTCGGCTTCAAATCCGTTAACTGGCAGAAGTCAGAGCCAAGTTGTCCATAGTAAATACAGTCTATGATTTAAAACAACAACAGTATATGTTCAAAGGTTAGTAGCCCCAATGTCATAAATTACATCTACTTATTCATTAAATCTAAAATACTCGACTTTGTCATCTCCACATCTTCAGTTTGTCCTTTTTACTCACTGACATTAAAAGCTGAATCAAGTCTTTCCTAAAATCCTGTATTTCAGCTCAGCTATCAGGACTTTAAATCAGTACGAAAAGAAAAAAATATATATTATAATAAACTTGTTTTTGTTGTTGATAGACTGAGACTCCTGTCAATCAAAGGATCCACAACCAACACACACACACACACACACACAGAAACTCACATTCAAGTTTGATTTCTAAGGAGACACTGACTGTTTGTGGGGTTAAAATGTGAATTAAAATAAGGGGAGTGGTGTTTGATTTTTCTTGAAGACAGCCTCTAGTGGCCATCCGTGGTACTGCACCTGCAGAGAATCCTGCATCACTTCAGCTGTTAGCCATGAATGAGGCCGAGAGTTTGTCTGAGGGACGCTGAGCTGATCCAGGAACATGAAGAGTTTTGACCTTGGGGTCTGATAATGAAGGTCACCCCGGAGCTCTGAGCCGTGTGGAGGACCAGTACAGTGGGGGGCACGGCTGACCCCCTCTCTGCTAAATGAACCACTCTTGGAGATGAAAAGTGCACAAGTCTGACTTTCTAACCCTTTACTGTAAACTCTTTAAAATGCATTTATAACAGTCAGATCATCTCTCTGCACATAAAGAAAAGCTGTGAAGGACTTTGTGAGTGAGCTGTGAGTCCTGAGGTGACACAGATGATGGCTCTCAGACTTTGAAACACTCTCTCGCCTTCAGGTTTTAAAACTGAACACACTGTTTGATAAACCTGAGGGGCGTGTCGTTCACTTCTCTGCACCAGTTCATAAATGCAGTTAATGGATCAGTTCCAGGTCCAGTTCACTCTGATATTTTTTCCTGGTGTTTTAAATTTATCTTTTTATTTTTCTTGTTTATTTTGGAAACACAGAACGTCATATTTTGATGTAAATGAGCTGGTTTGTTAGAATTAAACAGTTTTAGTGCTGTTGTTATAAACAACATTTATAACCCCAATTTAAAAATCAACTATGATATAATAATAATAATAATAATAATAATAATAATAATAATAATAATAATTATAATTACAAAAATCATAAACACATCTGCTGGTTTTAAAGTTGTTAAAGCTCAATCCCTTTATGGCCTCATGTGCACATTTTTTTTCATATATATTTTTTATTTATTAAGTGTGTGTGTGTGTGTGTGTGTGTGTGTGTGTGTGTGTGTGTGTGTGTGTGTAGTACACAGTGAGTTCATGTTTCAGTGGTACTTTTGTTGACTTGTTGTCGGCCTTACCTGCAGACTGTTTGACTTTAAGGGCCTAAACTTAGGAAATATATTATTATTATCATTATTATCATTATTGTTATCATTATTATTATTAATGTTATTATTATATTTGTTGTTGTTGTTGTAGAGAACAGGAGCTCTCACAGATCTCTCTCTCACTCAGTAAATCCCGTTTCCAGCCTCTCAGTGAGTCAGACTCGTTCTGCAGATTCATTAAGACTTTAATTAGACTTCAGACCGTGAACTCATCCGGTAATCTGCAGAGACTGACTGTCTGCAGCAGAGACTCAGATCTGCAGCAGAGACTCAGATCTGCTGCTGCTGCTCCTCTCGGTTCTGGTGGGTGTAGGTCCACCTCAGGTCCATTAAAAGGAGGTTCGTGTCAGAACTTTGTTTGTGTTCAGGGTTCGTTTTGGTCTCCTCGTGTTTTCCGGGTTTGATTTGACATTAAACAGGAGAAATGAACCACAGAGGCTCCTCAGCAGGCTGCTCCTCTGTCAGAGGAGAAGGACCAAACCCACAGCGGCCTCCGCAGCCTCACATGGAGCCCAGCACGGTGTTGGTGCGCACGGTGTCCAGTGCGTAAAAGTATTCGTTAATTTTGGAGGGTCTGGACACGTTTCTCTGACAGACTCGTTTTTTCCGTTTCACAGAATTTTAATCAGGATAACTGTGACCCATATTAAAGCCATCCTCTCTTTTAAACACATTAAAAACATTCAAAGTTGACAGGTTTGGATTTATTCGTTTCCGATTTTTGTCCTAAAGACGTTTTTCGTTATTAATTTACGCACAAAGTTTCCAAATCGCCATAAATCTCTTTTTAATTCGTAATTTCTGTTTCAAATATGATGTTTGACTCTTAAACTTTTTTAATGACCCTTCTGTATATAACTGTATTTTTTTTACAAGGTGGATGTCACTTTTGACCAAACACCACACCTTCAAAAACAAAGTTCTGAACAGAAGCAGGAGCTCAGAAGTTATTTAAAATTTTAATGATGATGAGACTTTAAATTTTTAAAGAGTTTCTTATTGTTTTTACTTTTCTTTGTTCATGGAAATAAAAAAGTAAAATATATATTTAAAAATCCTAAACGAACTTCTAATCGAAAAATAAAAAATAACTTTTTTTTCTTTCTGCAGATTAAAACAAAATCTCTGTATTGTTTTCCGTTTTATAAATGACAGGAAGAGTCTAAAGTATCAGGATATGATAATGTGACTTCATGTGTTTCAGATTATCAAACAGGGTTTCACCGGATCGTTGAGGTTCAGAAAAGTACTTTTTTAAAAATGTCACATAAAAAAATGAAGTTCTGAATTTCTCTTTATTTCCTGATCGAATTTATTTAAATCATCTTCAATAATTTTTTTGACGTTCATGTTTCAAATGATTGTAAAAAAACGGTTTTTAAGAGTTTATATTTATATTTACATGTTTAATAAAAAAAACGCAGCAGGCCTCGAGGCTGTGCAGCTCTCTCTCTCTCCCTCTCTCTCTCTCTCTCTCTCTCTCTCTCTCTCTCCCTCTTGTCTGCTGAGGGGTGTCTAATCAGGGGAGACAAGCGGCTGACGGAGTGACGATGCTTAATTGGCATAGAGTCGTGGGAACGCGTAAACAAACAGCTGCTGCCATTTTCTCTCCCCCCCTCTCTCTCTCCTCTCTCTCTCTCTCTCTCTCTCTCTCTCTCTCTCTCTCTCTCATCCCCCTCTTCTTCCTGAATAAAAGGAGAAGTGGAACAGCAACCTGGCAGCTGCAGGGAGGCTAAGCTGAAGGAACGAAAAGAAGAAGATGAAGAAGATGAAGAGGAGGAGGAGGAGGAGGAGGAGGAGGAGGCCCGGATTGGAGATTAGCCTCCTTTAATCCGCCCCTCCTCCAGTATAGATGCAGAATATTTACCTCCAGGAAAATGTCCTCTTTATAAGAAGGAGGACACATTTGTGAGATAAGCTGTGGATGAGATGATCTCCTCTGAAGGTTCATGATTGATGAGAATCTGCAGAGATAATCGGAGAGATTCATTCTTGGACCTGGAGGGTCACAACATTTAAGATCTGCGTCTCGGCTCAGATTCAGTGGACAGAAAAAAACAGGTTAAATACAAAGATGTTTAAAAACAGTCTGAGTCTTTTATTTACCATCTGCAGGAAAAAAAACCAACAGTTCCACAAAGATATTTACAGGTTTACAGCTTCTCATTAAAACTAACGACTCTTAGAGAACTTTGGTACAGTGATTCCATTTAAGAGCAATCATTAAATAAAGTCCTAAAAAGCACGAGTGCAGTGACTTGCCCGTCAGGTGTTAGTAAAAGTCCATGCTGTGGATGTGGATCAGGAGATCTGAGACACTCTGATAAAGTTAAAACTCTTTTATTTTAGTGTCGGGGGCGTTTCGACTCCCCAGAATCCTCATCAAGACATTGTGAACAAATTCAAGACACCTGTTGAAGTGGAAAAAGGTAACTTTTCTAAAAACTCTCTAAAACACTTTTGATAGTATAAAGGCAAAGCAAAGCAAGGGCTCCAGCTCTGATCGCCTTCACACCATGAGCTTTTATGAACACCTGATAGGTAAGTCACTTCTCTCACGAATTTTTTAGACACTGTTTGTCCTCCTGAAGAGCACCTGGTCCTCCGTGGACACTCCGACCCCTACAGCACTCACCCACTTAGTTTTTTATGAAATAAAGAAAGTTTGGGGATATTTGATTCAGTACTTTTTGGTTAAAGCTCCTATAAAGAGTTTTTTATCTGGACTTGAATGAATTCTGATTAAAACAGAAACAGAGAGAGTGACTTTTTTCTGTCAGTCTGAAACCGTTTGTCAGGACGACCCTCACTGTTAATATCGCCTTTTTAACGTGTTCCCTGACAAAAACGGAGACAGCAGGATGAGATTTATATAAAGGAAACACAGTTTTGATCATCACATGGAGACTAAAATCTCTTCCTCTAATCATCTGTTTGTTCTTCTTGCATCTTTTATGACCACATGGAGACGAAAATCACTTCCTCTAATCGGAAAAGTGTGAGGTGCATCATCATAAACCACGTCTTCTTCCAGATACCATAAAAAGGCATCAGTGTGAATTTCATTGCTGTCAAAAACTTTCTCACAGGAGCTTTAAATATTCACACACCACTGTGCCGCCCATTGGTTATCTTTCAGCATTGAAAATTCCAACGACACCCTTATTTTTGTGTGTTCTGGATCACAGTATCCAGAATTTTGTCCGGATCACCACCAAAATGTAATGGGATCCTCCTGGGGCTGAGACGCACCTCTGGAGAAAATTTCAGGTCAATCCGTCTGTAACTTTCTCCGTAAAGTTGCTAACAGACAAACAAACAAACAAACAAACAAACCAACGCTACCGAAAACATAACCTCCTTGGCGAAGGTAACAATGTCTTCTTCCAGATACCATAAAAAGGCATCAGTGTGAATTTCATTGCTGTCAAAACTTTCTCACAGGAGCTTTAAATATTCAAACACTAAACGGAGAAGATTCTGCGAAGATCCCAGGACACCGAGACGATAAATAATCATAACGATCAGATCCACGAGTGTTTAAGTTTGTTTGTTTTCAGTGTCAGTGTTGAGTTTTAACTCTGAATCCTGATGTTCAACAGTTGGTGTGAATCCATGCAGCCTCATAGAGCAGACATCAATAATTAAACCCAACATTAATTACATCTTTTGAAGTTTCTCATCTTCTGATTGGCTCCTGTGACAAAGTTGGACCAATCAAGGAGCAGTCGATCACGCCAGATCACTAAATCGTGAGATCTGTTCGGACAGCTTACACTGCGAAGACAGAGCGAGTGAATGTCAGATCTGAGACGTTTGGATGACAGGAGTTTGAGTTTTGAACGAGGATCATCTGTTTGATTTCAGCTGTGATATCCTCATTAATGCACGTCTGAAGATGATGAAGATGAAGGAGAGGAGAGCGGTCAGTGTGCCGCACGAGAGCAGAGAAATCAAACTTTCACGACTCTCCTCAGTGTTGGAGTGTTTTCCTCTTCTCACTGAAACTTTAACCCTTTAACTCATGAGACGTAAACGAACATCATGAGACACTTAATCTTACAGTGATGGAGAAAAATCTGAGTTTCATGATGAGGTACGCAGAGTTTTCTAAATCTGTCCAATAAAAGAAACTCGGTTATTAAAGGAGAAGTAACAGCTGCTGGTCGTCCTGATGCGGCGAAGGCGGCTGTTTGGCGTCTTCCCCCTCAAAGACATTCATTGGCGAACATGGGAGGTGTGTTTGAAATGGAGCCCAATCACCGAGTGACCTCCTCCTGCATGGAGACAATGATAGGTGGGTTTGACGGGGAGGTGGAGGAGCTGCTCCCCGCTCAGCCGGACACTTTCCAGCCTTCGAGGAACCTTTGATACGTTTCTTTGACTGACGGGGTTTTTGTTTCTGGGAGTGGTATAATTGGGTCGCGCAGCAGCAGCGGCGGCGGCGGCGAGGGGACACCTCTGCAGAGCCACAAATTACATCATTTGCAGGGTTGTGTTGCGGACGGCGTGCTGGTGTTTGCAGGGAGGAGGAGAAGAAAGCAGCACGGCCACAATTGGGCCAATGAAGCATATCAGGCGCTTTCACTTCGCATTCGCCACTTCCTTCAGGACTTTTCTTTCTTTGATTTCTTTGCGGCTCTGCGGCGCTCCTCACATGCTAATAATAGACTTGTCCATCAACTGTCCCCTCCCTCCGAGTTAATTGGCGCTGAGCAAAGAGGCGCAGCGTCGCTCTGAAGCCGGTCCGTCATTAGATCAGTGGATTCTGAGCGTCCACGTCTGAAATACCCCCCTCTGATGTGCACACACTCGCCCCACCTGCTCTCTTAGCCCGCCCCCTTTCCTAAAGAGCAGACCCTCCCTCTAATCGTCCCGTGGTGCTGTCTCTGAAGGTCCCGAGGAGGCCGAGCTGCCCCCTTTCACATCCACGCCTCAGAGGCCGCCATGATTTACACAGAGTCACCGTCTTTACGCTGAAAACATGTTTTTACTTCATGAACAAGACGGACGAAACAAAACGAGAAGTTTTAAAGTTTCTCAAAGTCCAAAAAAACAATAAAAATCGAGCAGGAAGATCCTTCTGCTCTTAAATCGACTTGTTTCTACGATTTTCTGCAGCCAAGCGTCGTTTTCACCGATCTCTCTGTAATCTTCTAAATTAAACACGTGCTTTTCTAAAATGTCTTTCATTGAATCTGATTTTATTCGTCTTCAAATGTCAATGATGGTCTCAGCGGTTTAAACAAACGAAGTCTGAAAGGCTACAGGAAAAAAAAGACGGGACTGTGCGGGTGAAGCAAGAGAAGCGAAAGAAGCAAAAGAAGCAAAAGAAGCGAATGAAGCGAAAGAAGCAAAAGAAGCAAAAGAAGTGAATGAAGCGAATGAAGCGAATGAAGCGAATGAAGCGAATGAAGCGGCACCTTCGAAATTTTATTCGCTTCATTCGCTGATTCATGAGAGTTGAAAATTCTGAACTTTCTGCCTGAGGATCCTCTGGTGACGAACGTCGACAACTGACCTGTGAGAGATCCTTCATCTAGAAAACGGAGAAAATACAGAAACGTGAATAAAAGGGGGAAGGACTGAAGGAGGTCCGACTGTCCTGGAGGTTTTGACACAACAAGTCTCCTCACAATGAGGTCGACCTCAAAAATGGACCTTTAATTAGATGGAGTCATCAAGCGAGTAAAACACGAAACATTCGTTCACATCAGACACAAATCAGATTTGACTCTAAGGTTGAAATGTGTAATTATGACTTCGGTAAGAAACGAAGCCGCTCCGCTCAGTGGATAATCGGAGCATTACGGTACGCTGTGTCACCACCTGATCGGCCCCATAACCGGACCCCTGAGCAGTCTACGAGTTTGTGTGACTGTAACGTCTAAAGTAAAAGTGCGTTCATGTAAGGCAGCGCGGCCCGGAGTACGTGCTAGCAACAATAAACCAACCAATGCTGAATGTGCCCGACAATCCAGTGCGTCTTATCGCCCCAAAGATACGGTAATTAAATTAGATTTTTGTTTTGAGTTTACTCGTGTGAATCGTAGGAATAAGTTGCTCCATTTGCTATTTCACATCTACATGAGGAGCCAAACGTGGATTAATCCAAGAGAGGAGGGGTTTCCATCACGCCATTTCAGTCAGTGTTAGATACAGAGAGTCGAGTCGTTTCATCGTTCCATCACAGTCAGATCGTCCGTGAATTCCAAATTAAGAAAACTCATTTGATCGGATGTTTGAACTCTCGTGAACGAGCAAACGATCTGTGCAGATCAGGCCGAGGGCGACGATATTCTCAATCCCCACAAAGGACACGGCTACAGGAGCGGAATCACGGCTTCTAACTCAGTGAGTCCATGTGACAAAAACTCCAAACTTTCATACAAAACCGCAGACTGTTTTAGATTAGATGTCCTTCAGACGGGGACAGTCTGCAGCAGGACAGATTCTTGAGCGGGTTCGAGTTGATCCTTACGATCCACTCGGCCCTCCAAACCTGGAGCTCCGCTGTTTCAACATCGTGTTAAAACGATCTGACGTCACTTTTGAAGAGCTGTCCCGTCATCTGTCCTGATGATCGGGTCTCTGGGTTGACCTCGTGTTCAAAGGTCAAAGGTGAAGGGGTGTGGCTGCTCGGTAAACGCAGTAAAACGATTCTTTTCACGTCTCCTCTTTGTTGCGGCGGGCTCCCGCTCGCTCAAACACTGATTGGCTGAAGCGTTTGTATCGGCTCTGATGGGGGCCGGCGGCAGCTGAGGCCGGCGTGCACACACATGTGCATACATGTGCATGTGTCTTTTGTGTGTATGGGTGAATAAATGTGTCCTTTTTTGGAGTTTGTGTCTTGTGTGTGCAGCGTTAAAACACAAAACGCCGCCTCATGCCCTCTGTGCCCCCTCCTCCTCCGCCGCCGCCTCCTCCTCCTCTTGCCTGGCAGCTCTCCCATGATGCCCCTGCCCCCGGCTTCCTGCCTCTAATGGCCGTCTCTGTGTGCCATCTCGGGAAGCCTGACATCCCCTCCAGAGGCAGAGGGCCCGCCGTTAATGGAAGCCATTGATGGGCGAAGAAAGGCTCCTTTGTGGCGCCGGGGGCAGGCGTGGGCACCCGTTTGCTCACACACAGCTTCCCCTCCGCACACACTGGGCCGGCCGCTCAGAACTGCGTGCCAACAGCGGAGATCGAGAGACAGGAGCTGCAAAGTGCCCCCTTACTGGGGAAATGGCAGAGAGGGATGGGTAGAGAGGGGTGAGAAAGAAAGGGAGGGTGAAAACGACAGCAGAGTTGGCAGAGAGGAGGAGGAGGAGGAGGAGGAGGAGGAGGAGGAGGAGGAGGAGGAGGCGAAAAGAAAGGCCGAGAAAGAGCAGGAGAGATTAAGCGAATAAGACAAATTCAATTGGTGCAAAGGAGGGACGGATAAAAAAAAGGGACGTGAAGGAAATGGGGTACAAACCTCGCCACCAAACACAGAGGGACCCGGAGAAAAGGGAAATGGAGCCGCAGAAACAAAGAAACGGAGGTTTGGGATCGCCCACGTCAAAGACGCTGGGTGGCCCTGCAGGGGGAGGAAGAAAAAACAAAAACGGTGGCAGGGTGGCGGAGGTCTCCCTCTGCCACTGTACGGCCTGTCAGCCTCTCGCCGGCTCACTCCCCTCTCGGTGATTTATAACACCTGAATTGTTCTCCTTCAACAGAGTCGTGAATGGGAGAAAAGAGGGGGAGCCGCCCGCACGCCAAACAGTGCCGCGGTTATTGATAACCAAACAGATGTGTCCAGTTTGGAACGAACATCTGACGCTAAATCTGGGCTAACGGTTTTTGTTGTCAGGGAGTTACTGTACGCTGGCAGCCAGGCGCTCAATAGAGACGCGGGGTTATTGTTCGTGACGCTGTTTTCATTCAATCTGCTGTTTCCTGGCGCCGGGCTTCCCAGGTGACGTCTCCTCCTCCTCCTCCTCTTCTTCTTCTTCTTCTTCTTCTTCTTCTTCTTCTTCTGTGCTTTGTTGGCTGTGAAAAGGCTGCATCAGAAATCCCAAACATCCTCATCACATTCATTTAATCACAGCTCCGCTCTGAAAGCACATTTACAGGCTCAGAGGGAGAAAAAACAAAAGAGGCTGTTGTGCGGGTCTGAGCGCGCCCGACTCGACGTCGCCACCTACCGGCTCGCCATTCAACCTGTCGGCCACCTCGTGTCTCCCCGCTGTGCAGCACGCAGCCTCCTGCATTGTTCGGGCCCACAAGCGCCCCTTCTGCTGCTAATTTCCAACCGCTGGCAGCGTGCCATGGCCGGAAGTCGCTGCGTGCACCCGCTGTATCCCTGCGCCACCGTGGGAGAGCGGCGAAAAAGTAGTGCCATATTTGTCCCAGTGTGTCATCTGTTTAACACGCCTGATTGGCTTTCACACCGTCGCCTCCTAATTAATATGCAGCGGCCCCTCGCCCCGCCTCCGCTCGCCATGCACTAAGACAAAAGCGTATTGTGTGAGCACCTCCTGTTTTAATTACGCTCAAAAGGCGAGCCGTGCGAGTGTGTGTGCGCGTGTGTGTGTGTGTGTGTGTGTGTGTTTCATTTATGAATGCATGAGCAATGACTGTGTGTGTGTGTGTGTGTGTGTGCGCTCCAGGACGATGTACGATGTGCACTGAGGGATTCATAAAATGAGCACATTCATCGTCATGTCATCCTGCACGTATGCCCCTCTGTGTGTGTGTGTGTGTGTGTGTGTGTGTGTGCATGTGTGTGTGTGCGTCCTAAAACAAGAAGAATTGCCATGGCGAGGGGAGGAGCCGCTGTCGTCCTATCCCACAAGAGAGAGAGAAAAGTGTTGTTGCTTGTTGCCTTTATGCAAATTGGCATCCGATGAAGGTTTTTTTGGGCGAGCCACAAAGAGGGTTTGTGGTCGGAGCGAGGATGGGGGGGTGGGAGAGGTTAGGAGGGGTTATGGGTAAAAGACAAGGACTAAATTCCCATCGGCGCACCGAGAGACATCATGTAACATTCCTCTTTTCTTCCTCTCCGCTCTCTTTCATCCCCCTCTTTCCTCACATCTCTGACCCGGTTATTAATTTGGTCGAGATTAGTTTGCTCGTTAATTAACGCATGCCCCCCATCTTTTCCTCTCGCCGTCTCTTTCTCTGGCGATTGTATCAGATTCAGAGTTTTTTCTCTCTCTCTCTCTCTCTCCGTCTTTTATCAGTTGCTTTTCTTTTCTGTCTTTCTCTCTGATGAGAATGAGGTAATGTGCAGCATGAGGGGAGAAACAGAAGAGGACCGGGAGGGTCCCCCCATCGGTTCCCTCGGGGACCTTTTCAAACGCAGATAATAAAAAGCTCAACGACTGAATATGACGCTCGGAGATCTTGAATAAATTCATAATTTTATGCCGAATGGAAGCCGAGGTCTCCATTCAGTCAAAATAAAACGCATCAGAACCACCGACCACCATTCGGATTCCCCGACACTCATGGGTGGAATCGTGCACCGAGGGAAGTTTGAAGGCCTTCAAACGTGTTTCCTGGATGCATCTAACCCCCAATTTCCACCGCATCCTAAAAGGGTTCGAAAAGGTCGTATCCTCCGATCGTAGCTGATCGTAACCATTCAAGTTAACGTGTCAATTTACACCGACTACTTTCCGTCCCAGCTGATCCAAGAGTTCTACATTCTACATTTCCACTGTTGTCAGAATGTGGTTTAGGATCATCTGAAGGTCTTCCCTGGAAGGATCTTTGTCTGGATGGACGTAGATGTTGCTCCTAAACCTGGAGATATTGTCTAAAACTGAGGATGCAGCATCTATGATTTACAATTCTTCATTGAAAGGACAGTTGGACTTACTTGGGACGTTTCGCCTTAGGCTTCTTAGGCATCCGTCTTCTTTTCAAAATAAAACACTCCGTGTTTCAGGAGGATCATATTTCACACCATGCAAACGGGCTGATCGTAACCATTCAAGTTAACGTGTCAATTTACACCGACTTCTTTCCGTTCCTCTGAGGATCGCCGGACTCCTCAGCTGATCACAAGAGTTCTATTTTTTCTGGACGCCGGAGCATGGCGGATAAATTCAGCACAGATTAACCCGTGCTGGAAAGGAAGTCGGGCACAGACACAAAATAAAACATCCGGCTTCTTTTCAAAATAAAACACTCCGTGTTTCAGGAGGATCGTATTTCACACCATGCAAACGGGCGGAGACGAACAAGTGAAAGGTTTTTAGACGTCATTTCACCCCGATGACACCATGAATGAGGAGATGCTGATTCTAGAAGTCTAGAAGTAGATTTCCTCCTCTGGAAGGACACAATCTACTGCTTATATGTCTATGTGTCTGTCTTTAGAGAGACGACTCGTTATCGTGAGATTGAACGTGAATCTGCGGGTTCTTGTGAGTTCTCAAGATTCCTGCTGTCCGTAATCCGCCACAAAATTTGCCTCACAAATGGATCCGGTAAGAATTGGTGTATGGCGAAAATTGCCGCCGTTCTGGATCGGAGCCGTTCAGGATGTGGTGGAAATCCCGGGTAAGAAGTAGATCGTGGTTAACTGGTCAAAAACCACAAACCAGAGGGGGCGCTCCTTATCTGACCAGGATACTGACATTCAACCATGAAGGCTCGGGTCCAACACGGCATGGATCTGTCACCTCTCCTCTTTAGAAACAGCTGAGTATGTTGGTTTACGACATCTACAGGTGTGCAGTCCTGTGTCTTAACAAAGGTGGCGCCGCCAACCGTGATCACGTGTTAGTACCACGTTTAAGTGTCGTCCATGAAACTGATACATCACTGTTTTGTTTTGGAAAAGTTTTCAGTAAAGACGGAATCGTTTCAGGAAATATCTGCGTAAACACAAAACCACTGACTAAAAATGATGCAGTGCACATGCCAAGCTGGTAGGTGGCGCTGTCAGACTAAGATGGAGGAAGAGAACGGAGCATGAGTATAGAGGTTGTTTTAGCCGGACTCGCACAGACGCCTGAAGAGAGTTCCAAAAAAGATCAGGATAGGAGTCCACACAGACAGGAAACAGTTTTCACATACGGAGTTATGGGGACCTTTTTTTAGTAAGTATGATTGACAGTCACATGAAACGTGTTTCCGTGTGGACGAAATGTCGATACGCCAAAAACTGTTGTCCGATTACTCCCAAACTTCGTACAACCACACGAAACAACCACGAACTCTCCCTTTAAAAATGAACCTGCAGGGCTCCTGTAGTTTACTGAACACCGGTCGTCAGGAGGTTATCTGGACTGATGAGAAGGTCGTTTGTGAAAGAAGAAGACGGAGAAAAAAGGTCAGAGTGAAAATCAAAGATCTGGACACAAGAACTGAGACCCCAATGAAGAGACCGCAGCAGGTCCCCCTTTAAAGAAAAAACTGTTTGGGTCACAAAACCATGAAGTTATAAAACAGACACTGAAGGGTACCTCGAAACGGAAGTCGAGAGAGTTTCGCCATCCGCAGACCTCTGGAAACGACCATGGTTACGGTAATTTCATATCGACATATCGATAAATATCACGATATATCACGACTTTGTGAGAACATGAACTCGACATCATTTACAGTCCACAGGTGCTATGGTTGGGTGGAGCTGCTGTCTGCTACGACGCTGCAGTTGGTTGATACTTGGTTCTAATTCAGAACATGATTGGTTCAGACCTGGAGAAACTCCCCTTTTCATTGGCTGTTCGTATAGTCGACCAAAACATGTCAGAGTGACGACTATTGAAAAGGATATTGATCATGTTTTATATCAATATTGAGGGAAATTGATTTTTGATAGATATCGTGATCGTTTTATCGCCCAGCCCTAACCATGATTGTGTCGGACTTCATCAGCGTAACTTTGAATAATAACTTTAGTCGTTACTGAAACCTTTAATTTAGTTACATTTCTCTTTTTCATATAAACTTCACATCAGCTACTCTAACTGAGAAAGAAGAACCATCCCCGCCCTGATCCCACCTGCTGAGACGGATCACAGACAACTTGAGCGCGTTAAATGACCGTCATGTTTTTGAAGTGATCCGTAGATCTTTGAGGATAACGTGTGTTTGGGTTAGACCTTCTCCAGGACTTGGATCCTGGAGACCCATTAGAGGTCTGTGAGGAAATTCCAGTTTATGCCGACTTTGGCGCCCCCTGTGGACAAAGCAGTCTTTGCTTCCTTTGGCTGTTTCTGCTGTTTCCTGAAACAACAAAAGGATAAAATAACGTGTAAAAGTATAAAAGTTTATTTTGTTCTCACACCAGTTTGGAAAACCTGCAGAGTTCGCCTGGCGTGACTCCCCTCCACCCGCGGCCCCCGGTGAGGCCCTGCAGATCCACATCCTCCTCAATGGACTCACTCAATTAACGGGCCATGAAGCCCTCGACCCTTCCCGACCCCGCAGACCCCTGAGAGTCACGCACCGCAGAGGCACGCTCGTGGTGGAGACGGGTGGTTCAGAGGAGCGGGCGGGCGGGTCTCTGGGGGTGAGGGTGTGAGGGGGGGGTCGGTCAGTGGTCTTTTGTTGCCGCGGTGTCCAGCCTGCCCCCCTCCACCCCTGGGGTCTTTCATAAGGAGTGTGTAATAACTGCCTTTGTTGGTTTTTCCTCTTGTAATGGGTCCGGTGGGAGGCCTTGTTAGCGCGGGGTGCGGAGCCAGGGGACCTCGCAGGAACTCCGGGATTAGAGGCCGCCCCCGACCTGCCCCTAAACGTGATCCTCCTCTGTAACAATGGTCATTCAGACGGCCGGTGAATATGATTCTTTAGATCCTCCTAATTGCAGAAGCTTTCAGTTCCAGTGAAGGTCTCGGATTTGGAGTTTGCTTCGTCATCTCAGGCAGAATTAAAGGCCCAGTCTGCGGTTTGAGGAAGGATAAAGAGAAGAGCGAACGACAGAGGGACACGCCGATGATGTAATGACCTGAAAGAGTTCGACTTACAGAGAGACTCCAGGAACAAAGCTGGAGGAAAGCTGCTGATTAAGGAAGAAGAAGAAGAAGAAGAAGAAGAAGAAGAAGAAGAAGAAGAAGAAGAAGAAGACGTGGTCGTTCTTTGTCCTAAAACTTAATCTAAGAAACACGGTAACAAACTTCTCAGTAAAAATAAAGACTGTTAATCCCTGAAACTATGACCAGATTAAGGTGTCAAATTACCGGGTGCTTTTTAACATCACTTGTAGTTAACCCTCTGCAGCATCTCAACAATGAGTGGATCTGGATCAGGGTTGTGGCCTCGGTCTGGTTTTATGGCAGAGGTTGGAGAGTCTGGTGATTACCGAGGGTCCGCACCTGTCTGCACTTCACACACCTGACCCACGCCCACCTGAGAAAAAGGAAAAGAGGGAAAGAAGGGGGGAAGGGAGAGGCTGCAGCTCTGGATTAACGCGCAAAACAACACGACTTTGAGACGCGACGCAATCAAAGAAATTCTGCAGTAAATTAAATGTTTTGTACACGAAGTGTGTAAGATGTTGCAAATATATAAGCCTGTAGAGTCGCCCCCCGGTGGCCATCAGATGCAATGCAAGTTTTAGACACTTCAACAGCGTCTTTTTAAATGGATCGATCACGGCCTACACTGAGGTTCCAAATCCTGTTACCATTAAACTAAGCTGTAGCTAACTGAAGCTCTTTAAACGCTCTTTAACCTGACGCTGCTTTTATTTCTCCTGAAGAGGATAAACTTCACATTTTCTTCCTGTTTTTGTGAAGTTTTTTTTTTCTCTTTTAACATGTAAAACCACCTTCATCTAACACCACGTGTGGTTTCTTCCTGGTGCCATCCACATCCTTGACATGTCGGGGGGGTTCAGTCCACGCAGGTCGCACTCTGCTTTCTTTCACACGCTGGATTTGTGGACCACAAGCGAGCAGTGAAAGAGGAGCGCAGATTTGAGGGGCCCGAAATGAACACTGCCTCTATACTTTTGTTGATTTGGCATTCACACGGCTCGCCATTTTTCAGGGAGGAAATTCAAGTGAAGCACTCGCGAGCACTCGTGGAGCACTGAAGGCAATTTTCCCCCTCAGTCAAGTGGCTAAAACCCTCTCCATCTGAACAACTTCCTGCATTTAGCCAGCACCCCCACTGACACCCTGCTCCCATCATCCCCCGGCTTAGCTGGCATCAGTCACCACCTCTCAGCGGGCCGCTGCTCCTCGCAGAAGAGCGAGGAGGGGGCCGAGACCACCTCTCTGATCATGGATTCACTCTGGAGATAAATGAAGTCGAAGCTCTGGTGTTTGCTCTTTCCCTCTTTCTCTAACGTTTCAATATTTCTCTGTTTTTGAAGGAGCTCCCAGTTGATTGACGGAGACTTTTAGGAAACGAAACTCTAACGAGTGTTGAATTAACTCTGATGAGCGCGCTCTTACAGATGCAGCAGCTGAGTGTTGATATTTAAACATCTGAGTGTCATTTACAGAAGAGAAAACAGAAGCACAGAGTGATGAGGCGACAAGACGATCTCACTGTCCTCTGGAGAAGAAGAAGAAGAAGAAGAAGAAGAAGAAGAAGAAGAAGAAGAAGAAGAAGAGTTTATCTTTAGGAAGGACAGAAAGTTCGGCACTGTTTCTGACTTTGCATTTTTTAAAACTGAAACAAGAGTGTGTGTCTGTGTGTGTGTGTCTGTGTGTGTGTGTGTTTGTGTTTACTTGTCCCGTTTGGTGGGACTTTTTTTTCTTCAATCTTCAAACTTTTTTAGTCAGAATAAAGTCCTGAGAGATAAAAACAAAAACTGAAATGTCATGTTTATATTTTGTGTTCGATCTTAATCGTGTTTTTTTCATACTCAGAGCTGCGTTTCTGAACGGACCCTCCTGTCCCTGTGTCAGATCCATGTTTTCCTCTCGGCCCCCCGACAGCCTCTGCAGGTCTGTTAGCAGCCTGATGGCTCCCATGGGGGACCAGAGGACCCTGAGGGAGCTGATTAACCCTTTGCATTCACGACCGTGACGGACGACAACCACATACAACTGCTCACACCAACACCGGTCAGCGCCATTACCATTATGGGCCGTGTTCAGGAGCCGTTATATGCAGAGAGGCGAGAGAGTGGAAGTGAGAGAGTGGATTAAAGAAGAGTGAAGAAAAAAATAAAAGTACAAAAATCTGCAAAAGCCTGTGATCATTTAAAAAAAAACTAAGGTCTATGAACCCCCCCATTATATATAAGCACAATTATGAAGCCTTATAGATGCATTTACCAGGTTTTATAATAATCCTTATGAGGCATAAAAAACCATAAGAGCTATTCACACTGACGTTAACAAGAAACTGCATCAACATCGATAAAACTAAATCAAAAGAGTCAGAAAATGAGCCCCTAAAAAAGTGCAAATGCTGATTTATCCAGGGATCCTTGGACTCCAGTAAGTATTCAGTATTATCTCAGGATATCTGATCATCATATTCACTCTGATTGGACATTCAGTCCTGCTTATTTTTAAAATGTAAAAGTTTTTTCTCTGTGAAAATAAAAATAAAAAGTTTCAAAGTTGTTTCTTAGAAGTCATTTTCTGTTGCAGTGCAGTTTTTTGAAAGTATGATAAAGTACGTCTTATTGCATATTTTTAATTCCCAAATTAGACGCAGGTCAGAACTGATCTACATTATTAAAATGGACTTTAAACCGTTTAAAAATGCAGAAAATATCATGTCAGCAGACAAATGCATCTCAATCACTGCAAATGTGGATAAAACTAAATCAAAAATCCTGAAATGGAAACCAAAACAGGACCTCTAATAACTGCAAATGTTGATTTATCCAAGGATCCTTGGACGTCAGTGAGTGTTCAGTGTTATTACAGGATATCTACTCATCATATTTATTCTGATTTCACATGCAGTAATGCATAATTTTTAAAATGTAGGTTTTTTCTTTTTGAAAATAAAAAGTTTTTCTTGACAGAAAAAGTTTTTCAAAGCTGTTTCTTAAAAGTCATTTTCTGTTGCAGTGCAGTTTTTTAAATATATGATGAAATACGTCTTATTGCATGTCTTAATTGCTCTACGTTATTAAAACTGACTTTAAACCATTTAAAAATGCAGAAAAATAGAATTGCAATCATGTCAGCATCTCAATCACTGCAAATGTAGATGAAACTGAATCAAAGATCCTGAAACAGAAACCAAAATGGGACCCCTGAAAACTGCCAATGTTGCATCATCCAGGGATTCTCGGACGTCAGTGAATAATCTAAATTAATCTGAATTAAAAATCACTTTTAAAAAAACTCTCCTGTTAAGATGAACTCAAACCTTTGTTTTGCAGCTCTAATGAGATCTTCTCCTGCTCACTTCAAGACGAAATCCAAACAACAGGAATTTAAATAATCAACATTTCAAGAAGATAATTATGGACGTTAAACAGGCGCTAAGACCCCAAAGTCTCTGTTTCGTTAGTCGGGCCCTTCAACGTTCTGCAGGTATGTTCCCAAACAAGCACATCTCCAGAAGACGTCTTAGACAAAAGAATAATTACCATAATCATGATTATTTTTCTCTGCATTTTAATTAGCCCGATGAAGCTCAATTAAGCTCTTCAGTACGAGCGCCTATTCACCAAACAGCTGTCCACCTGTCTCCTCCTTCCTGGGAAAAGGCTGCGGCGCCCGTTCACGCCGAGGTACCGTCACCAAATCCTCTGTGAGAGAGTGTGTGTGTGTGTGTGTGTGTGTGTGTGTGTGTAGAGGGGGGTCAGATGAGGCCCCTGCAGCCTGAAAGGGGCCCTCAGTATGACGGGCGATAAATGTCACAGAGGCGTGATGACAGGAAAGACATCATTAGGATATGCTAATTATTGGCTTATTAAAAAGAAAACATTTGATACAGAATCAGATCAATAAACTTTAACGAGAAAATGGAAAAATACGAAGTTAAAGACGAAAAATTAAACCTGCAAAAAAACAAAACAGGGATCTGCAGTAACCGAGATCTGACAGTAAAACAGCCTCCATAGACCCTCCCTCAGAGAGATTAACGCTGCGAGGGCGAACGGCTCAGTCAGGGTCATGTCCAGGTTAGAGCTCCTGAACTCTGCTGCTGTTACACGGACTGCAGGACAGGATTTCTGCCCTATCAGAGAGGGTTGGACTCCAGTCGCTCCTCAGGTTCCTCTCACACCTGTGCGAGGGTGAGGAGCGACTGGAGAGAGAGAGGAGAGAGAGAGCGAGGGATGATACGCACTGAATGATATCAGGTCCAGGGATCGATCGATCAATCAACCGATCGATCGATCAATCAATCAATCAGGGAAATGAAGGGCTGCAGCTTCTGCACTAGAGGGCGTCTTTATCTGCAGGTAGTTTTATTAAAAGATCAGAAGACCAGCAAAGACATTTTTGACCACAGGGGGCGCCAGAATCGACACTAATGCTGCGTTACCTATATGTCGCCGTCTTGTTTCTGCCTCTGATTTTGCTTTTTCCCGACTTGGGAACTGAAACGCTGGGAACTCGGGTGTGACGTCATTTTCAACTCCGACATCTGACTACCGAGGAAACTCGAACGCAGCATGGCTGAAAGTTACTCACTGTAGCTTTAATAAAGGCGTTACTGAGATGATGCAGTTTTAGGATCGGACTGGAACATGTCAGGATTTGACCCGCAGGTCAAACAGCATGAACCCACTGTAGCAAAGAAACCTGGACAGAAGGTACGAGACGAGGCCTAACGCCTCCTGCTGTAGTGGAGGTGGACCTACATCTGTCAGTGACTCAGTTCTGGTCTGGTGCCCTGGAGGACGAGGATGGTCATCCAGATAAATCACCTCATTGAGCTTTAGTGCTTCAGTGCAGACGGGCTGTCTGTTAGCTTCTTTTCATCCCATCATGATTTACGGTCGATGCTTTTTCTTCCTCTTCTTGTAAATTTCACACGAGCAGAAACTTTGTTAGCCGGAGCTGAATTCAGCGGTTTAACCCCGTCCTTCATAAACGTCACGGTGACCTCGAGGTCTGAAAGAGGAGCGATGATGAGCGACCGTCTTCATGACAAGCCGAGACCTCTACTCCAGAAAACTGCTGCTTCACAGGGAAATAACCAGAACTCTGAGATTTTTTTAACATCTCAAATGCAGATTTTTTAACGCTAAAATTTTAGAAAACCAGGCGATGAATGTAAACAGAGACTGATGTGAATGAATGTGAAGTGATGAGGTTTCTGCCTCCCTCAGTTTTCCATCCTCCTCAGACAAAAACACACAGTTACACTTCATGAATAAACAACAAAACTGAACATTTTATTCTTTCAAAAAAACTAACCCTGTATCATCGTGTTTCAGAAACTTTAAAAAAATCTGATTCAGGCCAATTTTCTTTAAAAAGAAAAAACAAAAAATCCACCAGACATACAATCAATAAATGCTCGTTTCTATTCTAACTAATCATACATACACAGTTGAATATGAAAAATAAAATCAGAGAAAATCCCAAACCTTTAAAGTATGAGGAGAAACTACATGCGTGCACTTTGACTCTGCATGAAAATCCCTTTATTTAACATGACAGAAACTCTAAAATAGACGTGGTTTGATGTCAAAATGTAACTCAATCTTTAAAATCGTGTTTTCCCATGACTCGTTTTGACTCTCCGGCTCTGAACGAGTCTGTTTGTCTTTGGTTTGACCTGGTTTAGTGGACGATTGGACATCTTTTTCCTCGATTAGGCTCTTTTTTGCTTTTTTCTGTGGCCTGCAGCTCAGAGTCACGCAGCTCTACGTCGCCCTCTGCTGGTTTAAAATAAAGTAACATGCAAAATAAAAAAAGACTTAAAAGATAAAAAGGTTTTTTTTCATGTTAAACAAACGTTTGAGCTTCAATTTAAGACCTAAAGGGTGTAATACTCAAGTGCTAGGATGTTGACGCTTCAGAGTGTGTGTGTGTATGTGTGTGTGTGTGTGAAAGTGTGTGTGTATATGTGTGTTTGTGTGTGTCTAAACGTTTAGCTTTTGATTTTCTGCTGGTACCACTTCGGTCAGCTGGGCGTCATGACTCTCCTCCTCCCCAGGAACCTGAAACAGACGGAGGTGAAGAGGAGAGAGTGAGTGTGAGGCTGATCTGAGGGACGGTTTCACTGCTCCGTGATCTGAGGACACACTTTGACCTTTTTTTACTGATAAATCTGAGAAACACAAAAGTCTTTTCAGGAAACTTGAAGATAAACCAATTTCCTCCAATTCAAGCCAAGGATGTGAGGACAGGAAGAGACTCCAGCACCAAAACTAAAGAGAAGGACCAAACATGTCCGCTCTTGTCGGTGGTCTTCATGCAGACAAACATCTTCACCCACAATTCACTCTGATTTTTAAAACCTTGAAACTCTAACAGACGATAGAAGCACAGCTGTCAATCATGCAGACTGCACAGGGATGGATGTTTGTTCTGTATCCTCCGGTCTTCATCACATCCATGAGACTCTGGATCACCTCTCAGACCTCAGAGAAGCTCTTCGTTAGGAAGGAGACGTCTCCAGCTGAACAAACAGCTGATTTATTTCAATGATTTTATTGATTTTCACACTTCATTAATCTGTACAAAGTGAGACGTTTTACGACAGTAAAGGTTCAAACTGCAGTCAGCAGCACAATGATCAAAATCACAATATATTGTCATTGTTATGATTCATATCTTTTTATTTGTCTCTATTTTTTCTAGAATTTTCAAAGCAAAGTGTCTTTTTTTGTTGAATTTTCCTGACAAACTATTTTTTTCTGGAGCAGAAAAATCAAATAAAAAATCCATTTTTCTCAGTGCTGGTCGAGACGAGCTCAGTTTTTTATGTGTTCCTCAATAACCGTGTTTTTTCAGCTTAAGTCTGTTTCTTTAACATAATAATCAGAATCTGAGTTTAATAATCAAAATCAGCTCCTGTTTTCAAACATCCCAGAATCTGAGACAGAAAAAATCATCAGCTGCTTCTTTGTTGCTGCTTTTTCCTCTCTATCTGTGTTTCTCTGCATGCATGTCTGTTTGTTAGTATTATCATTATTATGTGTGTTTGTCCTTTTTTGGCCTTCAAGATGTTTATTAAAAAGATTAAAATATATATAATTAAAGTCTGAAAACTGTTGTTATTTGACATTATTGGTGTAGACAGAGACTCACCTGAAAAATGGTAAATGGAGAGAAATATCCGTCTGAGAGGGTTTTATAAATATTGACTGATATTTGAACCACAAATATGGTTCATCCTGCATTTTAATAAATTTAAGAATCTAAATATTGTTTCATAAATTATTACAGGTGTTTGTTTCTAATCTGAGAAACCCCTCTTGTTCTTTAAACGATAAATAATCCACAAACTTTAATCTGTTTATAATTCAAACAGGATTATTATTATTACAGACTGATGCGGCGCTGAGGTTCACATGAAACAAAGGCCTCATGAGCCTCAGTCCTGCTGCATTGTGGGTAAACAGAAATGACGTCAGCCTAAAGTGAAAAAGTCTGACATCATGGCGTTTGTACACCTGATTAAAAAAAACACCTCATGGTGGAGGATTAGCGCCACCTAGTGTTCAAACAGCAGCACTGTTTCACCTCCCAGAGGAGAGACCAGCCTGACTATAAATGCTGCAGGAGCGCCACCTGGTGGTGAAAAGATTTAATGCCACATTAATGAAAATCTGTTTGGTGATTATTGATGGTGAGTTTTCAGTCGTTGAGGTGAGCCGTACGGAGTCAGTGTGAGATCTCTCTGCTCTGTAAAATCAGAATCCACCTCTCTTCCTGTCAGACTCACCTCCCAGTAGATGTTGTCCTCGAAGCAGATGGTGTCAGGAGGAGCACCGAAGATGGGCGTCTTCAGAATCACACCTGATGTGACAAAAACACCTGATTTACTCTGGAAACAGACTTTTGAAATGAACACAAACTCAATAAATCTGTGTGTGTTTTACAGGGACAGAGGACAGAGACGGATGCTGATCTGGGAGAAGGATTTATTTCACACATTCAAATCCTGGTAATCGAAGAGTGGATTTACATATTTACATGTTTCACCTCAGAGGGATGGGTGGTGTCAGGTGATAGTTGGTAAATGGATGCACTTACCGACGATGGCCCCTCCGAGCAGAGCGATACCGAGGGTGATGGCGAGGCCGAGAGCCTGGTAGCCGCCCTGAGTGGAAGCTGAGCGACCTTTGACGATCTCAGGGAAGACGTCGTTCATCCTGAAACACAGAGAGGGACGGTCAGTGAGCCGTGATCGTCTTTCTGGGCAAACAGACTGGACATTAGATGAAAACTGCAGATATAGAGGACCTTTGCAGACCCTTGTTTGCTGACTTTGCTCTGAGGGAGCAGCTTAAGAAACTCTGTCTCTGCTCAGTCAGAGTGATTTTATCTCTGACCGAACAGTCGAACCCTCACAGAGACGATCTTTTACAAACTGAAAAATGTGGATATTCAGGACGAACCGCAGAGAACACTCAGGTTTAGTCTTGTCCAATTCTCTCACCACTCAGAGACTCAAACTTGTGAATCTGGATCAGAATCAAATCTGTGACTTTCTCTGATGAAATGAAGAAGAAACTGTCGATGTCTGCTGAATATGAATATAGATTTTTACCCTTCTCCATAAACATCCATGGTCGCCACAGAAGCAGTCACGGCTCCCACAATCGCACCGAGGACACCAGGCATGCCGTGCAGGTTGTGAACCCCACAGGTGTCCTGGATCTTTAGTTTGCTTTCCAGATGAGGCTGAAAGAAGAATTATACCTACATGAACTCTCACAGATATGGTTGTTGTTCTCAGTATCACAGTATTCTGCAGGATCGTTTTATTGATCTGAAGTTTAAATTCTCTGATCGACTCCGTCGTGCTTACAGAGAGATATTTGAACCCCAGGACAGAGATGACGCCCGCCAGGAAACCCACGATCATGGAGCCAAAAGGAGTCAGCATCATTTCACCAGCTGTTCCTGCTGCGACTCCACCGGCCAGAGCGGCGTTCTGGATGTGAACCTGACGACGAGGAAAAGAGGGATGGAGAATTTGTGATGAACTGCAAAAGATCAAAACCAGAATCATCGAAACTTGAATCCTCAGATTCACAGTTTTAAACAGGACCATTATATATATACATATATATATATATATATATATATACACACATACAGAGCAAACCTAACCTTCTCTAAAATGTGCAATAATAACTATATGCAAGAATATGGTGCAGTAATAACAGTGTGTAAAAATGTTAATGTGCAGCACTGATCATTTACATTCATATTAATATACAAAAATAACATGGTGCTTTAATAATCAGCAAGATTAACAGTGAACAAAACTCACAGTGTCTTTAGTGAGCAATAACAATAATATGTAATAAAAAATATTGTGTAAAAACAACAAATTACAACAATAATCCCGTCCAATAACAGGCATGTGGGATAATATCAGTGTTAGCCTTAAAAGAGCTTAAAAGAGCTTAAAAGAGCTTAAGTTGCAGATTTTAACTTTTTTTACAGCACAAAAATAAATCCATACATTAATTGATAAATAAGCACAACATGATGTTTTTTTTCCATGTGATATTTTCGTCACACTAAACCTTGTATGTTCATGTTCATGTTAATCTTTGGTACGGTCAGGACAGGAGCGTGTCCACAGGGGTGGACAGGGGTGCCCGAGCCCCCCTTTAAATGGGTTCAGCCCCCCCAAAACCTGAACCTTTACGGTCCTTCATCTCGTCTTTATCAGGATTTCTGCAAAAATCAACTATTTAAGCCGCTGACTACTTTTGTATTTCAGTGAAGGACATTTAAACATCGTTTTAAGTCTTTAGATTTTAAAGCTTCAACTGAATATAAAAATGTGTAAATGTATAAAAACAATAATTTAGGTGAGGCTTTGCTTTGACTGACAGCAGACTGATAAAACACTCAGGAGACAAACTGACTCCATCCACTGATTATCTTCACCATCTTCACGCTCCGTCCTCCTCTTCCTCGTGATCATGTGATTCTCTCTGATCTCTATCAGCTCAGGAATGTCTCCGCTCGATGTGACGGAGACTCGCCGCTGACAGCTGAACACGACATGATGAGGTTTATCTTCAGGTGGCGTGTGCGTCGCTCTGTCGAGTAACTTTGTCACGAGTTCAGATGTTAGCGATGATGAGCTGAAAAGGACGGTTGTTCAAAGGGGACAGCTGGTTTTATGGGGGGGGGGTGTTAGGAGGGTTCTCTTTAGCCAATCACGTCAGCCTTCAGGGCGGTGGAGCTCTGTAACTCAGATACCATGAGCCGGGGCCTCCGACAACCATCCTCAACACGGACCTTGGACACATTTTTAACATCACTCTGGTTCCTAAAATATGTGGTGCTGTGGTCTCCCCCTCTGTGAGCTCTCCATGTTTTGCTCTTTAACAAATGTTCTCCTTTGTTCTCCCCCTACATGGACTCTCCTTCAGGTCAACTGAAGGCCAGCAGGATGTTCGGCTAAATATACCTGAACTGTCTCAGACCAGTCTTTGTTTCACTGGTGGCCTGATGAAGCTGTAACCCAGTAAAACTCGTCAAACTGATCATTGGTGTGGACCTGATCTGGGCATGCCAATGTCACAGACCAACAACCAATCAGATTGAAGCGACATAACTGCTGAGGTCGTATGGGAGGTGCAGCCTTCGGTTATCTTCTTTGAAATCAGACATGGTCCAGGAGGCGGATACCCTCCAGTGCGCTCAAAACTTCCCTTCTGTCTGTGCCCGACTTCCTCTCCAGCACCGGTTAACCTGTGCTCAGCAGGGATGTGGACCTCAGGGCTCTGCTGACCTGGCGGTGTAGGCACACATCATACCTTGAACGGGTCGCCCAGTATCAGCTGAAGGCCTCTATCCTGCACTTCCCTACTCTCTTCTCAGTTTCTTCTCTTACGATCCTCAGAGGAACGGAAAGAAGTCGGTGTAAATCGACACGTTAACTTGAATGGTTACGATCAGCTACGATCGGAGGATACGACCTTTTAGGAGACGATCAGGATGAAGGTGGAGGTCGGGGGTCAGACTGGCCCACCAGGAGCCTGTTACCCAGTTTCATTTTCATAAATCAGCTCCTTTCTAAGACCTCAGTGTCCTCACCATGTCCAGTTTGCCGTCGTGCGCTGTGAGAGCGGACATCCCGTAGGTGGCCAGAGTGCAGGCGGCCAGAGAGTAGTAGGTGTTCATGGCCGTGCGGTGCTGGTCGTCTCCGTGAGCCGTGATGGCGGAGTTAAAGCTGGGCCAGAACATCCACAGGTAGATGGTACCTGAGACAGGACACAGTGAGAACGGCGTTCAGCTACGACAGAAGGAAACATCTTAATAATAATCAATAAATCAGCTGATCTCTTTACCGATCATGGCGAACATGTCAGAGTGATAGACGGAACAGTTCCTGTTTTTGCTCTTGTCCAGGTTGGGTCGGTACAGGACTCGGGTCACCATGAGACCAAAGTAAGCTCCAAAAGTGTGGATGGTCATGGAGCCGCCGGCGTCCTTCACCTGTGTCACCAAGTTTCATCCAAACTACTTCAGACAAACATCGACTTTAAATCAAACTGGAGTGTGTTTGTAGATTCCTATCTCACCCCCAGAAGAGTCAGCAGGATGTACTCATTGACAGCGAACAGCGTGACCTCAAACATGGCCATGATCAGCAGCTGGACCGGGCTGGTTTTACCCAGAACGGCTCCGAACGAGATGAGCACAGAGCCGGTGCAGAAGTCGGCGTTGATCATACTGAGGAGGATGGAGATCATGTGAATAAAACAGGATATAAATCTATTCTAACAATGAAACGGGAAAAGCTTTCGAAGCTTCTAGGAGGGAAAACATTTGTTCATGTTAGCGTGTCTGTGTGGACCTTCAAACAGACCTCGGGGTGTTTACAACCACAGCTCCAAATCAGACTTTGCATGTTGAGCGTGTTTCGTACCTCTCCACCCCGATGTGGATCTTGCCGTGGTGCATCCCGTGAAAGAATCCCTGCATCAGCGTCGCCCACTGCAGGGCGAAGGCTGCGATCAGGAAATTGAAGCCCACGCTGCCGAAGCCGTACCGCTGCAGGAACGTCATGAGGAAGCCGAAACCGATGAAGATCATGACGTGAACATCCTGGAAACCTGTGAGGTGGAAAAAAACTGCAGCTGAGAATCAGGAGATCAGGAGCCCTGAGGGATTACGACTGTATGAAGAAATATTGACAGGTGAGACCGGAGGGTCCAAACAGAGAAAAAAGAAAAACAGACGCTGACAAATGGATTCGACAAAAACTCCCGAGGCGTCAGCGAGCGCTCTGAGTTTATATGACAGGAAAACTATCAAGAGTTAGTCTTAATTATGAGGATTTCAGCTGAAATTCTTCAGTTCAGATGGATCTGTGGTTTTTCATCAACAGCTTTTTGACCCCTACTTCACACCGTAGTCAAGCTCACCTAACGTCAGCACTTAGAACTGTAAGACACCTGAGGACTCAAAAACATCAAATACACTTTCTGTCTGATGGGATTAAATTATCAACAAAGTTTCCTTAAGTCTTGGATTCAGGCAGAGACTGTATATATATATATATGTTTGAATTTGAATATACAGTATATATTATATATACAGTATTTAATATTCTATAGTTCAGTCTATAGTTTCAGACCACTCTGGGGCAGCAGAGATACATTCATCAGAATCAACATTTGTCTGAAAGGTCCATTTATTAGTTCAGGTCATCTAAAATAAAAATCTGTAATTTTCTTTATTCAGCTTCAGTTTTTCAAAGCATGAAGAAGAAAAATGTCTAAATTCTGCTTTAAAAAGGATCTTACTGTAAATAATTCAATCTGGAGTTCCACAGAGCTCAGTTCTCGGCCCACTAATGTGAACTTGGACTTCTAAGATAATACTTTTTTAATATCTTTTATTTAAAAAATGTTTATTTTCTTTTTGAAATCTAGATGGCACTTTTTTCAGGAAGAAGATGGTATCAAGTTTATCAGTGGCCCTCAGATCTGCACCTCTTGGGGTCCTGCTGATCTCTTTCCTGCACTCCCCCACTCTCTCTCCTCAGTTTCTTCTCTATCCACCATCTTATTTGTTTTTCTCATAAAGTTAAAAAGCTAAAAAAAAACAACTAAAATTAAACACTTGAACTATTTTAGCATTTAATAAATGTAAGAATTGTGTGAGAAGTTTCCACTGAAGTCAACCAAAGTGAGTTCTTCAAAATTGTCTCTTTTAAGATTATATGAACTGAATGAAAGCAGCAGTTTTATGTCTGAAGATCTGCTGCTTTTCTTAAAAAGACTTAAAATCTATCAGTTTATTTTAGTTTCAGTAGTTAAATGACAAACTGCACTTCAGTAACTGTTTCATCAGCTGCTGTTTCAGCTCAGATCCCCGTCCGTCAGATCAAACTCAGCGTTTTCACTTCAGCACAAAGTTTCAGCTGAGAGCCGTGAAGCCTGAAAACAGCTTTTCTCTGTGAAGAGGCCGCTGAGCTGTTACATCAGCTTTGGTCCAGTTTTCGTCGGTGTTATTAAGGCTGTAAACATCTCTTTAAAAGCATCATTCATGCTGTCAAAGCAGTCGGACTTTCTCTGAATGAGAGGATAATGAACTCTGTCAACCTGCAGCTCAGAGGCTCCTTCAGCCTCACTGTCCTGGTTCACACACTTTGTGAGCGCTGCTTTCTAACTGTCCTCGTTTGTCCCTAACTGCCTCACACAATATTGCACTGTGCCGCGGCTGCTGTCTCCATGGAGACGGTCGATTGGCATGGCCCAGCGGAGGTGTCGCCAGTGTCCCTGTTGGCATTTTGGCCCAGATACATGCGCCGACATCCAAGGAGGACTCACACAATCAAAGCAGAGAGACGATCTGGAGGGTGGAATAATATCTGCTTTTACATATTCTCTGTTTGATTCTGGGCCCGGGATTTAAAAAGACTTTATATAACATGGATGATCATGGAGAGGCCGGGATGTTTAATCCTCGTCAGCTGAACACGAGTCTAAACGACGAAGCTTATCTTCATCATTAAAACAGGGTCAAGAGTCTCCAGAAGTTTGGAGTCAGTCAGGAAGCAGGAAGGTTTATTTTAGATACTCTGAGCCGGGCTGACTGTCACACCAGGACTTCACTGACTCATGGAAGGATCGACTAGTATTACCTGTTTCTGTGTAAAATCAAGGTCTAAGACTAAACTGGGATCGGTTTTCTTTAGTCCAGGTCCGTAGATGGTTATCCCAGTCCTGACACTCATATAGCAGCACGCGTTCGTCACGCGTCAGAACCCGGATCAGATCACACTTTTAGTTAACTCTTCTTCTGCTAATCCAGCAACCGTCCTCCAAACTTCATAGAAATCTGGTCTTCAGTTTTTCCGTTTTCTCGACGACAGTCATGAACAGGATCCACTTTAGTCGTTCAGTACCAGCATGAGTTCTTCTGGAGAACTCGCCGGATTTGTTTTGGTGATTTTCTGCCTCTGCATCCATCTGCACATGTCTGCAAAGCTATGAGTGCAGTGAAAATACCAGGATGTGTGACCTTCTGTGGGTTTTTATTTGCATACTTCTACACCTCTTCCTGACTTTCATTAAATCAGCTCAGAGTCATTTTTCCATCATCCTGAAAAAACGTTTTAAAAACTGTCCGTCAGCTGATCTGCTGTCCTGGTTCCTGCTGCTGTTTTTGAAAAACCTCCAGCAGTCGAACCAGCGACTCTTCAGACACTTCTGCACGTCTGCCTCATTCATCACTCCACGGCCTCCTTCACCTCCAGGTGATCTTTGCTCGAGCGGCAGACTTGAGAGGCGTGTTATCAGCTGACAAATGACCCTTATCTCCCAGGACCTCATAGAGAAGATAACAAAGACACTACTGGACTACCAACACACGACACGATCCTGGTTACAGGGAAAACAGGAGGCTCAGGTCTGAGGACTCTGTCCTGTAGTTGACCCGTGGATGGGGGGTCTGTTTACCGTGCAGGCTCTTCCAGGCGTGCAGTCACTGTAGTGGGTGAAGGTCGTGTTTACTCAGCGCTCAGACATGAAGGTGAACTTCGTCTTCAGCTCCCATGACAGTGAAGGTGTCGAGTTAAAGATTATCAGGATTATTAAATCTAATGGACCTTTACTCTCCGCTTTTATTTTCCTAACCTCAGTCAGAGAGTTTCTGTGTCTTTAAACAGAGCCGGACCGACAGTTCTGATTGGTTAAGAGACGAAACCTGAAACTGAATGGAAACAGATCATAAAGCTGAAAAGTCTGTTCTTGTATGAAGTCTTACTTTGTAGTCAGCAATGTTCTCTGTTCATGCAGATGTGTAGTTCTTTGTATTTCCATCTTTTATCACCATGACTACAGGCCACACCTCTCTCTGTATTTAGTAGGGCCCGACCGATATGGATTTTTGGGGCTGATACCGATTATTGGGGGGGATCCGATAACCGATTAATCGGCCGATTTTTTTATATTTTTTATGAAGTTTTAAAAATTATATATAAACTGTAGATATACTGTAGGCTACTGCTCTTCACACCGACAGGAAGACCGACTGATCAAGGAGGTTCAGGTGTTTTTGCTCATCCTCAAGGTGCAGGTTTATCACGCTGCCACACCAACCATAAACTCTGCAAGACCAAAATAAACCGACAGACTAAATTAGATCTTAATGATGACCTGGAAAAATAGAGAAGTCAGGAGATGTGACGGACTGTCCGTCCACAATGATCCATCAAACAGCTGTTCAGATACGGTGTTAGGACTGACATACAAACTGAAAACCTGAAAATGACCCAAAAAGTTTCCTGACGGGTCGAAAGTCTCTGAACCGACAGTTTGTAGGTCACAGCAGCAGCTGTTTATGTCACTACTGTGTTTGTACTGAACAAACACAAATATTTAACCCTGTTTACAGAACAGAAACGAGGGGATCGTTTTCTAAAGTGTGTTTGCAGGTTGTTCTCAAACGGCTGTTTCGGAGGTCATGCAGAGTTCAAACGCCAGCTTTGATACTACTGACCACAAACTCCTGGAGTATGTGAGCGTTTGCTCCAGGGAACTCCGGCAGCAGGCGTGATGACAAAGTCTGTCTGCAGAGGATTCAGATTTCTTCTTCAGTCTGTAAAAATGTGTCTCAGTTCTCCTCTGCTCTTCGTGTCAGTGTGCAGGAGCCTGCAGGTGAGTTCAGCCTGGAGCTAACTGTGAAACCTTCAGGTGAACTGGAGTGAGTGACAGGGAGAGAGTGGAGGCACGGCGACAGTTAAGCACCTGCAGAGGGGAGGGGGTGACATGTCGAAGGTTTCTACATTCCCATCGTTCTCGGCTCTCTCTCTCTCTCTCACAGATCAGCACCTGAGAGAGACTCAAACACAGGTAAACCTGGTCGACGGCTTCTGACTTGTCGGGACGCGCCCACCAGCCATCTGTCATGTGTTGGATTTTTTTAAGGTGGAACCCTGAGGTGACGAATCGCTCCGTTTAGTTTCTGTTTTAACTTAAAAGGTTTTTTGAAAATTTATGCAGTAATAATAACTGAAAAAAGGGGGCGGGGTCAGGGAGGGTATTCGCTTCTACCTTTATCTCGTGTTTAAAAATAAGTTTGATTACAAAGATGTTCAGTCTCTTCTTAAATTACACACTTTGTCTCAATACTGAGTAAATTAATATCTTTATGACTTTATGTAACTCACCTGCGTTTAAAAACCACAGTTTAGAAATGATAAGCTAACAACAGAAGCACAGACACGTCACTGCGTCTGCTTTTACTGAGTTATTATCAAATCTGCAGCGTCTAAAACTCACTTCAATCCTACTGAAACACACATTTACTATTAGTGACAAACTGGAAAACCAAACTATTGTTTTTTTATCCAGTTATGAACATGTTTGGGCTTGAACTGGGATTTATCAACCTTGTGTATACCGCCTCTAGTGGACACTCAAGGAACTGCAGTTTATGTTGGTTTAATTTTTCAACATGTTTCGACAGGCTGCTGCTGACTCCAAACTTCAACAGAAGCAGATCTGTTTTCTCGGTTTTCTATTACTTGTAATTAATTTTTTCGCAAATCAACAATTATTAGCAATACTGCCACCAGCTGTTCAGGAGTGGAATAACAAGAGGGTAAAACTGTAACCACTTCATAAGTACCAAAGACTGGCGGCTGAACATGGTGTTGGTGAATCTGACGGGTCAACCCTCAAATCTAAAACTCTGATTGTTTGCAGACCGTGAATGTTCAGAGTTCACACTTTCAGCTCATTATCTGCAGGATACGGATTCATTTCACACTACAACTGAATAAACTCTTGAAAATACTTTGGAGAGTGTGCAACAAAATGATTCAGTGCCTCCGTGCTTTTGTTTCCCATTTGTTTCTGTGAAAGCATTAATGAGCGTTTTCCAGCCGGAGGTTGGACTTCAGCTTTTCCTCGAAACAATCAGTCCCCATAAACCAGAAATGAACAATCAATGGATCTGTCTCTGTGGGACAGCAGCGGACTGGAAGACATTTCCATGAAACGAAGACCAATTAGTGAAAACAGAGAGCTGCTGCTGCTGCTGCTGCTGCACAGACAGTCCAACATTTCCCACGACAGCAGAAGTCCAAACTCTGCAAATTTGAATGAGATGAAGCTGCCTGCAAAAACTGTAACCAGTGAGGGAGTGTGTAAGAAGAGGTGTGTTGACTATAATCCACAGATACTCAGTCTCGTTTACTTAAAGGGACCAAACTGCATATAAATCAACAGCTGTACCTGTTTGTGCTCATGCATAAAGTTCAAAGTTCCCTTTAAAAGCCACCGGTTGAATCTGACGGTTTCATGATGTGCTCTCTTACTGCCTCCTGGTTCCTCTGCTTTAACTCGATCACTTATTCAGACTCAGAGGAATCTGGAGCTTTTTCTGATTCTGCTTCATTAAAATTTTTGACTTTAGAAGTTTAATTTTAACTCGTACCAGCTTGATTACGACCCACTATTTACATTTTATTACCTCCTCTGCAGGTCCTAAAGAGAACGGCATTCTGGGGGTTGTGGTCAGTGTTTCTGTCACTAACGATCTGAATTTAATATCAATGAGAGCAGGTATTGTCATTATCTAAATGTAATCTTTAGTGTTTTTATACTAACAACACTTCACAGAAACCACAAAAACAGACACTGTTACAGATCTGCAGACCCTGACCCTTGAACTTCACTTTAACCTCTGACCCTGGACCTCCACACACTCACAGGCAGACCGAGAACTCACTTGGGTATCGGTAGTAGAAGTCGTTGTCGTAGTCGGAGTGGGTCTGGTTATGCCACAGCTTTGCGTCCGTCTCATGGTCGTACTCGACTAAAGCACCGAAGAGGATGATGAGGATGATCTCCAGGATGAAGCAGGTCACCGGCAGCTTCAGCCGCATGTTGGTCGATGCGTCCGTCATGTTTTCTTCTCAGTGAGACGAGGAGGAGAAGTGAAGTGAAGTTCCTCTGAGGAGGAGGAAAAGGGGATTAAAGCTCCAGCACAGAAAGTGAGGCAGACCCTGTCTCTCTCACACACACCCCGGGGTGTCCTCGGTGCAGAGACAGGAGGCTGGTGTGTGTGTGTGTGTGTGTGTCTGAGGGTAGAAGAAGAAGCTCAAAGAGCTGATCTTTCATGTGTGTTTTTGCCCTGCTGGGTCACACCTACCGGACCTGCCTCCTCTATGAATAATGCAGGTTCACGTTAAGCCCCGCCCCCTGTCTCTGTGCTTTTAAGGTAGTCTGAAGAGCTCAGTGCAGGTAATCAGAGACAATCCATTACTGTGACACCGGCACTTTTTCTGATAATGGTGATAATGGTTTCACTGGTTCGTGTTTTGATCCAAGAACAAAGATTGAAGGAGGGATTGTGGCGACACCAGAGCAGATTCAGGAGATTTCTGCACAACCAGGAGGAGAGGAGCTAGTTTTGGGTCATGACTGATAGTAACTGAAGACAAAAGTGCTTGATGGGAACACAAACAAACAAACAAACAAACAAACAAACAAACAAACAAACAAACAAACAAACAAACAAACAAACAAACAGAGTAACGGTCCATAACTGTATGCTTGTGAATCCAAGAATTAGGGCCTGTTTCCACTCGCAGCTGTTTTCTGTGCGGATTATGGGTCTTATCTTGTGCTACTACATTTACAGGAAGAATTAGGAATAGTCATGCATGTTGCTAAATAGAGTTGGGCGGTATGACGGTATAAACCGTGAGGTATAAAAGTGTCTACCTGTGGAAATGTTGCTCTACCGTTTATACCGGAGAGAGAGAGAGAGAGCAGATGTCTGCTGCGTCTCTGAGTCAGTGTGTCGTTGTCTGCGCTCGCTAACAGGAAAGCTGGAGCGTGTCTGTTTCCATATATTCACCAGCGTGTCGTGCGGAGTTTGTTCGCGCCGTCTGATTGGTCAGGTTTGGGTGCGTTTCCCTATAATCACCAGTGTGTCCAGCAGACTGAAGAAACAGCTTCACTGTTGGTGGTCATGGCGGACGTAGAGATTAGTGGAAGTACAGAGAAAACGAAGGCAGCTCGACCAACCCGACACGAGGAAGAGGAGGAGGAACTCGTTCAGAAAAAGGGCGCGAGTCGAGACATCGGTGTTCTGGAGATTCTTCAGATTTAGAAAATCCGACAACGATCAAAAAACAAAACTATCAGAGAGTGTGGTGTGTCTGTCGTTGGTGGAGGAGGAAACACCAACAACCTCTTCCTCCACCTGAAGATGAAACACACCAAACTCTACGATGAGAGTCTAAAGACGCATGACGCACCTGCTGCACCAAAAACTGAACCTGCAGCAGCTCCTCTCAGACTAAAGAGCTTTCAGAGTCTTTGACCAAAGAGACGATCAAAAATCAGCAGACTGGACTGAACTTTAGTTTGTAGAAAAATCAGAGTTTCAAAATAAAAGGAAAATGAACAAATGAGACAGTTTGGATATTTTTAAGACATGAATTAAATTAACAGGAGGGAAAAACATACGGTCATATAGACCGTTACTGTGATATGAAATTACTCAGACTGTGATATAAGATTTTGCTCGTACCGCCCAACACTATCACTAATGCATATCCACAAGTACAGCACAGAAAAGCAGCTGATATTTTCTTATGAAACTCCAAAAACTCAGATTGGGGTCAAACCGAGGAACATTTCAGTGTGCTTCATCCTCCTCCTGTTTTGATAAAAGATGTCACTCACACCTGTATCAGCTTCCTCCATCAGCAGAGACGGCCTCCTCTTCAGTTCAGAGCGAGCTGACAGGAATGTTGTTTTGGTTCTGAAGAATTTAAACTATTATCTCCTGAGACCACAGGCGTCAAAGAGAAGACGTGAACTCTGCAGAGACAGGACGGTCTTCTAGGTCTGATCAGCATCCGGTCTGACCAACAAACAGTCACCTGATAGGTCGAACTCTATTGTTGTGTGACAGGCTCCAAGTATGAAGGATGAACAGAATCATCTTTACATCAAAAAGTCTTTGTCTAGATGGACGCAGATGTTGCTCCTAAACCTGGAGATGTTGTTTAAAACTGAGGATGCAGCATCTATGATTTACAGTTCTTCGTTCATCAGACCTCAGGACAGTTCACGTGATATTAAACCCATGCGGTGACTCCAACTACAGAGTCCTGATGCTCCTAAACCTGGAGATCTAGTTCAGTATAAATGGAGCCTCCACAGATGAGGAAGATACCCCTGACATGGACTCTGATGACTCCCCAATCCTTGGTGGTCCCTCTCATTTTTCCTCTACTCTAGTTTTCTGCCTCATGTATCCGTGATGCTCCGCTGTGATAACAGCGACTGTAGTTTTTTGTTTGTTTTTCTGTTAAATTCCTGAGATGACAAAAGATTCTTTCATGCCTCCGTTTCTGCAGAAGACGAAGCTTCGAAGAAGATTTCTTTGGTCTCCTGCTGGTCGTCTCTGTCATCGTCATCCCTGTTAGATCGGAGATAATGTTTCACAGAGCCAATAAATTCCTTCTTTCTGTTGTAAATATCGCGACATTATGGTGTGTGACTTTATAGAAGAGTCTGCAGAGCAATACAGGACGAGTGTTGTGTCGTTCGTAAATGATTAGGTCAAAAGAACGAATCTTCTAAGTGAACGTACTGAACTGAATCACTTCCTCTAGTGATTAGTTTGTTTCTCAGTTCAGTTGAGGTGTAAGCGGCGCAGCATTGCCAGGTGAGCAGCCGGCGAGCCGCTGCAGGGAGGGAAGGTCCGCACGCGCAGCCACAACACTCTCGTCTCCTGGAGGCCGTGAACTGAAACCTGAACAGTTCAGCTGTGTATCAGTTCAGGAAGTCGGAGTCGCAGGCTTCTCCTGCCAAGGGCTGAATGATTCTGTGAACCAGTGAACGAATCTTTTGAACGAATCTTTTCAGTGAACTGATTCTAGTGATTCAGTACATCTAAAAGAACCGCGGTGCCCGTCACTACACAGAACAGTGTCGTCTGCATAAAGGTTGATATTACAGCTAATATTAGGGAAGACAATGGCTGTGTCTGAAATGGATCCCTAACTCCTCTATAGGCGACTATATGGCGGTTAGCGCCATCTTGAGGGGTGTCCAAAACCTGAGCGATCAATTCCAGTGCCCCATTTAGGCGACTCAAAGATTCCCATAAAGCATTGCAAAATGTAGTGACCATCCGATGGTCACTCACCGGTGGTAGGCATCCCGTCATGCATTGCGTCTCCAGCGGCAACATCACAACGGTAGTGTCTGAAACCTCCGGTGATTGAGTTCAATACATAGTCAGCTGTATAGTGAAACCCCATATGGGGGTTAGGGACTGAGTGATTCATTTCGGACATGGCCAATGTGATGAATATAGATGGTAAACAAAACAGAGACCAGTGCTGCGTCCGAACTGCCCGCTCGGATACTACATGCTACTGCTACATACTACTGCAGGTCCGTCACGCTGAAAAAAAACCGTATGTATCAATGTGTGCGGGCGCACTAAACCACGTGTGTTTCCTTGATAAATCCCAATCAGCGTGGAATTGAGCGCAGATGTCGGAGTGACTGGGCCCGTCCTCGTTTCCTATAAATATGCAGATTTATTTAAATAGGGTTTGTCCTCGTTTTGACAAAATGACAAGAAAACTTTTACGGCGTGCGAGGTGGAGGTGCTGGTGGCGGAGGTGGAGGAGCAAGCGTTTTGTTTCCAGCCTGTCCAGTGGCGTCAGTGCAAAACAAAAACGGGAGTGTGGTTAAAGTTTGCACAGGGTGAACGGTATAAAATCCCCGCGGAGATTAAAAATAAGTGACCTCAAGATGGAGGTCAAGCGGCGTACAGCTGCCCACCTGTCTGGCCGAGGAGTACCGGCCAGACAGGTGGGGGTCCGGGGGAGGAGACCCTCACACCGTTTGAGCAGCGGGTGGTGGCGATTATTATTATAGGGTAAGTGGCGTGTCACACAAATGTCCACATGCTTTGTCATCCCACTGAGCAAAAGACGTATATTAGACGTCTAGTCTAAGTTTATACTTCATTTCAACGTCGGGATTCAGTCTATTTTTAGACGTGATTTATACTTCGCCCTTAACTTCATTTTTCGATAACTTTTTATGCAATAAACAACTGTAATGTGCATAACTGACCTCTAAATACTGGATTACATTACCTATGATACCGTGGAGAGAGATGTAAACGCAACAGATACACAGAAGCAGGAATTGAAATGAACCAATATTTTTATTGTGTCACAGAAATTAATGTGTCGGCCGTGTCGCCGGCTTGCGGAACCCTGGCCCGCGGCAGCCCGTCCGCCGGCTCGGAGTCGTCGGCCAGGACCAGCGGCATTCGGGCCACCCCGGCCCCCGGCCCCAGCACCAGCATCAGCACCAGCGCGCCGACAAGCGGTGGAGCGTCCACCAGCCGCGGCGCTTCCGCTGGACCACCCGGACGCAGTGGAAGGGTCCTCGCGGAGGGGGTCCTGCAATCGCAGGAAGAAATCATCAGGGGGATCGCGGGGATCAACGAGCGGCTGGACCGGCTCGTAAATGTCCTCGAGCGTCTGGTGGAGAAAATAAATTAATTTGGCTCATTGAACTGTGTATTCACTTCTTACCCATTCACACTGTGGCGATGAGATTCTCCCGCGCGAGGACGGCGGCCCGGCAGGGATCAGCTCGCATCCCTCCGTCTGCTGCTGGTTCGTCATGTGGGGCGACGTGCTGCCCGGCCACGGGGATGTGGTGCACGCTGGTCACATAGTGAGTCACCAAACACCGCCACACAGCGTCGCCAAAGTGCGAATCACAGTCAACGCAAATATCCAGCTCAACGCCAATTTCTACACCACCTCCTGACTTTGCGTTGATTAGCGCTGGAACCGACGCTCGTTTCGCGATGATAAATCTGGACGTGTGCGCCGATTTTGGCGTACGCAAGGTTTTCTTGCGCCGCAAGCGTTGATACATGAGGCCCCAGGACTGATGCTTGTGGAACACCGTCTGTTAATGGTAGAACCTCTGAGTGAATATGACCCACGTTTACACACTGAAACCTGCAAGAAAGAAATTTAAACGTGACAGGACCAAGGCCGACGTTATAAAGATTCTGAACGAAGAGCACGGTCCACAGGATCTAAAACATCGGAAATGTTCACATTACTATTAAATTCTGCTTTTATTCACATTTAAAACACAGTCTAAAGTTTTTTTCTTGTAAATAAAGGCTACATGAGTTTGTTGGTTCGACTCTCAGAAGAGAAGTCAGAGTGTGCGTGCCACAGATTTTTTTCTCACCGTGGAAGTGGGTGCTCCTTGTCGCTCCATCAGTGCAGCAGGCTGGCTCCGGGGCCCCAACGATAACACAATCTTTACATCAGCGGAGGACGGGCATCAATAGTAACACCATGGAGGCTACAAGAGGCCTGGCACCAGATGAGACGAGATAAACACAAGACCAAACCTGCCTGTGATGAAACTCAGAGATAACATACATTAGAAAGCCGTACAGGTATTTCACACTAATGTACGGTGGGACGACTATACTGTACTGTGGGGGGGTCTGCATGCTCATATCAGGCTGAGAATGTGTGCAATGTAAAAACAGCTGCCTGTGCAAGTAAGTTCATCTATGGAGTCATAATATAATCCATCCATCATCCAAACCGCTTCCAACATTCAGAGTCATGGGTAATATATTTACCGGGTAACCCGACAGGCGTGATCAGAACATGGGAAGACGCCAAAGTCCCCCGAAGGAACCCCTGAAGGTACCCCTGAATGTCCCGGGACAGCATGCAAACATCTCAGAGACAGAGTCTCGTCCACGACCACAGAAAGACTAACAGACGCTTTTGTTTCACCCTCTCTGCTCCCTCAGTCCATCTGCTTTACTAACACACACACCTCATCCTCTCAGTGTCTATCCTGATCTGGATCTCTGTTCATAACACTAAAAACAAGCAAAAGGAACACTGACTTCTTGGGCTGACATACATCTAAAACAGAGGAGAGAGGAAGAAGAAGGAGCGGACTGTTAGCTGGTTAGCTGTTGCAGCTATTTTCTCTGAACCTTGTGATAATATCGTACTTGTGATATCTTATGACCACGGTGATCGTGAGGTGAAATTCATGACAGTCTTAGTAAATACAAAAATAGAGTTCAGTCACTGCAGAAAGGAAACTGTTGAACTGTCTGCTCACGCAGTCACTCACAGAGTGATGAACCTACACCATGTCAGAGCTCCCTATGCACTCGAACTTCAGGTGATGGTCTTTTTTTTATTGTAAACAACTTTTTCTCTGTTTTATTGTCTCTTTCCTAACTTTTGTAAACGGGTTGGTGGTATCATATTTTAGATAAGAAAATAAAACTGTGATTTTGTTCTTTCATCACCATGAATGTTGGTCTAATCATCATAATACAACATTTTTGTGACGGGATGAAACATGACAGTGAACAGGACTGAGTCTGAGGTCTAAACGGTGTTTAACCAGGTGATGAAGCTGCGACAGGTCCGTGTTTCATGTTGTTTTCTGCGTATTTAACTGATAATATTTAGTGACTTTATTATCTTCCAAAAATGAAGATGGAAACCCATGATTGTCGTTGTTGTTGGAGTTCACATTCAGTTCACGTTCACGTCGAGCTCAATGTTTTGAGGTTTTTCTGACTTCAGAGCGGAGGAAACCTCAGAGGAGCTCCGGGCTGAACAGAGTGAGGGAGGTATGGGAATGTGGACTTATCTTCTTCCCGTCTCTGCTCTCAGATCTGTATCTGACACACAAGGCGTCCACCTGTTACAAAACGACCTGAGCTGGTAAGTGATTGGTCGGAGGGCCTGGGGATCATCGGTACATCGCTCCACAGAAGGTCAAACGTTCGCTCCTGTTTGTGTGTTCAGACCGAAAACACATCATTTACAAAAACAAGTATTCAGGACTGAAGAGCTGAACCGTGTCAGAGTGATGTGGAGGGAAAGAGAAGACGCTTTCTCAGAATGAGGCGTTGAGGAAAGATAACACCTGGTGGAGCAGAGTATCTGAGCAGCCAATCAGTGAGCAGCCCTCAACATACCTGAGGAGAGGCTGGAGGGCGTCACATGTCCCACATCTCACCTGATCATCTGCACCTGACGAGAATATGACACCAGAATCAATAGAAAGAGTTAAATAACGAATCTCACACTGCCATCAGCGCACGATGAGGATCTGACATCAGATGGTCACATGACACGTTTCAGATAACCTCGAGAACTGGAGCATGTGACATCTTAAGAAATAACAGAAGAGGCTTATTACGAAAAGCATGATGGGTAATTATATGAAAACACTCCGAGGATCAGGTTTCATTTTCTCATTAGTATGAAAGCTGACAGCCTGGGAGCCAAACACGTCAACAAGATCATGTTTTATTGACTTTGGCTCATGTTAGTTAATCACAACCAGTTACTCAACACGGCGCAGGAATCATGTGATGATGATTGTTGTTGAGATGGTCACAGTGACAGGGGTCACAGTCGCTGAGGGCGTCTTACAGTCCTGAATGAGGATTGGAGGAGAGCGGAGGGGGGAGGGATTTAGAGGAGCGGTAACCGAAGATTCACGAAAGTCGCCTTCGAGGAAGAAAGTTTGACCTGGATGTAAAAAAGTATCAGCGCCAATAAGTTTGGTCTGGTTTACGCTTCTGCATCGTACCCTCCTCACTTGTTCACAGGAAACCATGGCGACTGAATCTGAGCGTATTACACTTAAGTTAAAGCTGATGAGGGATACTGGAAGTGTCTGAGATCAAGCGGACCAATCACAGGGCTTCCAGTCTGCGTCATTTTGACACGTAGGACCCGTACCCTACATGAGTACAGGGCCAGGGTCTGACCCAGAAGTACTAAGATTGCACATGTTGCTCTGCAAAGATGGTAAACTCAGAGACAGAGCCTCTCTCCTCATGGTCGGCCGTCTCTCACACATTTGTCCTCCTCCGGCTCTCAGATTGTCTCCATCCATCTTTGATTTCGTCTGTCTCTCACCTGTGCTCTTTGAACTGGATTAAACTGGTTTTATCACATCATTAGTAACAGGTGTTTGTAAACTGGGACACCTGTGCTGTACTTGTGTTTGACGTCTCTGGCAGTAAAATACCTCTGCAAATATCTCGCTGTAAATCTTTTTTGTTTGGTTTCATGCTTTGTTTTTTTTGTTTTGTAAGTTTACAGTGAAAGGTCAAAGGTGAAATCAAACTCCATTTAAACCTCTAAATCTAACGTGAACAAAACAAGAGCGCCCACATTTACCTGCCTGAATAGTAACCCCTCGTCAGACTGGGAGCCCCTGCAGCTGTCAGGAGCTCTGAACTATCTGCACGTCGTACAGGGCTCATCTGTCACTGCGCTCAAAAGCTGTCGCTCTCAGCGTGGTCTGCAGCAGAAAGGCCGTCAGGAGGAATGTTGAAAATGTTTCAGGGCTGCAGCGTGTCTCTACAAGGCAAAGGGAAAACCTTTCAGACTGGTAGAAATGTTGTCAAAATGTGCATACTTCAACTCCAGAAGACGCCCACATGACCTCGCCGCTTGTCAACGAAGTCACGCACCGGTGCATCACGCTAACTGATACGGCATCAGGGCTGCAGGCGGGTCGAGCGAGCCTCCTATCGCACATGCTCATCTCATGTACGAGGACGGGAGGAACAGTGGGTCAGTCAACACTTGGTTCAAATAAAAGATTCAGTTTTCGACAGATCGTCAAGTTTTCTGTTTAACGGATAAAATTAAAAACAAAAACAAACAACTTTGAGGGAGTGACCTCCATAAATAACATGCCACCATAACCGTAAATCACATGATACAGAGCTGTCGGAGTGCGACAGAGAGTGCTGCAGGGTTCGTAGAGTTTACCTGGAATAAGTTACTGAGCCGTCAACGGGGAGTGGAGAGGAAATCAGTCAAAGAGTGACGAGGAGTTCAGTTCTTATCACCGATCCTGCTCTGGTTAGAAGGGCTGGTTTCAGAGTAAAAAGTAGGATCAACTTTTTACAGTATAGGTCTTTGGTTCGAGCTGCCACATGATGGCATTCTCACCACATAATACTGACTGCATGAATAACTCCATACCCTGCAGAGTGGTTTCAGAGGTTCAGAGTCCCCTTATGAATGAAATTATGTCTGTGTGGTTTAAATCTGCAGGTTTCACCATCACAGCCCTTCATATCTCCATGCCTGCTCTCTGCTGGAGTTAATGTTGAGAAATACCGTCACTTGAAAGACGAAGAAAGGATTTTGGCGATGGATGAGATGAAACCAACTGAGCAGGATGAGAGAAAATCAGTGTCAAACTAATGTTTAGAAATACAGGCAGCATAAATAAAAGTTTGTTCTTGGTCTCACCTGACGTCTTCCTGCTCCTCTTTTCAATCCTGTGTGATTTCTGCATGAACGTACATCCCTGAAGTCTCGTCCCTTTTCCACTTCTGCATGTGTGTGTAATAAAGTAAAGCAGAATAAAATGATCAATCATGAATTACTGTACAGTATCATATCTCTCAATACTGGTCATAAAAACAACAATGAACTGTATGTCCTGAGACATCAAAACCTCAGACATCATTGTGTTTTTCATAACAGTATTATCAAATCATGTTACACGTTTCATCTAACATCTCCAATAAGTCATGTTTTTTTATACACATTTATGCATTTTTAACCATCTCGAGATGAAGTTCAACATATTATTTATATATATAAATATAAAAAATCAAGAAAATCACCCACATGCGTGACAATCATGGGCCTCAGTACACACACACGCACGCACGCACGCGCGCGCGGCGGGTTTTTTAACCGTCAAAGCACCCAGACATGACTCAGCAAAATTTAAACGCAAATCTAAACCGTAAAACTCTGTAAATTCACTCAATACAGCATCTGTACACCTTAACAGTTCACTACAATTGGTTTTTGATTAACAAGAAGACAAAGTTTTACATTGCTTAGTCATAAACTGTACTAAAATAACGTCTATTACACGTCTGTTAGTGATTAGCATGCTAACTTATACACTCACCGGAGTCCTCGATCATATAAAACAACAGGAAACAAATACTCCGGTCACGGCGATCTGGAACTCTCTGACAATGACTTTTAACCCTTTCAGACTAATAAACACGACAATAAAGCCGTATTTCTTCCATAAAATGTCATAAACTTCATGACTGTATTGCTATCTCATTAGCATCAGGATTAGCCAAAGCATTGCTCAGGTCTATTGCATAGCGCGCCCTCTAGCGGCTATTTTAAGCCACAACAGTCACATTAAACACATCTCTCTATCACTAATACAGACATTAAAATAAATATTATTTAACAGCAAATTATGGGCAGTAAATCCAAAGCTGTACTTTTATAGGGATTACATCCAAAAAGTGTTTTCTACTTAAGTGTATTTAGTCAGGTGCAAATATGACTTGACTCCAAATAATTCTAACAAAGGTTCCTCAGCTGTTTTTATAGTATTAGATATCCTTAATAACAAACTAAAAGTTTACCAAAGTTTGACCGCAAGAAAGGCGTCATTTTCACGATGGCGTCCATGATCGTTTGGAAGCCCGGGGAGACCCCCCAGGTGAATAGGGTTAAATTTTTAACAAACAGATATCAGCATGAAACTTCCCAAGTTTATAACTTAGATCAAGACAGATATTTTTTGTATTACAGGTTCTGTCAGATGTTATGTTATAACAATGGATAAAGCCCCTTTCTAAATTCTTGTTTTATTTTGTTGACATACTGAGGGGGATATGTGAATGATAGATGAGTTGGGAAGTTTCATGGCGATATCTGTTTGTTAAAAATTTTACGCCATTGTGAAATGACACCTTTCTAGCAGTCAGACTTTGGTTAGGTGTTTTTTTTTTTCCATAAATGCACATGCCTACATATTTCTATCAGCCCCTACTTTATCATCTCCTCCTCATTTGACCCTCACTCTCTCGTCTTAGACGTTTTTTGAACCCTGTGCAGACTTTGCAAAATGATTTCCTTTGGTTTCTCTCATCGGCAGAGTCTGCAAACCTACAGCAGAGGGCGACATATCTGCAGCTCATCCACCAGAGTGATTAATGCTGATAAAAGAAGGAAAAGAAAAGGGAAGTTTAAAAGATGTGTGTAAAATAAAGATAAAGAGGTGTTCATGAAGAGTGAAAGTGCAGAGAAAAGGAGACAGTAGTGAAACATAATAAGATGGAAGAATAACCTAGATCTTCAGATTATTATCTTAGTCCAAACAGGACAGAAAGTTCGGGGCCCAGTTTGGATTTTTCTGTGAAAGTCAAACTGATTTATTTTTGTTCAACATTCAAACTTTGAATAAATGGACTCGTCCTCTTTGGGAACTTTTACAAAGTTTATGAAGAATCCATAAAAAGTGAGATATCAGGAGGACAGAACTACACCGATGACAGCAGATCGATGGATCTCTGCAGGGACAGTTGGCCGTTTTCACCTCGAGGTGTTCGGCTGAATACTAATTGGAGGAAATGAAAGAGTCCCTTTGATGACGGAGCACAATGGAGAAGCAACACAAGCAAAAACAGAAGAATCCCATTATTTCATCTTCTTTCCACATTGGCCGGTGTTTGTGTGACCGCCGCCTGCTGTCACTGCGAGGAGACCGTGACTGTCACAATGCGGCCCTTGTACCCGGGGGGCCACGGGCGGCAGAGGAAACCAGAGCCGACACAGCTTCCTCTCCCGCTGCCCCCAGAGCCGTGTGGGCACCAACAAAGATGGCTGAATGCACACTATAGTCCTGTTTGGCAGCGGCCCTCTGGGAAAGGTTGGAGCACACAGGAGGGCTTGTTGTCAGCGGGGTCAGTGATGGCTCATCACTGCGAACACGACGCTGCAATATGCTGCCGGACAGACGGCCGAGTAACCAGCAGGCAAATGTGATTACAAACACTAAAACACACCCAGAACAGAACCACTGTCAGCAAAGAGCTCAATCCCTGACCTGGAAACAGCTGCTTTAAGTTCAAACATGGTTCTGGTTCAGCAAGAAGACTCCCTCAGCTCCTCTCTCCTTTCTCGACTTTGATTCATGAGGCTCCAGTTTAGCAGCAGAATGAGAAGATACCCAGGAAGTGGACTCTGATGATCCCCAGACCATCTGGGATCCTGGACAGCTAATTTTCATTTTACAAAAAAAGAGCAATAAGGATTTTTAGTAGAGGTCAAAACAGAGATCCTTCAAACCTGTTATTTGTTAAACTGCAGTTGTTGAAATTCAGTGAGTTAGTAGATGTTGTAGATGATGTTTAAAGCTCAAAGGAAAACTTTACCATCAACGTCCAGAAAAAAAGAGAAAGTTTATTATAATTTAAAAGGATTTGAAATATTTAAAAAGATTCAGAACTAAAGAGAAGGAGCGCTGTGTTACAGAGAGAGGAATACGTTACTAAAGAAACTAAATCAAATTTTAGGGTCAAAATACAGAGAAATATGTTCATCTAAGTCTGTGTCTGTTTGTTCTGTGGACAAATGTTAGTTAACCTGGTCTTTTCTGTCTGTTTTTGAAAATAAGAATTAATAAAGTGTAAAAAGGCATGTTGGCCTGAAGCTCCTGTTTATTTTTATTATTATGTGTTTGGTTGATTAATATATTAATAAAGAGGTTCAGACTCTAGAAGAGTTTTCTTCTTTCTGCTCCAGCATCTATGATTTCCAGTTCTATGTTGAAAGGACAACTGTTAGATTTTGATTCATCAGACCTCAGGAGAGTTCACGGACAAGTGATATTGAGTCCATGTGGTGACTCCAACTACAGAGTCCTGTCTGTTTTTAATGCAGTTATGTAACTAATTAACCTCGTTAGTTGGAGATGTTTTTTCTAGTATTTCACAGCTTTTTCTGACTTTTATCGTCCATCTCCTAAATTATTTTGAAAACTTCTTTACGTAAAAAATCTAAACACACACACAAAAAAAATCAGATTTTCACCCCCCCCTTTCTTTGACTAGCCAAACAACAACAACAACAACAACAACAACAACAACAACAACAACAGCAGCAACAGCAGCAGCAGCAAAGAAAGATGAACAACAGAGACAGTGTGTCAGACGTTCATTTGGTCAACAGCATCTGGAGCAGAGACAACAATCCTGTTTACACATCGTTGACACCGGACCGAGCATATGACCAGAGCGAGGGGTGGGGGTGGGGTGGGGGTGACAGAGAGAAGGATGAAGCGGGTCTGACAGCTGAGCACTCAGGACTTGGACGGTGGAGCCAACAGGGTTAATAGAGGAGTCTTCATGCCAAAGTTATGAAATATCCAGGAATCCACACGCCATGTGGGGGACTGAACACCTGAACTTCGTCTCACAGGTTTGAACTTCTTTTTATTTATGATTTACAGCCTTTAAATCAGTTAAAGAGCTTTAAAAATCCATGAATACAAACCAAAACTCTGTGTAGATTCTCAAACAGACAGAGAAAGATCTTCGGTCTGTTTTCTTGTGGGTTTCAGGAGCTGAAAGAGTGACTCTCCTCATAATGAAGTGTGCTGTGATTCTCCTCTTAACAAGCTGCTTCTCCTGCTCTTCAGCCAGATACACCCCCAACACAGCAGGTACAGTCCCAGCTTCTTCAAAACAAGATTACTAACTCTGAATCCACCTTAAACTGGAGTCAAAGGAGCCTCCAAATCCCTGATCATGATATAATCTGATATAATCCTGACAGATTAATAACTGGATGTTTTTACCTGTTTGGTGTCTTTGCGTGGTTACATAGAGTTTCTCTGCCTTCACCTTCAGACTGGGAGCAAAGCTGCACAGCTGACTGGATTTTCTGTTGAGATATTTCAGCAAAATTTGTCCAATAACATCAAAAGTGTAAATGCATTTTATTTGTACATTCTGATAATAACTAGTTTGTGTTTACTGCTCAGTCGTGCAGAAGGAACAGCGATAATAATACTGACATTTGCATGAGGTGAAACCTGCTTTTTTCCTGTATTAGCAGCAGCCACCAGTAAACTGAAGTACCTCCTGGAGCCCCCCGTGTACCCCGAGGTCGTGGGTCGTCGTGGAGGTAACGCCACTCTGCCGTGTATCCTGAAGACCAAACCCAGCCACTACAGAGTGAAATGGACAAAGCTGACGCCCGAACACGAACACGTGGGTCAGCAAAACATCATCATGATATCGAACTCACACGCTTCCAAACAATATGGCCACCTGGGTCCGAGGGCTGCTCTTCGAAAGGCCCACCCCATGGACGCCTCCCTGCAGCTCAGCCGCCTGGAGCTGCAAGATGGCGGCTCGTACCGCTGTGAGCTGGTGAACGGCATCGAGGACGAGAGTGTCGTCGTCACGTTGAGGATTGAAGGTAACTGAAAAAAGGATCAGAGGTTTGGTAAAGCTGCTTTAGGAAGGTTGGTGTAGATGAGGTTGAAAACCAGTTTAATAAACGACAAACTCTACCTGTACTTCCAGGTGTGGTGTTCCCATATCAGAGCAAAGATGGCCGCTACAAGTTCAGTTTTCAGGAGGCCAAGAACGTCTGCGCCAAGCAGGACGGTATTTTGGCGTCGTACAGCCAGCTGTACAGAGGTACAACCGACGGTTCAGATCACACTGTCGCAGGTTTAGCCGCTCTCTAACCTCACTCTGTCTCCTCCTGCAGCTTGGACGGAGGGTCTGGACTGGTGTAATGCGGGATGGTTAGACGACGGGACCGTCCATTACCCCATCATCACACCCCGCCCTGTTTGTGGAGGAGACCTGGATCCTGGAATCCGCAGTTATGGACCAAAAGATAAGAAACTGGATCAGTTTGATGCTTTCTGCTTCACCTCACAGACCTCAGGTAAGATCGGATTGGATTTAATTTGACCTGATTGGTTCCTCTTCTAATACTTGGTGCATCTGTTCATGACGTTTTCTTCCCTGGAGAAGTCTTTGTCTGGAAAGCAGCAGATGTTGCTCCTAAACCTGAAGATATTGTTTAAAACTGAGGATGCAGCATCTAGGGATGCCTTAGAAACGTCTCAAGTAAGTCCAGCTGTCCTTTCTAAGAGTGTTAGATTCTGAGCCATCAGACCTCAGGACAGTTCAGGGACAAGTGACATTATAAATGTTCTTCCTTGAGCTGCGGCACCCCGCTGTAGTCCGTAATGGACTGGCCTGAGGTCTCTCTACAAACAAGCGTCTGCTGGAAGAGAGTAGGTGAGTTGTGTTTAGTCTCTTTGTTAAAGAAATGAGTCAAAGTTAAAAAGATGTTTGGTGTCTAGTACTATGTCTGTGACCCTATATGTCCTGTTGATGAAGTTAGGTGCTGTTCTGAGCATTATTTGTGGCTATAGAGTGGCGTTTTGGTTGAGGGCGTGGCTCTCTGTATTTCTATCCTGCGGTCGTTACTAAAGTTGGTATAACTAGAGAAGTAAGCGGTCGACAACATTCATCTCTGGAGGGGGGGGTCTAACTCGGTGTTACGGTGTTTTTGACCCTAAATTAATTTTACAGCAGAATATCCCTTTAAGGCGATGCAGTGACTTCAACTACAGAGTCCTGATGCTCCTTAAGAAATGCAATAATACGAATGCAAAATAAACTTTTTCTGCAATAATTTAAGAGAAAAGGAAGAAAAACAGGAGAGAGAGACGGTAGGAGACAAATGTGGAGACAGTGAAAGTCTGTTCATCTGTGTCGTTGACCTTCAGCAGCTGTGGAGTTAGAGTGGGACTGATCGTAGGTTGGTGGAGGACAATAACACGTGTTGGCGAGACATTGTGTAATAGTTTATCCAGAGGAAAATATTTGTTCTTGGAAACTTCGCCTGCAGACAGAACAATCAGACTCTCACCATGTAAAGGTGAATAAACCGTTTTAAAGGACCAGGTCGTGTGTTTTTCTCTCTCTCAGGTTCTGTCTACTACATCTCAGGCTCCTTCTCCTTCGAGCAGGCCGAACGGGCGTGTAAACATCAGCGAGCCGAGCTGGCGTTGGTCGGCCAGCTTTACTCCGCTTGGCGTTTCCAGAAGTACGACCAGTGTGACGGAGGATGGCTGAGAGACGGCAGCGTGAGGTTCCCCATCAGTAACCCTAGAGAGCGCTGTGGAGGCCTCCCCGAGGCCGGCGTTCGCTCTTTTGGATTCCCCAACAAGCTGAAGCACCTCTATGGGGCTTACTGCTACAGGTAGTCCTGAGTGACGTTAAAACACACTTATTATCAGTGTCTCGACAAAAGTCTGAGGCTGTGCAAGAAATCCAGGAGGAGGATTTTCACTCCCAGCAGCTCGGTCTTGGTGATCCGGGGCGGCATGGAGGTTTTCACGGCTGCAGCAGGATCAAGTTTTCAGTCGAAACAGAGAAACGCGTAAAAATAAGAGCTCTGGGTTAGCTAAAATGAACAGCTCATGCAAGTTTGGTTAACTGATAACTGCACCTGTCCTTTTTAACACAAAGTCCGATTAAAAGCAGCTTTTAATCTCACATGTAAATGACTCAGTCATCTGCAGCTGGAATGAGCCGGTTTAATCCTGTTTTTAATAAAGTCATGTATCAGTGAACCCATCTGGTGTCGACTTATTTCAACTCTCTTCAGCTGCGGTCGAGGGGGTCTCCACGATCCAAATCCAGGAACAGATTTAATCCAAACACGATCAGAAAGATGACGTAGAACCTAAAAGGGCGAAGAGATCCTGCTCAAGGTGTTTGTGATCCATCTTTACCACATCAGAGTAGAGTCTGGATCAGTCCTCTATCTCAGTGGTGAAGGTAAACCCAGCAGGTCTTTAATGTTACGGATCTAAGGGGAGTATAATAGATAATAGACTCTGATTGGCTGTTGCTTTGTAAGAGGCGGGGACATTATTTGAGGTTTCTTTGCACTTAATTTTTGCCCATTTGTTGGTCAAAAATACAAAAATAAAGGTCAATTTTAGCAGAAAGTTGTTGATAAAAGTTTTCTTGGGTGACGGAGAGTTTTAAGGTTTATTTTCTATGTGACTGATTTAAAGAAAAAAAAAACACAGACTAACTCTTTTATACTGATTCATACTGACGGTTCAGATTCAGCAGGATGGGATTGAGGTTCATGTGGGGAAACTTCACTACTTTAGGGACCTCTTGTGGCTGTATTAAGAACTACAGTTTACAGACTACAGATGAGTTAAAACAATTTAAAACAAAATATATAAACTTCATTAAAATCAGAGCTGAAACACTAAAAATGTCCCTCCTAATGTGAGTTTCTGTAATCATTATTTTTTTAGCTTTTTTGTCCTAATTCTAATAAACAGAACCGTCTGTGGATTTAAAAAAATAAAAGAAATAGAGTTTAAAGGAAAAACACGACAGAGATTTAACCAAACTGTCCTCTGTTCAGTACAAATAAATTCTTGCAAACATTTTTAATTTGTTACTTTTATAGATTATATTTCAACATCTCACAACAGTAAAAAATTCAGACTACATTAAAAAATTACAGTTTATTTCCCTTTTTAATTTAGGTTGTTACTTCTACTGATAAATAAACATTAACTAGATCAATAATATTTTCATTATTTTTGTATTTATTACAGAACATCAACTAGAAAAGACAGTAAATACAGATATTGTTGCATCATTAATAATAAGATATTTGTTTTCCCATTACAGATCAGCTGTTACCTCCACGATACAGTTAATTTAAATCATATTTTCTGATTAGGATATTGTGCTCCTTAACATGGAAACCGGACACACCTGAAGAGAAAGCACCAGAGGATGAGCGGTCTGCACCTTTAAGAAGGTGTGTGGAAAGAAAACACCTGGAGGTTTGTGCAGGTGGACGGTCATGTGACACGCTGCGTGTTTTTTCCCAGTCTTAGAGGACTTGTGGAAAAACTTGTGCATTCAAGACGACAAAGAGACCAGACGAGGGGAACGGCACGAGTCTCTGCAGCCGGTCACCAGAACTTTAATGAGCCGTTTGAGTCCAAAATACCGGGCCTGCTGTTTGGTCCTGCAGAGGGCGCTCTCATCGTAACCTGACCATTGCATGGCCCTTTGACTTCTGCAAACTGGGACAAAGATAACTTTCTACAAAAAAGAAGGACTGGACTGTTTGGATTGGTTTAAAGTAGCTCTTGTTGAATCAGTTAAAATTACGACGTTTGCTCCTGTTGATTAATACGACATTTTCTGTGCAAGAGCGCATCGTCGCTTTAAGTCTTTAAAGGTGGAGGAGGCAGGAATCTGTTTTATTTTGGTGTATTTATAATAATCTTCTAATATCAGTCAATAGTTATTAGTTATTGATTATTTGGTAATATATCGATATCTCTGTGTTCTCTTCTGTCTGTGTCGTCAACATTTGAACATTTTTGAGCGGTCCGCTCTTTCTGACTGTAAACAAAGCCGTTCTCCACCTCCTCTAACCTGATTGGTTGTGAGGCAGACGCTGCTCCCCCGTGTCGTTCAGGAGCCCAAACAAAGTTAGCGTGCTACAATATCGGACAGTAGAAACCAACCAGAAAGTTCGGAAAATTGTCCGAATCCTCCTTTGGCCACGACTGCCGACACAAGCAAGAAAACAAAGTAAATACCGGAGACTCTGGAGGAATAACGGGCGCTTAAAAATATCTGAATTTAACTGGAACGATACGAGCGAGCGGGAGCGTCTGTTTGTGGGCGGGGCTTGAGGGGAGAGGAGGAGCTGAGGGGAAAACTGGTTGGGAGGGGTAGAGTTTACATTCAAGATTTCTCCTAAAAACTGGAACTAACTCAGATCCTGACTACAACACCTTTAAGGACAGTATTTCTGTGCAACATTTAATAAACCAGGAAATTAAGAAACAGAAGTGTCTGTTTAAAGTGTCAGCTTTAACTAACAGGAGCTACACGTCTGCATCAAAACTGCACAGTGCTGAACGTGAAGCAGATCCTCACACAGAGAGACTAAACCTGTGAACACCAGTACCGCACACAGTGTTGTGGAAAGTCCAGCATAATCAATGCACAGGAGACATGATGAGATCTGAAGAACAGCCTGGGGCGTCTTTAATAGTACAGATGTAGAAATCAGTACAGATGACAAACAGAGTCTCGACCAAGACCCAAGGAAGCCTGCTCTAGCTTCTCTTCTTCTCTCTTTTATGCTGTTAGGTGTGTGTGTGTGTGTGTGTGTGTGTGTGTGTGTGTGTGTGTGTGTGTGTGTGTGTGTGTGTGTGTGTGTGTGTGTGTATGTGTGTGTGTATTCTCCAGAAGGCCCCTCATGATGACATGTCTGCCCCACGACACTTTGTTTAGGTTTGTCTTGACCCTGGCAGAGATTACATGTTCCAACAGACAGATAGTTTGGGCTCCTGCAAGACAGCCTTGTTTACAATCTCATGGTCGTGGGGCAGCAGGAGCAGGCTTCCTTGGGTCTTGGTCGAGACTCTGTTTGTCATCTGTACTGATTTCTACATCTGTACTATTAAAGACGCCCCAGGCTGTTCTTCAGATCTCATCATGTCTCCTGTGCATTGTTTATGCTGGACTTTCCACAACAACAGCAGGTAAAAACAGAATCAAAGTTTTCTGACCTTTTTAATTTGGTGAAATTCTTCCTGTCAGTTCAGTAAAATCTGCAGGTTTCACAGCCGTCCTCCTCCTCCTCCTCTCTCTCTCTCTGGTAAATTTACATTTCCCTCCTCTCTTTCTCTCGCTCTCTCTCTCTCTCTTTCTCTCCACACCTTTTTAAAGAGTGCAGAATAAAGTATCAGACGATCTACTGGACTGTAGACTCCACTACTTTCTGTACTACTAACTATCATTATCAGACGTCTAAATAAAATCATAGCTGTCAAATTTATGGATTCAACGTTGTCGCTGTGTTTGTTATTTTCCACTTTCACTCCCTTCACTATAAGACCTCATATTTAAAGTTATAAAAAGGGGGTCAGTTTTATTTGGACCCATGAACTCCTGACCTCTGAACTCCTGACCTCTATCTACTTTAATTTGGTTTACTGGGACTGGTACGTTTATTTATCTGGTATTTTGGGTGTCGCCTCACAAATATTAATGTTTTCAAACTTCCATTTTGCTGATTTGGTCCCGAGACAGAAAAAAACTTTGAGGTTAAACCGATGAGGATTTCAGATCGAATGTGACCAACAGACGTCCTCCTGAAGCGGCGCTGTTGTTGTTTTTGTTGACTTTGAGTTTAAAGACTTTAAAGTGGAAAAAGTCTTTTCAGAAACACGAGGAGGAGGAACTATCGAAGAAGAAAAACAGGCAGGATGGCTTTAAAAGTTCCACTTAATGTCCCAGAAAAGAGGAGGAGCTGCTTTCTCTGTGGCGGCCGCCGCCGTCGCTGTGGCCTCCACCGCCTCTGCAGCCTCCACTGCTGCCTCCTGCTGGTGAGGAAGAGGAGTGACCGAGTCTTCTTCCACTGGATGAGCTGCAGGAGGGACACCGATCAGCAGAAGGTTTCTCCCTCGTTACTCTGTGATTGATTTTATTTTACTTACTCGGCACGCAGGTGGTCAGAGGCTCCTCCCATTGGCCGTCGGGCAGACATGTGATCACAGGCTTCAGTTTTTGTACAAAACCCTCCTCACAGTAATACCGCACCCTACTGTTGGTCTCATAGCGCGACCTCTTCTTCCCGAACACCTTAGCGTTTGGGACTGTGGGGGGCTCGCCGCAGGAAGCTGAAGGATGAAGATAAAGAGAGAAAAAAAAACTCGTCTTTACCTCTTTATTTAAAAAAAGAGCTGACTCAGACCCGACGAGGCGCACTCACAGATACCCTTCTTGCAGGTGTAGGACAGGTGGTAGTTACACGGCACGTCGCTCCAGCGGCCGCCGTCGTGCCACACCATCACCGCACAGTCCTCACCAGACAGGAAGTAGCTGTCAGGCTGACCTCTGTACCAGTTCTCATAGAGCTGAAGGAGACAGAGCAGAACCACGGGGTTTAATGAAAACCTGTCAGGATCTATTTTATGTTCATCATGTTCTCCTGGAGCGACCAGGTGAGGAGCTGCTCCACAGAGCGTCTCTGAGTCTCTGCAGGATGGTCCACAGCAAACACAGATGGTTCTCTCAACATAGTAAAACCAGGTCTAACTAAGTCCCTCCTCTGGTTCTGAGGTGTTGCGTCTCCGTTATTTGGACAGGTATGTGCAAACAGGGACCTTCACCTTTGACCTTTGAACATGAGAGTGTAACGAGTTCAATCTCGAGTCAGAGGAGTTAAAAATGTTCCTGATGAGGACGAGACAAGAGGAGGTGACCTCTGATCTTTGGGGTTAAAAAAACTCATTCATTCATATTTTCATTTTCTGTCAAAACTTCATTCCTTTGAGTTTTACAGAGACTGAAACAAACATCAGACAGGAAGTACAGAGAGGATTATGGCAGACTAAAGTTTCAGACCGTCATCCTGTCCTCTTTATTCCTTTAACACATAAAAAAACCATCAAGTTAAAACACAGAGAGCATAAAACATCTGAGAATTAAAAAGAATTAAAAAGAAGAATCATGATCAAACCGCGTAAAAACAAATAAATAATAAAGAAATAAAATAAAATAAAAATCATATAAAAAAACAGACAGAGACAGAAAACACACACCTCTGCTGTGGGTCAAAAACCGAGAGTAAAAATCAGTTTTCAGGCAGTGAACAAACGAACCTTTATATGAGGCAGGCCTGTATTTGAAGCAGGTCTTTACTGCTTTATCTGATTTAGTTTAATACTCTGAGCAAACAGTCTCTGCAGTTTAAATCATCCCTCATGGATTCATTTGGAGTCAGATTCATTTTTCTCTCACGGTGCAAAAAAAACACCTAATTCTCTGAGGCCCCGTTTGTTTCTACACGGTTATTTTTAAAAACGGAGACATTAACCATCGTTTGCACGCTTCGTTTAGACGCAAACGGAGAATTCGCCCCTGAAAACGATGATTTTTAAAAAGTCGGAGTGAAGACTTTGGGAAACTCTGTTCTCACGTTTGTATGTAAACAGAGAAAAACGGGGATTTGGGAAGCAGACGGCGGATTGTGCAGCAGAATGAAGGAAGTGACGTTGATGTTGTTGTTGTTGTTCTTTTGCAGGATTCTGATTGGCTAACGTGAGCTTCAGCTTCTCGCTACACTGCCACCTACAGGTTTGGCACGCTCTTGACGGCGTTTCTACACGAGTTATTGTAAACGAAAACTTTTCTGAAAATGTAGGAGTGTGCACGCAGTTTTTTTGTGAACGGAGAAGGTGAAATGTCTGTTTATGAAAACAGCTGTGCACGTGTAAACGTAGTCTCAGTGGTCTCATGTTTTTATCTGCTGGGTTTTGTTTTGGTTCAGGGCTGCAGATCACTGCTGGTTTCTGAAGGTTTTAGGAGTGACGGTCCACTGCATGGCCTCTCCAGCACTTTTTTTATCTTTTCATCATTTTGGTGATATTATAATGAACGAATCAAAACAAGCTGTGGACTCGGAGTTAAACTCACCAGAGGGTTCCCGTCTGACCAGCGAAAGTCTCCTTCGATGGTCCGGTCGTTCAGTCCGATCCACTGGTACTCTTTGTATTTCTCTGTTTGAGCGGAGAGAGAAAAGAAGAGTCAGAGAAACGTTTTAAAATCAGCTTTAATCAACTTCAGAGCTGCTCCTCTGAATACAGACTCTAAAGTTTTACAGTAAACCGGCTGATTTCTCTCCTTCACCTTTAACTCTTATTTAGCCTGAGTCTGTTTGCAGAGAAACCCTCAGCCTGAGCGCAGAGGAATGTCCGATAACTATCTCACCACCTCGCTGTTAGACCAAACACTAACACTGACTTCAAACCCTCGGATGTTTCCTGAAGAACGAGCGGGTCAGACAGACGTAGAGGGTCTCTGTTGAGTCTGGTCTTTAAAAGGTTTTAGAAACGTCTCAGTGTGTGAGGAATGTGAGGAGGAGAGATGGCTGCTGGGATATCTGCAGGAAACGAAGAACAAAATCCTCTTCTTTGTGTTTCAAACACCAAAGATCTGAGAGACACAGCTTTAGTTTATCCATCAGATTGAAGAAGTTTCCTCACGTGTTCATGTTTAAAGTAAATCTCTGTTTGCACATAAATCACTTTACATACAAATAAACTGTGAAATAAATAAATCCTGAAAGTTTTGAGTTTTTTTATGAGTACGATCCACAAAAAACAGAAATAAAAATAAAAACTGAGTAAAGAGAGTTAAACTGTAGAGGTCAGACCCAAAGGTTAAACATCGGAAATGTTTTTAATACTTTTTAACATGTTATTAACTTTGTGCTGAAATTAGTTTATTATCAGATCAAAGAGCATGAATCAGGCCCTTCAAAATAAAAGCCTTGTGTCCTCGTGTTGCTCTTTTGTATAAAGTTGTTTATTTTGTGTTAAATAAATGTCATTTTTAATCTCTAGTCCTTGTTTTTTTCACTTTGTTGTTATTTTGTGTCTCCTTTTGTTGCACTCCTTCATTTTGTGTAAATTTTGTTTGTTTTGTCTGTCTTTGTTTTCATTTTTTGGAGGTTTTTGTGAAATAAATGTTGTTTTGTACTTTCTTTTATTTGTTTAGTGACTCTTTTTTACGTGTCACTCTGTGGTATTTTCGCTTGTTTTTGTTATATTTTTATATTTTCTTTTTTTCATCACTCTTGTTTGATTCTGTTACAGACCGCTCCGTCGCTCCATCGCTCCATCGCTCCGTCGCTCCGCCCTCGCCCCTGTTACCCTACATTACGCTCTTCTTCATGAACTCACCGTTGATGTAGTCCTGCTCCTCGGGGGTCATGACGGACAGGAGATGACCTCCACACATGCGACAGTGTTGCTCAGCCGCCTCCCAGCTCTGCCTCGTGGTGAAGTGACGGTAACAGAAGCCCTGAAACTTCTCCCAGCCGGGTTCACACACATCCACGTCTGGATTCAAAAAATAAAAACATCAATCAGATAAATCGTCTTAATATCGTCATTTCAAGAATCTTACAAACATCGAACCTGTCTCGCAGAAGTCTCCTCCATAACCGGACAGACAAACGCAGCTCAGGGTTTCTCCGTCCACACAAGTTCCTCCGTTCAGACACGGGTTCTCCAAACACGAGTCTGCAGGAGGAGAAGACCAGAGCAGTTTTCTGCATTTACTGAAATTCATGATTAAAGTATCAGAAATAAAGATGTAATGATGAGTTTTATCTGAATGTTCACATAAATAAGATTCTGATCTGATATCTGAGCTCATTCGTTTATAGTTTCGTCGGTTTTCTTCTTCTTTTCCCTCCAACTTTAAGTTTAAATTTTCAGACATGAGGAGAACGAACTAAAATAAAAATGTCGTGTGCAGGACTGAGCTCTGACTGAACACCAAAATGATCTTTCAGACTTCATCATCAGTTTATTTTACAGCACAATAAGTCCTTTAAAAAAAGGTCATCAAATATCAGAATATATCATCCTGTTCAGTCCTATTTTCAACCAGCAGGGGGCGCTGTTGCAGCAGGTACGGCCCACAGCTCTGTCCTATATCTGATCAAAACAGAAACATGAATCTGGAGATTTCCCCGTCTCTGTTACTCAGACAGTAAAAAACACTGATGTGTCAGTAAAATACTGTATTTATGTTTGATCAGATTTTTAAAGATTAAATTTTATTCATGAAGACGTTGAAGTTTGTGCAGATTTTGGTGTTTTCTGTCGACAACGTCCACCTCTAAGATGTTTTATTTTCTAATTTTATCCTAAAATGTAAACTCTTATATATCCTGTATTTATTACATGTCGAGTTAAATATTAATTATTAATATTAATATTATTATAATTTTTTTTTCTGACAGTATTAACCCTTCTTTAAAATCTGAGGAGGTGGAGAGTGAATCCTGTTCTCATGAATCCATAAAAACAGGATTCACTTAATTTTTTATAAAACCCTTCATGATAAAAGTATAAAATCCTGTTTGAGTCTCTTTGTAACATGATTTTAAACTCTGCACAGTTACTGAAGATTTGGTCCTGATGAAAAAGTTTAAACTCTCGGTAAATATCACACTTTAAAGATAAATGTGTTTTTTTTAACCTCTCAATCACATTAGAACTCTGATCACTTTGTCTGACTCTGACCACGACTTTAAAAAAAATAAAATTAAAATAAAAACTCTGATTTGGAGAAAAGCTACAAAGAGCTTCACAGAGACAGAAAAAGCAGCGATCGTTCTCTGAAAACTCTGATAAAACACTGAAGAATAATCAATACTGCTTCTCTATGAGCTGCTGAAGCAAAAATAAGACAGAATTAAACTTCCTGTACGGTTATTGTCACTTCCTTAGTTTTCCACCTGGATTATCGGAGATGTTAATAAAGACGGTCCTCTGCAGAGTAAAGAGTATTTTGAAGTTCATCTCTCTAAAAACTGCAGCATCTATAATCAGCATCTATAATTAGCATCTATAATCAGCATCTCTATATTTTCAGGTCAGCCCGTCTGGTGTTCCTGCTCCCAGCGGACCCTCGGCTCCTGGTCCGGTCTGGACGTACCTGCAGATCCTCCTTGTTTCGCAGCAGACACCTGAACAGCGGGCAGAGAGGCCGCCATGGCCGTCTGTTCTTCACGCCGTCTCTGGAAATCCTCGGGGCCGGCGCTGGGATCGGCGTCTGTGTCTGAGCTCAGAGTCGCAGCGACGGTCTCCTCCTGGTCCGGCCTCCATGTGCAGATTTTAATCGGAGGCTGGTCTGTGCTGGTCTCCTGGTCTCGGCCCTCTGGTCCAGGATCTGCAGAGACGGTCAGTTTTTAGTGACACTTAAATGACAGTTTTTCAGACTCGGGTTTTAAACTCACTGTTGTCGGTCGAGTCCTCCACATGGACGTCCTGCTCCTTGGACACGTCATCTGAGTCCTGATTGGCGGGTGGCTCGCCGCTGTATTCCGGGTCAGAGCGAGACTCCTGCGGCGTGGACGTTGAAGGTTCTGGTTCCCAGCCGGGTGTTCGGCTCAGATGAGGGATCAGAGTGATTTTAACGTCAGACTCAGACCCGTCCTCACCGTGAACTCCGGCTGACAGAGTCGGATCTGGTTTCACCTCCTGACCTCCGTCTCCAGATGACTCACCTGATCCCTCGCCGACCTCCTGACCTCCCTCGTCTTCATCGGTGTCGGTGGAGTTCTGGGTGGGACAGAGGAGGATCTCTGGGTTTTCTCCTAATCCTTCATGCTCCAGTTTGTCCTGCATGTCCTCCAGCTGCTCGGCTCCAGATGAACAATTACTCATGAAGGTAAAGATCTCCGGGGAGCTCGCTTCCACCTCCACAGCGGGCGAGGGCGGAGTCACTGAGAGGGAGGAGGTCAACAGAGAGACCGGATCAGAGGACTCGGAGTCCAACGTGACTGTGAGGACGTCTGCTGTGGAGGTCTCTGCAGGGTCTTCACTCTGGTCCTGATCCGGATCAGGTGTGGTGGAGGTGGACTCATCTCTGTGGTCTGCTGGTCTGGTGACATCTGTGGAAAAAGAGATCCAGACCTGAAGGATTAACGTCGACTCTCACAGACTCAAACGGCTCTTTTCAAACTTTTTCACGACCTTTCGTTAAACTTTGATTCTGGAAGCTCCGCCTTTTTAACCTTCCTTGACCTGACAGCGGCGTTTGACACGGTGGATCACTCAGTCCTCCCATCACCCACTGCTCTGAGCCGGTTCAGATCGAACCTCTCTGAGATCTACTTCTGTGCACACGGGCCAGTTTTCTTCCACAGTCACCCCTCTGATGTGTGGGGTCCTCCAGGGGTCAGTTCTGGGTCCCCTTCTGTTCTCCCCTTGAGGTCCACGTTTAGAAAGGATGGCGTTCCTTTTCCCTGTTTTGCTGACGATGCGCAGGTGTGTTGAGGTCCTGACCGAAGACTCTCTGCAGGTCGGGTTTAACTTTAACTTTAACTGAAAACTAAACATCCTGTTCGGTCGCTCCGACCTGGTTCAGGTCTCGGGTCGCAAAGGGGCGGAAAATTTCCGGTAAATTTCCAGAAACTTTCCATGGGAAGTTAAGGTGGGGAGTTCTGGAAATATTCCAAATTGGAAACTTTCCATTGGAATTCTGGGAATTAACTGTAAATTGGTGGTAATTAAACAAACTCTATCGTATTCAGACATAAATGTTTCTCCTTCAGCTTGTGTGAAAATCTTCCACACATCAGATGGTGAACGTGAATAAAATAACAAAACACTAATGCAATGTCATGAACAGAAATATAGTCGATAAACAGCTGAACGGTCTTTAAAATATTTGATAGTTGATCAATAATTGATGGTTTGGTTACAGAAAACCGTCTGTCAGGTGAAACAGAATCTGAGGAAACGACCGCCGCCATGATGACCTCGACCTTTAAACGGTCGATGACATAAAAATAACATTTAGCTCCTGTTTTCATTTAAATATTAAAACTATTATTGATCAAATCTATTGACCCCAGAATATTATCAGAACTTGACTCAAACGTCTTTGGCCTCCAGGGTTCGAGAAATCATCTGTCAATCATGTGATGGAGGAGTGACCAGAGCATGTAGGGGGTGTGGCCTCAATAACCTGCAGTAAACAGTGTGATCATGTGACTGAGGAGTGGACTCTCGTTAAATCTGGTTGTTTTAGTCAAGATTATAAAACAAGATATTTTCACAGAGTATATTGAAGTTCCTGTGGAGGACCGACCTTCAGGACCGACCTTCAGGACCGACCTTCAGGACTGACCTTCAGGACCGACCTTCAGGACCGACCTTCAGGACGACCTTCAGGACCGACCTTCAGGACCGACCTTCAGGGCCGACCTTCAGGACCGACCTTCAGGGCCGACCTTCAGGACCGACCTTCAGGACCGACCTTCAGGACCGACCTTCAGACTGACCTTCAGGACCGACCTTCAGACTGACCTTCAGATTTATTCTCCTTAATTCTCATGAAAGTTTTTCAGCCCGACAGAAACTCACCTGGATCTGTTTCAGGGACCAGCTCAGAGGGGCCGAACAGGTCCAAACCCTGCAGACTTGGAGTCCCTGGGTTTAGTGTCTCCTCTTCCTCCTGAGCCGGACTCGTCCTGTCCTCGTGATCCGGACTTGTCCCGTCCTCCTGAACTGGACTCATACTGTCCTCCTGATCTGGACTTGTCCTGTCCTCCTGAGCCGGACTCGTCCTGTCCTCGTGATCCGGACTTGTCCCGTCCTCCTGAACTGGACTCATACTGTCCTCCTGAGCCGGACTCGTCCTGTCCTCCTGATCTGGACTTGTCCTGTCCTCCTGATCTGGACTCGTCCTGTCCTCCTGATCTGGACTCGTCCTGTCCTCCTGAGCTGGACTTGTCCTGTCCTCCTGATCTGGACTCATACTGTCCTCCTGAGCCGGACTCGTCCTGTCCTCCTGATCTGGACTTGTCCTGTCCTCCTGAGCCGGACTCGTCCTGTCCTCCTGATCTGGACTTGTCCTGTCCTCCTGAGCTGGACTCGTCCTGTCCTCCTGAGCCAGACTCGTCCTGTCCTCCTGAGCTGGACTTGTCCTGTCCTCCTGAGCCGGACTCGTCCTGTCCTCCTGAGCCGGACTCGTCCTGTCCTCCTGAGCCGGACTCGTCCTGTCCTCCCCGGACCCCTGTGTTGGATGGATCTCAGGTGTTCTGGACTGAAGACCGCCCTCTTCTGTGTTTGCTGAAGGGGTCCGGGTCGAGGTCTCCTCAGCAGCTCCGGTCTCTTCGGTCTGTTCTGGACCTTCATGAGGTGTGGCGGTCTCGGAGTCGTGGTCCAGGTTCATGTCTGGGGTGTGGTCCTCTTGGAGAACAGGAAGATCACCGTCTTGAGGCGCCACGGTGGAGCTCTCCAGATCAGGGTCAGATGTTGTTCTATCTGGGCTCTCAGTCTGGGGGTCCTGGGGGTCCTGGGGGTCCAGGGGGTCTGAGGTCTCTCTGTCTGCTGGAGTCGTCTCATCAGCTGAGGTTGAGGTCCGGTCTTCGTGGTCAGTGGGTTCAGTATTTGGAGAAACTGTTGGCGGTCCATGATGGTCTTCATGGTCCGTGTCTGGGGGGTCCTCAGGTGCAGGCAGGTAGGATTCTGGGTAGTTTGCTCTCTCTATGACCTCTACAGTGTCCTGCAGGTCCTCCGGTTCCTCCGGGTCCTCCTGATGTCCCGTTGTCGGACTCGTAGACTCGTGGGTGCCCTCTGTCGGCGCTGACCTCTCATCATAACTCACCGTGATTGGCTGAGCCCCCACAGGACCCTCCTTTAAAGGACTGACGGTCTGCGCCCGCTGGACCTCCTCGCCCTCCTTCTCCGTCTCCTCGCTCAGGCTGAACTCCTCGCTGGCAGGATTCGTTAAGAAAACCACGTCCTGGCCGATGTCCTCGGGTTCGGTGGCGAGGAAATCGTGAGGGGCATCAGTGAAGGCGCCGTGGTCACCTGGAACAAAAGAGCAGATTTAGGACGGGTTCCCGGGGGGTCGGTCTCTGGACTCAAAGATGGCCGCTCTCTTACTTCTGAAGCAGTAGACGTCATGGCGACTCTGCACCTCTGGAAAACCAGTCTGGTTGCTATAGCGATACACAGTCCTGACCCCGGGTTCCCCTCCCCCGCAGCGCTCCCTGGGGGTGACGATGGGGTAGCGCACGCTCCCGTCTGCCAACCAGCCCGGACTGCAGAGGTTCAGCCCGTCGTTCCAGGCGGCGTACAGCTGAGCCGTGGTGGCGAGCTCCGCCCCGTGGCTCAGGCAGTAGGCTTTGGCCTCCCAGAAGGTGAAGCGCTGGGGGGCGGAGCCATGGAAAACATCACCTGTGAAGTCGGACACAGGTGTGTTGTTACTGCTGATGGTTATCATCAGTTTCACCAGATCGGGGTCGTGGTCATTCCTGACGACATTTAGGTGTCGGGGCGACCTCGTCTGGTGGATCTGAGCTCATTTTGAGAGTATTTGTAATTAAATGACTCATCTAAATAAGTCAAAGAGAAGCTGCAGACTTTTTTAACAACAACAAATGGAAAAATAAAATAAAAACTAATAAAAACTTCTTTATTCCTCGAACACTAAAGTCCTCCTCTGTCCTCCATCCTCTCTCTCCTGTTTGAGTCTCTCTGAACGTCCGTGTGTGAAATACAGCGCTCTGTTATCTGAGGCTGCCCTGAACGCATCACTCTGAGACGGTGAAAGACGATCGACGTAAATATTCGATCTCAGGTTTGTTTCCTTTTTATTTAAGTGTTGATTTAACAACAAACACTCTTTAAATAAAGTTTACAGCCTAAACTTGAATCATCCTAAACTGTCACAGTATTAATCCAGAGTCTGTGAGGCTCAGCAGAAACCTGGAAACTTTGGACAAATGTAGTGATCCGACTCATGAATGAACGTGGACCATCGAACTACGGGAGATTCTGGGAGAAATGACAATATGGGAGGTAAGAGGGAGAGAGGTCTGAGAGACGGGAGAGACCCGGGAAAAACAAGGGGGTTGGCAGGACATGATCCGTCTAAAAACAAAATACAGGAAATGAAGATTTGGACTCGGATCGTCTCACCTTGGATATTTTCCACGTAGCAGTAGACGTCATAGAGCTCATCAGGCTCCAACAACCCATAATTCCTCACTCCTGGCATGCCGTCCATGTCCCCGAAACAGCCCTCTCTTGGCATCTGGATGGGATATCTGAAATAACGAACATATTAAACCAGAGAGGACCCTCACTGCTGACTCAACACACACACACACTCATTAGGGGCTGTGCTGCACAGTAACACACATGTATTTGTTCAGATACACAGTCAGCAGTATAAAAGCTCGAGGCTCCTCCCCTTTGGTCTGGTCGAGACTCTCTTTGTCATCGTTCTGATTAGGCCTGAACGATATATCGTTTGACTATCGTCATAGCGATGTACGTGTGTGCGATAGTCACATCGCAGAGCCTGCGATATTGGAGGTGAATGAACTCATTTAATTTCAAGGGTAACCGACTGAGATACACTGCATGTGACTCTGCATGTGCTGTGCAGCGATCCACCAATCACCTTCGTCCTTAACTCAGTTGCCAATCAGACTCACTTCTCAGTTGCCAATCAGACTACCCTGCCAGCTGTCAATCAAAATCAGGGAGGAGAAAACCCACCCCTGCACATGTTCTGCACATGGAGGGAGACGTGTGTCCGCTGAGAATTACTTTCGGAACTTTACTCATGACTGTTTAGCCCAACAAATAAGAACTGTATGGGTTTTAAATTGTACATTTCCGTGGACCACTCTACTATAAGCAGTGCGCGTTTTGCGAGGTGCATGCAATTCTCGGAGGACATGCGTTTCTCGGCACAACACCGCTAACAACAACAACAACGATCGCAAAATGAACAACGAACAAGCGAAAACCACCGAAAATGAAGATTTGTTGCCAAAAAGAAAAGGAAAGTCAGTTATCTGGAATAATTTCGGTTAAAAGAAGGATGATGTCGACCAAAACACGTCTTCTGTGTTCATCTGTTTCCACAATAACGTCCCAGAACAATAAAAGCTAAAAATATCTCTGAGACAGACAGAAGCCGTTCTACTAACATTCACAAAAAGAGGTAAGATCAGAGCAGATTAACTGTCCTCAAGATTTCAGCAGTGCAGCATAACATTAAGTGCTATTCAGGTCATCTGGTGAAAATTCCTGTATTTTTAATATCGCAATATATATCGCAGGGTTGAAAAAAATTGCAATATTATTTTTTTCCAATATCGTGCAGCCTTAGTTCTGATTGTTCGATAAAGACGCCCAGGCTGCTCTTCAGATCTCAGATCTCTCCTGTTCACCGTTTTACTGAGTCTCGTTGATTCTCTACAACATAATGGCGAGCCAGCCAGGACCGAAGTCCGGACTAAAGTCTCCTCTGTGATGTTAGACCTGGTCTCCTCAGGTGCTCACCTGACTGAGTGGTCCGACAGCCAGCCGGCGTCACACTGCTCGTATCCACTGTTGTAGGCGGCCAGGAGCTGCTCCGGAGAGGCGATCTCCGCCCCGATCTCCGCACACGCCTCTCTGGCGCGCACAAAGGTGAAGGCGTAGCGACTGGACGCGTCCCGATAGTGGAACACGACTCCTGTAAAACCAGGAGACATGGACCGTGGTCAGGTCTCTGCTGGTTTTTGTCCTGTTTTTCAAACAGAGGGTCTCTCTTCTTACCTTTGACTTTAATCTGGACCACGTCATCGGCGTCCTCCAGACCTTGCTGCACCTCGCAGCGGTAGAAGCCGGTGTCGTTGTGAATCAGGCTCTCCAGCCTGAGCGTGAGGTCGGCGGGCGAGGCGGCGTAGTTCAGCAACGAGGCTCGGTCTTTGTAGGCCTCGTTGACCCTCACCCTGTCCCCTCGGGCCACCAGGATCTCCGTCTCTTTGCCGTGAGTCAGGACGCTCCATTTGATGCGGGGCAGAGACAGGACGTGGTGGCGGCCGTTGGTGGACGGCGATGGCGGCGGGTGAGCCAGAGACACCAGACAGGGTAGCGTGAGGGGGCCGCCAAGTATGGCTGAGACAGGAGGGGAGGAGGGGATGGTCACCTGGAGGAGCTTGGAGTCATCTGAGGAGGAGGAGGAGGAGGAGAAGTTTTTCAAGTTTATCTTCAAGTTTCTTTAAACTTTATCAGAATATCCTAAATATAAAATCTTAATTCTGAGAGTCAAAATCAGAAGATAAAAAGTCAAAATTATGAGAAAATAAGTTTAAATAATTGAGATAAAGAGTCACAATCATGAGGAAGTGTCATTAAACCTTTTTATCTCATAGATTTCACTTTCTTTCTTTCTCTTCATTTTGACTTTTTTTAGGGCTGAGTCTGGGGCTGCAGTTATCCAATATTTTAGTAATCGAGTATTCTACTGAATACTCCATCGATTAATCAAGTTATCAGATAAACCTTTTTTTTTCCTCGTATCCTCCGATCGTAGCTGATCGTAACCATTCAAGTTAACGTGTCAATTTACACCGACTTCTTTCCGTTCCTCTGAGGATCGCCGGACTCCTCAGCTGATCTCAAGAGTTCTATTTTTTCTGGACGCCGGCGGAGCATGGCGGATAAATTCAGCACAGATTAACCCGTGCTGGAAAGGAAGTCGGGCACAGACACAAAATAAAACATCCGGCTTTCCAGATCAGAGCCGATCCGAATGTGGTGGAAATCCCGGGTAAGAAAGCTGATTATGATATTAACTTTCATTATGTCCCCAAAGACATCAGAAGCTGCGTTTCCATTACATTTTTTCGCAAAATAAAAGCGATGTTTATCAAATTTCGACAAAGTACAATTGCGATTTGCGGGTGTTTCCATTGAATGGTGTTCAGTGCATAAGCGAGCCGTCTGCCTCTCGCGAGCCGTGTTTAAATGGCCGTTGCTTAGCAACGAGGTAAACTTCCTGCCCGTGCGACCTCGTATTCCTTAAGCCTTTTTGCACACCAACATGGACGAGACACAAAACATTTTTCGTTTTGGAGCAGCTATTTCTGTGACCATTACTGCTGTTGCCGCTGCTGTCATCAGAAGACGAAGGCAGCGGGTGATAATTCAAAGGCAAAGCTCGTATGTATGGGAGCGAACACGGATGAGCGATTTCTGGGAGAGGATCGTTAATGAGGAATTCACAGACGAATTGAGGATTCAAAACTTCAGAAAAATACAAATACAATTCAAAACTTCAGAAATAAGTCCGTCTCCTCCCCCGTCCACATATACCGTGCCATCTACGCTTGAAATGAACTGGTCACTTGACCCGCTACGTCACGTCCGGTGACAGAGAATTGCGAGAAAAGTGTTTCCATTACACTTTTGCGATATACTTCTATATCGACACGTCTGAAAAACCACCTCATGAGAGCGTAAAAACTTTTTAGCGATATTTGGGAGGTTTTTCGAAATGTAGGTGTTTCCATTACCAGTTTTCTATTGCGATATTTACGTTTTGCGCAAATCTATGGGTAATGGAAACGCAGCTAGTGTCTCAGAGCTGAATATCTCCTATGTTACCTGCTTCTTCTACTACATCAGCGATGTTAGCCTACAAGCTAGTGTGAAGAGGAGTGTGAAGAGGAGCATAAAGAGGAGCATAAAGAGGAGCGTGAAGAGCAGCGCTGTCTCCACCCACGACTGGAGCTCTGCAGAAGAAAAGCCCGCCTCATCATTTATTTTTCCCGCTCTGCAAAACTTAAACCACTGACTCCTCCCCCTACCGTGGTGACGTAAGCACGTTGTGTTACCTTGAAAATAATCTGTGTGAAATTGTGACGATTTGAGTTTATTAACAAGTACTTGAAAATAATTTTTTGTAATCGAGGTACTCATGATCGTTTCAGCCCTGGCTGAGTCCCGTTTCTTTTTCTTTAAAGCTCCAGTCAGGAGCTTTTAGTTAGTGACTGTTTTGGCGCCCCCTGTGGACACAGCGGTCTTTGTTTATCTCCTCCCCTGTATGCTTGAGTCATTTCTATTAACAAATTAATTAACAAATCTCCTCCTGCCCCACTTGAGACAATAAAATCGATCATTTACTGTGAAAATTTCAGGCTAAAAAAAAGTTGTTTCTTCAGGCGTGCGCCCCCCCCCCCGTCACTCTGGTTTCAGGCATAAAAAATGAAAATATAGAAATTGTTTGTTTTGTATATGATAGTTTTGTTTACTTTTGGTCACCATGAAAAAGCATTGATGTGAATTTCAGTCTGTTTCTTAAATGTGAAAAAACTCCTTATAGGAGCTTTAAACTTCCATTGAACCTGTACAGACACGATGAAAAGGTGCGAGTGTGTGTGTGAGTGTGTGTGTCCTCAAAATCATCTTTATGTGTGTGTGTGTGTGTGTGTGTGTGTGTGTGTGTGTGTGTGTGTGTGTGTGTGTGTGTGTATGTGTCCTCAAAATCATCTTTATGTGTGTGTGTGTGTGTGTGTGTGTGTGTGTGTGTGTGTGTGTGTGTGTCATCAAAATCATCTTTATGTGTGTGTGTGTGTGTGTGTGTGTGTGTGTGTGTGTGTGTGTGTGTGTGTGTGTGAGTGTGTGTGTGTCCTCGAAACCATCTTTATGTGTGTGTGTGTGTGTGTGTGTGTGTGAGTGTGTGTGTGTGTGTGTGTGTGTGTGTGCGTGTGTGTGTGTGTGTGTGTGTGTGCGTACACACAGATACGCGGACATATGTCATGTAATTTTCGCCTGCAGATGTGAGTGAGAGTGAAGAAGCTGTTTCCTCCGTCAGCTCACCTTCTTAAAACGACCTCCACCACAGTGTGTGTGTGTGTGTGTGTGTGTGTGTGTGTGTGTGTGTGTGTGTGTGTGTCAGCAGAAACAACCTGCAACAGGAGTGATTAAAGAGTACCCACCGGCCCCAGAGGTCAGAGGTCACCTATGATTTAATGGAAGGGGGTGCAGAGGGAGGGCTGCGTACCTGAGTCGTGTTGGGGGGTAGAGGACGCCGGCAGGACGAGCAGACAGATGGCGAACAGCAGCAGAGGGTGGAGCACATCCGGTCTGTGGGGGTGGATTAAAAATGACAATCAACCAGAAAGACTGAGTTTAGAGTCCAGATAATAATAATAATTATAATTATCATCACTGTCTGTGTGTGTGTGTGTGTGTGTGTGTGTCATGTTCATACTGTATGTGTCTGTACACACACACACACACGTGTTTTACAGACAGACAGACAGACAGACAGACGGATGGACAGACACAGGGACCATCAGTGTGTCCTTGGTTCTCCCTCTGCTGTGAGTTCAGGAGCTGCAGACTGTGATCTGAATCCTGATTCCCTAAAACTCCCTGGAGGGTCGGACTGAAGCCCAAAACCAACCTGACCAGACTGACCGTTATTACCCCCCCTTCATCCTGGACTACTTTCTCTCTGAAGTCCGTCTCTCCATCCTGTTTTTCTTTGTTGGATTGTTCTCCCGTTTCCTCGCCGTACGTTTGTTCACACCTCTGCTCTGCTTTGAGTTTCTCTCTTTCTTCTTTTCTTTAAACCTGCTGACCAACTCCTGGACCGACGGACTCAGACATGTACAGCCAGTCACAGCGGTCTATAATGATCAGCTGTTGGAGTTTTTGCAGACCTCTAAACCCACGAACAGTTACAGCCAACTCTCCCCGTTTTCGTCTGTTTCTCTTTAGAGCGGAGAGTGAAAGGTTTCCAAACAGACAATCACTTCTGTTATCATCCTCTCAGTCCACCTTAAAAGGACTCAGGTCCAGAGTTCACAGTTTTAAAGGCATTTTAAGTCTATACGGCGACCCCCACTCCAGAGTCCTGTCTGTTTTTAACGCAGTCATGTGACTAACCTGTTGGAATTGAACCTCATTAGGTGGTAGAAGTTCCTCCAGCTGTTTTTTTTAACATTACACAACTTTTCCAGTTTTTTTACCTTCTCTAAAGTTTTTTCAATATTTGACTTTTTCTTTTGACTGTTTTAAACTGAAAATCAGGTTTAAACTATTTACGAACAGTTAAAATCGCTTTATAATCAATATTTTACACAAACTTTGTTGTTTTGGAAACTGAGTTTTTAAATTATGAAGGTAAATAAACCTGCTGAGCATACAGAGGTGCAGGAGAGGGTTAAATCATCCTGAATATAGTTCAATAAACTATTTAAATGTCATGAAAACTTTAATCCGACTGTCTGACAGTGAAACTGACTCCAAAACAAACAAACCAACAAAGTAGGGCTGGGCGATAAAACCATAACGATATATATCCAAAATTAATTTCCTCAAAATCGATAAAAAACATGATCAATATCCTTTTCAATAATCGTCATTCTGTCATGTTTTGGTCGGCTATACGAACAGCCAATGAAAAGGGGAGTTTCTCCGGGTCTGAACCAATCATGTTCTGAATTAGAACCAAGTATCAACCAACTGCAGCGTCGTAGCAGACAGCAGCTCCACCCAACCATAGCACTTTAACAGGTGAAGCCGACAGCACTGTTGGTGAGAAACAAAGAAAATGAGTGCTACCCCCGACAGAAATGACCATGAAGGCTCAACAGATGACCACATCAATGTCAACCACAACACTGGCGTTAGGAAAACGTCGGTGGTGTGGAGGTATTTTGGTTTTTGGAGGTCGGACATGAAGCAGAGTAATGTGGACTGTAAATTATGTCGAGTACATGTTCTCACAAAGTCGGGGAATACCTCAAATCTTTTTCACCACCTGAAGCAGCGCCACGCCGCAGAGCACGCGCAACGCAAAAGGTTACAAACCCCGAGAGGAGCGAGGAGCCGAAACAGACGACCATTCAGTCGGCTTTCTCTAGAGCGACGCCTTACGACAAAACGCCAAAGAGACACAAAGACCTCACAGATGCAGGAGATTATTGTGTTGGAAAAGACATGAGACCAATAAACACTGTTAGATTTTTAGATCCTGATATTGATCGATATCAGCTGATAGGAAAATAAATATATCCTGATAAACTTTTTCACGTATCACCCAGCCCTACAACACAAACAGAAAACAGCTGGTGACCTTTGACACTTCAGTGAGTCCTCATCTACGAGGGCGAGACCGTCAGGGTTCAAATCCAGACAGGTGAGTCTTTGATTTGAGGACTCTGAAGGTGAAAAGTGTCGAATCGCAGACGTCTCCTTTGACAGAAACATTCAAGTCAAAGTCTGATTGGTCGACTCAGCTGAGGCCGATTTCTAATCAAAACTGGATTATTAAATAACCTCTCAGCAGATCTGTACTGCTGTGATTTGGCTCTGACAGAAATGCCACCTGGGATAAAGCTGAGCCGACCAAATTACAGACTCATGTCCAGGTTCTGGTTTCCTCTTAGACGACCTGTTGTCTGTTTTTAAAGACGAGGAGAAACTTCAACATAAAGAGAAGTAGGATGAGGTGGCAGGAAGCAGCTCTGAGCAGGAAATCTCCTCATAATGGAGGATAAAGTAACCGTCAAACTCTCCGCTTCCTGTCAGAGTGATTTCGAGGTTTTTTTTACAGCCAATAGACAAGAGACAGACACATTTATCTCCTCCTGACAGGCCTCGACCAATCAAACATCCCCTCATTTCAAACTTCTCCACTATCTGACCGACACACAGAGCTGAGCGAGAGAGAGAGGGAGGGAGGAAGAGAAAGAGGAGAGAGGAGAGAGGGAGGGAGGATGCATCCCAGGCAACATCAGAAGTGCAAAGACAGGCATCGCAAGTGGCTGAATAGTCAATGACTTCACCTTGAGGAAAAAAAGGCAGAAAGGGCCAAAAAAAAAAGAGAGAGAGAGAGAGAGAGAGAGAGGGAGAGAGAGGGGATGTTTGAGCGCTCGGTTTGCCAGGGAAGGTCATTTAAGGCTGGATGGGGGAGGAAGGGTGAGGAGGGGGTGAGGAGGGGGTGGACTACATTCTTAAAGGACTGCAGCAGCAGCAGCAGCTCTGTGAGAGTTTGGCCCGTTTGTCAGGTTACCCGGTGTGTAAAGAGAGGACTGGTGCTGCTGTGGAGAACTCAGACAAAACAAGCCGTCAGCGAATTTAAAGACCCAGAAAACCTCGAAAACAAACCCGACGAGGTTCATCCTGATACTTCTCAACATCAACTCAGAGCAGGAACCTGGACTTCAGACCTGAACTGAGTCTTTTCCTGAGAAATAATCAGTTTTATTTATTGATCACAGGACAAGTTATCGAAGACTGTGGGGCTGAAATCAACCACAGAAATTCTTGGTCGACTAAAACCCTGAAATTTCCGACCAAAAATCGACTAATCAGTCTTTAGTGAAGGAAGAGTTCAGTTCTTGGGACTCCGCCCACTTCCTTTCAAGGATTTTAAACTTGTTTTAACAATAAATAAGTGCCCACAGTCACATATTTAGATATTTATCCAGATTTCATTAATTTTAAATGTCTGACTTATTATCATCTTTTTATGTTTTGTCTGCCTTCCTTTAATATTTCAGGTTTATTTCACCAAAATATCGTCTGATATTATCCTGATATCAGAGGGGGTGTTCTGAGACCGGCTGTTACCTGTGAAACTGTGGTGCTCTGAAAACACCCCCATCAGCACTTGGTACGATCCTCCTGATGACATTAACCATAGGCTGTAAATTGACTCGGACAAAAACAAGTCGACCAATCAGAATTGTGGTCGACTCAGCACGTATCCATCAATAAGTCGACGAGGACTTTACATTCATACAGACTGAAGATTTTTCTGCACAGATCGAATTTAAATAAGTTTGGATGCTGTTTAAAGGGTTAAAAAAACAGAGTTTGACAAAGTTCCTCAAGTTTACTTTACTTTATCTCTGACTGGGACCAAAACGGAACTTCTGAAGAACTTCTGAGGAGATTCACACCAACACAGAGACAAACAAACTACAACTACCATCCGTGTCCTTGACAGTCTCCACCAGGATAACAATCTGGAGGATTTAAGGTCCTTACACACCGGCGAATTTGCGGAGCGAAGCGAAAAAGCGAGACGAAAATTGCGAATATTCGCCGGTCCGAAAAATCGCTTTCGACTACACACACCGGCCGCGAAGCGAATATGCGTATATTTTCGCAAAGCGAATTAATAAAGTCGCTTTGCGGCACGGACATGACACATGACATCTGTCTCCTAAGGAAGACAAGAGAGTGTCATCTTGTGAGAAAACTACTTCATTAGTAATTAGAAAGAGTTTTGGATGCACCTCAGCTGTCTTTGTCTGCGTTTTCATAATCTCAAACTTCTCCCTCTACTCCAGCCGTATGGGTCTGTGATGTCATCAACAACATGACTTTTGATTGGCCAGAGGTCTAGCAGGTCCAGATATTCGCCTGCGAATATCCGAAAAATTCGACACAGGAGCGAAAAAATAAAAGCGGCTTTTCGCCCCGCGGAAAAATCGCCGCCGGTGTGGAAGCTTGCATTGAATTTATGCTGTTTTTAAAAAAGGCGAATAATTCGCTTGGCGAATTCTCGCCCGGTGTGTAAGGACCTTTAGTCTCCGTATTTCTGACTGAATGCAGAAAAAGTGAATGAACCAGAAGCAGCAGGAAGCTGTCGTGATGAAAAGTACAGCATATCTGGTCCATCAAACTCTGAGGAGTCTCTCTGAGGTCTGTGTCAGCACCAACCCAGCAGAGAGGACAACCTGACTTTTTTCAGAACAGAGAGATTTATCTCTTCATAAAGGCTCTGAAATCACAGATTTACTCTGAGACAACGTGACTCTGAGTTTGTTTAGGAACAACTCCAAAGTTTGTACGCTCATTAAACTCTAAATTAAACTCCAGCAGACAGTATTTATTCACCAAATTTAAAAAAGGTTCAAAATCCTCAGTTGTGATTTGTCGAACTTTTGCAGTTTTTAAACCAGAATGTAAATGTGTTTAATTTAGCTGTTAAAATGAGCCTTTAGATACAGGAGTCAATGGGGATACCTGGGCATTAGGAGTCAGCCTCTAGTGGACACTCTGGGAAGTGCACTCTTGTTCTGGTTTAATTTCTTAACACCAGAGGTTCCCACTTGGTCATGATAGAGAAATACTGACATAACTAAACCTGAGGCAGGCTGTTTTAGTATTCAGGGATCTATGTGACTCAAAGGAACCAAAACTTTTGAGACTGTGTCCGCAGATCTTCAACTGGAGGCTGAATTTGTACCTGATTAAAGTCTGTTCACTAAAAGTTCATTTTTTTTACTGTAAGTGTTTGAAAACATCAGAGAAAGGAGGAGCAGACTTCAGGAGTTGATGGTCTAAAGCTGCTTTTGTCGTGAAGTTAAAGGATATTTAGGGTCAAACACACCGTAACACCGGGTTAGACGTAGTAATACATAAATGTTCTTCCTTGAGCTGCGGCACCCCGCTGTAGTCTGTAATGGACTGGCCTGAGGTCTCTCTACAAACAAGCGTCTGCTGGAAGAGAGTAGGTGAGTTGTGTTTAGTCTCTTTGCTAAAGAAATGAGTCAAAGTTAAAAAGATGTTTGGTGGCTAGTACTATGTCTGTGACCCTATATGTCCTGTTGATGAAGTTAGGTCCTGTTCTGAGCATTATTTGTGGCTATAGAGTGGCGTTTTGGTTGGGGGCGTGGCTCTCTGTATTTCTATCCTGCGGTCGTTACTAAAGTTGGTATAACTAGAGAAGCAAGCGGTCGACAACATTCATCTCTGGAGGGGGCGGGGTCTAACTCGGTGGGTTTGACCCTAAATTAATTTTACAGCAGAATATCCCTTTAAACACTTGGATACAAACATTTAAAAACACAGAGTCACATTATAACCTGAACAAACAGAGAGAGAGAGAGAGAGAGAGAGAGAGAGAGAGTCTGAGTAAAAGACGGTTAAACGACTCGCCGACAGAGAAGACTGGAGTCTTTTCAGAGAGCGTCTGAATCTGTTCAAATCTGGTATTTCTGACTTTGCGAGATGGAGGCGGCCATCTTTGTTTTGGTTTGTCAACCAACCAGAGGCTGAATCGTGATCAGCTGACCTTTAGAGGCCCAATCAGACATCAGTCTGGGAATCATAAACGTGTGTTGTCACAGAAGGTTGAATATTCTGACTTTTATCCACACAGAGACTCCATGAAATCAGACGAGGGATCGATAAGGAACTGGATCGATTATCAGAACTGATCATTAGAATCAATACAGTCTCATCACTCTCTCATCGTCTCTTCACACAGAAACACAAACAGCTTCTCAGTTTCTGACCTGGAAAACAGACTGTAGTAAAACTGTAAATGTGGGTCCAGTAAGACTCTGGATCTGAAGGATCTGGATCTAAAATCGGTAAACCGGGACAAACCTGGTGACCTTGTCTACCTCGAGTCTGAGAGTCTTTCAGTCCGACCCACAGAGCTGAGCACAGCCTCTCTTTGTCTCCATCTTTTAGGATTTATCGAAAAGGGGTCAGAACCGCTCGCTGAGACATGCTGGACCCCTCCGCTTTCTCACGGGGTGAACAGACCGCCGCCATCAACCTCCTGCCCCCGGGCAGCTCCTCCATCACGCCGGGCCCACCCGTCCCACATCACGCCACCTCAACTGACTCGTTCTGCCCATCACCAGGGGCAACCTGAACACCCCCCCCCCCCCCCCCCCCCCCACTGACACAATCTGACAGGAAGCCGGGAGCCGCCAGGGAGGGCTGAGAGGACCGGAGACCTGAGAGAAAAGAGCGGCAGAGAGGAGAGGAAGAAAGAGAGTCGCTGCAGCCTGACGGAGAGCTGAGAGGGACGTGGAGTTCACCGGAGGGAGCGGCAGGCGGCCATGTCTGATCAGCTGATAGACGCTGACCGTGGTAAACTTTAAAAGAGGTGACAAACACCGTAGGTTAGAAAAGTGCGGCTGTGAGCGACGGTCTGAACGCCAAATCAGGATCAGCAAACTTCAAACACGGTCTGATCTGACCGAGAGGAAACTTACTGAGTGATTCTTTAAACCGACTGACCTGCTTCACCCAATGAGAGCCGACCACACATACGGGCACTGAGAAACCAAGTTAGTGCAAAACTGAACTTCTCAAACCGACACACACACAAACACACAAACAGACACACAAACAGACAAACAGACACACACACAGACAAACAGACACACACACAGACACACAAACAGACACACAAACAGACACACAAACAGACACACAAACAGACAAACAGACACACAAACAGACACACACACAGACACACAAACACACACACAAACACACACACAAACAGACAGACACACAGACACACAAACAGACAAACAAACAGACAAACAAACACACACAGACACACACACAGACACACAAACAGACACACACACAGACACACACACAGACACACAAACAGGTGTGTGATGATCCAGACTCTCCAATATTTCACTTCTTTATTTCTCCTCATGACCTGCACACACAGAGCGCTCTGTGCTCTCATACATGCAGGACTTTACGTCAGGAGGTGGTGACGCAGCGTCACAGACGTGTCCGAGATTGTTGTTCATTGTGAAACGGTCAGTTTATGGAGCAGGACAGGTGGAGCTGTGCATAAACTGTGTCGTCTGCTCATGACATGAATGTTGCATGATGGAGAGTTTCACAACGACAGTAAAGGAAAAGAAATCGATCCTGTTTGGTTCTTTATTATTCTACAGTATTTTATTTTATGATTATTTTGAGTATTTGAACACCCTGATGGTCCAAAGGACCGATGGTGGTGGACGGCTCCTCTCTCTTCGCTGCAGGACAGAAAGATTCAGAAGATCTTTGGACCAACAGACATCAGACTTCATCACTCTGCTGTAAATGTTAAATAACTTTTTATTATGTGAGACAACAGACAACTGAATTTATCTTCAGGGATTCATAAAGTTCTGCTTATCTTTCTTTTAATGATCTAATGTTGACTTTTCTAACCGATTCTATTCTATTCGATCCTTCGGTTGATTTCATTCTCTGATTCTATTGTAATTTATTCTATTTGATTCTATTACTTTTAGTTCTATACGATTTAAATCTATTCTCTTTGGTTCTGTTCTATTCATTACTAGTTTTTCATGTTTTTTTAAGGCAGTAACAGCAGATTAGTTCAGATACATATTTATTAAAACATGCTGCAGTATTTCATCCTCATCCCTAAAAACATTCATGCATTTGTTAAAAAAAAAATCCATCTTTATCTTAAAAAATAAAACTTTTGAAACACCTATTTCCATTTTCTAAAGACATGTTTCCCTTCTGGTTTGTTTTCAGTGTAACAGAGTATGTTCACACCGACATGCTCTCCTCTGCCACAGAAACACTGATGCTGCAGCAGGTGATGCGGTTAGCTTCATCCCGCACTTTCACGCATTTTTCAGACATTCCCTCGAAATTGTCGCCATGAAACACAAATATTTATAATCAAAACGACTAAAAACTGTCCAGAAGGTTTTAGTTCCGCGGTGTAGTTTGTAAAAATGCAGGTAGAGAGAGAAATGAGGCGAACAGAGCTCGGAAAAGTCAGAGACTTACTTCATCTTTATCAGACTTCTTCGTGTCCTCGCGCAGCCTCCGGTCCAGGCACGTGCAGCTCGAGGTTTTCCTGTTTCCTCCAAAAAGTCCTTCAGCATCAAAACCTGCAAAACCAGGAGACCGAGGATCTGACCGGAGAGGAGGAGAGGAGAGGAGGAGAGGAGAGTGGTGATGATGAGGGCAGAGTTAAAGGACCAACACCTCCTCCTCCTCCTCCTCTTCATCTTCATCCTCCTCCTCCTTAAATAATCCCTGAAGGACAGACTCAGAGGTGAAAAATCAAAGATGCTGATCACTAACTTCTTTAACAGTCTTATCTTCTGTCTGTACAGGAGCTTCATAAAGGAGGACTGATTTTACCCTGAACTGACATTTTTGACTAATAACTGATCAATATTAAAGCTGCAGTATCACACTTTTCTGTCCACTAGGGGGCAGAGTTTCTGTTTTCTGGACCTGAACGTAAAAAAAATCCAGAGGACTTTAAACATTAAATCCATAGACTGTATCTAGAATAGACGCCGTCTGCCTCCTCACTCTGAGAACAGCGCCCTCTGGTGACGGGCTGCAGTATAGGTCATAAACCCCGCCTCCTTATGGAGCTGTGGACAAACTTTATAAATGAATGACTCAGAATATAAATGTTTCTCCCCCCTGGTTGTGATGTTGACATGTAGTTACTGTCAGACTGGTTTGTGCTCAAGTCCTCTTTTTTCTGTACAGCTCCATTTTTAAAAGTTATTAGGGGGTTCATGTTTTCGATGATTGACACCTGATACAGCCTATGGGAGGACAGAGATTGAGTAGATCACCCGTTTGAACCAAGTGTCATCCCAGCAACTCTCCCGCTGAATGCGTACAACGCTACTGCGCAAAGTTGGTTTCAGGAAGTGGAGAAAAAAACAAAATTACAGAGAACTTCTCAGCTACAAATCCGTATACAGGCGAACAAAGTTGTCCAGAGTAAATACAGTCTCTGGTTAAACCAAATGCAGAAAATAATTTACTTGATGTTGAAACATTTATTAAAGTCGAATAACGATTATTCAGCCGCACAAAAGTCTTCATAAAAACGCTGAAACATTAAGACATTTTATGGAAACTAACGCGGTAAAAGTTTTAAAGTTAGCAGAAAAAAATAAAATCAAGAAACAAAAGATTTGATAATATTAAAAAAACACACAAAAAGGAGCTGGAATTGAACCAACTGAGGTATAACCTTCATAAATGAGGCTGTTGACCTTCAGGGACACAGCTTCATCAACAGGACATATAGGGTCACAGACATAGTACTAGACACCAAACATCTTTTTAACTTTGACTAATTTCTTTAGCAAAGAGACTAAACACAACTCACCTACTCTCTTCCAGCAGACGCTTGTTTGTAGCAAGACCTCAGGCCAGTCCATTACAGACTACAGCGGGGTGCCGCAGCTCAAGGAAGAACATTTATGATCATTTCTTCATGGAAATACGATCAGACCGAGACGCTAAGACAGAAGAACTACAGCGTCTGTAAAATGATCAATATGGTGATTATTACTTCAAGGAAATGATGAAGAAATGATCATAAAGGTGAAACGTCTCAAGTCCAGTTGTTCTTTCCATGCAGAGATTCATGTTGTTTGCATCAAGTTTAAATGAACTAAAAATACTCATGAAGTGATCAAACTCTCAGTTCAGTTTTCTTTGCACAACTTTTAATCAAAAATCGGGTTAAAATGATTCACAAACCCTTAAAATCTGTTTTTATCAACATTTAACCAAACTGAAAACCTTTTTAGTCTCACTTTTAACTACATTTTATATCATTAACTTTAAGTGTTTTTACATTTATCTCTTTCTAGTTTTAATGACAGGATCCTCTTTTATTGAGTTATTTTAATGCTCTTATTTTAGTTTCTTTTACTGTTGTTTTTATTTCACTTTATTTCTTAAATTTCCTTCTTTGTTATTTTGTTTTTAGATTTGAAACCTCCAGCGTTTCCTTGAGTTCTAAAATGACGTTTCCTCAGTGCACACTTTCAGTTCATGCATGTTAATTCTGTTTCTGATTCTGTTTAGACCGTTGGAATGAGGGGTTGGTTTGGGGTAGATGTGGGTTTTCTTTGTTTCTTTTATTCCTTATTTTGTGTAAATCACTGTATGATACATGGTCGTGTATGAAAAGTGTGATATAAATAAAGACTGATTGATTTAAGAAAGTGTCCTTAATTTTGTTAAATTGCAGTTCTATTTTCCTCTCCGTTAATCTTTAGAAATCAAACTTTCAGAGTCGGTGTTTCCGTTCAGTCTTCGCCCTCAGGTTAACTGGGAAATATGCTAAGTAGACAAATTCCTGGCGGATTGATTGTGAGTAATAAAAACCGAATTACACACAGGTGGTTGGTGCCGGGGGGATGTTTGTGTGGAAAGGTAAATCTGCTGAGTCCACCTTCCAAGAACTCCACCAGGGGGGGCCATAAAATCCACTGACAGAGTTGTTTGTTGTGTTATTAATACAGCAGGTGAACACATAATATGATGTAAGTCTCAGGTTTAATTAGTGACACAGATGTAAATACACCAGATCCACTGAGCTTTAGAAGGAGGTTTGAGGGCGGAGGCGGATTCAGAGATTTGGATGAACTCCTCAAACTTAAACGCTGATTTTGGAAATTCAAAAAGTCTTTACATAATCTGAACGAAGCTCTTGTTTCTCCAAGTATCTCAGGAGATCCTTCAGCCTCCTCCGTCTGCCAGCCTCTTAGACTGTGACCATGAGATGCTTTGGCCCGCTCTCCGGTGATCCTGGGGGTTTTCAGACGCCTGTTAGGTCAGCAGACAAAGAACAGACACTGGACTTGTCTGTTGTAGAAACTCTTTTAGAAAAGACCCGATTCCTCCAGATTCTGCCAAAAACCAGGATGGATGGCTGCCCTCGAGTCTCCCACAAACCCGCCTCCAAGAAGAGAAAACAGAGCTGCTGCTGCTGCTGAATCATCCTGAAGTTCATGTGTTTTTGTTCCTCTTTAATGAGCCGCTGGCTGCCAGCAGCTGTGTCTGCTCCGGCTTGTTTCAGGAGGGATGGCGTTCTGTATAATTAATGAGCTGGTGTTGGATTCACAGCAGGGAAAAAATGCTGATCAGCTCACCTCTGAGGACGAACACATGCTAGAGGATAAAACAGGAGAGGAGAGCGTGTGAGACGCTCCTTTAGTGTCAGATCTGAGGAAAGGACGAAGCTTTCCTGAGCTCTCAACAGAGGCTCGATGATTTCAGAGATTTACATTAAACACACAGAGACGGGTCAAAAACTCACATTTATAACCGTTTATATGGATCAAAAGTTCAGAGTAGAGAAGTTTGGACAGGAGGCGGTCGTTGAAGTTTGAAGAGTTGCATCTTGAATATTGGAGCTGCACCAAAAACAGATAATCATGAAAAAGTTCATGAATTTAAAAAGTGAAGTGACTCATCAAACATAAAGAGAGATTTGTTTGGGAGTCAATGAAGGTCTTCTGGACTCCTTCAGTCTGGACCATGATCGTGGTTTTGTGGACTGAACCGAGAGGATCAAGACTCTTCAGGGGTTCAGAGTTCATCAGCTGATCGGAGATCTTCTCAGGACTCAAATTTAACAAGAAACGGGACTTTTACACAATATATGAACATTTAATGAAACTCTGTCATGAGCCGTAAGAAAAGTTTAATTTTAAATAAACACGATCAATCGGCCGGCCGATTGATCGGCGCCGATTTCCTCAATTTTGGGGGAACAGAAATCAGCTGATCTTTACGTATGAAACCGATTTTATCCTCCGATCTTACCGACCTCAGCAAAGGTCTGAAGGTCAGCCATTGGAGCTTTTTGCTTTGCCAGAATGACAGGCCCGCCCACCAGGTCACGTGCACACACCCGTACGTCAGCGACACACACAACAATCATCCGAGCATGAGGAAGCCTGAACCAGGACAGTTTCTTGGTGGTTGAAGTTGTTGTCAGTTTGTCCTGTCGATTATTATTTTATGTTCAGTTAAAAAAACACAAAAGTTTGTTTTTTTTCCACGTTTTTCATTCAAATAAGATCGAAGCATCAGAGGTGGATGTTCTCAGTTACATAAAAAAAATCGTTACTGGCCAAAATCGGCAGGTCGAGCTTTTTAAAGATCGTGATCGGCCTAAAAATTGTGATCAGTGCACCCCGACTTTAAAGTTCAACTTTTAATACTCACAGTTTAGCCGACACAGATCCCTCCTGTGGGTTTGGGTCACAGCAGACCAGGACCAGGTTCTGGAGTCAGTGTGAAGCAGAAAATAACAGAAACAGAAAAAACCTGCAGGTTCAGATTTCACTGTGAGCAGATAAAGAGGCTGCAGCTTCAACAGACTTCTGTGTGCTTTAACAGTATGGCAGTATTACAGTTTATTCAGCAGAAACATTCACCACATTACAGAGCACTCAAACACACGTGGGCTGATCCTGTTCACGGTTTCTCTTTTATCCATCAGAGAAGATTTTTCAGCACAAATACAGAACATTTATTCTGTAAATCCTGCAGGTTACTCTTCGGTTTCACTAAAAGGCTTCCGGTATAAAAATCTTCATTTTAAAATCAAACTCAGGGAAGATCAGCCCCGTGTTTCAAATACATCGATGATTTTCCTGCAGAGCACCGAGAGACCTGAAGACGTGAGACTGAGTTTGAAAATGAGAAAAAAAAGGAGAAATGTACTGAAAGAAGAACGAGGCTCAGAGACGAGTTAAACTTTAGTGGTGTGAAAGTAAAAGGTGGTGTGACTGTCGTTGGAATGAGGATAAGACTGCCCCCTAGTGGCTGCAGCTCCTTTTACCCTGAGAAAGCCTGAGCAGTTCTTCTCTTCCTCTCTCAGTATTTAAAGTGGGAGCAGACGTGTTTCCAGTTTTGTCACATCCTCAGACACAAACCTGCCTCACTCCACATCATCTTTATACGCTCTCTTTATTTCCAGATTGTCTCTTTAAACCTGGAGCTGACTGGCCTGAACCGGACGCCAGAGTCCTCTCCCACTCCGCCTCCACCACCTTGTAAAGCTCCATGGTGGCTCGAGCGTCCTCCACGGAAGAGTGACCTCTCTTTCCGGTCTGAGGACACAAGAAGAAGAAGAAGAAGAAGAAGAAGAAGTTTAAGGACACTGATGAGGAATAATGTGATCGTATCAGTGTTGTTTTCGTCAGGCAGGACGAAAACTTAAATGACGACGTCAGACCCCTTTTTTCCTTGACGAAAATGAGACTAAGACAAACGTCACCAAAGCTCTGTAAAGACTAAAATGTGACGAAAACTGTATTGATTTTCATCAGACGAGAACGAGACGAGACTAAATTGTTATTAGGTGGACGAACAAAGTTTCAGAACATGCTTTTTTTTGTCCTAACAGTCACGCCCCCATCACACACGCACCAAAAGCCTCGCTCGCGCACAGCTGCGCGCACACACTCATATACATGCACAGAGCGGCAGGTGGACGAGGCGCGCACACACACACACACACACACACACACACACACACCGTGGCAGCAGGCACAGCAGCGGTGCCCGGTGGCCGAAAAAAGAGGGATGATTTTGGTCCTACTTCAGATACAGTCCAAGTGACAATAAAATAAAAGTGACAATAAAACACGAGACGGGGAGACGAGACAGACGACAGTTGTGGAGCCACAGCTTCTTCATGCTGCCGCTTCAAACTGTCGGGAAAGAACACCACGAACCTCAAAAGGCACCTTTACGTCGACTAAAACTAGACTAAAACCTTTTGAGTTTTCGTCGGACTAAAACTAGACGAAAACGAGGAAGCATTTCGTCAAAATGACTAAGACTAAAACTAAATCTGAAATGCCTGCCAAAAACAACACTGGATCGTATTTACAGACAGTTGCTGAAAACTCAGGCTGATCATCTTCTGCTGTCAAAGTCATCCTTACAGGTGATGCTGCGTTCGAGTCACCTCGGAGGTCAGAAGTCGGAGCTGAAAATGACGTCACACCCGAGTTCCCAGCGTTTCAGTTCCCAAGTCAGAAAAAAGCGAAATCGGAGGCAGAAACAAGATGGCCACACCTATGAAGGTTATTTTAGCACTTCCTGTTTCAGGCCCAAAATTTCGCTTTTTTCCGACTTTGTAACTGAAACGCTGGGAACTCAGGTGTGACGTCATTTTCACCTCCGAGGAAACTCGAACGCAGCAACAGTTCTTGTTTTTAATCACAAACAAACATGGCCGTGGACATAACTGACTGTGACGACTGTAAAAATACGAGGTCAATAACTCGATGGCGTGTCCGTGGCGACGCTCTCCTCTCACCTGGATGTCTCTGTTGAAGATGGCCTTGGTGAGTCTCTTCAGCGAGGCGCTCTGGTTGTCGGGGAAACCGGCCTTCTGGTTGAGCAGAGGGATTCGAGACGTGTCCCTGGTCATGGCGGCTGGATGAGAGTAACCGAGGACCTTGAAGTCGTTGTGGATGGCGTGGCCGATCACCACCTTCCCGTTGAGCAGCTTCAGTATCTGCAAACATCAGAGCGCTTCACTCAGTAAACACGTTCTTATGAGAGACTGTGAGATAAGCGTCAAACTCAGGGGGGTCAGAAAACTCTACCTCCTTCCTGGCGACGGCGTACGGCGTGGCATTGTTGAGGTCACTGCACCGGACGCCGCTCCATCGTGTGCGGTAGTCGGTGACGGGCATGGAGGGCTTGATGAACTTATCGTAGACCACGTCCCCGTCGAAATTCACCACGCTGCAGCGAGCCAGCTGGTTGATGCTCCCCTTTGGTCCCGCCCCCACCATCTCACAATCGATCGCCAGGTACTTGGTGGGGATTCCTGCGGCCGCCGTCTTCGCCGTGGGCTGTTTATGGCTGCTCGATGCAGAGGAAGCAGGGGTGGAAGCAGCTGGTCCTGAGCTCCAGGGTGTCTTTGGTTTGACGTGGCGCTCGCTGCTGTTCACAGTGACCGTGAAGGAAGGCTGGATGTGTGCGGACGCCGGCGGCCTGGAGCTGCTGTGTGGAAACCCGCCGACTGAAAGGTTCTTGTTTGGTTTGGATCCTGAAGGTCTGCAGTCAGAGGTCGCTGTGCTGCTTGAAGAGGGTAAGAAGTTGCTGTTTGGTGCAGATGTTGAAGAGTCGTAGCCGCGCTCTGAGGTTCTGGCCGTGCTGCCTGGATGGCGTAAACTGTTGTTGTTAGTGGAAGCAGAAAATGACGATTGCTCCGCCGGCGCCCCGTTCCAACGCTGAGCACGCCTCTGCTTCTTCATCCTGTTGTTGCTCTCATATCCACCCTCCGTGCTGCTTTTCTTCTCGGATTGGTGCCTCTTTCTCTTTAACCTCTTACCTTTTCTCTCACCTGCATGTGGCGCTGTCGTCGTTGTGGTTTCAGGAAGATGGTTTATACTGATCCAGATGTCTGACATCGCTCCGGTTGGAAAGTACGGTTTCCTAAGAATGGACTTGCAGAAAAAACCAACACGGGCCGCTTTAGTCTGACCTTGTGAACAGCCCCTCCCTCTTTAAAGTCTCGTTTGTATCAGCTGAGATCAAACACGGAGCATCGACCTGCAAAACAAACACAGAGCAGTCAAACCCTCATTACTGCATGACCTCTCATCAGGACACCACATCATCCTCCTTAAAGGGATACCCCGCGGTTAAATCCCGAGTTCTCACCTCACCATCACCATACCTGACTCCCCTGTCACTCAAAGCCAAGCCACACCCCCAACATTATAAAACCCAGCCCTCAGGCCTTCTCTTCACCTACTCTCCTCCAGCAGACGCTTGTTTGTAGTGAGACCTCAGGCCAGTCCATTACAGACTACAGCGGGGTTTCGCAGCTCAAGGAAGAACATTTATGATCATTTCTTTATCATTTCCTTTAAGTAATAATCACCATATTAATCATTTTACAGACGCGGTAGTTCTTCTGTCTTAGCGTCTCGGTCTGATTGTATTTCCATGAAGAAATGATCATAAATGTTCTTCCTTGAGCTGCAGCACCCCGCTGTAGTCCGTAATAGACTCAGACCGCTGTGTATTTCTATCCTGCGGTCGTTACTAAAGTTGGTATAACTAGAGAAACAAGCGGTCGACAACATTCATCTCTGGAGGGGGGGTCTAACTCGGTGTTACGGTGGGTTTGACCCTAAATTAATTTTACAGAATATCCCTTTAAAGAAAGCTTCCAGTCCAAAACCCAGTATCCCTGATGGTATGAGGATCATTAAAGTCTTTGTCATGGGAAACTCCAACATCTGTGAAAGTTTTTGGTTTCAGCTCCAGAAACAGTTTTAATTCATTTCACGACTAAAGAAAATATTAAACAACTTCACAAACATCACTAAAGTCTTCAGTTCTTCATCATTTAGAAAAACAGTAAAAAAATCACCTTATGTTGAAGAATGTGTTCAGATGTCATCTTCAGGGTTCAGATTTAACTTTTCCTTTAAACACGGAATCCACGTGAGCCGTTAGCTGAATAAACGGAAATTCAGAGACTAATTACGAAATACTCACTGAATACAAATATAACCTGATACACTGTCCACTACACATGTTTGTGGACATAAAGGAGTTAATATCGAGTTAATACAAACGAGGAAAACCTTAAAAGAAACTTCAGAAAATGTGAAACTAGACCTGAAGCACAGAGCGGACCACACGAGTCTGTAGGCTCAAAACAAAGTATCTACATCCGGGTCACGGGCTGCGTTAACTGAAAGTCAGTAAAAATTGAGACTTCGATGATTTCAAGATACAAAATATTAAATCTGTGAGACACAAAAGACATGTCAAATTGTGAGTTTTTTTCCTCTAAAACATCCATATTTTAAACCTATAAAACAGTACGGTAAAATATGACGGAGTATTAGGGCCACATTAAGGGAAAAAATTAAAGACTTCGAGATTCGAGACTTCGAGTCGTAATAAAATCATTACTTACGAGATTAAAGTCAAAATAAAGTCTTTCTATTCTTACCTGTTGTTCAGTTGTTGAAATTAGAGCCATGGATAATTTCGTGAAAATTTACTTTAATATAGGTTTCTTAAACAAGGAGATAATTAATCTTAAGTATCACAATTATTGTATTACGACTTTATTTTCGTTAGTAATGACATTATTTTCCTAATTCAACGACTTTGATCTCGAAGACTTTTTTTACTTACTATTATTACTACTTTATTACTTACTATTATTATTATTATTATTATTATTATTATTATTATTATTATATTTTAACCCAGATCTGCGTCCCGCAAACACTGTTTAACCTTCTTCCAAGACACTACATGAACTGCTATTGTTATTGGTCCTGGTATTATTAGTAGGAGTAGTAGGAGTAGAAGAAGTGGAAATTGTAGTAGATTTAGGTTTAGTATTAGTGCGACTATAATTAAGTATAATAAAATTTGTTACGTTAAAACAGAAGCACCGACCAATAAAACCGTAATTAACGAGCAGCACCTGAACGCATCAGGATGCTAACTATCAAAGTTACAGTTAGCTAGCAGCTCAGCGGCTAAAGACGACACAAATCTGAAAAATTTAACATTTTAAACTTTCGTTATGAATGGCAATTTTATGTTATTTAAGGTCTTTTTACTTTTGAGTAATTTTAGACTATTCTCGTCTCAGACTTCGGTGAATAACTGAGCATTAACGAGCTAACCTCTGTTAGCTGTTGTGGGTAAAAGTGTTTGTGAAGCTCATCATGTGGAGATGTTTTCAGCAGCAGAACAACAGAGAGATCTGTCCCGAAGACTCACCTCCTTTCTGTCTCAGTACAGCCACCTGTCAGACTCCTTTATCATCGTGAGTATCGACCCCTGACTTCTGTTTTTAACTGAATAATAACAAATAATAACAAAGGAACGGGAGGATTAAGGAATAACAGACTGTTGTGATCAGAAACAAACACTTAAAGCTCCTGGAAACACATTTCTGATGACCTGACGGTGTGAAATCATGAGAAATGTTCTTTACAGACAAAAGTTTTGAGAATGACACAAATATTAATTTTCTGCTGCTTCGGTGTGTTTACATCCTTTCCTCAGATGTTTCTGTGTTAAACTGAAGTTTAATGACAAACATTTCAGTTTGTTAGTTTTTGTTTGTCCATCCACGTCTGGAGGATCGACCACAAGTCCTCTATAGGATGAAGGTCTGAGGAGGTTCCTGACCAAAGAAACCCAACAGTTGTAGGTTTTTTTTTCCTTGAGCCGCTTAGTTTTCACTTCAGCCTGATGATAAGGAGCTCCATCATGCTGGAAAATATTGATCGTCACCAAACTGATAAGAATAACTTTATTAATCCTCGAAAGGTAATTCAGTTGTCTGTCGTCTCATTTGTCATGTCTAAACTAAAAGTCATCTACAGAACGGTTATAAAGTCTGGTGGCTGTTGGTACAAAAGATCTTCTGAATCTTTCTGCAGCAGACTTTGTGAAAATTATTTCTTGGGTCGTTCTCTAAACTTTTGTTCACAGCTGTTCACCCTGGACTCGGCCCTCTTTGTCAAAAGTGCACATGTTGAATAAGGAAGAATGAACTGTTGTTATAATCATGTTAAAGGATCCTTCAGGTTGTTTTACATAGTTAGGACATTTCTCTCAGCTCTTAGTCGTGTCTTTATAATCTTATTGTTCTCCCTCTTCAGGAGTTCTTCACCGAGGATCTCTGGCACACCTTACCTGAGTCCTGGCAGCTGGTTCTTCAGGACTTGACATACCCACAGATAGCAGACCTTTTACTGGACGCCACACATGGAGATGGGAGGAGGTAATATTGGATTCAAATTGGACTCCTTAGAGATCCTCGTATCAAAGAAGAAACAAGTGAAAATGGAAATAAATAAAATATGGTAAAAAACCAAATATTATTCCACAAACCAAAGCAAACACCAGCTCAAGGCAGTGGCGATTGCTCTAAGACTGCAAGGGAAGCTCGGCTTCCCTTAAAATGTCACCCCCCCCAAAAAAAGAAAAAGTGGTGAAATACGTACGGCTGTGTGTACATTTCATTAACTAAATACGCACTAGAAAGCCTTCATCTTTTGTTCAGACACTGTGATAAGAAGCTGATAATCACAGGTAACCGGCATAACTTCGTTCTCATTCATCCTCGCAGCGCCTCAGCGCTTCAAACAGCCGGACGCTGGGCTTCTGCTGACTTCAATGTGGAAGCTAAAAGTGGGTTGTTCCAGCAGCAAAACTAGACGCTCATTGGATAAATGCTGGGCTTTGTCCCGCCCATCGGAAGCTAAGCTTCACTGGAGTTCTATGGCGAGAGGGCGGTCCCGACTTTCTCCCGGACTCCAAGCTTCTGCATCCATGATTGGATGAGCTGTCTGAGGCGAAATCCTTTTTTGATTGACAGCTAAACAAGCGAATCAGCGATCTTGAAGAATAAAACATCTACCAGAGCATTTTCCAAGTCATTCATTCCGTTGTTCTTAACTGCTCCGGAGACTTTACCGATCCTCAGCGACTTTTGTCTTTGTTAAAAACGACTGCCGTTGTGTTTGGCGACTCTGTTCTGTTACATACTAATAAACAAATACAATTATGATGTAGGCCAGAAAAATGAGCTTCCCCTCCTTGAAAGACCAGCAGCAGCCACTGGCTCAAGGCTAACACCCCGGGACCACAGCAGAGGTCTAATAAAACTCCTCCATCATCACGTTTTATTACAATCAGCTTTAATTTCTTTAAAACTGAGCTAAACTCAGGGGTCCGAAGCTACTGCACACTATCCTCTCATTCCTGATTGGATACCCCTGAAAGTATGAAAATGTAAACATAAATATATCACCACTCAGAACTCTTCACTCTTCACCGATTTTAGTTTAAAAAAAAAAACACTACACACAAATCCTCCTGTTCCCCACAAATCAACAGCTAAACACTGAAAGAATGAGTCCTAAATTTAACAGTCCCCCCAGTTCAGCGTCCGATTTCCTTTTGGAGAAGAAGGCAATGAAAATTCTGAAGGTATGGTCCTGATCCAGCCACCCTAGTCCAACAAAAATAGTCCTCCACAATCCCCCAAACCAGAATAATCCACCAAAAGGAAACATCAGCGATGTGTTGCAAAAAAAATAAAAGAGTAATCCAAAGATCGGAGACTCACCAGTCCTCAGATGACTCCCTCTGAGCCCAGCTCTGACCGTCCCCCCGCTCTCTGACCAATGTCAGGGACGGTTGAGGATTACCTGCAGCTCCAGATGTGTCCGGGGTTTCCTCACTCGGGATCAGAGGCCCGTCTTCCCTGGAACCAGCCGAATCTCTCCTCAAACGTTTCCTCCTGCTCCTCTATTGTTCTCCTTCTGCCCTCATCCCCCTCTCTTCACACCTCTGCTCACCTGTCTGCAGCAGGTCACCTGACCAGACTGTCTGCAGCTCAACAGACCACACCCCAATCACACACAGACACTCACAAAGGTATAAGAATAATTTAAATTAAACTTACGGTTTGGTCTTTTCAGTCAGTGTGAATACTCGCTGTAACTGCTGAATGTGCTGATACTATTTAACTATTTAACCTCGATAATAATGAACGTATGTTTGTTTACAGGTATCCGTCAGTGTGGCCTCTGTCTCTCCTGGCGTTTCGGGCCACCGCTCACGCTCTGGCGTTTCCCAGAGAGTCCAAACAGGATGGAGGCAGAGCGGCGGGGTCGGTGAAACCCGAAGAGTTCTTGGAAAACCAAAGTCAGAGCTCCCTGCTGGGTCACATCTTCAGGAAACACGTCAAACCCAAGAAACAGCATGAGATCCGCAAACTGGGCACGGTAGGAAAAAACAGCTTAAAAACACGGGTCTGTGTTTCTGTCAGCAGGTTTTTAATCCGTGTTTTCTGATCTCAGCTGGTCAAAGAACTCTGTGAGCGGACTGACTGCAGCCGAGTGGTGGACGTCGGTTCTGGACAGGTATCAGATCAACTCTCTTACTGGTCCTGGAGAAGAACGAGGCTGCAGGTTCAAACACAGCGGAGTGATTCTCTCTCTCTCTCCTCCATACAGGGTCATCTCACTCGCTTTATGTCCTTTGGGCTCGGTCTGTCTGTGACCGCCATCGAAGCTGACCACACTCTGGTTTCAACGGCGTCGAAGTTTGACGGGCAGTTACTTTGGGCCTTGGAGAAGGAGATCCAGAAAAAGGTGGGTGTTTTCATTCTTTGGTGTTCATGGAGAGCTGAGTTTTCAAAGTCAACATCAACATGATTCTTCTTCTCAGAATCCCTCCATCCCTGTTCTGGTTGCACAGTCCTCCCCTCGCCACGTAGCAGGTTGGGTGAACCCCAAAGCATCATGGGAGGACTTCATCAAACAGCTGAATTCTGCTGAGTGTGTCAAAGACGGTCCCCGAACTCCATCTGGACCCAGTAAAAAGAGGCTGCGGGGCTCCGGCCATCCAAGACCGCCACATCAGGACCAGGTTTCAGCGTGTCTGGGTCGCTCAGACCCTGATTCTCTCTCAGCGGACTCTGGAACGTCATCGCCATCACTGCTGAGTAAGAACCAATCAGAGGAGGATCCCCAGCCGAGTGTGAACGTGACCGACCTGGGAGGTTACCCGGACTTTGTCCTGACCGGTCTCCACGCCTGCGGTGACCTCAGCGCCACGCTCCTTCGCCACTTTGTGAACTGTCCTCATGTCCGTGGAATCACCTCCGTGGCGTGCTGTTACATGAAAATAACAACGAAAGAAAACCCCGCCCCTCCAGGAGTGGTGGAACGGCCCACTTTGCTGGCGTCAGGGAGGGAGTCCCCGCCCTCAGGGTTCGGGTACCCGATGAGCTCCTGGGTGCGAGGGCTGCCAGGTCACCAGCTGTCCTATAAGGCACGAGAGGGGGCGTGTCACGCCGTGGAGGACTATGTAAGGAGACTACGGGAGGGGAGCGAGTTACTGAAGACGCACTGTTACCGAGCCATGCTGGAGACCTTCATCAGGGACACGAGACCGGATCTACGCAGGGCGGGAATCCAGACCATCAAGAAAGCCCACTTCTTACGGTTTACAGAGTGAGTCCACACACAGACGGTCTTTAGGAGGTCTGATGTTCCACCAACACAAACACTGTTTCTGTTCAGGTACGCCCGTCTGGGTCTGGCCCGGGTCGGTCTGCCTCCAGGACTGCCTCTGGACCCGGATCGTGTGGAGGCCATGCTGCAGCAGCAGGGCCGGGTGGTGGTGTACTTCAGCCTGAGCCTGCTGCTGGCTCCTGTGGTGGAGACGCTGGTGCTGCTGGACAGGATGATCTACCTGCAGGAGAACGGTGAGACCCCGGAGTCTGAACGGGTTTGAGAGGCGCTGCAGTCCGTCTCTGTGAAGAGAACGAATCATTTTAATGAACGGATCCTAAAGACTCAGTACAGTCTTTAGGTCTTTAGTCCCATCACTAACCGAGTCAAATGTCGTCCTCAGGATCTTTAACAATGTTTTTCAGTATGCTCTCCTATCTTATCCTAAATAAACTACACTTTTGTCCTCCTGCAGGTGTGGACAGTCAGCTGGTTCCTCTCTTCAACCCAAACTTCTCTCCCAGAAACTTTGTGCTGGTGGCTCTGAAGTCTCGAGGATAAGGAGAAGAAAACAGGAAATCAGTTTTAGAGCACAAACTGTGACTAAAGACGACCAACGTCACCTCTGTCTGAAACTAAAGAAGGAAGTCTTCTGGTTTTAACTTCTGCTTTTAGGGATATTCAGGAATAATCATAAAAAAAGGAACTTTGTTTTTTATCCTGGTCCAGGATCAGGCTGCAGATCTGAAACTCTGGTATCATTCAGAATGTCCAAACGTCTGCTTTCATCGTCTTCCTGCACGTCCTCACGGAGCTCTGAGGCTGTCCTGTGATTGGCTTTCGTTTAAATGACTTTGTGCATGAATGAAAGGAATATTTAATGAGGTTTGACTTCTTTTTTTACTTTATTTATTCTCTCTGTGGAGCTTTTATGTATCTGTAAGTTTTTTCTCAAAAGCAATAAACAAAACGGCTGAGAAATAAACGACGAGACTTTTCAAAGAAGTTATTTGAGGTGAACGTCCGACAGGATCATCACATGACCGGGTCTAACCCCCAATTTCCACCGCATCCAGAACGGCTATGAAAAGGCCGTTCCTCTGTGGATCGCCGGACTCTGACGCCGGAGCATGGCGGATAAATTCAGCACAGATTAACCCGTGCTGGAAAGGAAGTCGGGCACAGACTTCAAAATAAAACATCCGGCTTCTTTTCAAAATAAAACACTCCGTGTTTCAGGAGGATCGTATTTCACACCATGCAAACGGGCGGAGACGAACAAGTGAAAGGTTTTTAGACGTCATTTCACCCCGATGACACCATGGATGAGGAGATGCTGATTCTAGAAGTCTAGAAGTAGATTTCCTCCTCTGGAAGGACACAATCTACTGCTTATATGGTTAGCCTCTGTGGCTAAAAACAACTTCACATGATTGAACATGAATCTGCGGGTTCTCGTGAGTTCTCACGATTATCGCTGTCCATAATCCGCCACGAAATTTGCTTCACAAACGGATCCAGTAAGAATCGGAAGACCTTGAAAATTGCCGCCGTTCCGGATGCCGTGGAAATTCGGTGTAAGACGGACGTTCAGAGAGGCGGAGTCTCTCAGAAGGAAAGATGGAAGAGGTTCAGGACTTTGTGAGAGACTGTGTGAGCGAACAGTTTCAGAATAATGTCCTGGAGAAATCTCTGTACTTGGACAAGGACCAAAACCAAGACTGGATGGTCCTGATCTACAAGGCACTAAAAACAGACCGGACTCTGGAGTGGGAGTCTCCACATCTGGACCTACTTGAGACGTTTCGCCTCTCAAGTAGGTCCTGTAGTCCTTTCAATGAAAAATGTGAAATCATAGATGCTGCATCCTCCGTTTTGAAGAGTAGAGGGTCCATCAGGCTCGCTGAAATCCTCTGTCAGGGAAAAATAGGAGTCCAGAACCTGGTCTGCTGGGTTCACTAAGGTCTACAGAGGGTTAGGAGAAGAAGAGGTAAACATGATCCTGTCCTGACTGTTTATAAACGTGTTACCGGCACTAAATATGAGGAATGAATCTTCTCTGTTTTCTGTAACATCTCCTGACATCGTCTCTGAAGGATTTCAATGATTTTCAGACGATCAAACTCTGTTTTTAATCTCAGTTTTACAAAGTGTCCTCATGTTTTAAAGGTTGTTTTTTTCTTACTGGGATGTCAGAAACCGTTCCTCATGTCGAAGTCTTTTAAGGTCAGCCCCAAACTCCAACACTGAAGTCTGAAAAACATCTTCAGTTTTTTTTAGACTAATCCTTGTTTATTTTCCTGCCCTCGGTAAATATTTCCCAGCAGAACTCGAGGTTAGTGTTCCAGCTTTTGTGCAACTAGTTATCACCCCCCACGGTTTCCACAGAAAGCCACAATCGGATCCAGATGTGGACTTTCAGAGTGAAGCTGCTGCTGCTGCTGCTCTGGGACCAGTTCTGCTCTCATTATGTGCTCAGCATCTTCTGGATCTGATGGTCCTAAATCAGTGCCTCCTTTGTAGAGACTCCATTCGTGGACTCCTACTCCACCTCCTCCTCCAAAGACACAGACTGCTCTCGAACCTCCAGCAGTTTTTCTCTCCAGCACAGGGCGGTGTTTGAGCAGAGCCATGAAGTCTTTGGTTCTGGTGGCTTTGTGTCTGCTGATGTCTCCTCAGGAGACACTGAGTGCATGGTCCAGCTGTAAGCCAGTGACCTCCAGTTTCTGTCAAGGTCTGGGGTACACCACCTCCGCCTATCCCACTGGAGTTTCGGGCTACAACCTGCAGCAGATCGGTCAGATGGTGGAGACGTCTTGTTCGCAGCACGTTGCCACGCTCCTGTGTCGCGTCGCCGTGCCTGAGTGTGACTCTGACAACGACAACTCGAAGAAACCGTGCAGGTCGCTCTGTGATCGAGTCAAGAGGGACTGTGAGGCGGCCTTCAGAACCAAGAGGCTGACCTGGCCTTCAAAGCTGCGATGTGAGTCCTTACCGGAGAGTAACTGTATCCAGGTACGTCTGAAGAAACATCGACTGTCGTTTCTTTAGTTTTTCTTCGATCGTATTAAAGAAAAACAATCACAGACTCTTTAAGAGTCGTTTCAACCCTGGACTTCAGTAGGACCCCATGATTTAGTTAAAAAAAAAGATCACGGTATACTTCGCCATTTTGTCCGATCTTGATTTATCGTCACGATTTTATTTTTTTAACTGCCTGTTTTAAAGCATCTGAACTAAAAACTAAAGAAACTAGAGATCAGTTCAACATTTTATTAACATTTAAAGTAAATAAAGAAAATTAAATAAGATAAACTTAGAAAAATAAAACCATTTAAACTGAACAGAACAACAAACGTGGATAAAAACTCAATAATCCAGTGAACTAGTTTACAGTTCTGAGTGTTTCGGACCCCTCAGAGAAAATGAAGACGCCTTAAAATCTAAACATTGATGATGTTAATGTAGCTGATCAGATTGATTGATTGATTTTTGCTTTGGTCTGGTCGCTGCACCGCTAGTTGTAGCTAAACTGCTAATGCTGCATGTGCCGTCGACAGTTTCAGGCTGTACAGACTCCGCCCACATTTTCAGACTCCGCCCACATTTTCATACTTTCCCCAAAAATCACTCGGGAAGAACTTCTTCAAATAATTGAACAGATCTGTTGTGTTGCCGATCTTTGAGGCACTGACCGCCGACATACCTTACACATCGGCTTAATTACTCTACGTCACTTCGGAGATACCTGAACCATCGCCACACGACCGACGATCAGTAACTTTTCTTCTCAACAATGGCGTCTTTGAAGGATGACCCAGAGGCTACATTCACTCTGCAGGTTCTGATGCAAAATTCCGATTTTTTGTTAAATCCGAAAAGAAAAACAAACTGGATAAAAAGGGTTTGCTGACCTACAAACACTTAATACCACCTCCACTTCGGGCTGGGCCACCCCAGTCAAAGAAGTCTGGACACGCCCCTGTTGTTGTTTTTTCTTTCTGCGTGTGTTGTTGAGGTAGTAGTCTTGTTAATCTGACACCATTAAACGCTGGTCCTCATCATCCAGGGTCAGGAAAGCCGTGCTGCTCCTGCGGCCTTCCCGCCGGTCCTTCCCGGAGTGGCTCCAGCAGCGACCACTCCGAGGTGCGAGCCAATCAGCATCTCTCTCTGCCAAGACCTGGACTACCACGACACCATCATGCCCAACCTTTTGGGTCACACCAGACAGGAAGATGCCGGTTTGGAAGTCCATCAGTATTCCCCTCTGGTCAGGGTGGAGTGCTCCCCCCAGCTGAAGCCCTTCCTGTGCTCCGTCTACGTACCTGAGTGTGAGGAGGGGAAACCTCGAGCCCCCTGCAGGACGCTCTGTGAGCAGGCCCGAGCCGGCTGTGAGTCCCTGATGAGGAACTTTGGATTCCAGTGGCCTGAAGCTCTCAGGTGTGAAGGTTTCACCACCGACACCTGCGTCCGGGTAAGTCACGTCTGTAACCTGCTGGATAAACAGGATCACATCTGATCTGGTCACATCAGCAGAACCAGCACCACCAGTCCTCGGTTCTCCTTCAGTTTAATTAGACAGACTTAAAGTAGGGGAGACCGGGGCTTGTTGTCACACTTTTTACACTCTTCTATATTTCTTTGAATCAGTCCATCACATATAAACTAAAATGTGAATCAGATGAAAGAGCAAAGTCTCAGGTAAATAACCAATCAAACAGAGATTGTGATCATGTGACATGCTGCGCCACCATCAGGTAAGTTGTCTCACTACATGGCTAAGATGTCACAGTGGATTTTACAGCTGATAAAACAAAATTATTGTTTCTCATTTTTTTACCTGAAAGTGAAAATTAAAGTCAGACACAGAAAATGTTTAAATGAGTTAAAGAAAAAGTCATTAAACAAACATTAACATTAAATATTATCATCATACTCTGGAGTTTGGAGGTCTGTCTGACTCTGTTTTCCAGCTGGGGTGAATGTTTTACAGTACCAACAGGCCGGGCGGCATGGGTGGGCATTGGGGGGCCGTGGGGGGCCACCCAAACTACCATGTTTGTTAATTAAAGCTCTAGATTAAAGTTAGATTAAAACAGAACAATGACTGAGGTCTGACAGGATGATCTCTCCTCTAACAGGTCCACATGTTTCACTGCTAAGACTTTTATCTGAAAGAAGATTATTTTAAAATTTAAAAAGTTAAACATTTTTTACTTTGTGTAAAAAAGTTCATTGTCGTTCATCTCAGCTCAGTGTTCTCTTCTCTTCTCAGACAGGACACCAACCCTGACCACGGAAAGGAAGAAATCTAGTATTCCACTTTTTTATTGCGCCCTCTGGTGGCAAAGATAATTGCGACGTGACTTACCCATGTGACAACCAGCCCCGGTCTCCCCTCGTTGTTGAGGAAACTTCAGCGATTTTTTCATTTTTCACTCGTTTCTTTCCGTGTCCCCGCAGAAACCAGCCTTCGCTGTGCCGACAGTTCCTCCTGGAAAATGTCAGAAGATCACCGTCCCTCTCTGCCAAGGCTTACAGTACACCGAGACCTTCCTCCCAAACCTTCTCGGCCACGCCACTCAGAAGGAGGCGAACATGATGGCTTCATCCTTTGTGCCGCTCGTGCAGGTGGAGTGCTCGCCCCACCTGAGGCCTTTCATTTGCTCCGTCGTCACTCCTGAGTGCGTGTCAGGAAGACCGAAACCTCCCTGCAGGACCCTCTGTGAGCAGGCTCGCATCGGCTGTGGGACTCTCATGAGCGGGTTTGGGTTCCAGTGGCCTGAAGCCCTCAGATGTGAGAAATTTACCACCGAGTCCTGTGAACATGTGAGTCTGTACGGTTCAAACATGAAGACAGTAAACAAACTAAAAACAGGGTTGGAGTTCTCACCACGTCTTCACTTCACTCACAGCAAACATTCAAGCTTTGCAGCAGAATCCACAGAAGAAGTCAGTCAGCAGAGTTTTACACACAAGTGTGTATAAAGTAAGGCTGCACGATATTGGAAAAAAATAATATTGCGATTTTTTCAACCCTGCGATATATATTGCGATATTAAAAATACAGTATTTTCACCAGATGACCTGAATAGCACTTAATGTTATGCTGCACTGCTGAAATCTTGAGGACAGTTACCCTGCACTGATCTTACCTCTTTTTGTGAATGTTAGTAGAACGGCTTCTGTCTGTCTCAGAGATATTTTTAGCTTTTATTGTGCTGGGACGTTATTGTGGCAACAGATGAACACAGAAGACGTGTTTTGGTCGACATCATCCTTCTTTTAACCGAAATAATTCCAGATAACTGACTTTCCTTTTCTTTTTGGCAACAAATCTTCATTTTCGGTGGTTTTCGCTTGTTCGTTGTTCATTTTGCGATCGTTGTTGTTATTGTTAGCGGTGTTGTGCTGAGAAACGCATGTCCTCCGAGAATTGCATGCATCTCGCAAAACGCGCACTGCTTATAGTAGAGTGGTCCACGGAAATGTACAATTTAAAACCCATACAGTTCTTATTTGTTGGGCTTAATAGTCATGAGTAAAGTTCCGATAGTAATTCTCAGCGGACACACGTCTCCCTCCATGTGCAGAACATGTGCAGGGGTGGGTTTCCTCCTCTCTGATTTTAATTGACAGCTGGCAGGGTAGTCTGATTGGCAACTGAGAAGTGAGTCTGATTGGTAACTGAGTTAAGGACGAATGTGATTGGTGGATCGCTGCACAGCACATGCAGAGTCACATGGAGTGTATCTCAGTCGGTTACCCTTGAAATTAAATGAGTTCATTCACCTCCAGTATCGCAGGCTCTGATGTGACTATCGCACACACGTACATCGCGATGACGTTAGTCAAACGATATATCGTGCAGGCCTAGTATAAAGTGTGTACGTGTGTTTGGTTCCAGTACGGAGTCAGCAGCAGCGGGGGGATCTGCGAGCCCATCACCATCCCCATGTGTCAGGGCCTGTCCTACAACCTCACCATCACTCCAAACCTCCTGGGACACGTGAGTCAGAGAGACGCGGTGGTGAGGATGTCCTTCTTCAACTCCTTTGTCCAGACCATGTGCTCGGTGGACATCCGCCTCTTCGTGTGCACCGTCTACGCCCCCAAGTGTGTGGCGGGGGAAGTGCAGAAGCCCTGCAGGTCCTTCTGTCAGAGAGCCAAACAAAGCTGCGAGGGCTTGATGAGGAGTTTCGGCATTTCCTGGCCTCAGGAGCTGCAGTGTAACGCGTTCCCTGATGAGATGTGTATATCGGTGAGACATGGACTCTTTTTAATCACTAAAGACGTGTCGTACCTGAAAACGAGGAACCTCACCTTTTCTTCTGTCTCTTTTTTCCACAGGAGGACGGTCGACCTGATGTACGTCAGCTAAGTTTTCTCAGAAATGTGAAGTTTACTCTTTAACCCCTTCAGTGTGTCCACTCTCTGCTGCTCAGAGCTGCACTGTGCACTCTCATCCTGACGCTGCTGAAGCTGGAGGGAGGGGAAAGGGGTTGATGTGTTTGTTCATGGTGGAGCTTGAGTGTATTAAAGGTGTTGTAGTTCAGGATCTGAGGAGGTTCCAGTTTTTAGGAGAAATCTTGAATGTAAACTCTACCCCTCCAACCAGTTTTCCCCTCAGCTCCTCCTCTCCTCTGAAGCCCCGCCCACAAACAGACGCTCCTGCTCGCTCGTATCGTTCCAGTTAAATTCAGATATAATGCAGATAAACACTTCAGATCATTACAAATGGGGCCCAGTCAAGGTGAAAGTCAAAAGCATTGGTGCTACTGTAGATGCCAACAGACTACCAGCAAACACAATGTTTGCAGGACTTCTACAACGAGGATAAAGTGACATAGTCCAGGACCCGAGGGAGGACAGTTTAGCGATGGCGCTACAACACGCTACAGCAGGTCCGTTTGACAAGAAACACTTCTGTTACAGACACTTGTCTTACTTTGTTAAAGCGGTTTACCTGTCCAGCAGAAAGGTTACAGGGTCACCAAGATCCCCAAGCGTCCCCCATGGTTTATGTTGACCCGGCGCCTTAGCTCTTGTCCGGTCTACCTCCGTTTTAAGCGCCCGTTATTCCTCCAGAGTCTCCGGTATTTACTTTGTTTTCTCGCTTGTGTCGGCAGTCGTGGCCAAAGGAGGATTCAGACAATTTTCCGAACTTTCTGGTTGGTTTCTACTGTCCGATATTGTAGCACGCTAACTTTGTTTGGGCTCCTGAACGACACGGGGGAGCAGCGTCTGCCTCACAACCAATCAGGTTAGAGGAGGTGGAGAACGGCTTTGTTTACAGTCAGAAAGAGCGGACCGCTCAAAAATGTTCAAATGTTGACGACACAGACATAAGAGAACACAGAGATATCGATATATTAACAAATGTCATCAATAACTAATAACTATTGACTGATATTAGAAGGTTTTTGTTTATAAAACACAAACAAAGATGCTTCTTTAACAGATTCCTGCCTCCTCCACCTCTAACCTTGTTGGTTTGTCATGCTTCATTTGTGCAGATGGATCATATTCATTCTGTCGATCCATACTTAGATATCCATGTTTGTGATCTCTGGATTCTTCTCCAGGAACTGAACATGTCTGTGTTTCCGACAGATGCTGACCCCTGAAGATGTCGTCATCAAGCTGAACGCTGGCGGCTATTCTGTTCGTGGAAAATGTAAGTTTTTGTCTTCCAGTTTTCTTTGAAACTGATGAAGTTGTTTTGTTTTCTCTGAGACTTTTTAAAAACTCTAAAACTCTTTTCCGATGGAAGCTTTGACTCTCAGGACAGCTCGCCTCCTGGTGGCTCTCGCGGACGTATCCTTTGTCCAGAAGCTTGGTTACAAAACCGTCAGGATTACAGCCTTTGTGGATCTGCAGCCTCTCAGGTTCTGGTCTCATTATGACCCCCTTTTAAGCTCTTTAACCAGCACTTTCAGGCTGACAAGAGTGAAGACCTGGATGCGGTGGAGGTCTTCAAAATGGAGCATTACGTAGCTGTAGCTAGAAGGGAGTACGTGGAGAACTACGAGAAGAGGACCCCTCCCGCCGTCACCCAGTCCCAGTTCAAAAAGGCTCTGACTGACCGCGGTAACACAACCTCACCTTCACACAACATCTACACAAAAACAACACCTGTACTGTGTTTCATGTTGTGTTGTCTCCATCACAGAGTTACACATAGACGATGCAACCTTCAGAACTCTGTGGCGTGACCATCGAACCGGAAACGGAATCGAATATGACGACTATGTGGCGGCCCTCACAAAACTGCACATCCTCAGAGGTGACCGAAGCTAAATTCAACGCCGCACACTGGAGGGCTGGAGCCATAATTTTGTGGTTTACTTGAATATTTGCACTTTCTGGTTCTTTATATTCCACTCTGAGTAATAAACGACAAATCCAACGATTTCTGTTTCAGATCGTTTCCAGACACAACTCCTCAACCTGCCCTGTGACTGCGAGGTCGCCAGCTTCTCTTTCAGACAGGTGAGTTTAAGATTCACAGTAAACAACACAAAGTAAGTCTTTACTGATCTTTATTAAGACGATAATCATTTTAAAATACAGTGAAATTTATGAGTTTATTAAACAGAAATCATAATGCTTTATTGAGTAAAATAAGTGACAATTTTAAATCAGCTAAAACACAAACTGAAGACAGTAAGAGAGTCACATTATGACTATGGGAGTATATTTTCAAATCAAGTCATATAAAAATTAAACTCACTCTGTCTTTACTTTGTTTTTCTCTTTTCAGTACATGAGATCAGCCATATTCTGAGGATTCAACAGGAGCTGATCAGACCAGAGGAGAGTTTTTATATACGATTAAGAAGCAGGACAGATTTTCAGATCACATGTACAAATCATCCTTTTAACAGAAATGTTACCTTCACAAACTTTCTTCACATTTCAGTTTTACTTTCTTTTGCAAATTTGATGCAAAAGTTTGAATAAAAAGGATGAAAACCTGCTGGAGGATTTCTTGTCTTCAAATAAAAAAAGTGATTAAACCACAATTTAGCTGTTTTTTTTAAAGGAAGTCCTGCACTGATTGAGTTTGCTGTTCTGAATTAAAAAAAACACAACAAAAGTTTCAACATGACAGAAAAATACAGGAAAGTTTTAGAAAGAGGACATTTAACAACAGACAGATTACCTTTAACCCCCGTGACTCTTTGAGGCTTTAGAGTGTCTGAAATGATCTCCTACATCCATGAAAGGTTTTATTTACATTTGGTGAGCATAAAAGCCCCAGAATAAAAAGATTAAGAGGTTGTTCATATCTTACACAGATTAAAGGTGTTTCCTCTCACCACCACACTCGACTTCAATGACATATAATTTTGGAGTAAACAAAGGCTGAAGGTGCAAATGTGTTAAATCCAGTCGAAACTGATTGGCTCTGTACAATGGCAGTCTGTGTGTGAAAGTGGAACAGAAGTAGAAATGCTCTGAGTGGTCAAAGGACAGAGACATGAACGTGGTCTGTTTTCATCATGTGACAGTCACGTGTCTGGCTCTATAAACAGCAGCTTTAGCGGGAATAATGATGAAGTGTCGGTTAATTCCAGCTGGGGGAGAGAGCACCTCATGGTGTTCCTGATCCACTCCTATTTACGCTGTGTCGGGTTTTCCTGGTGTCTCTGATGTCTGCTCTAATCTCTATCATGTATTTTTTTTTCTTTGAACTATTTTAAAAATGTGATTTTTTTGTAAAGATATTTGGTTGTTTTTTTTCTCTTTTTTTTGCATTTTGTTGTTCTTTTTTTGTTCTTTTCAAAATTCTTTTATTTTTTTGGGGTTTTTTTGCGTTGTTTTTTCAGTATTTTTTTTGTTTATGTTCTTCCATTCGTTCTTTTTTAATGTTCTTTATATATTTTTTTTATAATTCTTTTAAATTTTTTTGTTTTGTTTTTTCTGTTTTTCTACTTTTTATTCATTTTTGTTCTTTTCTATGTTCTCTATCCTGGTGTCTTTGCTGTTGCTTTTCCTGCCTTTTCATGTATTATTATTCATGTATTTCATGCTCTCCCTGCCTCAGGCTGTCGAAGAGCAGGAAACTCTTAAAACTGAGCTACACTTTTTAATAACGTATTGAACACGAATAAATGATTCTCTCAGAGTAACGCGGTCCTGACTGAACTTATTTTAAGATTATAGATGTACAGTGAAGCTCACAAACATTTGCTATATCAAGTCTGTGAAAATTCGCTTTGCCTTAACTATTAATGTCAAAATATACTCACCAGATGTTCAAATGGCTGGAAGTTGCCAGTTAAGAGGGTCATAGTTTACCCAAAAGCTAACTTTAAGGCGCTAGCTAACGTTAGCTAATTTTTTGTCTTCATTAAACCAGGCGAGTCCCGTTAAGATAAGAGATCTGGGCCTGGCCAAGAATGGCAGCAAAGCAGTTTCAAAACAAAAAAACAAACACACTCAGACAGTCAAAATAAAACGTCAGCTAAAGCAGCGGCGTTCAGACCGTTTTCACCGACGATTTAAAAACACTCAGAGACACGAGGTTCTGTACTTTCAATTCAGTCTGCAGGTTATTCCACGCAAAAGGAGCAGGAAACCTAAAGGCCTCCTTTCCCAGCTCAGTTCGGACTTTGGGAACAGCAAACTGCACAAATTTAAGTGAATGCAAATGATGTAATCCTTCCTTTACGACGAGGAAAGGTAGTCCAGAGCGTTAACTCGAACGGCTCTGCGGATGAAGACATACCAATGTCTGAGGCGACGTGTGCCAGGCCAGTTGGTTAGTTACATACACTTTTAGTGCTTACCTCAGCTACCTTTGCCCGTAGCTTTTTGTCCAGGAGCAGGTGTCATCAGGTGGTACACAACCATCACTGAGTGTTTCTGCCCTCAACCACAACACTCTCCAGTTGACGGGCCGGCAGTGAGTGGCCGAGCTCACTGCCCACCTACTCCTGGCCTCCAGCCTTCCTCCTCTCACTTTCTCCATATCCAACACGAGGCACGTTCCGCCTCCTCCCCCATCCTGTGAGCAGTTCGCTTCTTGCTCAGCTCATCCAGGCCTAGAGCTGACATCATCGGGAACAACCATGCCTGCCAGCCCCTGTCCCTGCAGTCTTGGATCAGGGGCTGCTATTTTGAGGACTTCCTCCCATGGCACAGTTAGTTCAACCAGAATTATCTTCTGGTCTTCGGTTGACCACAGCACAATGTCTGGCCGGAGGGTTGTTTGGGTTGTTTGACCTAGTAATCTATGACTCCACACATGAGTCCACTTGGAGTTGCAAGGATGTCAAATGCCTCATCGATGAAACACATTTAAAATATCTGATAAACTAAAGTTTAGAAAGTTACTAACTCTGGACAGGAAAACGAGCTGAGACCATCTCCTTAATGGGACGTTCACACGAAGCGCAAGTAAAATCATCTACTCCCTTAATTCGCACATATCTAGACATGTGAATGAAAGGTATTGAGCTGCGTCATTCACGCAAATGATTTGCGCATCAACAGAGTGCTTAAAAGTGATGGACAGCCATTTATGCTAATCTCAACAGTGATCCTCGCCAATTCAACCTGTGGGATCAAGTGATTTTTCACAATTTAGCAGAATATCTGACCTCCTCACTCACTTTCCTCCAGGAGAGCTCCTTTTTATTCCTGTTTTTATTTAAGAAAAAGCTGTGGGTGTGAGAGAGGGGGAGAGTCCCCAACAGGCATGGTAGAAGTGAACCATGTTCAGCGAATTGCTGCTTTTTTTTCTGTTTTTGTGGAGGGCCCACAACCGTCAGAGATCTACAGTTGTCATCACCATGTCTGGGTCTCCTCCAATAGCTGCGTCTGGATGTTTCCAGCGGTATTTTCAGGTTACCCGAACCCAATTTGACGATCTGTTGGTGAGGGTCGGTGCTGGGACATCCCTCCAGGATACCGATTACAGGAGCTCTATCCCAGCTGCAGAGCATCTGTCCATGTCTCTACTGTGAGTAAAAGGGCTTGTGTATATATTTATACACAGGTGAACATCTTCCAGTCCGTTTTCATACATCACCCGGGAATCTTCATACTGATTGGCTATTGCCAATGTCTGCTCAAGTCGAGGTATTTTCAACTCTCGCAAATTCACGTCTGCTAAATTCACACGATTCGCGCCGCCAGAGTAGTACGCATCTCATCGCGTCTTTGTATTGGTTTGACATGTAATTTATTTGCGTGAATGATTTTACCTGCACTTGGTGTGAACGCCCCAGAAGACAATCTGAGCTCACCTGTTTGTTCCACTTTAGAGCATGTTTGTTATGTTCAGACACACACAAACAATCCAATCCAAGGAGTTGTTTCAGAACAAGGTCTCCAGTTGGTTCGGATGGAAAAACACCCTAAAACTCACAGACCCTGGGCGCACTAGAGTTCTGAACTCATGGCACAGACGGGTCCAACAGATCCCAGTCATGCAAGAACAGGAAAACGTGCCTTACACTGGCATCAAGCTGGTTACAAGATCAGGCAGTGTGTTAAATTATATGGGACACAAAGACACTGAGGAGTGAAATGGGTCCATCCTGATCCTGAAAGCGGGGTAGACCGGCTCACTGAAGGTGGTGCTGAAGGTGTGGAGGTGGGTCACTTCATTAGGGGCGACCTTGAAGAAGGACAGAGTCCCAGCGGCCCTGTCCAGGTACACTCCCACTCTGTTTGAGGTGGGGACGGGGATGGGGGTCCTTATGTTGCAGTGGAGCACAGAGTACCCTTCATCAGTGCAGCTCAGACTCCAGGACTGATCATTCCTTCCCAGACAGCTGTCGTCACCCTCTCCCTTTCTTTTAATGCCTTTGTAACTCACTGCGATGTAAACGTGTCCTGACCACTCCACCACCCAGTAACAGCGACCAGTCAGAGGGGCTTTGCACAGCAGCTGTTTCCAGTAAGAGAATCTCTCTGGACCTTCAGGATACGACTGGTTCTCTTTCCCCACTGTCAGCGTCCTGTTGTTTTCTGACAGAATCAGCTTTCTGTGTGCTGTTTTTAGGTCCGGTTTGAGGTCACAGGCATCTAAAGGAGAGAATGAATAACAAGTCAGCAGCTGGACAACCCCAGTCTTGATATTTATCAATAACAAAGAGTTTTATCTGACTTCATCTCTTTTTTATAAACAAAACTTACACTTTTTCAGACCAGGTTTCATAAACTGTGAGCCCCCAGGGTCCATCCTGGTGGAAAAATAAAGTTCATTCAGTTCTCAACAACAACAACAGGTGAGTTAAACTTAAAGGGATATTCCGGAGTAAAATTAATTTAGGGTCAAACCCACCGTAACACCGAGTAACACCGAGTTAGACCCCCCCTCCAGAGATGAATGTTGAATGTTGGTCCCAACCCAGAGTAGGTGAGTTGTGTTTAGTCTCTTTGCTAAAGAAATGAGTCAAAGTTAAAAAGATGTTTGGTGTCTAGTACTATGTCTGTGACCCTATATGTCCTGTTGATGAAGTTAGGTGCTGTTCTGAGCATTATTTGTGGCTATAGAGTGGCGTTTTGGTTGGGGGCGTGGCTCTCTGTATTACTATCCTGCGGTCGTTACTAAAGTTGGTATAACTAGAGAAGCAAGCGGTCGACAACATTCATCTCTGGAGGGGGGGGTCTAACTCGGTGCTACGGTGGGTTTGACCCCAAATTAATTTTAAGCCGGAATATCTCTTTGAGCCCCTGAAAGAAGAAAACCCTTTCTATGTCTCTGTTTGTTCATACCTGAGAACATCAAGTTTCTGAGAAGCAGCTGACAGGTGCCTCACCCCAGAGGATCCTGGGTTATTGTAGCTCAGGTCCAGCTCTTTCAGATGGGACTGACTGGATTTCAGAGCAGAGGCCAGAGAAGCACAACCTTCCTTTGTGATCAGGCAACCCGACAGCCTGCAAACAAAACCACAATCTGTTCATGTCCACAGAAGGCCCTCAAAGGTACTCTGGTCCACAAAGGTACTCTGGTCCACAAAGGTGCTTTGCTCTACAATAGTGCTCCGTCTGGTCTACAAAAGTGGTTTGTCTGGTCTATGAAGGTACTCAGGTCCCCAAAGGTGCTCTGGTCTACAAAGGTGCTTTGCTCTACAATAGTGCTCCGTCTGGTCTAAAAAGGTACTCTGGATGACAAAGGTACTCAGGTCTACAAAAGTGGTCTGTCTGGTCTATGAAGGTACTCTGGTCTACAAAGATGGTCTGGTCTACAAAGGTACGCAGGTCCACAAAGGTACTCTGGTCTACAAAGGTACTCTGGTCTACAAAGGTGCTCTGGTCTACAAAGGTACTCTTGACGACAAAGGTACTCTGGTCTACAAAAGTGGTCTGTCTGGTCTATGAAGGTACTCTGGTCTACAAAGATGGTCTGGTCTACAAAGGTACGCAGGTCCACAAAGGTGATCTGGTCTACAAAGGTACTCTGGTCCACAAAGGTGCTCTGGTCTACAAGGGTGGTCTGGACAACAAAGGTACTCTGGTCTACAAAAGTGGTCTGTCTGGTCTATGAAGGTACTCAGGTCCCCAAAGGTGCTCTGGTCTACAAAGGTACTTTGGTCCACAAAGGTACCCTGGTCTACAAAGGTACTCTGAAAATTGGACTGACCTGAGAATCTCCAGGGTACAGTGTGGACTCTCAAGTCCAGCACAGAGCAGCTTCACTCCTGAATCCTGCAGGTCGTTGTTGCTCAGGTCCAACTCCCTCAGATTTGAAGATGTCGAGCTGAGAACTGAGGACAGACCTTCACAGATTCTCTCTGAAAGATTACAGACACTCAGTCTGGAAAAGAAGAGCAGAAGGAGAAGTATGAGCATCTTCAACTTCTGATTTGTTTCATTTTCTCAGATTTTTCCTGGACTCACAGAGATTTCGTGGACGCTTTGACAACCGGCAGCAACAACTGGAGAGCATCCTCTGACGGGGAGTACTTCTTCAGGTCAAACTCTTCAAGATCTTCTTTTGAAGACAGTAAAATGAAGACCAGTGCTGACCACTGGACAGGAGACAGTTTGTCTGTGGAGAGACTTCCTGAACTCAGAGACCTTTGGATCTCCTTCACCAGAGAGCGATCCTTCAGTTCACTCAGGCAGTGAAACAGGTTGATGCTTCTCTCTGGAGACAGATTTTCATCTATCCTGTTCTTGACATACTGAAGTGTTCTCTGATTGGTTTGAGGACTGATCTGTGTCTCTGGAAGCAGGCCCTTCAGGAGAGACTGGTTCGTCTGCACTGAAAGACCCAGGAGGAACCGCAGGAACAGATCCAGATGTCCATTTGGACTCTGCATGGCCTTGTCTACAACAGTCCGGTAAAAGACTTCAGTTCTGTCCCCAAACAGTTTAGTCCACAGGGACGTTGACTGATCCTCTGACAGCAGATTGACTCCAGACTGGAAGAAAGTGAGATGGACATGAAGAGCAGCCAGGAACTCCTGAACGCTCAGATGGACGAAGCAGAACACCCTGTCCCGGTACAGTCCTCTTTCCTCTTTAAACATCTGTGTGAAAACTCCCGAGTACACCGAAGCTGCTCGGACGTCGATACCACAGTCTGTAAGGTCGGGTTCATAGAAGATCAGGTTCCCCTTCTGAAGCTGCTCGAAGGCAAGTCTCCCCAGAGAGACAACGATCTTTTTGCTCTCTGTGCTCCAGTGTGGATCCGCCTCTTCCCCTCCGTCGTACTTGACGTGCTTCAGTTTGGTCTGAACCACCAGGAATTCAATGTACAACTCGGTCAAGGTCTTGGGGAGTTTTCCTCCTTCTCTAGTTTTCATCACATCCTCCAGAACTGTAGCAGTGATCCAGCAGAAGACCGGGATGTGGCACATGATGTGGAGACTTCGCGACGTCTTGATGTGGGAGATGATTTTGCTGGCCTGCTCCTCGTCTCTGAACCTCTTCCTGAAGTACTCGTCCTTTAGTTGGTTGGTGAACCCTCGGACCTCTGTTACCATGTCAACGCACTCAGAAGGGATCTGATTGGCAGCTGCAGGTCGTGTTGTTATCCAGATGAGTGCAGATGGAAGGAGTGTCCTCTTGATGAGGCTGGTAAGCAGCACGTCAACTGAGGCTGATGTGTTAACATCAGTCAGGATCTCGTTGTTCTCAAAGTTCAGAGGAAGTCGACACTCATCCAGACCGTCAAAGATGAGCAGAACCCGGAACTCTTCAAACCTGCAGATTCCCGTGTTCCTGGTTTCAGGGAAGAAGTGTTGAATAAGCTCCACCAGACTGAACTTCTTCTCTTTCAGCACATTCAGCTCTCTGAAGGTGAACGGAAAAGTGAACAGTATGTCTTGGTTTCTTTTGCCTTCAGCCCAGTCCAACGTAAACTTCTGCGTTAAGACGGTTTTCCCGATGCCGGCTACTCCCTTTGTCATCACCGTTTTGATTGGTCGATCTGTTCCAGGTGGGGCCTTAAAGATGTCTCCACATTGGATTGTTTTTTCGGGTTCCTGTTTCCTGGACGCCGTTTCAATCTGTCTGACCTCATGTTCATAGTTGACCTCTCCTGCCTCTCCCTCTATGATGTGGAGCTCCGTGTACATCTGACTCAGGAGGGTTGGGTATCCTGCTTGAGATATCCCCTCGAACACGTATTCGTACCTCTTTTTCAGGTTAGATTTGAGTTTACAGCGGCACACTGGAGCAAGAGTTTCTGCAACAGGGAGATAGTTCAGATGATGAAGTTTAGACAAGTGTTGGCAGAAAACTAGTTTAATACTCAAAGCTGGGTTTTAGGCCACTGAGATCCAAACCCAAATCTCCAACCACCCTCAGACTCTGTGGGACACTACCACCATATACCTGTGCAAAAGGTCTTTAACTTGGGGGGGAACTTGGGGGGATCGGGCATTCTCCTCAGCTGCCCCTACCCTTTGGAACTCCCTACCTCCCTCCATCAGACACTGCCCTGACCCCACTACTTTTAAATCCCTTTTAAAAACCCACTTATTTAAAATTGCTTTTAATATTTAACTGTTTTGTCCATCTTACTGTTTTCATGTCTTTGTCTTATTATCTTGAATTTTACGTACTATGTAAAGCGTCTTTGAGTGTTTTTAAAAGCGCTGTACAAATAAAATGAATTATTATTATTATTATTATTTAAAACCAGGTTTCGATGGTTTACAAATCCATATAGAGTCATATCACATTCAAGGAGGTGCAAAAAACAACATATCGAATGTTAAAACTCAGACTTGAACCCAGTAACATCTTCAAACTGTTTAGACTAGAGTAGAGAAAGAAAAGGGGTCAAAAGTTCTCAGAGGAACAAACGGGTCAAAAATTATAAAGCTAAAAAAACATCTGGAGGAACATCTCCAACTAATGAGGTGAAGGTCCAACAGGTTAGTCACATGACCAGGTCTAAAACGGACATTCAGAGAGGCGGAGTCTCCAAGAAGGAAAGATGGGAGAGGTTCACCACTCTGTGAGAGACTGCGTGAGCTAACAGTTCAACAGTTTCAGGATAAAGTTCCTGATTTCATCGTCTACAGAACATCAGATCATTCAAAGATTCAGAGGATCTGGAGAAATCTCTGTACTAAAGGGACAAGGACCAAACTGGGACTGGATGATCCTGATCCCCACTCTGAAGCAGAAATCACTGCATGGACTCAGATTCACTTCAAAAACTGTAGTTTAAAAAGAGTTTAACGTTTTTTAAGTTTTCTCCGCTCTATTTTCAGATTCAGTATTTAAATGATTTGCAAACCATCAACATGTTGATATTTCCACGTACCCTCGGCTGGTTACATGGACTGTATTTGACGTACCAAATAAGATGGTGTATAGACCTGACGTTGAGAGCTGGTCTCTCTGCTCTGTTCATTAAAAACATCTTACTCTTTTGCAGCGTGGCTGCCAGATCCTCCATCTTCATTTTCTTCATGAACTTCAGTGTGAGCTTCAGAACTTCCTCACTCTGCTCTTCTTTATCCACCACCTCCTCATCCTCACAACGGCCTGAGCATTCTGGGTAACCTGAGTTTAGAGCCTTTTCAAGCTTTCGGAGCTCACCCCTCACAAAAGCAACCAGTGTTTCCTCAATAATCTGTAAGAGAAGAAGATTCACGTCATCTTCGATGCTGAGAGCTCCCTCCAGGTCTGTGCTAAACTCCTGTTTGTCAGAAAAATCTCTTTTTTACTCCAAGTGTTCAGGAGAGAAGCTTGTCCATTACCATGAATGTGGAGTGCAGGTCTGATTCAGCGGAAACCTCTGATGTGTCCTGATGAACTCTGAAGGAAAACATGATCTGTCAGTAACGTCCTCTCGGCCGTTATCATGTGTCACTTCAAAGATACAGACGTCAACTGGATAAACATTACTAAGAAAATATAACAGTTGGACAGAGTCTGTGACTTTTTATCAGATATCAGGCATTAGGTATTGATTATAATCGTGTTTGAACTGAAAAGTTCTGATGACTCACTTTGAAACTGAGTTTTGACGTTTAAAACCAACAGGTTCACCCATGGACCTGTCACTCCTCAGAGAGAGACCGCTCGGGTCAGGAGAATTTCCTCTTTTCTGCTCAGAGCTGAAATTTAAGAAATCATTAAAAATACAAGACGAGCAGCTGAAGAAGCAGTCCTGCTTTTACATTTTCTTCATAATTATATTTACAATAAACGAACATTTTGATTATCAAGATGAAATTTTTGGTCACAGTCAAAACAAGCAGGGACTGCTTGTTTTAAAAAGTTCTCACAGCTCTCAAAAAGCTAAACACCTACATCCAGATGAATTGGGTTGCAGTGACAGAGCATCATAAAGTTTGAAGACCTACTTAAAAAAACTTAAATTTACCTTTTAAAGCCAACAGGTTCACCCATGGACATGTCACTCCTCAGAGACACACCACTCGGTTCAGGAGGATTCCCTCTGTTCTGCTCAGAGCTGAAATTAAAGACACTATTAAAAACACATGATGAATCTGAATGACATCTACACATTTAACTGTGGCTGGACATTTAACTTAAAGCTCCTGTGAGTTTTTTTTTTTAAGTTGATTAAATAGACTGAAGTTCACAATGATGCTTTTAATGGTATCAGAAAATAGACAAGACCATCAGAGACAGGTTCGACCACCTTTATATCCAAGTCTCTAATGCCTGAAAGTGGTTCAAGGTGGTAGGTGTCAGCTGAAAAGCAGCCTTGTTTTTATAATTTCCACATGAAATATTTACCACAAATAAAAAATTCAATTATTAACAATAAGCAGAGACTGCTTTGCTCACAAGAAGCGCCGAATTTTACAAAGGATCCTCACGGGAGCTTTAAGCTCTTGGAAAACCGACAGGCTTCCTCCACAGACATGAAGAAATTCGATAATTATCAATACTTGTTGATTCTTCATGTACTAGTATTAACTTGTAAACCACTTTCTTTATTAGGTGAACAAAGACTTGACTATTTATCCAAAGGAAGTCTGTTAACTCTTGTTTTAAAAAGTTCTCACAGCTCTCATAAAGCTAAAAATCTACATCCAGATGAATTGGGTTGCAGTGACAGAGCTTCATAAAGTTTGAAAAATTACTTAAAAAAACTTAAATTTACCTTTTAAAGCCAACAGGCTCACCCATGGACATGTCACTCCTCAGAGACACACCACTCGGTTCAGGAGAATCTTCATGTTCTTTTTCATTTCTGAAAAAATGTTTTTTTTAAAAACAGAAACTGTCACTGAAACACTTACAGAGAAAGATTTCACAGAGTCTGCTGAGTGTCAGCTGATTATTTGACAGATCCATGTGCAGTTATTGTGCAAGAAAAGAGATTTATCCAAAAGTAGAAACTTGTTCACCAGCGTTAATCATTTCTCTAATTCCAGATTACAGGAGTTCACCGGCACACACATTTGGAAACAAGCTGACATGAGAGAACTGCAGAAACTTTAGTGACTGAATTTACCTTTTGAAACCAACAGGTTCACCCATGGACATGTCACTCTTCATGGACACACAGCTCAGTTCAGGAGGATTCCCTCTGTCCTGCTCAGAGCTGAAATTAAAGACACTATTAAAGACATGTGATGAATAAACAAATGATGGCTGACTTTGAAACTGAATTTACCTTTTGAAACCAACAGGCTCACCCATGGACCTGTCACTTTTCAGAGAGAGACCACTCGGTTCAGGAGAATCTGTTCTCTCCTCCCCAACCCTGAATGAAATGACCAGTTAAATAAAAGAAAGTGAAAGTATGAGAAGTTTAGTGTGAAAGAGTTATGCAGTGAGTGAGTCTGCACCAAAGACTGTATAAAAGTCGACATTAGAGACTCTAATCTCACCCCTCAGGATGGGTTTGGTCCTCAGGTGTCGTGTTAGAGGGTCGGGCCTCCTTATCCTCCTCCTCAGACCTACTCGTGTTATCTGGACTATCCATTACAAGGTTTTAGACACATCTATGACCGATAAAAACCTGAAAAAACAACAACTCCAGTTTAGGAAATAACTGAATTAAAAGAGGACACCACTCTCAGTCACATTCACACCATGCATGATGCAAAAATGAGCAACAAACTACCACAAACTACCAATAAAAATGACTTTATATTGTAATATTATATTACTGTTAACTGAACATCCTTGACTTTTGGACAATAGAAGATAGTGTGAGGTTTAACTCTGCAGAGATGGAGCCCTACTTCATGTGATGGTGTTTTCTCCACTTTAGTCAATTTTCATGACTGAATTTTGACACAGTTAAGTGAAAGTACTCACTGTACTCGCCTGAACCTGCACCTCTGTCCTTTACCAAACCTCAGCAGTCTTAGACTTCATATTTCTGCAGGAGAAAATAAAAAAGGTCAATAAAAAGAACAATTCAGCTGGATTTTTCTGTCATATCTGTCCCATAGTCCCAGTCCGCCTTTTGTAAATTTACTGTCAACAAATGATAAAATAACAGGAACTGCACTTTCCTGAATGTGATCAAACCCGTCCAAAAAAGGAGGAGTTTCCGATCCAGAGACTGCTGTATAACTATATAGACGTTCATCTGTTTTGGTTTCATTCTGACGCACATTTTCAGCATTCCTTCACTATCAGCTTAACCTTAAATTGGACCGCAGACATCTGTGACTTATTATAAACCCTGTAATGTTTGTGTAACACCAGATTGACTGCATTACTCAGGATCAGAACAGCACATGGTGGTCATTCTGTTGGTAGATGAAAGCCTAGGTTCTTGTGTTTATTCTCATACATGCACAACAGATAGGTATTAAAGGTGCAGTGCGTAGAACGAGGATATTTAAGAGTAAAATTACAGAATGAAACCTCGCTAATCTCTCTGGTTAAGGACAAAAAAAAGAGATTTACATGATATCAGCAACCGACGCAAGTAGTTCAACTGTTTTAGCAAATGAGGTGGTAATGTTTACAGTTATTTTATCTGCTTGAGTCTAAGATATCAATTATGAGTTTTTAATTGTTTTGGTAATAAATTAGTGAAGTGATGCTACTCGTCTGTCCTGACCTCACCACTAAATTTGTATTTATACATTTTGTAGTTAATTTCACTCTATCCTCTCCGCTCTCATGCTGACAAGTCTTGAACATCTGCAAATAAACAAAATGGGTTTGGTACCAGTTTGATTGTCCGTTCTGAGCTTCCATAGAAAACAGGTTGGTGCAACACAACAAACTCCAGCCACTAAAATATAAAAGACAAATTCACCAGGCTGTGGAGGAAATGGATAACCCATCCTGATTAAATGTCATTTTATTACACCAGGAGGCACTTACAAGTATTTTGAAAAACTGAATGTATTCATAAAAATAAAGTTTAAAATATAAAAGGCTTTTTTCGTTCTTCAGAAATAAAACTATCATGATATTTCATGCAATATAAACTAATTTAAACATATTCCTACATGAACCATTCCAGTTCTTTGGAGAATTGCAGCTAAAATCTACAGAATGTACCTTTAGGGATCAAAGCTGTCAACTCCCCTTTTATATACTAATATTTGACTTGACTTAAAGCTTTAAAAGGTTTAATTAAAGCACCTTCATTAAATAATAAAATGTCCTTTCACCTCAATCTGATTAAAAAACTCCCCACATGGACATAATCACCTCAGATTAAATATTTGACTTGGAGATAATGACAATAATCTTGACTTCAGCTATAATCAACAACGTGACAACCAACCCTGGTCTCCCCTACTAACATGTTAGCTCCTCCCGTTGAACAAACACAGGTATGTAAATAAACAGGCTCTTGTTGATGTTTGAGTCTATCTGAACGTTTTCTCTGCATGGTTAACGATAAAGCATTTTAATCCCAGTGTTGTTCACTGCCACTCCACCTTAAATGACTGAAAATGCATTTCTTTAGACCACTGTTTGAACTCAGAAATCACCTAAACGGACCCACATACATGAGATTTATGGGATTTTTACAGGATAAATTACAGAGGATTATCACAGTTTTTACCTTTAATAAACGACGGTAATTGAGGTAATAGACAAAACTCTACAAAATGACAATACAACAGAGATATCCCTTCATTGTTAACCTTAATTTCTCTAGTATTTTTCACTTTTTCAGCTCAGATGTAAACAGTCTGTTTTCTGTTTCAATAAGGAAGTATCAGCAGAAATAAATCCCTGAGTTAGTCATGAGTCAGCCTTAAACAGACAGACATGGACAGATAAATACACAGAATAAGACTCTGTTCCCTCTTTATTTCCTTACCTTTCTGAGATGTTTGTCATCTGATCCTCTGCAGTTTACTGGAAAAACGAAACTAGTTCAGGATTTAGCCTTCGGGCCAAGCAAACAGGACCTGACACGTCGAGTTTGTTTGTTTTGGTCAAAGTCCAGAATTGAAGGAGGAGGAGGAGGAGTCAGTCCTGCAGAGAGGATTTCATCTGAGACCCCTTAGACCACAAACAGATGTGGTCACATATCTTCAATCACACAATTAAGGAGTTTTAAAGGTGGACAACTCCGGGTCAGTCGCAGATTCCCCTTTTTCCTGGTGAACACAGCCGAGCTTCAAAGTGCGCCTGTATTAGGTATTTTTCGGTATTGTCGGTAAATGCTCTTCGGATTTCTCAAAAAGTAAAACTACTTCAGTATACACCCACAAGTAGACTGTAATGCCATGAGTCGAAATATATTTGAGTTATTGTTTACGGAAAACATATTTTGTTTTAAATTGGCTTCAAATTTGAGGGAAATTTCCAGGATTATTCAAAGTAGAACACAGTAAAAGTGTCTCTTGGTCCTGCTGCATAAAGTTTATACCGCCCTGAGTTCAGATAAATAAAAAACATCAAACAATTATAATTATGTTTTGCTGATTTGACCTCAAAGTTGAGAAAAAAAAGTTGTATTGGAACAATATTACAGATTTTGGCAAAAGATAATTTAACAAGTACTCAGAAAAGTACTGTATAATTCATGTACATGTAGTCTGTTATACCTTGAGTCATATATATACACACACACACACATATATATATATACTTATAGTTTATTATAAAATGAAGGAGCTTTAAATTGACTTTTAGTTTGATGAAAAATATTTCTTGGAGTAATATCCTCGACTTAAACAAAAGATTTCTCATAAAGAACACAGAAAATGTATCTTATCGTACTAGTGCATGTGGTCTGTAATGAGTCAAATATATCAGTATCATTGATTAATTATTTCAATTTTTTTTTAAATTGATTAATTAAAAGATTAATATTGGAGCTACAAAGGAAACTTGAGTAAGGATTGTACTGAGAGTAATCAGTAAAAATACCTCACAACATCCGTGCACGCAGTTAATAGTGCGCTGAGTACAAATAAATCTAAATTATTGATTACTGATAAAATATTATGTTTTAAATTGACCTTTGTAGCTGGGGGAGGGGCGGAGCATTTACCATAAAATCCGACTACATGCGCACTCAAAATTCTAATCCGGTAGGAGGAGGAAGTAGCCTGCGAGGATAACCGCAACAAAAAGGCAGGAAGTCCAGATCTGCTTATTAAACTCTTTCTCTCCTGAACACTTCTACTATCCACATGTCTTTAAGATGGATTTACTCTAAACTGATTTATTTATTTCACAGAGCTCAGCTCAAGAGAGATTTTCCTGCTTTAGACTGTAGTTTAGGTGTGGTCAGCTGAAAAAAACAACCACCGTCAGCTGGGAGGAGGGGCCTAATGATACTTCAACATTAACTTCTCTAAAACTGGGAGTAACCATGACCATGATCCAAAATATAAAGCTAACCTCGGCCTCTGAGTGAATCCTTTTTCCTCTGACAGACAGACAACAGAGCACTTTCTCTGAGGAACAAACACTAACAGAACAAACTCAAAGTTCCTGTCTGGAATGATCAGTCACACTTTTCAACTCTTTACCTCTGAGGAGCTCCTGCGTCTGTAAGTCATTCTGTAATAGGGGAGACCGGGGAAAATGTGACATTTTCAAAGTATTGAATGCCTACTCCTACTGCCAACAGATCTCCCTACTCCTCTCCTCCTCCTCCTCTCTTCTCTCCCTGCTCTTCTCTTCTCTCCCTGCTCTTCTCCTCCTCACCTGCTCTCTTTTTCCTGGTCTCCTCCTCTCTCCTACTCTTCTTCCTGTTCTCCTTTCTCCTCCTCCTCTCCCTGCAGCGAGATACAGCAGATACAAGAAGCAGATACACGTTCATGGGTTTATTCATTTCTGACATGTTCAGACTCGAGCGGTGTTACACGTTGTGGACTAACATGGTGACTTTTGAGGTACAAAGATATGAAAGTAAAAGAGTGGTAATAACTCCTGTTAGTATGAGTTTCATGAAAACAGCCTGAAGTTTTTCATCAGTCTGGTCTGTTGTGTATATAAACAGGTAAATGATTGACTTTAAAAACAGAGTTTCACTTCAAATGGAATGATGATGAGACATTCATCCTGAAAACGAGTAAAACCTCAAAAACATGAATATAAAATGACACGGTGTAAATAGGAGTGGTTTTTGAAGGCTGGAGTGTTCCCTTTGGTCCGTCTGTTCCTCCTCATAAACTCATGGTGACCTGGATGAACTGGAAAAAGAGAGAGAGAGAGTTAGTGCACGTTCTGCTTTATTATAAATACAATTATTACAAGCTCTGTGATTAATCAATATTAAAATTAAAGGTGGGGTAGTCAGGATCTGAGGAAGTTCCAATTTTTAGGACAAATCTTGAATGTAAAATGTTGTGGCTTCAACATTTTTAAAAAATGTTGGGACAGAGACACCTAGAGGAGCGCTTATGAAAGGTGAGAGGACCGGGTCTAAAACGGACATCCACAGAGGCCGAGTCTCTCAGAAGGAAAGACTGAAGAGGTTCATCACTCTGTGAGAGACTGTGTGAGCCAACAGTTCAACAGTTTCAGGATAGAACATGACTCTGCAGTGGAAGTCCCCACATGGACTCTAAATCACAGAGCTGAGTTCCACCATCTTACTTACATCATCGTACTGAAATGTGGCTTGTCCGTTTCCTCCCACGTCTCTCCTTCTGAATTGATCTGAAAAATACGAACATTAGAAATCATCTTCATTTACTGTCCGAGTTAACGAGGTAAATGTTCCACCTCTGCCTGGAGCGTTTGTTTCTATCACAGACAGCTGACACTGCGCTCACTCACCGGTCAGGGCTCGCAGTTTGATGCAGCAGGTTATGAAGTCATCAAAGGCGATTCTGCCGTGGGTGCTGTGGCGCTTCATGATGATGTTCATGGCCTGAGGGCTCAGATTAAAACCTGCACACACACGGATACAGCCGTTTAAAAGCATCTTTGACTTCATGTGTTTTACTTCTTATTTCTGCTTCTTCAGGACGTTGGCTTCATGCTGCGTTCAGAAGAATCAGGGTTTGATAAAACATACAAACAAAATCACCAACAGAGCGTCGTGTCCAGTCTTTTTTATTTACCCATGGAGGCGAGGGCGTGCTGCAGCTCAGGACCCTCCACTGTCCCACTGTGGTCTCGGTCGTAGGACATAAAGGTCGCCTTCCAGCCGTTGATAACTTGTGAGAGCTCCTTGAACTCGTTAAAACCCATGGTCCCGGACATGTCCCTCTGATGCAGCACAGTCAGTCAAGGAGAAATTAACCATCAAGCATCTGTATGACCGTCTCTGCACTGTGTGGTTCCTGTGATAATGTGATGTACTTTAGCGGCTGTGAGAAATTATTATTAAATTATTATTAAATTATTATTAAATTCAGGACGTGTCCCCTCAGGAGATTTCCACTGAAGGCACTTTTCCCAGGTGTTTGCTGTTGCTAGGTTACAAAAGACGTCCTTAATTAGACCTGATTTAAATATTCTGTATGTTTAAGATTTATTTTTATTTATGACTTTAAAAAAAGGGACAGAAATGAAGTCACAGCGTTAGAAGCAGCTGTAGACCACCAGAGTGAGATCACTCTCACCGGCCAGGGTTATTAATAATTATCAAATGTCCCGCCCCTTCTCGATTCTGATTGGTCGGTGGTTTATTAAGCTGTGATACTGATGGGTTGCACTGTTCCAAAAATTGAGCCTTTTTCATCGTATAATAGAAATTTTAATCCCAGCATGTCTTCAGATCTATGATAAGTTTTTTTGAGAAATGTTGAAGAAAACTTCACTCTCATGTTTCTATGTGTCTGTCTCTTTGTAAACGATATTCTGAATAAATTCAAAGTGGATGAAAACTTGCAGCAAAAGTTTGTGGCTTGAATCCGACGACACCGTGAGATGAGGATGTAGCCTCTGAGCATGTGACGGGGGTGTTTAACCACTCAACTAACCACCGCCCCACTTTCACTTCCACGAATCAGAAAACACAAACACCTGAGAAATGCGTCTCTGATCCGCGGTTTTGACACTTTCACCCCTGAGTGTCACAGTAATGTCATGTTTTTTTCTCATGCTGTTATTCATGTTTAGTTTATAGTTAAAAATGTGTTTCAAACAGGAAAAAGTTGATGATCCATGTTGTTGTTTAGACCTTTAAGTGAATCTATCAGATGTTGAAGATGGTGAAGGATACGTCCAACATGCTGATCATCAGTCTGCAGGTCTCCAGGCAGAACGCTAAAGGAGATAAACACAAACTGTTAAAGATTTACAGTTTAACTATAAAGAGGCATTAAAATTCACAGTCTATATGTTTCTGATTCAGCTGTGGTGGGAAAGGAAGCAGCATTTATACATCTGTGCATCTGATCAACATTTCTCTACACCTGAGAAGTCGGTGAAATCTGCTGTTTGTTCATCTGAACATGCAGACATCCTCTCTCTAATCTAACAGTGTGTTTATTTCAATCACAGCTCAGCAGTGACTCGACTGTTCAGCAGATGAAACTTAAAGGATTCGCTCAAACAACAGGAGGAGGTCAGAGAGAGTGAGAGGAAGTTAGGTAACAACGGCACAGTCAGTAGCTACGTTTACATGGAGCCAAATATTCCGAATATAATCGGATTAGAAACCCAATCGGAATGAAAATGCTCCATATAAACACCTCATTCGGAATAAACAGGCCCATTCCGAATGGAATTTCATTCCGATTCACAGGGGTAGAATTTTCCTTTTCCCATTCCGATTAAAAGCAAAATCCTGTCATGTAAACAGTGAATCGGAAAGTTGTCAGGCTGGGTTCTGTCTGCGCATGCTCTGTCCTGATGTAAACAAGCAGTGACGTATGACTCACATGGTGGGACATCATGTGACAACATCACGTGACAACATCACGTGATGTTTGAAGGTATCACATGTCTGTAAATAGCTGTTCCGATTGAATGCCGTGGCACATGTAAACACCAGATCAGAATAGATCGCTTCCATGTAAACAGTTCGCCTGGGAGCTTCAATCGGAATGATTATAATCCGAATGAGAAAAAAGTCTGCATGTAAACGTGGCTAGTGGAGTCATGTCACATCCAGGCCTTGGATTAATGAAGTCCTGGACCTGATGTTCACTCATGACATTAAAAGCTCAGACACATTGACCATAACCTCCAGAGGATTCATCTCTTTTTCTCCACTCTGATGGAGGATTTCACCGCCTGCAGCACTTGACTGCACGGTTTCCTGTGTCAGCCCGTCGTTTCAATGCTGCTCTGAAATGTTATAATATCACTGAGGGGGAACATGCATCTCAGATTTGTATTTGTGTTTTTGTGTTTTGGCCCGAGTGTGACCGCCTCACGTTTGTATGATCCAGACATGCCCGACTGAGTGAGGCAGCGCTGCAGCTCGTCTGCAGAAATCTGTCCATCCTGTCAGAGAGAGAGAGAAAACAGACGGAGAGGAAAAACTTAACACTGCCGAACAGTCAGAAAACAAATCTGAAAACTGCAGGAAAGACATGAAAACGTCTCCACGTCTGACTTTCTGGAGTGTGAGTGTGGTGTTACCTGTCCTGCTACAGAGGAGAAATATCCGTAGAGAGGATCCTGCTGCAGAAAAGAGAGAGAAAAAACAAACTAGTCGTTTATTTCAAGACATTTATTTCTACAACTCAAAGGAGAGCTCAGATATTTCCATTTTTATGATTTACTCAGGAGTCTAAATGACTGATAGATCGCTTCAGTAGACCGCTTCAGTCTGCAGCCGTTCAACAGTTTTCCTAACAAAGAGATACTAAGATGCTCCTTCATTAGTCCCACGAGGGGAAATTCTCATTTACAGTTCATCCCCTCAAAGAAACATCAAGTGGACATACAGGGGGGACAGGAACAGGAGGACTGTGGGGACGGCACAGACCGGCGCCCTCTTTTCTTAGACGATAAAAAGGAGAACAGGAGGAAAAAAAGGCAACTCAAGAAGGCGTCAAGTTGAAGGGGATGTGATCGTGTGTATTCTTCCTGCACGTGTACGTGTCAGCCTGTGGCTTTATCTCCACTTCAGTCCCACCCATTTGTCCCGGCCGTCTGATTACAGGAGACGACCTTGGAGAGTTCTGATCCGGAGACAAAGTTCACTGCAGGAGGAGGGTGAGGAGGACAGGGCCGAGCATCTGTCTGCGTAACATCCAGGAGAGGAGACATACTTTGTGGTTTTCCATCTACCTTCAGTCTCTCTGGTCTCTGATGGCGTTGACCCAAACATCAGAATCTGGTGACCAGTTTAGCCGAGCCGGACTGTCAGCTTGTATCCAACTTGCAAAAGCGTTCATCAATCAGAACCAAGAATCGCATCCAGGTTGTGATGAAGTTCTCGTATCATTTGAGTCTGAGTGTTTACTGTGAAAGTTTCATGCACATATGGAGAGACAACTTCTAAACGAAACACAGTTTTCATCATAAGACAGGAGGTGAAGTAGTCAGAACAAGTATGAGAGCACACCCTGCACAAAACTAACTCCTCTTATCAGGACCTGCTGCCTCCAATCTGTGCAAAGTCTACCAGCACGGACTCTATGTGCCAACCACTGAGAAGAGACCAGTTCTCTGCTCTTAGTGTGAGTTTACTATAAGGGTCTTTTCATAACAGACCCCCACCCTTCCTCACCCTGGACGTCTTGTAATTTCAGCCTAAAACAAACATATATTTCCTTAATGTAACCTCAGCGCTGAAGATACTAGAGGAGCAACAAGAGTTCACTGAAGCTTCATGGAGACTTCAGGAAAGTGCTTTAGAGTCCACAGTGTGATTCTTTAGACTCCACAGTATTTATTAAAGGTTTGAACCACAAATTTCACTAACACATTCAGAGCCTAAAAGGTTCATGTCGTACTGATGGTTGAAAACTGAGTGTTTCACTCAAATTCACTGTAAAACCAGAACATCATGATGTGAGATTACAGGTTAAACTACACAGCACAGTGTAAGGTCAGTTTTCAGTTGTATCAGGGTGTTTATGTTTTTTAAATACTGAAATGTTTGAATACATAAAATAAAAAGGCGTGTCTACAGTGTTACAGGAGGAGGTGGCTCATTTTTCTGAGGGCTTTTGATTGGCTGACAGTAGATGATTACCTGAAGTCACCTGTCCTTGACTGACTGTGTTTTACTCATAAATGATAAATCATTATCATATGCTGCCACAGATGTAACCAAACAACACAACAAAATGACATTTAAACTATCCAGCTGTATATCAGGTCAAACTTTACATATTGGATTGTATTTTTTAGCTTTAATAAGAGTGGAAAGGGTTAAAGTGGTTTCTCTGATAATAATACATTATGTAACACTATGATAATCAAAAAGGCATCTTACTCTAAAGTTCAGTATTTTTACTGATAATACACGCATTAAACTTCTAATCTAGAGCTTTTATCAGTAAAATTGTCATCTTAATGATGTTGTTTTGATGCTTTTATTTTGGAAATATTCAGACTTTATCTCTCCAAAGCAAAGACAATGTGTGCTGATGTCGTCTACACAGCTCCACAGTAACTTACTGGTTTTAGTTTGCACATATTTACCTTATTAATGACAAATAGAAACAGTTCATAGTTCTTATAAATCTACAGTTTCGTGCATTTTGGCGAAATTCGTCGTCTTAATTCAACTTCCGGACTGATCTAACAGGATAAAAACACGTCTGTCCCGGGGCAGGACGTTGGTAATTTAACAAAAAACCACTTTAATGATGATATTTAACCACAAAATGAGAGTTTCTTACCGCCCCTGGAGCAGCTCCGTATCCTGGATATGCCATTTTTTCAGTCTTGTTGTTCGATAATTGAACTAAACGGAGATTCCTGTCAGTGGGTGTGTCTGCACACAAACAGATGCTGAAAATCAAGATTATAAAGAGCTTGAAAACAGCCTGAAGCAACAAAGCGGGTCTGAAAGTGGGTTTACCTCGAGTTAAACCGAGCACTTACAGATAAGAATGTGAAACCTTCTTCGAAAGGTTGTTAAACGTCCTGTTTCCTCACCGCTGCATTCTGATTGGCTCTCAGTGACCGCGTAAATCCGGAATCCACCAATCGGATGATAGAGATGGCTACGAATTTCATCGCTTCAGGCTGCAGAGGTTTACAGAGTAACTAGAAAACGCAATTTCTGAAGAAATTGCCAGATGGATTGCTCCAGCTGAAACTGCCATCGCTAAACTGCTATTGTAAATGGCGTAAGTTCAAAGATATGTGAAAGAGATGAGGTTTGAAGATTCAGAAAGATTTAAATCAGTTTAAATGAGCTGGAATTAGTTTGAAAAAATTGAAAACTGAATGAAGAATGAAATGATTTTAAACTGGAAAATTAAAATAATCATAATCTGGAAGTATAGAGGAGTTGAAGGCCTGTAGTTGTGTGAAGAAAATGTGAGAAAATTCCATAATGCATTTCTAATGGGAAAAATTGGTCGGAAAACCTGGAATATCTCGGAAAGTATGAATGTTGGGAAAATTTGGAATATAAACCGGAATCTCCTTAATGAGATGAATATTTTGAAGTTTGAATGGTTTGTATACGTTGAAGTATGTAGAAGGAGTAGTGGTCCAATAAAGATATGAATAACATATAGTGGGAATGCTTCGCAATCTCACTCAATAAAAGTGAAGAGACCGTCGCTCTTCAGCTGAAAAACACCTCACTAAAAACGAGAAAAGAAGAATAAATGTACGTTATCAAAAACAGTTTACCTCTGCACGTGTCTCTAACAGGTTAAAATGATGTTCGGATAAACACTAAACTAATATTTTTATCTCCTGTGATGCAGATTTATGGATTTTTATGAATCATTATTGGAAACAGCTGGTTTGTAAATGATTGAGAGGTCCAAACTGATCAATAATCTGATCTCAGTGATTGTTTTAGTCCTGTATCTACAAGAGTCTAATTAGTCTTAATCTAAATCACATTAATCTGTCTCATGTCTCATTTCAAACTCTCTTTTATTTATTTAATTATTGAATTTAATGAAAAGTTTAAATACATATCTTATTGTAGGGGGTTCATTTGACTGTTCCCTGTGTTCTCTATGGACATTAATTGTTTTTGCAGTTGACCCTCGGGGCCACCGTAGCAGAGTGATGAATTCCAGTTTATTGACCTCTTGTTTTGTTTGATTGATTTTGATTTGATAAATACAGGAAGCTTCAGTAAAGATCGGTGAAAATAACAGTGAAGTTTCTAAATCAATATTTTTGAGGACATAAATTCTGGCACAACTTCACAAACTTCCAAGGTTCTTGGAGAAAAAGGATGTGAAAGAGGTCAAAAGAGCTCCAGCAACACTTATGGTTTCAGGAAAACAGCTTTATTTGACCGACACGTTTCGGCTGGTGTTGTTTGGACCCTGATGAAGGCCACAAGCCGAAATGTGTGGGTCAAATAAGCTGTTTTCCTGAAACTACAAGTGTTGCCGGAGCTCTTTTGACCTAAATCAATATCTATACATTAAAACTTTTTCTTGTACAAAAAAGAAAAGCTCTGGTGACAAACTTGTTTTGTGATTGTGGTGCCCTTCAGGACAGAATCTCACCTCACTTTTTATAGGAGGCATTACATCATTATCAGAGACAGGCTGACCAATCAGCTTGTTGGTCAAAGTGACTCATGTGGTCGCCCCTGCTACGTCCAGAGAAAACCCATCTGATACTCAGTGTTTGGCTTCAGATGAAGAGGAGGAACACGGACACTTCACCTCCCTGACTGCAAACGCTGAGCTCAGGCCACGATGGACGGACTGAAACCTGACTGCTGGGTCTGGACACCAAGATCTCCTTTGTGTCGCCTTCCTCAACGTTCAGGGAGTCTGGATTCAGCTCTGCTGAACCACCATGAGGAAGAAGAGGAGGAGGAAGAAGGAGCTGCCTTCCTCTGTTACATTACAGGTAAATTTAAGCTGAGGATTAAATGACAGGATAAAGTTTAATCTAATACATGAGAAATATTTAGTTTTTGTGATACAAACCAACAGGATTCTGGAAAAAGACCTGGAGAAACGGAACTACAGGAAGTGTGTGTGTGAGGGATTAAAAGAGACTAGATTAGGATTTATTATTCTGATCATATGTGTGATTGTTTCTGACCCTTAACACATCAAACTGCAAATAGAGAGTCTTCACCGTACAGTCACATTCATTTGCCTGACTGTTTATTTTTGTGTCACGCTCTACTTAATGCATGTGAATGTGTGTGTGTTTTTGTGCATGTGTGTGTGTGCGTGTGTGCGTGTGTGTGTGTGTGCTTGTGTGTGTGCCAGTTTCTGCCGAGGACTTGTGCCTACACTCCCACTCCAAACCCAGCAGGTCCTTTCAGCAGGTAGAGGAAACAGACGGTTCAGACATATGACTCAAGCCATGATTTGCAACTCAGAGCCAAGCCCCTGAATTAACCATCTTTTCTTGATTATAAGTGTAGCAGCGTCCTTAGAGTGGGAAAAAATCGATTTTGCATTACCTTAACTCACAACTTCAGTTCTGACAAAGATGGAAACTGTGTGAAAAGTTGGTAGATGCAGATTTTGGTAAATTGTTTATACCAAAGATTTCACTAAAAGTAATACAAAGACAACTTTTAAAAGAGAGAAACTGAAATAAAGGGTTTTTTTTAGAAGGAATGTGTGTTCATGTCATATTTCATGCTGGCAACACATTTTCAAAAAGATAGAGGAGGGGCGTGTTTACCTCTGATGGTGACTTGATCTGCTCACCATGATTGCATCTGTACTTTCAGACTGTGATGACAACAATCGTGGTGCTCGGTGGTCTTCTGAACCTCCCATCTACTCATCAGGGACCCCCAGCAGCCCTTGTCTGTGCAGGCGTTGTCCTGGTGCCACATCCTCACAGCAACCAAAACCAGCAACTTATGCAGAAGAGGAAAATGAGTCCCAGCATTTCATCAGTGATCGATGTTGGGAGGGTCCGAGGATGGAGACCCAGGGATGTGTTTGTGTTTATGGGCAGAGAGAATCTGAAGGCTTTGGTCCCTGCTGGCCTGGATCTCCATATGTTTACTACGGAGGTGAACTTCAAATAAAATACTCCATCTCTCGTCTCATAACTCGTTTTTCGTTTATACCAAATGCCTCTAACAGTATTCTGTCTGCTCACTGCAGTGAGGAGGAACCTGGTGGTCGGAGTGGAGGTGGTGGAGGAGGTTGCGGTTGAAGAAGTAATGTAAGCATTGCACAGAAGTAGCACAGCTTGTAATTATATTTCATGTATAATTTTTATATTTGCAATATGATCAAAATAAATGCTTTGTCTGAAATTGATGTTGTCTTCTCTCTCTTCAGAACAGAGGATGTTTACACAGATGACCTGATGGATCCTGAGCTGCTAGAGGAAGAACAGCTGTACCCCACATAAATAAGATAACCGCACACACTGGAAAAACAAAGATGTAATCATGAGACTTGTTTTTATGTCATATCCTGAGACTTCAAGTATTCTTGTTTCTTTATTTCTTTATTTCTCCATGAAATTGTTTGTATGAGTATTTTCATAAACTTGGTACAAAATCCAGAATGTATTAGATCTGTGATATCGGGGCAGCTAACAGACACAGAAATATTATAAATATGAATTTTCAGATACTATAAAACAATCATCTTTGCTTCAGTTTATCTCCAACATGTTTCTTGTGACGTTTCTTTTTTGAGTCACTGTCAACCACCGTTAAGCAAACTTTCAACATACAAAAAATAAATTAATCAATAAAAACACATTTTCATGGGTAATAGTTTCAATCTTAGAAATGTGGTTTTGAATAATATAATATAATATAATATAATATAATTTAATATAATATAATATAAAATAATATAATATAATATAATATAATATAATATAATATTGAATTTGAAAAAAAAATAAAGCTGAGGACTACATCTACCAGCATGCATCGTCAACATTGTTTGTTGACGTCGTTTGCGTCTTTACGTCACAGAAGGGAAACATGGCCGACGTGGGTACCGCGAAATAGAGAATCTATGACCGATGAGCCAAGTTTTCCTCAAAATTCGGTCTAAAACGTCGAAATGTCGGATTTACTCGAAGCTCAAACCCTCCAGGAACGACTGGAGCGTCTACAGGAGCTGACAGAGTTTACAGAGAGCTGCAGGAAACAACTAAACCACATATTTGAAACGCTGGGATGGTCGCTGGACGATAAGGACCCAAACCAGGTAAAACAAACAGTAACGGTCATCCTTAAAGAGGCGTTTTCAGTCAGCTTTCGGTCCGAATATGAAGATAGTCTGGGATTTTTCTGATGAAATCCTTACTTAAAAAGTAATAATATGATTTAATGTTTTAACCGGACGGTTACCGGGTCATCGATATGATTATCTTTAATCGATGATGTTGTAACTGTTGGTGTCACATCGAAAATGGTTAAGGATTCAGTTCAGATCTCTGCTTCAGGGACCGGGAGACCAGAGTGTTTGTCTGAGTTACTTAAACAGGTTTGTAAAATTGAACTTGTTTATAAGTCATGATGTTTTTAGTGTCCTATGGTATGTTATTTATCAGGTCTGGACTCAGTGAGTGATTCGTTCACTGAACATGAACCGTTCCCTCTCTAACCGCTGCAATGATAGGGTGATGCGGGTTTAATGCACTACTTTATTACATGCTGTGTCCTGTTGAATGCAAGTTGTTTTAGTGGCAATTTAGCAGTTAAAAAAAAAAAAAAACATGGTAGTTTTGTCTGCCGAAGTGATTCCAGAGAGTGTAGTTAAATGCGTGATTCGTTCACCACAGGTGTCGGTGCATGAGGTCCCTTGTTTGCCGGCTGCTCGACCAGCAAAGCGGTTTCTCACTTCAGCTTAATTGAAGTGAGGAACGAACGAATCACTCAAGGACGTAATTCGGTTCAGTACGTTCACCTACAAGATTCGGTTCTTTTGAACGAATCATTCGCGAACAACACAGCCCTACTTTTGACTGTTTGTAAACCAATAAAATCTGTTTTCATGTCGATCCCACACAGCGTCCTGACTCTTATAGAGGTGGTGTTGTACACTGAAATCTTCTGGACTTTATATGTTTTTGTAAGAATTCGAAGTCTTGATCTCAAACAGCATTCTTTCTTCAGAGCTGATGTTCCTCTGATGTTTGTGGTGTTTTTCTAGGAGGAACTGGAACAGTGTCCTTATGATCCCAACCACAGAGTCCCAGCCAGGAGCATGGAGAAACACAGAGCCTCCTGCAGCCTCCGTAAGATGGGCTACACAGCTGAGGAGCAGGTAACGTGCTGCTTATAGGTCATGTAGGAACTAAAACAGATGGCTCGCTCATGGGCTCCTGGTCTAAGCGCCTCATGTGTAGAGGCTCCACTAAAATAGATGTTTCAGAGTGATCAAATCCACAGTTTTTCTGTACAATCTTTGAGAAGAAGGACCATTAAAGGTTTCATCGTTCCTTTTCAGGAGGAGATAATCGACAGCTCTGTGTGTTATGAGAACACCAGTGTAAGAACCTTTACAATGGGTGAGTCACTCATGATAACTGCTATTGTTCATCCACAGCTTAAAGGTGGGGTGGTCAGGATCTGAGTCAGGTCTACCTCCTTTTTAAGCGCCCGTTATTCCACCAGAGTCTCCAGTATTTACTTTGTTAAAGTCATTTTCTTTTACGCAGACAAATCCACCCAGCACCAGGTGATCCTGCAGGCCAGATCTGCTGCTCCGCTCATGAAGATGGAGGGGGTCTTCTGGCAAGGTGTGAGCTTAAAGTACAACAGTTGTCTTTCTTCTGACATGCTCACGATGACACACAAGTTTTCATTTCAAACAAAGAGACAGAGTACCGGAGTAGGATGGACTTTTCCATACCGGGCCAACTGTACTACAGAATAACAGAATAACAGCCGACTTACAGTCAGACTGCTATCAAACACCGTACTCAGTGGTCAGCGGCAGTAGGCCAATTCGAAAACAGCCACAGTGTTATTATATTCAGCAGTCTCACAGTGTGTATACAGAGCAGACCACTAGATGGCACTACAGGGCTGACTACACAATCAGCATCCACACTAACCAGTCTCAGCTGTTTTATCCTCGATCCCAGCAGAAAAAAAACTCTTTTCTAATGTTCATAAATGTTCTTGATTTTGGATTTTGACCCTTTAATGTTGTTTTTCTGCTGACGTCTGTAACAAGTGTGTTTGTTCTGTTCGCAGCCACAGGGGTGAGTATTAGAGAGGAGCTGCTGCTCTGGTTCAGGCTTTCCTGACCTCGTGTAGTATCCTTTAACATCATATCCTTTCAGACTACTATCCTGGGCTCACACACACACCAACACACACACCAACACACTCTCTTCCCTGTACGTGCGGGGGAAAAGCCTTATACATACAGACGTTAGAGTGTATTGGCATTACATTATAGGAGTTGATGAGAAATGACACAGCTGTATCAGGATGTGTGGTTTTGGTGTCTGGACAAACAGTGTGTAAAGCCTCCCTGCTCCTCCGTCAGGTCAGTACTCCGGACATCCCGTCGACGTGCCTCAGAGCCACAAGCGTGCGGTGTGTGACCTCACCGTGGCCGACCGATTGGCTCTTTATGATCATGTGGTTAGCGTCTTCAGCCAACAGAAGGAAGCTGCCTCCTCCAGCAACGAGGACCTCTACGTAGATTTGGTGTCCAAACTCAACAAGGGTAAGGTTCGATGGTGAAGAACTCCCAAACATCCAACATCGTGAACTCATCGTCAAATATGTTTGTGTGCAGATGACGAACAAAACGAACCAAAGACTCACCTGGAGCTCATGGCTGAGATGAGGGACTATAAGAGACGGCGTCAGTCTTACCGAGCCAAAAATGTTCACATCACCAAGAAGTCTTACACTGAGGTACGAACCCGCGCCCGGGGCCTTGTTTGTCAACCGTGTGTACGAACACTCCCACATTCCCATCAACCTGTACTTGTTCTTAGGAACGTGCGTAAATTCAAGCCCAACTCAGAGCATGCTTACACACAAACCCTAGTGGTCGAACAGTGAAACTACAACTACAACCCATTAAAGGAGTCACAGCGTTCAGCAATCTCAGACTTCACACATGTTCTCTGTTCACTCTGTACAAAACTGATCAATCAGTTATTGATCAGACATTTTGAATGATTGGTGTGACAAACTATAAAATCAGCTGAGAGAGGACAACCTCAGAGGAAGTCTTACAAACACAAACACAAGTATCCTGGTTTATTGTTCTGTGGGAGGACTTGGAGAAGCGTCTCCTCCTCCTCCTCAGGGAGCGCGGCGTTTTCAAAGAGCGTGCTGATCTGTTCAGTGAGAACTCAGAGTGGATCCTCAGCAGGAACCGCTTCCCCCAAAACATCTGAATGGATTTATGATTCGTGATTTACAGCCGTGTCGGAGCGAGAGACAAAACGCACCAACGCCAACATCCCAGTGACCATCCAGCTCCTGTCCACGCTAACCCGACATTTCAGCCTGAGATCGGAGACATAGACAACATTTTACAGACAACGCTGACAGAATCATGTCGGCAGAGATGATCAATAATTTCTCTGACCTTGACTTACATCCAGTTCACAAACACACGTCAGCAACACGCCGAAACAAAACAATCAGAGCCGTAGATTTGACCACATCGTCATAAAAGCACCTTCACACGATAAATTCAGTTTAATCAACAGGAAAGGATTTCAATCAATCAATGATCAATAATCTGAGATGATCATATGGATCATATGGATATGGATAAATGTTGTTGGAGGAACGCACGACTGTGAGTGTGCACCTCCATGATTTCAGCGAGGGGGAAAAAAATCTACTCAGGTGTTTTTAAAGGGATTGTTGATACCATATATGGTCAGTTGGAGGCGTGTCTGAATGTTAATGACCCTAACCATGAACGAGCAGAAATACAGATTTATTTTGTTCTTACACAGATTTTAAATTTCATTCCTACGACAGAATTTAGAACCTTTTCTACACACGGTTGATTAATGAGGGTCCTGGAGAAGACTCTGCTGAGTCTTTACCCACAATGCTTTGTTAAATCTGAGCTTTTATGGAGTTACTCATATATAAAAGTGTGATTAAGTAAATTTGAACTGAACAAAAACAGTAACTTGGTGTCACTGTGATCCACCTGCAGGTGATCAGAGAGGTGATCAGCGTCCACTCGGCTGAGCTGGCCAGACAGTGGAGAGAGGAAGAGGAGGAGGAGTCAGTAAGATCTGAACTGTCCTACCACAGGTAAAACAAATCCCCCTCTGATGATCAACATGTTATTGATGAGAGTTTTCAGCTGATGTTTTGTGTCATTCAGGCGACGGATGGATGAACGACGATCTGCTTCGTCAGAGTCTCGTCACTCCCACAGCAGACGCCATCGCAGCCGAGAACGAAGCCGAGAGAGAGAGAGCAAGAAGAAGAAGAAAAGAGGAAGGTGAGACAGGAAAACCAGAACAGTTTGATTATATCACTTCATCACTTCATGCTAAATTCAGGCGACGGAGAGCGAGCTGCGCTGCCAAGAAAGACAACGTCAGCATCGCTCATGTTCAAATGTTGACGACACAGACATAAGAGAACACAGAGATATCGTTATATTACCAATATCATCAATAACTAATAACTATTGACTGATATTAAAAGATTTTCTGTATATATATATATATATACCATAAAAAAGATGTTTCTTTAACAGAATCCTCTTTACCCCAACTCTGATGAGACTCACAGATCATCTGTAGAGAAGAAAACTTTTACCAACTCTTCAGTATAAAAATATGACATGTTCCTTTTTAGCACCTATTCATCAATACTGCTTTTCATAATTCGATACAAAAGTTTATTTTTGATGGAATCACCCGTTTGCAGAAGTACTGACACACTCCCTGTCTGCTCTTTGGGTCTTTGCAGGGATTCCCGCTCCCCTGACGACCACCGCGACCGAAAGAAGAAGAAAAAGAAGAAGAAGGAGGAGAGGGAGAGAGAGAAGGAGAAGTAAAGATGCTGGTTCATGACTCCAGAAACGATCAGATGAGGCTAATGTGGTCTGCACAGGTCAAAGGTTACCAGGTGTCAGAAAAGAGGCGGATTCTTGAAATGGTTAAATGGGAATAAAGTTTTTTTTTATACCAACAGCATCAAATTTCTGATCGATTTGTGCTTAAAAAACTTTTTTATCATGTTTCATTTTTTATATAATTCTTGTTCCTCCAAAAATACACGTCTGTCAATCTTGTCCAGGCCCCGCCCACCTCTTCCTGATTGGCCGGGGGTGATTTCCAGTAACAGGGAAAGTGGAATGTCGAACAGAAGTGTCACAGCTAGCATTGTGGGGTCAAAGGTCACTCTTGTTTCAGCTTCGTTTTGCTGCGTCTCTGTTGTCGACAGTTTTTTACACTCGGTGTAAAAATACAGAAAATCCTTCAGCAGAAACACGTTTAAAGGTCTGAGACAAAGATTTATGAAGTAAGTTTGAAACTGAAAGTTGTTGAGTCAGTGGACGTCTAAAAATATTATAACACTCTGAAGCTTAAAATGCTCTTCCTTTACTGTCTGTCACCTCTAATTTTAGGACAGAGTTAACGTGAATCATCTGATGTATGAAATAAAAAGGTTTAACTCAAGTATCAGGTAACAAAGCTGAAGAAAATGAATATAAGCCCAAAGAACATTTAAACTTAAACCTCCATCATGTAAAACAGCAGTGTCTGAGTCTGCTGGTGGAAGACAAACAGAGGGACAGACAGTGGAAGTTGTAGATGAGCAGTTCTCTTGTTCGGGAAGTAGGATGAGAGCAGAGTCAGTTTTTCCTCTTTAAAAACTTCTGATAAAATCTACATCAGTGGTTCTCAACTGGTGGGTCCCGACTTAAAAGAGGGTCGCGGACACGTTCTGGATGGGTCGCAAACCACTGGTCAAAATGTAAATATTTAATGCACACCTGGGGTCCGTTTCACGTAGGTGGTTCAACAAACTCTGAGTTAAATCCTTAACTCTGAGTTGATCTACTCTGAGTTAGGAAACTCTGAGTTTCCGGTTTCACAATACCTGATTTGAGACGGTTTTAACAACTCCGAGTAGTTTGACCTGGAGTTAAGCAGGTGCACGCCAGACATAAACAGCCAGCATCTGTGGAGCGCAGATTCAATGATCAACCAATGGAAACAGGGAGAAGGAGGGGGCAGCAGCAAGCCAACAGCGAATTACAGCACGTTTTTAAAAGAACGTGCAATACAGCAGCAGCTGCAAAGGAGAGGGAGAGGGCTTGGGAGGAAATCGCTGCTCGCGTCAATGCGTAACTTTAAATCTAGTCTCGTGCAAACACAATGACAGACTGTTGCAGGGAAACTGCTTGAATCATTTTGATCATGTTTTACATTGTCAAGTAAGTATTAAGTGGCAGTTTGATCCCTTAGAAAATGCTCTTTTCACACTCAAAACTGAATTTTACTCTCTTATGATGTTCCGTTAAGTGATTAGGAATATTAAACTAACTCTCAGTATGTATATGTACATATATTAAACTAACACACACTACACTCAATATTAGACTTTCACTCAGCAAACAGAAAGAGGGCAGATGCCAGAAAAAACGGGTGGTGGCCCAGCAGCCCCCCCCCCCCCCCCCCCCCGACGATCGAAACCCCCACCTCGTAGCAGCGATCGTCGGACTGGTGTGCGTGCGTGTGTGTGTGTCTGTGGGGGGGATTTGCGATCGGACCGGCCGCGATCGTCGAACGGGGGTGGGGGGGTGGGGGGCAGCTCCTCTGCCTCCGTTAAAGGTGGGGCTGCTGGACCACCACCCGTTTTTGTGTTAGTTTAATATTCCTAATCATTTAACGGAACATAATAAGAGAGTAAAATTCAGTTGTGAGTGTGAAAACAGCTTTTTTAAAGGGATCAAACTGTCACTTAATACTTAGTTGACAATGTAAAACATGATCAAAATGAGAAAATGCCGATGTCTCACCTGAAACTCTGGGTTTACTGAGTTAAACCTGCTCCCGACCAGGTTAGGTTCACGGAGTCTGTTACTGTGGTAACTGACCGCGAGGTTGAGTTACCTCTCTTTGTGAAACAGGTTAGAGTTACCCCTCTCTCCCTGGTTTAACTAACCCTCCTTTGTGAAACGGAAAACTCAGAGTTTCCCTGATTTCAGGGTTAACAAACTCGGAGTTTCCATTAAACCTGCTACGTGAAACGGACCCCTGATGTTTGACATGTGTTTTATTTTGAAAATTAACTTCTTTTGCATTATGTCATGGTCCTCCTCTGTTTCTAATTAATGTGGTCTGAATGCAGTAAAATTATATATATATTTTTCTTGGTCTTTATTTTGTGTAATTTGATATTTTCTTTATATGCAACTTTAGTAGTTGTTGTTCTCAGTTCATGTGCTCTGAAATGCACTTTACTCTGTATTTCTGTGAAAGATTTGAGTCTTTAAAGGTTTGTTTTATAAAACATAAACTTGTTTGGTTTAAATTTTATAAAAGTGGGTCACGACTTAAGGACCGTGGGAAAATGTGGGTCCCAGAGTGAGACCAGTTGAGAACCGCTGATCTACATGATTGAGACCAGTTTATCCTCAGTCTGTGTTTTTACTGTAAAGTTCTGCGTTTAAAGCTTTTTCTTTAGAAGGAAGGTCCTTCGGTGTGATGAAACTTCTTTTGTTGAGATGAACTCATTTATAAGCAGGTTGAGCTGCAAAAATAACCTTCAGGATTTAAGTTTTTTCACTGCAGAGGAAAAACCGTACGACTGCATGATTGTAAGTTTTCAGTGAAGATTTTGTGTGAGCAAGGACAAAGTTTTCAGAGGATAAAATATTTGCCCTAAACTGTCGAGACAAACTCCGACGTTGTTCTGTGACTGATGTAGGCCCAGAGTGAAGTCTTAGCGTGGGCCCATCCTTCGCTTTTCTCCCAGTTTTGTGTTTCTCTGCTCATTCTGGACTCTGCCTCAGGTATTTCTCACCCTGCTGAGACGCAGAGATAGAGGACGAGAGGATCCCATCAGAGCCTGGGAACCTGAGGGATCCTGGAGAGACAGACAGACAGAGAAGAGAAGGAGACAGGAGACAGTCAGAGAGAGGACAGGGGGACCATCAGGGAGATCATGCTGTGAGGAGAACTGCTCAGGGAACGCTTAATCAGCTCATTTTCTGCCCCCTCATCTGTAGCCTCCGAGTATCCTGTGGGACCTGTTGTGGTGTTAGGGGACTCTGCAGCACCATGGGAGCCTCCAGTGACAAGGTAAGAGGGTGATGGTCTGGGTTTTGTCAGGGCCTGCAGGGTCAGGGTCTGGTTGGTATCCTGTTCGGATCATATTTGGAGTTGTAGTTCGATCATTTGTTTAGGCAGCAGTTGTTGTTCGTGTCTAACTTTAGATGGCTTCAGTGAAGAACCAGGTCAGGACTTATAGACCAACAGAGACTCTGAGTTCAGCTGCTGTGAGAGCAACGAAGAGAAAGACCGACTCTTACGTTTTTACTATTTTAAAGTCTAAACCAGTCAGCTATCATAGTTCCTCCTTTAGTCTCAGGTCTGAATATTTCCCTACAGATTTGTGAGGAAAATTAAAGAGTAGAAATGAGTCAAACTGGTGTAAGTGTGGGAACATGTAAAGAATTTACCTCCAGTTTTGACTAAACTCACACAGACACCTCAACACTAAAACTTTAACCTCTTTACACGACTAAAAAAAATACAGATAACAAAGTTCATCAAAGTTTGAAGACAGGAAATACAGAAACTCTGGCAGGAGGAAAACATGGCTCTGGATCAGATTTTAATGGAAGAGGAACGATGTTGATGATGTGGATCACAAATATTAACGGGAGTGAACATCGGGACTGAAATCAGAACGATGTTACCTGCATAGTGGAGTTATTTTTGTTCCTTGCCTACATGAGTGATTTTGACAACATGAAAATATCATTAAAACAGACTAAAGTCAGAATAATATCCAGAAGGAACTGAACATACAGAGAGCATGAACTTGGGTCCCACCTCACTGCCCCAGAGGTCCTGCAGGTCAGCAGGTTTCAGACATTCTGACTAAACTGATCTGAGGACAGTTTCTGTTCATTTTACATCAAACTCATCAACCCTTTAAATCTCTTTAACAGCAGAGAGTTTGAGAGTGAAAGCTTTCTCCTCTCCTTACTGTGGGTCGAGTGTTTTTACAGTAAATGATGGAAAAGTTCTGTGAGTCATTCCCTGTCAATAAATAAAGAGAGGAGCAGACTCACTGTCACTGCACTACAAATGTCACTGACAGACTTCACTCTTCTTTTTTGTCCTGATGTATTTGTCCTAAGTAAAAAAAAATTAAAATGTGGGCAAACCAGAGATTCTAAGACAAACACAAAACAAACAACACCTAAAGAGACAGACCCCCCCCCCATCACTCCAAAAGGGTTCTTGTCATGGAGGTCATGGGGGTGATAAATATGGGGTGTGTGGAGCTGGGTGTATTTCAGGGGTAGGTGACAATGTCAGCGTGTGAACCGATGCTTGGAGCTTTGTTCAAACCATAGACAATACTTGTTTTAAAGTAGGAGAGCTCACATGGGGAAACTTCTACACCTAAAATCTGATCATTCAGTCTCAGATCTCTTTTTATGCTCCATACTGCAGTTTTAGGAGGTCTAAGGGAGGAGGAATCTAAGATGGATGTCTTTATAACCTTCAGCCAAGTCCGTGATTCTGGGCGAGTAGACGCAGACCACTTTTGTTTGATTCTTGGTGTCCTCCAGGACTTTGACACCTCATGATTCAAGCATCTGTCCTCTGAATCGACCATAACAGACAAAGATCAGAGAAGAAGAACTTTATTTATGAGGGGAAATCCAACAGGCTTCATCTGATAGGCAATGTCAGCTATGTGAGTTCAGATGTTTTCTTGTTGAGCTTCTTCACCTTTGGAGGTTCCTGCTTTCTGCTGCTGACAGGTTTTGGCTGGTGCTGCTCAGGATGACAGTTAATCAGATGCAGATTAAAGTGGTAGGACTGTAGGAGTGTTATTTTGCTTCATGAACGTTGCAGTCTGTTTCTGTTTCTGTTTCCTCAGAATACTTCCAAACAGCTGACATGTTGAAGTTTGTCATTGCACGTGCATAATTAATCTGCTGTAAATATTGACACAAATGGTCATTAGGAACTAATGACACCTTTATCTGCTGATGATGGTATCTCTGTGGATAATGTTGTGCAGCTTACCTGCTCACAACCAAAACGAACAGCAGCGCCGCTGACTCTTACCTCACTCTGAATCTGATCATCATTTCTCCTGACCGTTGGTTTGTTATGTGTGTCTGCAGCTTTAGATCATTACTATTGGATCTTACATGTTTGTTTTCTGCTGTTATCAGTTATTTGATTGATTTTTAATTCAGCTTATCTGGTTTATTGCCTTCTATAACTTCACCTGTTAACTGTCTGTGTTTATCTAATAAATCAATATATTTAAATGTTAAACACTTTGCAACTTGTTTTTTGAAAAGTGTTTTATAAATAAGATTTTTATTATTATTACTATGGACTCTATGTACTCTAACAGGCCTCGAATTTAACGTTTAGAGTCTAAATAGAAAATCAAAATCTGTTTTCATCCATCCATCTAACCTTTATTCATCCTGGTCAGTCACACTGAGATCATTTCAGTGGAAAAACTGTTTTGGAATATTTATGAGTGATTATTTATGAAATGTCTACAAGTGTAACGAGATCAGAATTCAAGTCAAAAATCATCTTTAGCTCCGTGGAAATGTCTCAAACTGTTTTACTCTTAAAGTCAGTCAGTTAACACCTGAGTTTCCCTTATAAAGGTATGATATGATATTGTATGGTACTGTATATGAGGTCATGTGATCTGTAGCAACAGTCAGGAGTCAGAAGTTAAAGTCTGTTTCTTTCTCACTGACTTAAATCTGTGGTCTGTCTCCTTCCTCCTGCAGACGTCTCTCCTCTCAGGGCTGCTGGTGCTCCTGCTGTGTGTCGTCTCCTCTCTCTGTCAGGAGGAATATTCTGGATACCACTCAGGTCAGAGCTGCTGCACCCTGCTGTGGCGGGTCTTCATCGTCAGAAATGTCATATTTACTTATTCATCTGAGGAAGAAGAGCTTCTTCAGTTCTTTACTCTGTTATTAAACATGCAGCACAAACAGGAAATAAATGAGAAGGTTGTGGTGTGAAAACCCTCCTGAGATGAACTGTCTGTAGGTCCACATCACAGTTTTCTTCTCTGAGAAGGTCAGTCCAGGTCTCAGATCCAGGGTTGTGGTTTGTTGCCGTGTTTGTTGGTCTCTGAGGATTTTTCACAAGAACTAAAAAAGATATTAAAGGAAAAAAGTGACATTAAAAATCTTATTTTCTGCAATTAAATGGAATAAACTTAGAAAAAGACTCAAACCTGACGGGTCAGTTTGCAGACGGGTTTTCTGTGTTTGAAAATGTCATAAACATAAAAACTGACAGCTGCTCTTTGATGCTCCTCCTCTGATTTCACCTGAATCCACTTTGGGATCTTAAAGGGGGTTCTGGACCTGGACCATGTGAACCTCATGTGTTTGATGTTTGTCTGTTCAGGTGAGGAACACACCTATGAAGGCTCCCTGGTGGACCAGTATGATAACTTAGCCTCTCCTCAGCCAGGTGAGCACAGAGACCCGCCCCCTCATTCTTACCTGACGACCTCTGACCTGCAGCTCGTTTCCACAAACTCTGAACACGAACCTGAAAGTCTTCCTGTTCTGCCTCCAGAGTACCCACCTGAGCCGACCCACGGCTACGACCCTTATGGCCCCGCCCCCACTCAGGTCACCATGATCACCGAGGACGCCTTCCCTTACGCCACCACCACTGAGTCCTACTACGCCAAAGAGGACACAGAGACCATGGAGGTGAGACTCTGAGGTCCAGGTCTGAGCAGCTGCTGTCGTCAGTCATTCAGACATTTGGACATTTGTTCAGTCATTTTGTGAATCACAACAGAAAAAACAAAGTCTGAGGTTGACGTTGATCTCCAGGTATGAAGGAAGTCTTCTTCTTCAGTCCAGCTGATCTTCATTTTTATAAACAAGCTCTCAGTTTTTGAAGAGATGAGTGAGAAAGAGTTCATTTTACAGAGACAGTCTCTAAATGTGGTGATGTGACTGTGTTTCAGGTCCCATATGAAGGGCCCGACACAGACTCTTCAGAGGAGTCCGGTCTCGATGAAGGCCTCGTGGAGGAGGGGCCCACAGAGTGCGACTGTGAACCCGGAGCGCCGGGATTCGCTGGATTTGCAGGACCAAAGGTCGTGACTCATTTCATCTGATCATGGTCCCTTTATTCTGAGGAAACAAGACTTTGACCTGCAGACGGCGAGAAGGAAACACACTCAGAAATCCTGACAATGATCCGCCTGAGGGGGGCGCTCTTAACCACCTGTCAAACCTTGAAAAGATTTCTAGTCCGTCAAATTGTTCAGACCTCAGGCACTTTTGATTTTTTTCAGCTGACTCTGCAAAAAGACGAGTCCAGTTTTTCTCAGATACGAGTAAAAGAGCGAATTAAGTCTTTACTGAGATTAGAGAACAAAAACTTATTTCACAAAAGACGATTCATTAAAGTCGTGTCTGAGTGATGAAGTTGTTGACTAATCTGTAAATCTTTTAGACTCTGGAGTTTTTAAATTTATGATTTTTAAAGAAACCTTTTTATTCTTGTTTTTATTGACTTATTTGTTAGTTCATGTCCCTTCATTCGATTTTTAACTGTTTTCTTTTTCAGTAAAACTCGTTTTTATTGATCTCAGATGACTCTCATTTCTCCAGATGATCATTTCGTGTTTGAATTGAAACCCTCTGTTTTCTTATCGTCTTACTTTGTTTGATCACTTCTATCCTGACTCCTGACTGTCCACAAATGTTCGAGGTTTCCTTAGTTTATATTTTCACTTATTCACAATCCTTTTATTCTGATTAGGAGTGGATTTTAGGGGTTTGAATACTTCATCTTCTTGAATTAGTTTTCATATTTTTCTAAAGCTGCTGTGGAAAAAAGAGCCATAAAAGGATGAATTATCGGTTATTTTCAATCTGAACACTTGGAGGTTAGTTCCTGTCTTACTGATTCATGTTCTGACTCTTTCAGGGGTCCAGAGGTCTGCAGGGTAAGACAGGTGAGCCGGGAACTCAAGGCAGAGAGGTGAGAATGAAAACCTCATCCCTGTCTGAGTTACAGCTGCAGCTTTTTCTCACGCCGCTCTATCCGTGTGATTTTCAGGGTTATAAAGGAACCAAAGGGGTCCGAGGACGAGGAGGAGACACGGGGCCTGTGGTGAGTGAATCATGTCCCTGACTGCTGGGTAAACATGGACCACAGCGCTGATGTGAAACTGAAAGTAGGAGAAAACCTGAGAGGGGCGAACAAAGAAACTGAAACAGAAATTAAACAGGACAGGAGTTAAAAACAAACCAGGAAATAAAAGTAAAACTAAACTCTGGAAACTTCTGAAGGAATCCCCCAAAAAGTGTTTGTTTTTAATTTTCACACAGAGTCAAAAATTGAACCCAGACTAAAACCACGTTCTAGAAAAGTCCCTGTCTTCAATAACAAAGGAACTTCATGTTATAAGAATGACTTCATTCAGAGGATTTGACTTCAGGAGAGAGAGAGAGAGAGAGAGAGAGAGGAGAGAGAGAGAGAGAGAGAGAGAGAGAGAGAGAGAGAGAGAAAGAGAGGGACGTGAATCAAATCAACTTTGTAGCTTCATTAGATTTTATTCAACTTAAATTCTGCTTCAGTTTTCCCTCGTCTTCAGGCCGAACGGTCTAATCGCCCCACATTTAGAGGTTAGAGTCCTCGTCCCAGCAGGTTTGATTCTTTTAAACAATATACTTATTGAACTTTTACAAGTATACAAAAAAACCCCATCAAAAACATGGACAGTTGGACGATGAAATGCGTCGTCGTCTCCGTCTATAAAAAGACCAAACTTGGAGTCGTCCAGACAACTGTCAATAACAACAAAAATAAAGAGAAAGTCAAAGATAAGAAAGGACAGGGGGACATGAGACAAAACAGAAAAATAATAATAACAATAAAGATAAAATATACATATACTCAGCACATCAGTGTCAGCGCCCCAACGTCCAAGAAAGTCCAACAGGGGTCTCCAAATCTTCTCAAATCCACCTGCTGTCCCTCTGATGATGACTTTTCCCCAAATGAAAGGTCTTTGACCTTTGACCCCTTCTCTTTCAGGGTGACCCTGGCCTTGAAGGAGACGACGGAGCTTCAGGTTTCTCTGGAGCCATGGTGAGTTCAGGGCTGATATTCACTCACCTGTCAGCCTGCAGGTGTGCTGACCTGTTCCCGCTCCTTTAAAGTGAACACATGATCCTTCACACTACGGCTTCATAAACCCTCATGATCTCATCATCTACAGGGAGAGCCTGGACTTCCAGGAGACCCAGGAGAGTCCGGACTGCTGGGTCTGAAGGTAAACTCACTCTCACATGTTTTCACCTGAGAGAAACCTGGACTCAGACTCTGATTTGGATGTTAGACGCACTTTTCATCATGAGCAGACTCTCCAAGTGTCTTTAACCCTAAAGTCTCCTCCTGTCAACAGGGAGACATCGGGATGGAAGGACCCAGAGGAGGAGTGGGACCTCGTGGTGAAACTGTGAGGAAACATCTGAAGTGACTTTAGTTTTAATCTGGGCTGCACAGACATCTGTCTCTGCTGTAGTTTCTCCACATTAAAGAAAGTCCTCAGACCTGAGGTGGAGACGTGTCGGCTGAGGGACAGGTGATGGTGGTGACAGTCAGACCTGTAACTGCTGCTGCAGAGCTGGGTAAACCCACAGGTGGTCTTCTGCTCTTCTTTCAGTCTGTGTTTGAGACACATTTGGAAATCCCCCAGAGTTTGATCCCCACCACCACCACCTGTGGGTTTTCACCAAATCCTAGCCGCCGTGTCTGTTTCCTCACCAAACGTTTGGAGCGGCGGCGCTGTAAACTAGAGCAGCGGAGGATTTTGGGGGTTTACCGGTTCACAGCTACGAAAGCATTTCACAGTTTGACTCTTTTTGAGTTTTCTCACACCGACAGATTGAACCCCTTTTTTTTTTAAACCCAGATTAACGTTCATATTATGTTAGAGTTCAAACAGCGTTATTCTGATTGTTTTAACTCTAAAATCTGTGAAATTTAAACTCTAATCAGAATATTTTAATCTCAGGGCTCTTCTGGTGATGCTGGAGCCACAGGACCAAAGGGAGGTAAAGGTACCAAGGTAATGAAACACAGAAGCACTGACGCACACACACACACACACACACACACACACACACACACACACACACACACACACACACACACACACACAGAGTTTATTAAGTGAACGCTGATTCTCTGAAGGTTAAAGCATCCCTGTCGTGTTTGATTTTCTCTGTCAGCTCCTTTTAAAAACTTCCTCCTCTCACTTGTCGGGAGTCTTCTCCTCAGCGCTGACTCTCTCTCTCTCTCTCTCTCTCTCTCTCTCTCTGTCTCTCTCTCTCTCTCTCTCTCTCCCTCTCCCTCTCTCTCTCTCCCTCCCTCTCTCTCTCTCTCTCTCTCTCTCTCTCTCTCTCTCTCTCTCTCTCTCTCTCTCTCTCTCTCTCTCTCTCTCTCTCTCTCTCTCTCTCTCTCTCTCTCTCTCTCTCTCTCTCTCTCTCTCTCTCTGAATTTCTGCTCAGGGGTCCGGCGGTGACGAAGGGAAAGAAGGTCCTCAGGGTCGAGACGGACAGAAGGTTCGCATGAAAATTTTAAAGTACTTTCAGTCTTTGTAAAGAGAAACTCAAATACTAAATTCTTTTTCAGCAACATTTTCACACTGAATCCACATAAAGGTCACGACCTCTCCAGCCTTTGTTTCACTAACTCACTGTCCATCTCTGTCAGGGTCAAATCGGAGCTCCAGGGTTCCCCGGGGACGTCGGCGAAAGAGGATATACTGTAAGGAAAACCCTCAGTCGTATTTTTTAACTAATAAAATGATTTAAATCTTTTTTTTTTTAAGTTCTGCTCAGGATGAACGAATCTTTAAAGTTTAAAACAAACTTTAAAAAAAGATCCGAACATGTCAGATGAAAATGTTTACTCATACGTCTCAGAGTTTCTGTGCTTTGAGGTCACACTCAAAAACATGAATGAAGTTTATTTACAAACACAGAAGCTTGATGACTCTTAATTAAACATTCAATTAAAGACACAACCAGGGCTGTTCATCAGATCAGCTGAGTGTGAAGAGGAGGCCGGGGTCACTAAGACTCAGTGACCGTCTTAACGCTCGTAAACGTGACGACCGTTTCATCCAATCATTTCTGGTCTTAGCTCTTATTCAGCAGAGCCTGTGAAGGTGAAACTAATAAACAACAGCCTCCTTACTTATCGTCAATAATCAGTTATTAGGAAGTTATTGTTTGTGTGAAGGTTTGTAAAGATTGTTCATGGACATTAAAGTGTTAATAAGTTCTTTATAAAGACGGATGAAGAGTCACCGTCTCTACTTCTCCTTTCCTGTTTCCTGTTTGACGTACAGTATGAAGTTGTAGTGATCATGTGACCTTGTTGCGTTTCCGTCTCACAGTGAGCAGATGTGACTCATACTGAAAGTCCTCACTTACATAGTGATAAATGAGCCGCTCACCTCAAAGGTCATTGAGTTTGAGGATCAATAATGTTCTTCAGTAACACTTTACAATATTCATAATTTATAAACGGTGAGTGGATAGTTAATTAAAGTTTAACCATCATTTAAAAACAGCATATAGACCAATTATAAATGACAACTAGGTAATTTATTAATGTGAGTTAATTTATTTTACCACTAACAAGCAATGAAATTATAATTAATCATTATTATTAATAAACTATGTATTTTTAATAAAGGTTTAAATATTGGTTGTAAAACATCCAGATGAAAATGTGCGTCAGCAGCTCTTTATAAATGTTTAATATTTGGTTTTTAAACCATCTATTAACTTTACTGAGATGGTTATTGTAAAGTTGAAACTGATGTTTGTAATACTTTATAAATGATTAATATTTGGTTTTTAAACTATCTATAGACATAACTTTGATGATTATTGTAAAGTTAGGGTTTTACAATTGTAAAATGTACAATGTATTCATGGTCTATATGCTATTATATATATACTATATATATATACTATAATGATGATTAAACATGAATAAACGATCTGCTTTACATTCATAAATGGTCTGTTTACCTTTTATAAGTTCTGGTTGTTGTAAAGTGTTACCTGTTCTTCTTATCTCCTTAAAGTGACTTCATGAATTCTTCTAAAGGACTGAGATTCATTGACCTCTCATCTTCATCATCATTGAGGTGTTTCAGTGATATTCAGCGTTAACCTCTGTCTGTCTGTCGGTCTGTCTGTCTGTCCTCCTCAGGGTTATCCTGGACTGTCAGGAGGGTTCGGACCCAGTGGACCAAAGGTACGACAGACAAACACATCATGACTGACGCTTGTTTTCTTCTTCTCTCCTTTACATTCCTCACTGAGTGGGTGTAAACATGTGACTCTGTGTGTGTGTGTGTGTGTGTGTGTGCGCACGTGTGTGTCTGTGTGGGTGTGTCATGAGTTCCCCAGTGAAACAGCCAAACATGAACAGTTCCTGAAAACGTCCTGAACTTACCCTGAGGGTCTCCTGTATGTGTGAACAGAAACATGCAGGTTTTTCATCCTGACTTCACTCAGAGGTTTTCCTGCTGCAGTCTGGTGAAGCTCATGTGAGAACGCAGCAGCTAATCCACAGGGTCATTCTGGGAAATTTTCAGGAACTTTGTGCGAAGGAGTTATTGTGAGTCTTTGTGTGGACTTGTGTACCATGAAAAGACCCCTACCTGAAGACCTGAGGGCTCTGGAAGTCTCACAGGACCAAAGTAAATCTGATAAAGCAGAGCGCCACCCTTCAGGCCTTTGCAAACCGATAAAGCGTTCTTGTCGCTGAGTTTCGCAGCAGCTGAAGGTGTGAAGGGCAGAGAGGAGAGGGTTACAACAGATTCATGGAAATGAGCTCGAATCGAACCACAGACCGGGAGTCAGGACTTTGACGTCTGTGTTGAGTTCTGTCCTGGTTGAGCTGCAAACGTCCTCTGGTGTATTCATGATTAGATTTCTAAAACAGTTAAAAAGGTGAACAGATAAACATTCGTCATTTTCCTCACACCGACATTTCAAAGAAAGAAGGACGGGGGTGTCAGTTCTGCTCTCCCGTGTTCCCTGACCAGACCCTTAGAGACTCTGAGACCCTGTAATGCTGGACTACACGACTATGATCGAAAAACACCGTCAGCAGAATAAGTGGTCTTGGTTCTGTGACACGTATGTTCAAAATGACATTGAAGTCTACGACAGGTGAACTAATTTATGAAAGTCTGATAATAGATAATAACACAAAAGGGGAAAACTAGACATGAGCGACACCATGACCCTCTCATCCTCTGAAGAGGAGTGTGGGTGTGTGTGTGTGTGTGTGTGTGTGTGTCTACACGCCCTGGAATAAACCACTCGAGTAAATCAGCTGATCGCTCAGTTCAGTTTAGGCCTGTTAAGAAACCACAAGAAAGGTCAGGAGGTAAATACCTGGACAACACAACACTAAAAAAGGAAGAACAACAAAAACAACATCAGCAGCAGCAGCATGTGAAACGAGGATGATTCATCGTGGTTAACTCCAAAATAACAGCTGTTGTGTTTGATTCAGTCAGCAGGCTGTCACAGATCACTGCAGGTCAGTGACTCACAGTAATGGACTACAGAGAGACCAGAGACCAGACATAAACTCATCTGCAGACCTGGGGGGACGTTAAAGATCGAGACGAGGGTTTAGGAGTGACTGAGGTGTGAATGAGGAGTAACTTCGCTGATAAGAAAGAAAACTGAGTGAAGAAGAGGATGATGAGCTTTAGTCAGAGGACCGGACTCAGTCAGAGAGAAACAGAAGAAGAAGATTCATGGAGCAGTTAAAGGGATATTCCGGCGTTAAATTAATTAAGGGTCAAACACACCGATAGATAGACACCCCGTGGAGAGATGAATGTTGTCGACCGCTTGCTTCTCTAGTTATACCAACTTTAGTAACGACCGCAGGATAGAAATACAGAGAGCCACGCCCCCAACCAAAACGCCACTCTATAGCCACAAATAATGCTCAGAACAGCACCTAACTTCATCAACAGGACATATAGGGTCACAGCCACAGCACCAGTACGGACTACAGCGGGGTGCCGCAGCTCAAGGAAGAACATTTATGATCATTTCTTCATGGAAATACAATCAGACCGAGACGCTGAGACAGAAGAACTACCACGTCTGTAAAATGATCAATATGGTGATTATTACTTCAAGGAAATGATGAAGAAATGATCATAAATGTTCTTCCTTGAGCTGCGGCACCCCGCTGTAGTCCGTAATGGACTGGCCTGAGGTCTCGCTACAAACAAGCGTCTGCTGGAAGAGAGTAGGTGAGTTGTGTTTAGTCTCTTTGCTAAAGAAATGAGTCAAAGTTAAAAAGATGTTTGGTGTCTAGTACTATGTCTGTGACCCTATATGTCCTGTTGATGAAGTTAGCTGCTGTTCTGAGCATTATTTGAGAGACGGAGAGTGACGTGAGGGAAAGGAGTCCCAGACTGGACGAGAACCCGGGCTGAGCGTAACCAGTGCGCCCTGTAATGACCTCTTTTCTATGTTTTCTGTAGATCAGTTTCCACACTTGAAGGCTCCGCCCCTGAAACTTGTTCACACATGTCCTGAAAAAGTTTTCCTGTCAAAGGAGGAGAGCTGGGAGAGAAACCAAATCTAAAACCAGCTCGAACCGTTTCAGTCTTATCTGGAAAATGAGTCTCAGATGTTTTTATTTAGTCTTCATGATTCACTGGAATGTCTTCACGCCCACCTCTGCGCTGAAGTCGCAGCTGCTGTCTGACTCTTTTGGGAAATGTAACCGGGCTTATGTTCAGGTCACTTTATTTGGGCGCTGTAGTTGGATTTGTTTAGCAGCAAATATAACACAAAACTGGACAAAACAATTAGGATAAAAAACTTCATATAAACTCAAACATGATAAAAATACTCCACCAATCAGAGAGCACGAATCAGCTCATCAGATCCACCAATCAGAGAGCACGAATCAGCTCATCAGATCCACCAATCAGAGAGCACGAATCAGCTCATCAGATCCACCAATCAGAGAGCACGAATCAGCTCATCAGATCCATGAATACATAAAGTGTTAAACCAAATATATACTGGCGGTGAATAAGGCTTCTGCCATGTGTGCTTACAGGACAGATTTAGGGCGACGAAGGGTGCTGAGTCCGTCGGTCAGGTTTGATATGTGTTAATAAACCAAAAGGGAAGTGGAGGAAAAAAAAGGGTAGTGGTTAAGTTTGTTGATATTTACCCATCATCCTGTGCAGGATTTTGAGATAACTGCAAAGACTGTTTGACCTCAGCGTCCTTCAGAAAGACAATAAACCACACAGTCCCTAAATAAACCGAAACATTCAGGATTTTATTTTCTGGTGATTTAGTTTCACAGAAGATGTGATGAAACGAGTCACAGAAAGGAGGACACAACGGCGAGACAACGAATCAGTTTGTCCAACAGACAGGGTTTAATGAAACTCAGGCAGAGACAGGCAAAGGTCAACGACAGCTAGACTATGAGAGTGAATAAATACTGGAAGGAGACAACAAACAGGTGACGAGACACTGAGACACACGAGGTTAAATACAACAGGTAATGATGGGAAACAGGCGGAGAGACACAATCAGGGGCAGGGCAGACCAGACAGGAACAAATGTAGACCGAAGACAAATCTGAGCTCAACAGAGTCTCTCCGTGACGACTCTCTCATGAAAACCTGTTTTTGAAGTTCTTTTATCTAAGAAAGGTGCTTGTTTGTTTCTTCAGGTGATTATTTAAGTCCTCTTTAACCCACTTCTTCATCAGAACAGGACTTCACTGTTAGTTTTATTGTCTGTTGATAGTCGTAAAGATAAAGCAGTGTGAGTCAGCTGTTTACAGGCGCTGAGTTAAACTAGTTCAGGATAACGTTTCCCAAGAGCGGAGAGTTTCTTCTTCTCATTTCTGGAGCTCTGTAGAAATTCTGAAATTCTGAGATGATTTTGTCAGACTTTTTTTCTCCACATGCACTTTCACTTTATGAAAGACGAGTACTGAAGTGACTCCAGGGGTTTTTGGAGTATTACCTCCTAAAAGACAAGTGAAAGAAGAGTAAAGCTGAAACCAGCAGCTATGACCAGTGTGTGAAAATATGCCCTCCAGATGTTGTCATCAAACACTGATCAGACAGCAGGACTGGATTCATCTCTGAAGTTTCCAGAGTTTTTTATAAAGCTGCTGTGGGGAACTTTTTTTTAGTTCATTATTAATCTGAGGGACTGCTGTTCACAGGGGAAACCAACGATGTTCACAGCCTGACTGGAGATAAAAACACGACCACGAAAATATACGAGGAGGATAAAATACATGCTGTCAAAAGTCTTAAAGTGCGGCCTCTCTGACTGAAGAAAGGAAAAGTTGTTTCACTGGGAGGTGGAAAAAGAAAGAAAGAGAAAGTGAGAGGTGTGGTGGTGAGGTCTGACCCCTGAATGTCCTCTCTCTCTAACTTCTCTCTCTCTCTTTTCTCTGTCAGGGCTCTCAGGGTCAGGGCGGCGTGCCCGGCAGTGACGGCGACCCCGGTGACGATGTGAGTTTATTCGCAGAAAGCCTCAAACATGTAAAGAGAAACTCTCCTGTTGTTGTTTCAACCTTTGTGATCTCTGTCTGCTCTGTCTCAGGGTCCGCTCGGAGTCCCAGGTGTGATGGGAGAACCTGGAGCGTTTGGTCCGAAGGTAACAAGCGTAGTGGTCTGCAGCTCTCTGATTGGCTGTTCCTTCTTCTTGTTTACTTTTCAAATCAGTGCTTCATTGTTAAAATAAGAGGACAACATCACCTGGGAACAAAAGTCTCAGAGGACTCAGAAAAATCCCCCAGAATCCTCCTGTGATATTTACAATACTTGAGAAAGATGAGTCATGACACTGGAAACCAGCCAATCAGCTGACACCTGGAGCTGAACCACATCAGAACAATGGTGGAGTCTTGTAGTACAAACACTCACACCCTGCTGTCCTCGGTCCTGAGTCACTTTAAGTCATGTGACGACCCGGCTGGCTGAGTGACTTTTATCACAGTCGCCGTTTCTCCGCAGTCTCAGAGACGAACATCTGTTTGAAAACACAGACGCTGTAATCCCTGTCTGCCTCACCGAACAACAACACATTTAACTTCTTCTCCTCTCATGGATGAGAAGTTTCCACCTCTCCTTCCACATGAAAACACAAACATCAGTCTGAAGGAAGCGCTCACATTTGTCCTCCTGGACCCGCTTCTCCAGTCTGGGAAAAGAGCTGCGTCCTCTGCTCTCCTGGTCCTGGATCATCATTCCTCCGTTGTTCGGTGATGTGGTCCTTCGCCTCAGTCTGAGTCTCTTTGAACGTGGCGGTAAATCTCCTTTCACAGCTTCAAACATGTCGACTCGTTGTTCAGCTAAATCCTCCTCTGGTGAGCGGACGGTCCTGAGACTCAGATCGAGTCTTCGTCAGTCTTTGCCCCGTTATCAAACTGGGTTCATCCCTTTTATTTCGACCCTCATTGGGGTCACGCCCCCCGGTCTGGGAGTCCCTGAACCGACCCGCTCATGCAGCAGTAAACTGGTCCAGTTTGGGTGAAATGAGTCATTTAGTCAGTGGAGTTTGGTGTTTCTGTGTCAGACACCTTTAATGAAAATCTTGAACCTGTCAGAGAAAAAAACAAAAAACACTCAGACTTCAAAATACGAGAAACAGCTGAGCTCGAGTTTTCACAGCCGTTTACACAAATATCAGTTTTAAAACAAACAGCTGAGCCTGTTTTTACCGTATCTAAACGTCTGTTTTTATCCTGCAGGGCGGTAAAGGGGACCGAGGTGTGAGGGGACGGAGAGGCAGAGTGGGAGCTGGGGTGAGTAATCAGCTGGGTGTGTGTGTGTTTTTTAAGTGACTCAGGAAAGTTTCATTTCTGAGAAACCAGGAGGAGCAGAAGGAGGAGGAGGAGGAGTAAATGTTTGGATTACTCTTCTGTCGAAGTGTCTCTGAGCAGGACGTCTTTGACAGCTTCCCTCCTGAAAGTTCCTCCAGTCTGCAGAAATCACTGACCTGATTTAACTTTGGTTTTTAGATGTTGTCAGTAACTTTCCATCTGACCGAAGTTATCTGGAAATAAACTAAATATGAAAGACGCTCTGTCAGGAAAAAAAAGAAGTATGAGTTAAAAAAAAATGCAGTTTAAGGAAGTGAGAATGCAAAGTTTTAATTTTTAATTTAGAGCAACTTCCAGAAGAAAACGACAAACTGAGTCACGATTTTCTGCAGTGACATCTTCAGTATGAACTCAACAGAGATGTGGGATCAAGACGAGAAAACGAGACATTTCAGAGTCAAAGTGGATTCATGTTAAAAAGACGGATTTAAAGCTAATATCATATTTACAGAATTAATCAGTCCCAACAGTGTCGAGTATCAAGAGGGGCAGGATGACTTTGAGGTGGTGTCAGTGGACACAGGCCCTAAAGGTCAAAGTTCAGTGACTCACATCATCACGCTAACATTTCAACAAATTCAAGAGAAACCCCGACAGAAAACTACGCTGCTGTGAAATCTGACGTGTTGAGGTTTGAGGGGAAACACAGAGGAACAGGCGACATGTTTTAATCACACTCATGTAAAATAACTCTGTCTCTGTCTCATCTTCCTCCCCTACAAACATAAATGTGATGCAGCAGAACCAGGATCTTCAGTTTCTCCTCTGTTTGTGTCACAGGGATCTCCAGGGGAGCAAGGAGACGCCGGAGTGCCAGGAAAACTGGGAGCAAAGGGTCTGCAGGGCTCGATTGTGGGTACACACAACACTCAGAGTCTAGTCCTTCTGTCTTCAGTATCATCTGATGTTTGGTGACAAATACGAGGTTTAAAAGTGGATTTTACTTCACATTGATAACAGACATGTATCAGTCTATAACCCTCATCATGAACAGTGAAGAAACAAAGACGAATGAGTTCAAGTCAAAACTACGATTCTCTGAAACATGAACATCTAAGTGAGTGTTTGAAGAATCGAGCTGTGACGGTGTCGTCGTGTCGTCTGACTGAGCTGCTCAGATTTATTCTGATCATGACGATAATATGTGACGATTTATAATAACGGAGGGTTGTTTTTATTTCTCTTTCCTCAGGGCGCTAAAGGCGAAACAGGACCTGACGGTGAGAAGGTGAGCTCCACGGAGAACGGTTACAGATTAAAACTTAGTCTATGTTCAAACTCTGAGGTTTTAACCATCTGTGACTCATATCAGATTTTTTCATTGAAGTGTGAACAGTCCATTTCTGATTCCTTGTAATCCGACCCAGGCCTCTTTTGTATGTGGATATAAATCAGATATGGGGCAGGACCTTCCCCTACCATCCACAGAGTCTGTTTTATCTTTTGCACTGGTATCTTGGTTTGCCAACGTGTCACTCCAGGACAAAAACGCTCTGGGCCAGGTTGTTAAATCGGGGAGCCTCAACTCTCCATGACAGCTCTCTATGAGGCCCAGCTGCAGCGTAAAGCCAGCGCTATTGTTTTGGACAACTCGCACCCTCTGCAGAGCGAGTTCCAGCTCCGTCCCTCCAGCTGTTGCTTCTTGGTCCCCAAGGCCAGGACCAAGCGTTACAGAACCACCTTTGTCCCTGCAGCTATTGCAGTGCTTAACGGCAGGGCTAATAGATGAGGGCGTCTTATTGAACCTTCGGATCTTAACGATTGGCGTTTTTTCTTTTCTTGTACTTGACTGTTGTATTGTTGTTTTTATGCGTGTCTTATCGGGACGGCTGGGTTCCTGCCTGCAATAAAGAAACCTTTGACCCTTTGACCTTTGACCACCCTACAAACGTTTTTTCGCACCCTGCACCTGATAGGGTGAACAGATTTTTCCGATGTTTTTTCTCTTCACTTTGTGGAGATCGCACTATAGGACCATGATCGCCATGGAAACGAGGTTCATAATAATTACTAACCATGACTTTAAACCTACGCGGTGACTCCACCTACAGAGTCCTGATGCTCCTGAACCTGTAGGTGAAGTTCAGCACGGAGCCTTCACAGATGATAGATCTTTCTGTTTGAAGGTTCAGACTTTGTTTTGTTTCTATTTCTGTTCACCTTCAAACACACACACACACACACAGACACACACACAGACAAACACACACACACACACACACACACACAAACACACACACACGTGGAGTTTCCCGCTCCGGCGGCTTCTTTTGTGGTTTTTGTCTTTCCTGTTTTTCTCGTTTATCTCTGACTCTGACTTGATCATAATCTGGTGGTTTTTTCTCTGCAGGGCGCCGCAGGTAGAAAAGGTGTCAGAGGCCTGAAGGGACAGAAGGTGAGTGAACCTGATCCCAGTCTGATGATGATGAAACTCCTGCCCGTCATGTCGTCATTGTTTTTCCCTGAACCTGCTCTCATTTACTCGCCATTTGTTTGTTTCCTCTTTCCTTTACCTCTCAGGGAAGTAAAGCCGACCGTGGAGACAAAGGACAGGTGGTTACTCGCCTTTATTACCTCATCATGTGGTTAAAACACGTTTGATTTTATGACCTCATTTTAAGACGAGAGGAAAGTGTCTGAATCAGCAGAACCTCAAACTGGTCCATGAAATCCCATCATGATGACAAAGATGCTTCTCTACCACAGCGTGGACCCAAAGGGGCAGGGGGTCGTACCGGTGTCCCCGGCCCCGTGGGACCGCCTGGTATCCCCGGGACCAGAGGAGAGCGTGGACCGGCTGGAGACCTGGGTGTTAAAGGTCGAGCAGGAATCAAAGGAGCTCCAGGTCCAGCTGTGAGTGAATGACTTTAGATTATCATCGTGGATTTGAGAGACCCTGATGTGGAGTCTTTCCAACCCTGAAACCCTCTCTGTCCTGCAGGGTCCTGGTCTGACCGATGAGCAGGTCCTGCAGCTCTGTAAAGGTGTAGTCACGGCTCAGATCTCCCAGTACGCCGCCTCCATCAGGGCCAAGTGTTCCCAGGGCTGCCCCATCAACAACCGCACACTCATCGGGCCCCCAGGAGCCCGAGGGCCGACGGGATCACCAGGGAAAGTAGTAAGTCCAACTCTAGACTCAGAGGTTGACCCGGGTTCAGTCCTTCACACCCTTTACAGCCTCCAGTCCTCTTGTGTATCGAGTTGATGCTTGGATCTTTACAAAAACTGGGTTCTGAGGGTTGAAGGTGCATTATCGATGATGGTAACCTGAATCTGCCTCCACCTGTCAGGGTAAAGCAGGTAAAGCCGGAGCCAAAGGAGCCAGAGGGGCTCAAGGTGACCGAGGACTGGAGGGGCAGAAAGGAGCGCAGGGTAACAAAGGTGAGAGCAGATCTGAGGAGGTCTGTCTGAGGTTCAAGAGTCGACCAGAGACGAACAGACCAGGACTCCACGTTGATCCGAGCATCTTCTCAAAGGCTTGTGTGTTTCCCTGAACAGGTCCAAAGGGATCTAAAGGCCTCGCAGGAGCTCCAGGTAAAGGTCTGCCGGGACCTGATGGACCACAAGGCCTCAGAGGTTTGTAAATTAAAATGTCATCGAACCCGAATCTTTAATTTTGGATCAGTGTTGACTGAACCACGGCTCTCTGCAGGTTTGCCAGGTCACCAAGCGGAGGTCAAAAACGGCATGGAGGGTCCTCTAGGTCCCCGTGGTTTCCCCGGTCCAGTCGGTCAGATGGGGATGCTCGGGACCGCGGGTGTGCCGGGATTCTGCGAGGCGCGGGACTGCAGCATTCATGCGCCTGTGATGCGTAAAGAGCAAGGACTGGTGAAAGGACCGGTCAGTGCAAAGATCTGAACCCGAGTACGAGTTACTAAAACTGCTGAGACTCTCCAGGGAGAAACTTTGAGGTTCCTCTGATTCAACTCCTGCTGACAAACGGGCGCCAACACGACTGGAGAGAGAGCTAAACATACGGGGTTAGTATCTTTGAAATCTGGGATTATTTTAATCTGTGGAGACTGAGAATGTCGGTGGGCCGAGCACGGTACCATGGGGAACTCCGCTGGGTCTAAGTTTGGGCAGAAATTCTCCTGAATGAAAGCAGAAAAGCCGCTTTGAGGTGACCTTCTCTAGATGAGACAGGTTTTACACTTTGACACGATCCGAACACGTAGAAGTTTGACCTTCGACCCGTGCGCCTGAGGTGATAAGATGAAGAGAATGAACCTCCCGTTCTTTGGCCCAGTTTTGTTCTTTGTCGGCTGTTTCCTGGTTGAATAAAGATGAATAAAAATGCTCTGTAAATAGTTTGTAAAGTAACTCAAGTGCGTGTACTGTGCTCTGAAATGTTTCAGATAAACTGACCTTTTTTTTTTAATCTGAGTCGTCGGCTTGTCGCTCACTTGGTGTCGTTGGAAAGATGATGAGGAAAAGATAAACTGACCAATCACACGAGTTCAAGAAATCATGTTTTCTTTCCAGTGTTACGGCATAAAAAACAGTCATAAAACACAGAAACAAGGAGCTGAAGATCACACACGACCACGTCTGAGCTTTCTTCTTTCCTGTGTTCATATTTACAGTGGATATTAAAGTCGACACACCCCCGTTCACCTGTCAGGTTTCTGTCGTGTAAAAAAATTAAAATCAAGATAATTTCACAACTTCTTCCTCCTTTAATGTGACCTTTGACCTTTAACCTGAACAACAATTAAAAAACAAACAGAAACTTTCAGGGAGCTGAAGTAAAAATAAACAGCTGAGATCATGTGGTTACAGAAGTGTGTTCACCCGTTAATCAGTGGGGGTGTGGCTGTGTTCAGATTTAACCAATCACATTCAAACACACCTGTCACCAGTTAAAGAGCCTCTGATCAACATTCAAGTTCAAGTTCTCGTAGCTTTTCCTCACGTTTCTGTAGAAACATCTTCAGCTCAAGCCGTGGTCCACAGAGAGCTTCCAAAGCATCAGAGGGATCTCAGTCAGGTGAGGCTACAGAAGAACTTCAGAGGAACCATGGACCACAGTGAAGACTGTCATCATCAGGTGGAGAAAATATGGAACAACGGTGACCAAGAACAGGACGTCCGTCCAAAACTGACGAGAAGAAAACTGGTCAGGGAGGCGACCAAGAGACTGACAGCAACACTGAAGGAGCTGCAGGAGTTTCTGGTGAAGAACATGAGACAATGATCTCCTGCTGTCTTCATATGTCTGGGCTGTGGGGTAGGGTGGCTAAGACAGAAACCTTATCTTACAAAGAACAACATCAGAGTCCGGATTAATTTAGCAAACAGACGTCTGAAACCTCCCAAACACACGTGGGAACATGTGTCATGGTCTGATGGAACCAAAGGTGAACTTTTTGGACATCATTTCCAAAGGTTTATTTGGCTCCAAATCAACATCACCAGAAGAAGACCACACCTACAGTGAAGCATGGTGGTGGCAGCATCATGCTCTGGGCTGTTTTTCTTAGTCAGGGTGGAGGGAATTATGAACAGTTCCAGATACCAGTCAGTGTGTTGGAACAAAACCTTCGACCTTCTGCTAGAAAGATGAAGATGAAGAGGAACTTCATCTTTCAGCGCGACAATGACCCAAAGCACACGTCTCAAGTCCAGACCTGAATCCCATCGAACATTTGTGGGGTGATCTAAGAGGGCTGAGTACAGGAGACGTCCTCGCAGTAATCTGTCAGATTTACAAAGAAGAGTGAGCAAATATTTCCACATCGAGAAGTTCCACGCTGATCGACTCCGACCCAAAAAGACCGAGTGCTGAAATAAAAGCCAAAGGTGCTGCGACAAAGTCTTAGTTTAAGGATGTGAAGATTTATAAAACCAGGTTATTTTAACTTTTCTATTTTTAATTAAGAATAAAAATAAGAACTTTATTAATCCCAGAAGGGAAATTCAATTAATTATTATTATTATTATTATTATTATTATTATTTTTCCCCCTACAGGTTTCAGTTTGTTTTTCAGTTGTGTTGTTCAGGTTACAGGTCAAATTAAAGGGGGAAAAAGTTGTGAACATTTTTTATCTTACTTTCATTTTCTTACATTTTTAAAACCCTGCAGTTGAACAGAGGTGTGTAGACTTTTTATATCCGCTGTGATTCACTGTTTTTGTTTAACTGTTGGTCAAAAAGCACAAAAGAATCACAAATTAATCATGAGACAGATCGCAGAGAGAAAGATTTAATATTCAGAAGAAGAAACAGAACAGACAGAGCTGCACACGAGTACAGGTCCTCTTTAAATACATTTCATTACAGAACAAAAGACAAATCTCTGCAGGTTTAGACGAAAGAGAACGAAACTTTTTAAATAACTTTGACTGGCTCAGAATTCTGCTGCATGGTTTCACATTTGACATTCACACTTTTTTACTAATTGAGCAGAATTTACTGAAAACGGAGGACATGATCCAGTTTTATCAACAAAAAAAAACAGGTTTTTGAGAACATTCATTATCAGTAAGAACAGAGTTAAAAAAAAAGCTAAAACTGGAAAAAAGAGAGAATGAAATCCACATTCAAATAAAGAAACCAATTAAAACAAACAGAAGCTTTAAAAAACAGAGCACTTGTTTTTTATTATTTTGCATAGACAGGAAGTGATTTAGTGCTCTGTCTCCGCCTTTCTTTGTGCAAATGTCCAGCGAGGAAGACTGAAAAGTGCTTTTTTATGGTCATGGACTCCTAATTTCTATATTGATTAGTGATTTGATCAGATTTAAGTGGGTGAAAGACGATCAGAAGAAGCAGGAAAGAGCATCAAAAGAACATCACAGATATTTAGACTAACTGGGACAAACATTAAACAAAAAGATATAATACATTTTTTGATCATCACTTATGAGGGAGACTCAAGCTTAACTTTTCTTCACATGTCAGATACGGTCAGAAACAGACTCGTAATGTCAGTTTTATTCAGATCTGTGTATGTTGTCTAACTCTATGACAAACACGTCAGCTGTAATCAGACTTTGTCTCGTTAGAGAGTCTGTGTGCAAAATTAAAGACTGGTGGTTAAAAAGTGCTTAAAAAGACAAAAGGTGTCGAGGGAAAAACGAAATATTATTATTCTGATTATTATTATCATCATATTAGCATGTTTTGGTTTTGACTCAACCGTTATTAACTCTGCTGTTCTTGTGCTGGCGGGAGCATAGATATCTATAAGAAAGGCTAGATGACACCAGAGTCACCAGCGTCCGTACACGGCGGCCATCTTACTCCAGTTTTCCATTCTGGTTGTCTCTACGGTAGCTGATGGGATCAAAAATACTCTAAACTCGCTGAAATGTTGACAGATTAATAAACGGTTTAGTATATTACAGACCTTAATAACGAGGCTGTGAGTTGGGATGTTTGGACTTAATAAAATGACAGATTTACTTTGAGGAAAACAAAAAGACTAAAGCTCCTTTCACACCAGGAGCGTTTTTTTCATGTGATTATTTTTTAGGTCAATACAAGCGTTCCCATCAGCAACGTTTTCCCGTCCTGTGACAGTGTCAGTCTTTGTGTTTGTGTTTATCAGCTGTCTGACTTGGCTAACTAAGACCAAGTCCATATTACAAAGTTGACCCAGTAATTTTAGTCAGTTAAAGAGGCAGAAATGCTCTTTAGATTCAACATAACTGAAGTTACACATGATTTCTAAACTGTTTGGTTTGTTAAAAACATCTAAAATGGAAACATGAGGCAGAAATTTATACTGAAAATAAATATTTATATATGTTATTGTTATATGTTGTTATAGTTATTCATATAATAGAAATATTACTAATATAACAAACATGGAATGATTAAATGTTTTAAATGATTTAATATAACTGCCTTGTGTGTGTAGGTCTATAACTATTGCCCTATCTATCTGTTTAATGTTTATTTATGTAAATCTATAGTTAAAATTATTCCTTAGTTTGCAGGAACATAACTAAAACTCTGAGGTTTGTTACAAACCAACCGTTTATAAATCTATTTAAAATTAATTAATCTATGGTTGTTTAAATACTACATGTACCGTAGACTGGAATGTAATTACATCTAGCTCATATATATATCTTCTCCAAACCAATGAGACCGTCTTCAGGTGAGTATTTTAGGTTCTACAAGTATGACTGTGGGAGGTAACAGAGTCATTAAGTGTTTAATCTGTGGTTAATCAAAATTAGAGTCCCTTTAGGGCTGAGTCCACTCCAACAAACACTTCTGATAATAAATGTATAAGATTGATGATATGACGTGAACTTCTCCACACAGTTTAAAGATGAATAAACAGTTTGAAATGACGGTGCAGCTCAGATATCGTCAGGTGGATTAAAAGGGAGAAAAGTCCAGAATGATGTGGTAGTGTTGTAACAGATCAGCGTTCACAGTTATTACAGTAATACTTGGCCTGAGCTGTGATATTAATACATGTGACATTTAGGGGGGTTTGTTTTTAGACTCTTTAACATCCTTCCTTAACCGTAATCATTGAATATTTTCAGTGCAATAATCGGAGTTCAGTCATACAGATGCTCTTTTCTGCCTCAGCTCTCTTTCACCCTTTATTCTTAACGTTTGGACCGTGGCTGGATCAATACTTGCTGGTGTTTTTTTGTACAAAAGTTTCTAAAATACGTCCATGAAAGATAAAGATATGTCACAGATATGTAGTGGGCAGGTTACTCTCTGGTGAAAACACTGTTAAACTAGAGGAATAGGAGTGTCTCTCCTGGCAGTCGTGTTAAACAGATATCTTTGATTAGTTTCATATTAGCTGATAGCTTATTGTGCACCAAATTTAGCTGTTTATTTAATCTAGTTTATGATTTTTCAGGAGTCCATCATGTGAACACCCCCACCCCCACTAAAGTCCTCTTCCTACAACCGTAACCTTCTCTCCTATAACACCTCATAACTTCATCCTTCTCCGAGGCGTCAAATTTTAACGGAGTACCAGAGTCACCTGATGCTAAACGACTCTAATTAGTGCAATATCCAGAGTGTTCATTAAATGACCCTGATCATAACAACCCCAGCAGGGAAATGGGAGTGAGTGACGCCATTTTCAGACATGAACTCTGGAAAATGTCCAGAAATGTACCCAACTCTACAGTTCACACACAAACACACCTTCACAGCATGAAGTCTCCTTCACTGAACCTTCAGCTGCTGCTCTTCCAGAATTAAAACGGGTTTATTTTAACGGATTATCTTGTAAACAGATTGTCGAGTGAAGCATTAAAACCTGTTTCTGTTAATCAGGCAGTGTAAACGGAGCGAGGAGCGGTCTGATCTACACTCAGTCATTCAGCTCTCCTGAAGTCTGACCTGAAAACGTGCCGTCGTACTCTTACAGTGATCGTGAAAACTTCATTAGTGGAACAAACTTCATGATTATCGTTACAGTACCTTCAGATCATTTTACAGATCTGTGACTGTGAAGGTGGGGAGAGAAACTCGTGTGTTTGTGTTCATGGAAACGGCTCATCTGCAGGGTAGTTTCAGGAAACTGTGCATGTCTGAAAAGGGCGTTATTAAAAAACATTCACATTTGACTCTGTGTTTTTTTAGAGGGAGAAGTGGTGAAAATGGGGGACAGTGACAGAGGACCAACAAAGCTGCAGCGCCACACTCAAAAACACTGTCTGCCGGACTCTGCCGGCGAGGTAGTGACTCGTTTTACATATAAATAAAAAAACCCGTATAAAAAGAGCAAAAAGAAAACTACATGATGCTGAATTATCCCTCATCCCAGAGCTTAATATAAGTGTGTAAAGCTCCACACTTCACAGCACCGTCTGCCGAACACTGTCGGCGAGGTAGTGAGTAAAAACAGAGTATAAAAATATAAAACCATTAATCAAAGTGTCTAAAAACTAAATCTTTAAATCAATCCCTCATCCCATGGCCTGATTAGACGATGCAAAGCTTCACACCTAATAACACTGTCTGCCGAACACTGTCGGCGAGGTAGTGAGTCTTTAAGACTTAAATAAAACATCTGAATCTAAACTAAGTAAGCCGAGTGCAAATAAGGTTACTTAGAGTCAGCCCTGGTCCCAGAGCTCAGACAGCAGCGCAGCAAAGAGGTGGTTTCAGACGCTGATCATGTGACCGATCATCATCATCAACACGGGCAGCAGCAGCAGCAGCGGACCGACGGACCCTGCAGCAAACAGACAAATACAGGAGTCGTCTCAAAATAACGCTGTCACTCAAAAATGTTCATTCAAGGATACTAATGAAACACGGCTCTGTAGTAGAAGAGTCCTGCTCTCTTTGAGGACCAGAATTCTCCTGATGTTTGGGTTAAAAAATGTCCCAATCCCACTTAAAAGTTTCAAAAGTTGAGGACACAAACTGGGAATGTGATCAGGATACAAAAAAGCTCCTTTCACATGTCAGAAATCAAACTGTTCAGTATCGATAAAGAGGAATCAGTCCTGGTTACCTGGAGCCAAAGCTGGAGCAGAGCAGGGCAGGGGTGTGAAGCTGATCCTTTCCTCCATCACTGAGCCCCCTCCCTGTTCAAAGATCAGGAGGCTCAAAGTCAACCATGACACACTCAGATCTTTATTCAAAGTGCTTCACAACATCTGCAGAGAGGATCCCTAAAGACGTCGACCTTCTGGTTCCAGAATCAGATGATGTTTTTATTAAAACTAGAAACTGCTCTTCACTCTCCAAACGAAGCCGGCTGACTCCACCGACAACTGAATAAAGACTCTCTCTGCTCTCTGGACGCTGACTCGAACAGTCTGACTCTGCAGAAACACAGCCAAGTCTGAACAAAACCAAAAACCAAACAGTGTATCACTGACCTTCTTATGCACCACACTAACTTGGACTTCAACGCACTTTTCCAGCAGCATCCGCCCATCATTGAGCTCTTTACATGGAAGTTTGCAACCTTTGCGTGAGCCGCTGAGTTTGTAGTAAGCGAAGGTCTGAAAAAAACAAAGAAAAATCCCTTTAAGGATAAAAACACTGGAGTCTGTTCATAGAAGACACGGATAAAAACTCTTATAAAGGTACAGTGCGCAGGATTTAGCAGCATTCATCAGAATATTTGCACTGACTGATATTTTTAAGAGTAAAAATGAACATATAGAGGATCATGCTCATCATGCATCACAGGAGCTTCTTGTCCCTGAAGGCCACCGTCCCTTCACTGGGAAAAAGGGCGGAGTTTCTAACAGCCAGATGTTGCTAAATATTCTGTTTCTACGCACTGTACCTTTAAAAGGTCAGGATGGGACCTGGAGGGTGAGGGTTAGGAAGACTTCCCATGATAAGGACGATATTATCATGGGATAAAACCACAACTCTTTCTTACATTTAACTCTAACGTTTCAAGAATTTCAAGCCAACACTGGTGTCAGTCCTGAAACCCAATCAGTGAAGACGGTGCATCTGAAACAATCGAGTCAAACTCCAATTGAAGATCTTGGAGTTTGAAAGTTGTTTTTGGAGTTTCAGGAGAAGACAAAGAAAAGTGACACAGCCGGACAAACATGACGTAGTTTTGTTCACCGGGTAAATCTGGAGCGGCAGATAACTGAAGGTTACACTTCGGTTTTTTTCTCCCATGTTTCATGAGCTGAACTCAAAGATTCACACCTGTGAAGATTCAGACAAATGTGTCAACAATAAAAGAGAGAAATCGGTCTTTTATGCAAACAGAAAAAGTCCTCCATCTTTGAGTTCAGCTCATGAAAAATGGGAGCAAAAACAAAAGTGTTGCCTTTCTATATTTTTTTGTTGAGTGTGTTTTACTGGATAGTTTCGTTTTGAATAGTTATTTGATGCTCCATGAAGCCAGATTAGAAGGGGAGCAGAGGTGGAGCAGTGAGGGGAAACATGAACACATCTACACCTGTCACAGGGGAAGGGTGGGGGGGGTAACCAACAAGCTTTACTACGGCTCAGCTAACAGTGCGTGAAAGTAAAAGGGAGGAGGCTGTTTCAGTCTTTAGTTTTCTGAAGTGAAAATGAAAGGGACTAACACTAATGCAGGTTAATTACCTATAAATGATTGATTACCACTTCTTTCTCTGTCTCTTTCCTCGTTTGTCTGTTTGAGTAACAGTGAAATCACAAAAACATCACAATTACAGAATATAAGGTCAGTGGATCTTTGTTTCATCAGAGCAGATACACTGTCTGCACTGAGTATCAAACATCATATCCTGATTTTAGGAACCAAGATACACCCTGAAAACAGGCTGACAGCAGAGTCTGGATTAAAAACAGGATCAATGTTCACAGTTCCTCTCCTCTTGGTGACTAGAAATAAGGTGGATATGATATCTGCACCACCGTTACCTTCTGGTCGTTGCTCCACGTGTTTCCACAGTGTCGGTCGAACTTAATGGCAGGTTGGTCACAGCAGTGATAGGTGGAGTTCCTCTGATTCACCCCTGAGGAACGCCCCTGTGCCGCAACGGCAGCAACTAAGACTTTTAAACAAAGAAGAAGAAGAAGAATCAGACTTTTGAAGAAAAACCCAAAAGACTCCAGGTCGATCAACAGGCGGATCAGAGCGGCGTCAGCAGTGATGCGAACGCTTAACCGATCAGTGGTGGTGAAGAAAGAGCTGAGCCGTGAGGAGAGACTCTGGATTTACCGGTCGATCTACGTGCCGATCCTCACCTATGGTCATGAACTTTGGGTAATGACCGAAAGAACAAGATCGCAGATACAAGCGGCTGAAATGGGTTTCCTCCTCAGGGTGTCCGGGCTCAGCCTTAGAGATAGGGTAAGGAGCTCGGACACTCGGGAGGCGCTCAGAGGAGAACCGCTGCTCCTCCACGTCCAGAGGAGTCAGCTGAGGTGGCTCGGGCATCTGGTTAGGACGCCTTCTGGACGCCTCCCGTTAGAGATGTTCCAGACATGTCCCACCGGGAGGAGACCTCGTGGCCGACCCAGGACCAGGTGGAGGTGGCCTGGGAGCGCCTGGGAATCCCCCCGGAGGAGGAGCTGGTGGAAGTGGCTGGGGCAAGCGACCGACCGACCGAACAAACAAACAAACGGACTTCAGGTCTGTACACAAATGAAATAAAATATACCGACTTGTTTGAGTGTTTTTAGTATTTTTATTTGTACTTTTGTACTTTCTATGATGTGAAAATGCTAAACAATAACTGCACTTGGAGATTATGAGGCCTCTAGTGCAACAAGAAAAACAAGATAAGAAAGAGACAATGAAGGTGTTTTTGGTGCAAAAGGTTTGTGCATCTGTAACATGTCATTTGTAGTTGTGTACAGTGATTGTGTATGTGTCTGTATGTAAATGTGAAATCACACACTCTATGAGTTGTGTATTTGTAGATTCTTTGTGTGTTTTTGTTGATGTTGTTTTTATTTCCACAAATACAACACAACATTCACACATTCACAAATGTGTAATTACAGGAGCACAAATCCTATTTCACAGTCACAGATGGACAGATGCTGAGACAACTGGATCAGAGTTTGAATCTGTGACTGTGAAATAGGACTTGTGCTCCTGTAATTACACATTTGTGAATGTTGTGTTGTATTTGTGGAAATAAAAGAAAATCTACAAGTACACAACTCATAGAGTGTGTGATTTCACATTTACATACAGACACATACACAATCACTGTACACAACTACAAATGACATGTTACAGATGCACAATAATCCCCCGATAATAACTGCATGAAAATCCCTCAGCACACTGAAATAAAGGGTTAGACACTTGAAACTTCCCAGACTTCCTTAAATCATTTGTCTCTGAAATTTTTAAAATAAGGATAACCTTTAAAGCTCACAAAGCTTGATAATAACAAGTGAATTCATCAGAAGTGTCAGTGACACGTAATGGGATTTCCCCAGTCCACTTCCCCTTTCCGAGAAACCCCGGGGAATCCCAGCCCGATTTCACTTTCGCTGTCCGCTTTGAGCGCCAGTTATGAAAGCATATAACACATAATTAGTCACATATAACTACATAATGAAACTGACATAAAGAGCTGAAGGCTCTCAGAGGAAAATGTCTCTTAAATTAGTGTTTGTTAAAAAAGTTAGCGGAAAGTTGGTACCGCTCACGTGACAACAACACTGTGACGCAGAAATATTACACATCAACATAAATACAGTTTTCTATGCAGTATTATTGATATTCAACTTAATGCAAACATAATGGGTCGCAAATCTGCAGCACATGTCACTTATTGATCAATAATACGAGCGAATTCACCCTCCCACTCGACGCCGAACTCCATTTAAAGACCCACGAATTTAATTAACATCGTGTCCCATAAATTTCATTAAGCAGAAAATGCAAGTTTTTAACACTTTACTTAATCTACAGCATTTGGTTTGCAATTCGGCTTCGATTAAACTGACTTTAGGGGTGCAGTTGTAAATTAATGCTGGATTTTATGTCTGTTCAAGAGGCTGCAGAAATCTACCCGTGTTCGGTTGCATCAACCAGTTTTGCAGTGTATTTAAGATATTTAAAGACACTTTGTTGGATTTAATCTAACACCGATTTGTCAAGAAATCTCCAGCATGTAACATCATGACTTTAAATGCCCGTTTTTAATTTTGCATGTCAAGCCGCAAACAGGTGGGGTACTGTGGTCGATAATTAAGACGAGTTTTGGTTTTTAAAGGCTGCTAGCCATGTGACCGTTACTCAGCGAATTCAGCAATCATGATCAATCGCTGCCTTGTAAACTCTTAAACAGACATTAAAGTCGCTAAATATCGAGTATACTCACCGAAAAGTGAAAGAAAGAGTGAGGGGGTCATGATCTAAGGATTAAAAACTAGTCTATGATAAGCTCTGGTCTAGTTCACACCGTCTAACCGACCTGTGTGTGACACTGAGGAAAACCCAGCGGTGTAAAATGACGGGTGTAAACTTCCGCTTTCGATTACACTACAGATACTACTTAAAGCCGAAACTAACGTTCCGAGTTCACTTCACACTGAGTACAAGAGTTTTCTGTCCTCTTCTCTTCAACATCAACATCTTTTTCATCATGATTTCGGACTTTCTGCACGTCGTCCTGCTGTCTCTCTGTAAGTAAACCAAACCTCACTCTAATTTTGACCGAATTTACCCTCACCTGTTCAAATACTGGTTTGTGTTATCTCCAAGTTAAGTGAATTCTTAAAGTTATTTAAAGCCTATCATTTCTACATGTACCTCTCCCTATTAATTAATTAATTCACTCACTCATTCATTCATTCATTCATTCATTCATGTTCCTTAGGTGTGTGCCATGCTCCTGGTTCTCCGGTCACTGAGGACACAGCGGAGGTGAAGACCGTCCTCGGGGGGGACCTGACTCTTCGGTGTCCGGCCACTTTCAAACCTGGGGTCGAGTATTTAGGCATCAGCTGGTATAAGGTAAAGAGAGTTAACTCGTGTCCTCTGCTCTTCATGTCCTTCTCTTCTTCTTCTTGGCTGATTTGAATCCAAACAGTCTTTCTGAACAGACACGTGACCAGCTCTGTATGAATGACCTCATTGATCAATCAGGTCAAGTTCAGCAACTGATCGAAGCAGTACTAATAGATGATGTATTCAGATTTATTTCACTGTTTACAGATCATAGATAGAGACAGGCTTACACTGAAATTAATAATAACAACAATAATGATCATTTAAAGCTCCTGTGAGGAACTTTTAGGTCGTGTAGCATATCAGTTTTTATATTTTGATTTTGTAAATGACTGACACTTATTTATTGTAATAGTTAATGTGTAACACATGAGAAGAAGGTTATTATTTTTATTATCGTTATTATAACCTTTATTTAACCAGGTTTGTCCTGTTGAGATCCAAGATCTCTTTTGCAAGAGGGACCTGGCCAAGAATGTCAATCACATTAATCATAGAGAATACAAAGAATACAAAATATAATTGAATTTTCAAAATAATTTTAAAAAAGTTTCAAGATTAGTCAAAAATTTGTACTCAAATAAATCATTTGCACTCCTGAAGCCTGGATGTAATGGAATTGATCATGGATTTGAAAACAGTCACAGATACCAGACTTTGGAGTTTCAGGTCTGATTTGTACTCGGAGCAGAAAATCTAAAAGTTTTCTTCCCTGTTTCTGTTCTGATCTTAGGAACAGAAACAGTAAGAACAGGTTAAGAAGGTTTCAGGTTAAGAAATGATAATATTAACAATCATCAGCCGTGTCACTGCTGCTCTTGTTTAGTACTTTAATGGGAATGTTTGAGTAAAACTGAAGATATGAAGAGTTTATTTAGTGTCAGAGGAGTTAAAGTGATGGTGTGACAAGTGTCAACATCAGCAAAGCTTGTCTTTACTGTGATTAATATGGTTCCTACCAATCAGCTGACTCCGTCTAATGATGTCACATTATGATGTCACAGGCCATAGATGCCGCGTCGACTCGTCTCAACGGCATCCTGACCAGAGACCTTCCGAACGGGACGACGCAGTGGTACGTGGACGTGGAGCGAGAAGTGAACCTGCTGGGCGACTCCCCCGACATCTTTTTACCCAACATCACCTGCGCTGACGGCGGGGTCTACACCTGCTACCTGGCTGCACCTCTGGGAGAGCAGAACAGGGAGAAGAAGGTCATCCTCACTGTTTCAGGTAACAGATGTTGGATATTTCTAAACCTGAGGAAAACGAGACAAAAGGAGCGAAAATCTCTGACGTGTATCATCCACCTCTCAGCCAGAGACACACTTTCATAGAGATCTGTTACCGCCGTCAGAGGAGCTTTAACCCACACAGTGAGCTTTAAACACCAAAGATCCTGTTACTACCAAAGGTTCTGTGTGGGATGTCAACACACCCCCTCAGGCATCAGTGACTTTTACATCCAATGAGGGGATTTCCAGCCCTGACCGTGTGTGTGGTTTTCAGTCTGGAGTATTTGACTCGAGTGTGACTCGGAGGAAATAACATGAACTCTTGTGTTTGTCAGGTTTACTACAGCGCCTCGATCTCTTTAACATTTCTGCAGAGTCAGTCCATGAGTCTCAGGCTGGGTGTTAACATCTACAGATGAATCATCATGATTTTTTTAACTCACTTGAAAGTCTTCCCAAGTTTTTCTCTTATAATTCAGGATAAACCAGAATGTTTTTAATCTACAATCCCACTTAGAAACTTTAGTAAACAAACTGGAGATAATACCCATAAAAATCAAGACTGGATTACCTGATTCAGGACGATCCTGTTGGTCTTCCTCAGGATTTATACCCTGATAGCTTCAGTCCTGTCAGCTGACTTTTGTCGTTCATGGAGGAAGACACCCTGACCTCTGAGTGGATCATTCACTGATTTTCTGTCCTTAAATCTTGTCTCCTCCTGAGATCTGTGCAGCTAATGTTGGTGTGTTAAAGCAGAATACTCTAGATTAGACTTTTGAACGTGAACATAATAACTTTGGTTTTCATTTTTCCCCTCAGGTTGTCCTGATGAGGCGACAGAAACTCTGATCACAGACGTTTACTTGGTGGTCATCGCTGCTCTGCTGCTGCTGTTTTCATTCCTGCTGTTCAGAATAAGCTATGTAAGTAAATACTAACACACACACACACACACACACACACACACACACACACACACACACACAGCAAAGCCTGGGAGGATTCAACATGACTCACATCAGCCTCTGCTTCTCTTTTTTCTGTCTCAGGTTTGTTTAAGGAATACTCTGAAAGAAAAACAAGAAAAACAAGAAAAACCGAAAAAAGAGATTTTATTGGACTCTGGACTCAAACCGCTCGATAAAAAGGACCTCATGTTGATTTATACTCTGGGTCCGAAAGCGTCAAAAACATCCACCATCTGCGTCTGAAGACAAAGAAACTGCTGGAAACTTCATCTGCAGGAGGACTGACCGCTTCACGATCTGGAACCTGGAGGGTCAGACAGGAAAGACAAAAGGGTCCAAACCTGACCCACAATTACAGATTTTTATTAGAGATGCCCCGAACAAAGAAAAGTTTAAGATCACAGGTGGACACAAGCGCGAGATGGTCCTCCCCAGACTGTCAGAGTCAGGCTGGAGGTCACAGACGGGGCAGCCGGGGTCCAGGAAGTCCACTGAACGCTGGGACAGGATTTACAGTTAGGGAGGAAGAGAAGATGTCTTTACGTAGGAGACATTAGGACAACAGTGATGGGTAAATATCTGAGACTTCAGGTCTAAAGTTGTGACTCTGTTTGGAGAAAGTCATAATCCAGTACGATGCTGTTTGTTTAGTGTTTAGAGGAGCAGCCAGACGCCTGCGCTAAGACGAGGATCGTGGAGAAACTTGTGAAGTTATACTGCAGCCAAAGTTTCTGTAATTCTTTAGTCACTTTAACACCTTTAACCTCAAAGTCTCAGGGAAAAGAAAGAAACCATTGGACAAAGAAGACGCCTGAAAGGCAGCTAAGAAAAATCGTATTCAGGCTTTAGTCTCGTTAAATTATAACTTCACTCAGGCAGTTTTATGACCGACTTACTCAGAGAACATCTCCAAATATCACGACTTTATCCTCAAATATAGTAAAATTGAGAAAATCTGCTTCCTTAAAACTTTCTCTTTTAATGCAGTGACTAAAAAAATCTGCAGTTTCTTCTCCTGAGACTTTATGTCAGGACTATAAAGACTGAACTTTGGAAATACGACGACTGTGAAGACGACTTCTTTGAATTATATGACGACTTCACTTATTCATATCAGGTTTTTATTAGATAAAAGGCAACTTAATTTAGTTCATATAAGGACTAAAATATGTGAAATAAAATAGTTTTGACAGGTTTTCTTAATAAGACGTGGAGTCTCATTTTAGGAGAGACCTGTAGACGTACGACTGCACAATGACGAAAGTACGATGGTGATTTAAGGACCTGATTCTGAGAGGATCCTAGGACTTCATATAAAAATACTCTGTAATCTTAACTCAGGTTAGATTAGATTGTAGCTTTAACTCTTACAATATTATGATTTTATTCCTTATAACTAAATTCACCTGATGGTCCAACATCATTCTTGAAATCTCAGATATTTTGCTCTGAATTCTCTGTTGTAGGAGAAAAACTGAAGAAGAAATATTAACGTTGAAAACAATAATCTGCCATCAAATGTGATTTTCATCGATTTTCAAGAAGGTTTATGGTGTCGTTTTAAAGAAACACGCCCTGAACTCAGAGCTCCGGTGTTTGTGTTGATTTTGGCGCCTCCCTATGGAAGGGTGGTAACTGACACTGAATCTCTTCCTGTTGTCATTTTAGAGTGAATCTCAGTGATTATCTTTAAGGGGTGATTCCTACTTTCCTCCTCGTATCAGTTAGAGGATCAAAAACGATAAAACAGAAATTGTGGTTCTTGTTCCAGATCGTCTCATTCGCTTTAGTCCATCAAAAACTCCTCATCGGAGCTTTAACTGCAGTGACATGGATTTAACATGAAACATTTCCACTTTAACGGAGTCAGACGATGAAAAAGAGTCCGACCAAATCACTGTCTTTTGTTCTGCCGCGTGAATGAAATTATCTGAGGACTGTTTTCCCTAATCGGGATTTTTTAAACATGAAATAGTTTAAAACTGTGTTTGGTTTTGACATCATACACTTTATTTACTTTTTCTAAACTTTGCTGTTTTCTTTTTTCTCTCTTGTTTGTTTGTTTTTTTGTCCGTAACAATGACGGATCAATCATCCCTCTTTATTGATATGATAGGAGTCAGTCCTCCAGGGTTGGCGCGGCAACAGTCAGCTGTAAAGAAATAACAAACCTTAGACTTCTTTGATTGACCAATCAGAATTCATCAAAGCGCCGGAATGCTCTGCATTTTTTATTTACACTTATTTCTATTTATTATTGTCTTTCTTTTTATTGATTAACATTTTAAAGTGTCATTAGATTACAGGGGGGATATTATGACATTGATCACTGATTTCTGTTTGATTCTTTCAGACACTGTTGAATGTTTTATTCCTATTGAACTGCACTAAAGATTGAGCTGGTTTCATATCCTTGACTTGTCTCAGTGTAAAAAAAAAAGTCTTTTACATTGTAAATGTGTGAATTTATCGATTTATAAATTGTTGAAGTTGGAAACTCCACTTTGAGGAGGTGAGAGTCTTTGGAGGCCTTTAAAAACAGGAACTGAAACATGGTGACTTTTTCCAAACACCTCTGCCCTTTAACTGTTTTTGTTTTGTCTGGACTTTTATTGTGATAAGGGGACGCCCCCTCAGACACACACACCTGACATCACTGTGTGGGTGATGTTTTTTCAGTTCCTCCTTTTACACATAAAAATAATCCAGAGTACATCTGTGAAACTCACTTGATTCCTCTTTGTTGTAGTGTTATGTTTGGTGTATTATATTCTGCTGTTGTATCCTATTTCTAATTGTTTCATGGTGGTTTGTGATGTGATTATGTGAAGATTTAATTCATTTTAAGCAGATTTAAGGCTGATAAAATGAGCAAAAAGGAGGGAAAATGTGCAGAATTATAGGAAAGTTGCAGTGGATCTCCAAAAAGACTTTTATTTTCATGTGTGTGTATTGTGCCAGACTTTTATTTATTTTATTTGAAATTTGTAAATACATCTTTGAAGCGTGTGTCTGGTGGTTTTGGCTGGTTTGAAGCAGACTGACTTAATACTAATACCTCTCTGTGACTTATGAACACTTCACTTTCTCTGACTTCTTTTGATCGTCTTCACACTAACGTTGAATCTATCAATCAAAAACTGTTGGGGAAAACTTTGACCTCTCGGGACTCTGGGTGCTTTTCGGGAAATGTTGCTCATGTCAGTTGTATTTTCATGTCAATTGACATCAACTCGAATAGGAAAAACCATAGACTGTATGTAGAATATATATATATAATATATATAGGATAAACAGTCTTTGGGAAATCACTCATACCTCTGCAAGGGCGTGAAGTTTCTCACCCTTCTTACTTAAAGTTTCTGTGAGGAGTTTTTCAGAAGGTCGAGACACAGACTTAAATATCTTCTGATACCTTTCTCATAACCCAAACCCAAAATATTATTTACAGGATGTTAAAAATTGTTGAAGTATGCATTGGCTTTGTTCAGAATAGTTGTTTGTTGTATATAAATCTAAGTTTATGGTGCTTAGCCTGAAAGTTGTGTCCAAACACACACCTGTTGTGGTCACTGCAGATGGAAAGGAGATGAACGTTATAAACACTCACACTGAAAACGGAGTTTTTATCTCTAAAACGGGTTCAGTTTATGCAGGAAACTTTTAAAGGGTTTGACTTCCATTTGCAGCAGTAACCGTAGACTGTAACGGAAAATTTTTCTTTTCTGTAAACACAAAGCCAGGCATTTACTGTATCATAACGAATCTAAATTAAGGATATTTTTTTACTAATGAAGCAGCTTGGAAATCATATTATGTATGTTAAAACAAAGGAGTAATTCTGCCTTTCCCACCTGTAAAGAATCATGTCTAGGCTACTTTGTGATAGTCCCAGCTATGTCACATTCACAACCTCCTGTTTGTTTGATAGCTGATAAACACAACTACATCCACACAAATCGTCATTTAGACAAAATATGTTGTTGTCACAAAATTATTATTGGTCTCACGGAAACGTACATAATAACTGAAACTCCCAGATTGGAGCCTTGCAAACGGTTGTGACAGACACACAACTATGCAGCAAAATCAAATCGATTTTCGAAAAGAAAAGCTGCACTTTCAACATGTCCACGCGGCCTGAATCATAGCCACGTTAATAAGGTTTTTAATAAACCAAAACGTTTGTAAATCCGTCAAGATTTCAGCGAGTCAAGTGTATTTATGTTTGTGTAGGTCGCTCACCTTCCATCCACTACTGTAGAGTGCGCTGAGAAGTCGCCCTTGGTAAGATGGCCGCTCGGTGACGACGCGGACGAAAGTCCCATCATCCATCTAGTCTCTCTATATATCTATGGTTCATACCAAATGTTTTTATTCTGAAAGACGCAGTTACCGGAAAGTGAGACGTAATACGGTGGCTTGACGCAGCGCGGTCACATGACTGTCTGTAATCCCGGACTGTCGTATCCGCGTGGTAAACAGACACGCTTCATCTGCGTTAAACAGCCGGAACTGTCAGACAGAGAACAAACAGACTTTAACAAGAAATCATCAACTACTACAGTCAGCTACTTTAACCATGTTTACTCAGAGATCTGACATATAAACATTTAAATTATAATTACTGCTTTAAATCATGTATTTTTCCTTTAAAGGTTCATTAATAATGCTGCATATTCAGAGAACGAATAAGTCTAATTATTATACTTTAATTAAATGTTAACGTTTACATTTTTATTTATCACTTAAATAAGCATTTTTTTTTAAATGTTGTTTAAACTGAAAATAAATCTCAAAGTACCACCAACAAAAAAATCACCCTCATTTAAAGCTTTTATTGTCCAACCGGATTAAAAATCTGGATTAAAAATACAAAACTGTTCACAGAGTTTATAAAAGAGCTGCTGTGTTTATAATATTGGCGGTTTTTGAACAGAGTTATGCTGCAGTATTACACAGACACTGTTTGTAAACTTGTGTTTAATATCGCCGTGTGGAAACTGTAATATTCTATCGATCATCTTTGAAATATCCCCCAACATTAATATTAGAGTATTACCAGTTAATGTCACATTTCCTTCAGAGTCTTCCTGCTTATTTGACTCTTAAATCAGACGCTGTAACATCATTTAGACGACAGAGTGACGTAAATCAGTCTGAAAGAGGCTCTGCTGTCAGAAAATCAAGTCTGTATCCTGTTTACATTTTCTTCTCCAGCCACATTCATCCAGACTGACCGGATCGCTGAGTCTTGTTTCCTTTTTCTTGCGTTGTCTTTTGTCCAGATTTCAACATGTCTGGAGGAATAACGTCCTCTTTCCTCACAGTTATTTCTGCGCAGATATACTGAACATCCTTTCACGGTCTGAGGAGAGTCGCAGCAGGAGGACCTTTCAGCTGACGTCACTGAGGGTGAGCTGACTGAAGGAGTAGCTGCAGGAACACCATCGACGTCTCACCCAGTGGGAGTGGAGGGTCAGTCGAGTCAGCAGAAAAAGAGCGAGCGCGAGGGTGATTATCAGCCATGTTTGTCTGAGGAGGGAAAAGCATCATCATGACTACATCCAACAACGACACTGTAGTTCACAGGAACCCACTGACCTTTCAGATTTACGCCGTGACCTTTGACACTTACTCTGACGGACTGAGTGTGTCTCTGTGAGCGTCCTCCTGCTGCGTCTGAAGAGTGATCATCTTTTCAACCAAACACTGACCTGCAGAAGAAGAATCCGAGCGTTTATCCGTCAGGGAGCGCGTCTCAGGGCCTCGTGTGTTACCTTTATACCTGAGATGACTGGGTTTTAGGATTTCTCAATACTGTTGTACTGAGATACTCATGTTTATGTTCCTGGCTCAGTCTTCGCATGTGTAGAGGGACTGACTATTCTTGGCTTTTACCTTCACTTCATAAAACACAAAATACACTCAGAACATCAACGAAAACCAAGATATATAATATATATAATATATATAATATACCTCGAGGTAACCGTCCACGCTCTGATCAGTTCAAGATTCGACTCTAATCCACTTCATGTTTTCATCTCTCCGTCTCCTTCAGCTCGTCCAAAACGCTGCTGCCCGTCTTTTAACACTAACAGACGTGAGGACATCACTCCTGTCCTTCATCGTCTTCATCGTCTCTTTTAGGATCGATTTTAAACTTTTAATGTTTGTTTTTAAAGCTCTTTTAAAAGCCTTTTAACCGTTCAGGAGCTCTGAGGTCACACCGACGTCTGCTGGAGGTCAAAACACAAAGACCGGGGGGACCGAGACGTTTCAGTCGCTGGTCCCAGACTCTGGAATAAACTCCACACTGAAATAAGACGTATTTCTGACCTGGACCTTTTTAGATCCTGATTGAAAACATATTTATTTATGTTGGATTTTAATACCCAGTAGTGTGGTGACATTTTATTTTATTGTATTTTATCCTTTTTTTTATTGTTTTGATTTATTCGTTTTTATTTTCTATTTTAAGCTCTTTGGTTCACGTTGTTGTAAACGGCTGTAAATAAATAAAGAACATTTATATTTAATGTAAAATACACAAGGATCAACGGTTATGGAGAAGCATCTGCTGTCGACATCCTGTAGACTCAATAAGCACTGAGGGAAGGTGCTGAGACACATTATGTGCTGTCAATGCTTTTAAACAACCAGAAGGGGGCAGTATAAAGACAGAAATCAAAAGAAAAAATGTTCATGTTGAAGATCAGAAAATATTTCTCGACTTGTGGAGGAGTCGACCGTGTTTGTCTTTCACATTGTGATGAAATATGTACAAAAGTTACCCCAGATGTCGACCATCACAGGGTTCAAAAGCCAAGAGTTCTACCTGGGCTCTTACTCCAATTTTGCTCACAGAAGTTGCCATGGAAACCGGGGAGACACCTGCAGCGTCCGCTGACATGGTTACAGGAGGCTCCATTGAAGCAGATACAGATCTGTCTGCAGAAAACACCGTAATAACCCGGCAGGCACTCTGAAGACAGAGGTGAGACGTCAGGAGAGGAAACAGGAGAAACAGGACTGAACATCAGCAGTTTATGTTTCTGTCATCAACAGGGGGAAGAAAACTCGATGATTTAGAGACGATCGGTCAAAAGTAAAGCACGTCGAAGCTTTAAAAAATGTCGTAAAGAGAGGAAAAAGAAAGAAGGTGACCATGATCATTTATGAGACCCTGCTAACTGGCTGTCAAAGTTTTCTCTGATGAACCGAAAACACCTTTATCCTCAGAACAACTTCCTATAGGGCGTTGTCAAAATTCCTCACTCTTCGTAGTCTGTGAGATGCTAACCTGCTCATCGAGATCTGCAGAGAACTAATATAACCCTTCACACCACGCACACCCAAAGGAAATTCCAGTGTGTAAGCACAAGGACCTGTCTGATGTCTTTACAGCCGTGGTGTATTTCTCACTCGATCGTCTGTAACAACAACAACAGTCTTTGACTTTGAGGTCACCGGGGGAAAATAAAAGCTGCCTAAACGCCCTCTTAGATGCTCCTGGAGAAAATAAAACATCATAAAATGTCCTCTACGGTTCCTCCTTCATGGAAACAACAAAAACATTTCTGAAAGATCAACTTCTGCTCACTTTTGCTGCAGCTCTTTCCTCTCCATCCAGCATCGCAGACACAACCACCTGCAAAACACACAAACCTGTCTTATTAACCTGTTGTTGGGGTGATTTTCTTTAGCTGGTCCTGTCGGCCTTCAGGGCGGTGGAGCTGTGTCACTCAAATACCTCAGATGTTTCTGGAGTCATGGGCCTCCAACAACTCTCCTCAACAAGGACCTTGTCCCCGTGTTTAACATCACTCAGGCTCCCAGAATATGTCGTGTTTTGTTCTTACCCTAAATGGACTCTCCTTCAGGTCAACGAGATGTAAGCAGAATATTTGGAAACGTGGACGACTAAATAAACCTGAACACTCTCAGACTAATCTGTGTTTCACTTGTGGCCTGATGAAGCTGTAACTAAGATCTGTAACCAGTAAAGCTCGTCAAAATGATCATTCGTGTGGACCTTCCATTTTTAAGAGTGTGAACGTGGACATCTTTACACCTGTGGACATAAAACCTCAAACTGCATCTTTATCTCATAACCGGTACTATCGTATCTTCAAAAACAAAGAAGTCATGAAAACAAATGTTCAACTACAGCCCAAAAATACTTCAAATCTTCTTACTTTTTCTTTCTATACCTCACTGTTATTTCTGCTGTTAAGCTCCACCCACAAACTCACCAGGTGTGCAGACACCATGGGGCCCACAGGCTGCTGGATGACACACAAAAGAGTCACAGGCGTCCCCCTGCCAGCCGTCCTGACACCGACAGTGTCCGTCCACACACTTTCCGTGTCCGTTACAGTTCGCCGGCTGGCAGCGCCGCTGGTGAACACACAGGACGGTGGAGACAGGTCGAGCACAGCGCCACCTGCTGTCAGGTTTACTGGGGGTCAAAAAGAGAGGTGAAGTGCGTGAGTGAGAACAAGATGAATGTTTAAAGAAGAAGCAGAAGAAGAATTTTTAAAGAGTTCAGAACAAATAATTAAATAACCTTCATATTTCATGAAGACGAAAACAAACCGCAGTCTGAGGACGGGGATTACAACAGGGCGGCTCTGAAGGAGGAGAGTCCTGCTGAGGAACTGGACTGACGCCGTCCTCACAGTTTTCTGTTTTTCAGGTTTAAATCAGACCCTCAAACTCTGTTTTTGGTGTCCTGATTTTTTAGGAATAAAGTTTTTAATTTGCATCTTTAGTTTTACTTGTGAGTCACTTGAAATTTCTTGTGGGTTTTGATATTTGATAACTGGAGAGTTTTATTACTGCAACCTTTGATCAATACGGGACCACCTGCTTTTAGAAAATGATTTGGACGAATCGTAGTGTGTCAGTCACTTCTCAAGCAAGACAGTGAGATATCTTTTTATTTAAGTCCAGATTTTAAACTTCAGATGGACTGTGTTACAGCTTTTACAGCCTTAATTCAGGCTGTCAACAGAAACAGTCCACTACAGTAATTCCCAAACTTTTTTCACGTTTAACTCATTTTGTGATAAATGAAGTCATTTACCATATGTCAGGCGGGTAGCTGACCAATGTGCCGTTGATAACAAAGCTGGAAGACCCGCCTCCGTCCAGATTGATGGCATTGATCACGCCGTTTTTTTTCAGGAACTCTGCCACCTCCCAAAGATCCATTCTGCTCATGAACAAACAAACACGACTGTCGTTCTGAGTCCATGTTTCACACGTTCAGCCTGCAGACAGATGATCTAAATAACATACAGAGTGTTCTGGCAAAATCAGCAGGACAGACGAACAACAAAGACCGATGTCTCACATGGAGTTTACAGCGGCCTCCCACCCTGAATATTTCAGAGAAGTTCATGTTACCCTCTTTCGTTGGTCTGTCCGTCCACATGGAAAAGAACCAGGTTACCCTCTGCATCATGACCCACAGCCGTCCTCGCAGACAGCAGGTCCACAAAATCCCGAAACACCTCTACGGAATAGAAAAGAAGAGTTTCTCAAATCAGTTTAGACTCTTCAACAAAGTTCTTCACTTTTCTCTCGTCTGTCTTCTCAAATATAACGTTTCTGATTTGTTCGGTATCTAACTGTTGTATAAAACTGATGAATCTATATTTCCTTTTATGACTGAAGACAAAAACACATGACTGTGGAGCTACAATAGGAGATCGATGGGTCTGTTGGAGGTGGGATTTTCTGATACTCTGACTGAATGAATTTCTGGTCTATAATCTTTAAAAGTTGTCATCATGTTTCCATCACAGTGAATCCTTCCAGCTCTGAAGGTCTGCATTAATGTTTGCCTGCAGATTTACCCCGGTCAACCAGTTTGTTGCACTCGGCCTTCAGACTCTGGTTGATGTTAATCTCTCCGTCTCTCAGTAGCCATATCACTCCACTGACTAGCTGCACAAATGGGTTCAGCTGGTCCAGAACATCTTCCTGGGACAAGTACCTGGAGGAACATGTTTGTTTAAATCTTATATTTCTCTTTTTTCGTTCATTTTGAGTCGGATTACGTCTCTCACCCAAACACCAGGGTGCCGTCCCTCCTGATACCAAACTGGGCGTTCTGCACCCCCCGGCCGTCCCTCACCAGCCTGCCGTCGCTCACGATGTTACCCAGACATCCATCGGTGGTGGTGTTGAAGAAGCCAGCGTTCATGGCGTACAGACATCCAGCAGTCTCTGCTGTCTCCTGCACCGTCACTCGGTGGTTTCTCTTACAGCCACCCGGCCCGCCCGGCTCCAATACCGACACCGTCCTCAGGGGGTCGTGAACAAATGTCATGTGACCTGGAGAGAGATCCTTTAAAATCCAGCACCAACTCCAGGACATACAGGAACAGCTGACTTGATGACTGACCTTGGACCCAGCGGGGCTTTCCTCCTGGGATGTTTGATATGAAGACAGTTGACTCGGACACAGGGAGGCTGTTTTGCCGACTAGAGGGCCAGGTCTCGTATGTTCTCCGACCCTGGACGATGTGCTGGCAGTTGCTAAAATGGCGATGAGGGTGGGAGGGGTCATGACCCTGTGTGTTTGGTGTCACAGCATCTTCATCTGTGGAGAACCTGTAGAGGGAAATGATAAAGAAAAATGTGACACGATATAATTCACTCTACTGTCCGATTGAGGAAGTTTGACTTTAATCCAAATACTTCAGATCGTTTCCTTCCCACTAATGCCAAGAAATAAAACAAAAGAATAAAATACAAATAAAACCAATAATTAGCCCTCCTGCAAACACTGAAACACACAACAAAGAAACCATAAACAACACATCTGTGTGTTTCCCATACAGAAAAGAAAAGAGCATAAACAGATGAGAACGTCATTATTGAGATCCTCCAGCTGTACTCTTCTGTCAGACCAGGTCTATTGTTTCTGTCCTCCAACACACCTTTGCTTCAAGTCATTATCCAACACTTGCACCAGAACCCACCTGTCTATCCACATGCACCTGTCTACCTGCCCCAACTCGCCTTGGAGCCCAGAGTCACCAGTTAACCATTATGATCGTCCTGCTGCTTCTACTGGCAGCTTTTGTCCTGATCCAAAACATTCAAAGAGTTAACGGCCTACGTCAATTAAACTCAGAGGCAATGCAATACTACAATAAAATACACAATAAACCCATTACAGTGCGAGTTGATACGACACAATACTATGTGATACAATAAGGTACGATGGTGTACAGTATGAAGGTAAGAATTATAAAATACAGTATGATACGACGACATACAGTACACATTATTTTTGTTGTAGGTAAATTAATCATTGACTGATGGGCTTCATAAATTTTGCTAATTTAAAATGACATTTAAATGACAACAATTGCATGAAATAAAAAGTGTGTTGTTTTATTTGATGGTGAAGACAAATATAAATTTAAAGGGAGACTTTACATTTAAAAAGTAAGAGAAATGAAATATGAAATATATTTTCTGTAATAAAATTGTGTTTGTTTGGCCAGAGTTCACTGAATTATCTCCTTCATGCCTCAATCTAAACTGGAAAACCTAAACTTTAAAACTAGTCCAGGTAAAAAACACACATCTTATGTTTTAATCATTACTCTTTGAGTCTCACTGATTTATTTTCCTATTTAAAATAAAGAAAAGTGGGAAAAAAGCACAAAATTAGGAATAACTTTGAAATAATCTCACCATGCTAATTTGCTGTCCAACGGCCAAATCTGAATGCAGAGGAGCACGAGCCACACAATCCGGCGTGAAGCTGAGTGAGTTGCCATGGTTACAGGGGCACAGATACCCACTCTCTGGGCTTCAGCAGGGCGCAGGGTTATCACGCACAGACAGATCAGGGTTGTGTTTGTGAACGAACCTTTGGATGAGTTAACCAGTGAAGCCCTGCCCTGCTGTATATTCGCCGCTCCGGAATCTCTACATTCCAGTGACAGATAAGCGGAGTCCTGCTCATGAATAAGACACTCTTAATGGGATGGGGTATACACCATAGATTCAGGGCTGACCCCAAACTATGGAGGCCCTGTTCCGCCAGTAAAGAGGGAAACATTTGTTCAATTATTTAAAAAATCGGCCGTAGTAAAGCCTCCACAAGACACAGATTCTAAAGATTTAAATTTTCTTTGAATTAATTAAAACAGAAAAAAAAAACTCCATCTTCAAACATATTAAAAGCTTATGAAATTCCCTCTTGGTTGAAATAGTCTTCATTAATTTGTGGATTGCATTCATTAAAGAGAAAAATGTTACTCAGTTATTCTGAAGAAATGAGGTTATTTTTTCAGAGTCATGAGAACATTTAAGGATTAAACTGATTTTTTTATCATCTCTGATTTAGATAACTTTGGTTTCAATGAAAAAAATCTGCTCTGTTTTCCTAAACAAGACAATAAGCTTTAAGATTTAAGAATATTAAAGGTTGAAAACTTTTATTTTGGTTATTTAAATTGCCAAGATTATAACCGTACATTCACACATTATTTTATTATATTTTAAATCTGAAAGTTTATTCATTCATAAATAGAAAACCAAACAAGACAGACCCGCAGAGTCAGTTAATCAATAAAAACTGAGGTCCAATTATTAAAATGAATGGCGGACACTCTTTTATCTTATTTCGGCTTTACTGTCTTTTTATCTTTTGCTAAACTTGTACTCTTTCCTTAATGAACCTTTTAGGCCTTTTATTGTTTCATCTCTCGCTCATTTCTGTAGCTCTATTTTATCAGTACTTTTATTATCAGTATTACCTGTTATTATTTTATTATCATTGCTGATATTGAATTTTATATTTACTACCCTGTTTCGGCTGCATTTTCTTTTTCTTAACTATTTAATGTTTTTATTTTGGTCCTCATGGTCTCATTTTTATGTTGCATGGTTCTTGTTTTGTCTGGGTTCCTTCACTTCCGTTTTAACTGAGCTTTTTGTTTTTATTCATCTTTGTCCGTGTGGTTTATGACTACATGTCAAAGCACTTTGTAAACTTCTGTTTTTAAAAATGCTACACAAATAAAGTTATTATGATTATATTATTATCATTATTAATTGATTTTTACAAGTACCATTATTTTGAAGGGCTTGCCCCCTAGTTCCTGCTACGTCATTCTGTTTCCTAGCAACGGTGAACGCTCCGGCGCCTGCCTGCCGTTAGCGCTAAAGCTAGCAGGGCAGCTGTGTTGATTAAACATGAAGGATGGAGATGATGACCTGGACGAGCTGCTCGATGAGGTCGAAAAGAAGTTTTGCCGTAACGTTTCTGTCACGTGTTTAGCTCGCGAGGATTCAAAGGAGGCTGGAAAAGGCGGGAACGACACAGAGGGACAGAGGAAACACAGGTAAACAAAGCTAACTCTGCTAGCTAGAGTCACCGAGGAGAAGCCAGTTTAAAAGCTTTTTATTTTGGTCTCGTCTGAAGATCCATCATCTTCTGTTATTTACAAACTCAGGTCTGAGGTCAGATATCAGTGAAGTTCTCCTGTTTTAGTGAATCAGCCTGATAAAACACAGAAAATACACAGAATGGACCCAGCATGGTTTCATCTTTACTTACAGTAAAGAAATAAAACTAAGAAAAATAAACTGTAGTAACAGAAATCATGTCTCAGAAAAATATACTTGTCATTTTGATTTTCTAGTCTGACCCATGACCCATCTGTTAACATGGAGGACTTTATGATGATGATAATAATAATAATAATAACTTTTTTATAGCCCTTTTAAAAACAGAAGTTTACAAAGTGTTTTGGGAAACAGTCGTACAGCTCATGGAAATAAAAACTAAAGCTCAGTGAAAAACTCTGAATTAAAGGTCATGAGGAACCTACAACATAAACTGAGACCAAGAGACCAAAATAAAAACATACAATAGGAAAGAAAAAGAAATGTAATAAAAGAGGGTAGTAGAAAGCACAAAACAGAATAGTAAATATAAAAAGAGGATAGAAATAATAATAATAAAATCAAAATAAAATAATAATGATGGTAATAGTAATGATAAAATGGAAAAACAAAAATGAGCGGAAAAAAAACAAAATCAATTAAAGGCCTAAACGGTTAAATAAGAAAAGATTATAAGTAAAACATAAACTAAAAAGACAGAAAGTCGAAATTAGAAAAAACATAAAAGACGTCATCACATAAAATCAAGTCTGTAAAAGTGAGTTTTTAAATTTGACTTAAAGAAGCGTCTGTCTCTGCTGTTCGCCTTCTCTCCTCTGAAGGTCGTTCCAAAGTCGAGGAGCTCTGATGGACAAAGATCGATCACCTTTAGTTTAGAGACTTTGGAACGACCAGGAGGACTTCAGAGGATCTGAGGCTGAGAGTTTTATTCATAAGGAAGTAAAAGCTCTGAAATGAAGCTCAGAGCGAGTCCTTTGAGAACTTTAAAAGTAATCAATAAAATCTTAAAATCAATTCTAAAACTGAGAGGAAGTCAGTGAAGGGAGGATAAAACTGGAGTGATGTGACGCCGTCGACTAAAACCAGACAAAAGCCGAGCTGCTGCGTTCTGAACTCGTCTGAGGAGAGAGAGTGATGATCTACACTGTGAATACTGACAGATGAAGAATAATCAACTTTTTATTTAGCAGCACCAAACCTGCACAGTCGAGGAGCAGCATCACTGAGGACATAGACGCTCTTCTGGAGGAATTACTGGAGGACGACTGCAGCGATCCTCCTCCTCAGCAGAAGGTTTAAGAAATGTTCCTTCTTATCATGAAAACTTATCTGCACGCCTGTTTGTGAAGAAATGCAGGACACTCATGATTTCCACGTATTTGAGTTTATCACCTCGTTTTGTTTCAGACTGAACATTTTCCTGATGCAACACACAAGGAGAAGAAAGTGTCCTCTCAGTTTGGAGGGAGGAAGTAAGTGAAAATTCTGGGTCTCAATAAAGACTGCACGGTGAATAATGAGACAAAGAAATGACTGTGTTGATGTTCTATTTTGATAAGTTCAGCTTTAAAAACTGCTCTGATCTGAAATGTCCTGATGTCTGTCGAAGCTGGTCGTGTTTTTCTGCGTTCAGAGACGGTCTGTGCCGTTTGTTCTGCTTCCAGGTGCTGTCCGGTTTTTGTTGGCGGGAGCTCGCTGCCAAATGGCGTGGGAACAGCCACGTCTCAGAGGTGCGAAAAATAACCGAAAGCCTGGTGTTTATCACGTCTCATACAAACATGAAACTTTGGTACAAATGTTGGATCCAACAGTCCTCAGAGGAAGAAATGATCGTCTGTTATTTACCTTTCATTATTCTGAATCAGTGTGTAGATGCACCGCAGTGTAACGGTAATACCTCCATCCTCAGGTCATGTGATCAGCTGAGGTGTACCTCCTGTGACTTCAGGGTGCTGATGTTTGATGACTGTGAGTGGGACTCGTCCTGTGATTACCTGTTCCTCAGGTAAAAACTGCTGAAAAATGTGTTTTTGTTAATCACTGAAAAGATATTTAGTGAGAACTTTACCTGATCTGTCCGTGACTCTTTCATGCTCTGGCTCTCTGTGTGAGCAGGAACAACATGCCGGACCGTCAGAAGCTCCGAGCGAAGCTGAAGAAGAGGAGAGGTCAGAGAGCGTACGCCTGTCAGTGCAGCTGGTTCTCCACGTCAGAGCCCACAGACCTCCGAGACCGAGCTCAGCTCAGCTGGGTGTGTGGAAAACACCGGGACTGAAAAACTCGCTCCGATGATACAGACGCCTGAATAACTCATGCTGCTTCTCCTTCCTTCCTCTGACTCTGGAGTTCTCTCTTCTCCACGGTTAAAGCAAACTGAAGCAAAGTTTGACCAACGATAGTGAGGAGAATAGATGATAGTTTTAATACTTTTTTATCACCTTTTATATAATTCACTTTGATTTTCTCATCCTTACACAAACTTGATTTCCTTGAAGCTCAAAAGTCGATCATATAGACGTGATTTTAATACGATCTCGATGTCTCTAAGGATCATATACACAGTATTTAACATTTTTAACAGCAGATATCTGAACCAGTTTTTGCTGCAGGTAATTTGACTCACCGCTCTGTAGTTCAGAGTATGTTAATCATGTGTTATTGCAGGAAGGCTTTGTTTGAACCATTAACTGTTGTGGTCCCAACTTTCAGGTTTACGAGGAGCTCAATTTTTTACCTCCTGCAGGAATAGTTTCAGCTTTTAAAAATGAACCTTAAATTAATGTGTTTTACGTCATAAATTGTTGGCTGTAAAACTAAAACTATAAAGTGTGTTGCAGTTTTATTATGTATCATGTGTTTGTTGTTGTTTTCAGCCTTTTTACAATCATGGACGTCATTTATTCACTCAATAACACATTATTTATTTACTCTCTCTTTTATTCTCTATTTAAATGAGCACAAAGTGTAAAAAAAGGCATGTGTTAAGTTTATTTAAAGTGTTGGAGAAATCAACACCTGCTACACAACCTCCACCTGTCTATAGTCCACATATATCAGGCTGCAGAGTGACGTATGATCCTTCAGCTGTCAATAAAAACAAGCATGTTGGACAGAAAAAAGAGGACAGAGTGACAGAAATGTGATTCAGTGTTCTCCTGTCAGACAGCAGGAGGAGGAGGAGGAGGAGGACAAAAACACCAACAGGCAGAGTGATGAAGGATATGAGACAGAAGGAGAGGACAAAATCAACCACAAAATTCATCCAAAGGAACAGAAATACAGAACAAAGGGGCCGGGGTTCATTTGGTTATCTTTCATTTGTATCAAATTATTAATAAGCAGAATTTTTCCTGCTTTACAATAAACAAAATAATAATTATATGACCTCTTTGAGAAAAGGTTTGAAGTTTGATAAAAAATACAGAGCTACATCAGGGTTTATTTTAAGGAGCGGTGCGTCCAGCAGAAGGCGCTCTGGCTTTAACTAAAACTGAATGAATCCGAGGAAACTTCAGAGGAAGAAGGAAAAGGAAACATCACCAGACTGGAGGAACGTGAGCAGATGGAGGAACCAGAGTTTGATGATATCTTAGATGACTGGTTCATCGAGTCTCTGAAAACGTGAGAAACTTTCAAAGTCTCTGTTTAAACTTCGTTTTAGCCGCGTGTTTTCCCGCTTAGCAGCGCTGCAAGCGAACCTCAGACTGAACAACAGTTAAAAAGTTGGTATTTTTGCATCTCCATGGTTATCAGGGAATTTACAATGATGTTAAATAATACGGTAACACATTTACTACATTGAATTATGATGTTTTGAAAATCGGCTTGCAGTAAATAGACCTAGAAGCTCTCACTTCGACAATAGGATGGGGTTTCAGAGCAAATGGCGGGATGTAGCAGCAGAGCATCAGTCCACATAAGTATAATTTATGTCTAATTCACCATACAAAGTTGAATAATGTGATGCCGAGTAAAAGAGTGGATTGTACACAGTCAAATAAATGAGTCATGTTTTGTAAATAATGTTTTGTGCCTAAGCCTGAGGTCGAAAATATCTGATGTTAGTATTTTTTAAAGGAGTTTGGTGAACAAGTCAAAGTCCGGCCGGCATTAAAGCTCCTGTGAGAAGTTTTTAGCAGGTTATGAAACAAACTGAAACTGAAACGAACTCTGTATGACCTGCAACAACAAACAAGAGCATCGCTGAGAAGATGGATTCATTTTATACATTATTATTATTATTATTGTTATTGTTATTTTTGATGTCTGAAACCACCTCCGGGGGGGTTGTGTTATTAACGGAGGGTGACTGATGGAGCTTTTTTCTGTGTGTGTGTGTGTGTGTGTGTGTGTGTGTGTGTGTGTGTGTGTTAGCACAGACCTGTTCTTGCGCTCAGGCCTGTAACACCTGTCTGATTTCTGCAGGTACAAAGACCTGCATGTGTATCAGCTGGAACATCCCACACAGGTCATCGAGTGGACGTCAGAGAAGAGTGAGTAAATGTCACCATCATCACAATTATCCGTGTGAAAATCCACCAGCTGAAGAAAAGCTACAGCAGAATATCCTACATTTTCAGGGTGTTTTTCTGCACTTCACTAAATAAAAAAATCAGCTTTCATGTTTGTTTTAATCATTTCATTTATATTTTTATAAAATGTTAGCACAGACCAAATTAAGTGTGATGGCTGCAAATTAGTGCACCCTTACATTACATCTGTAATACTTTCATTATCATTTTAACTGGTGAAAAATGGTGATAAAAAACAGGAAATCATTAAAATATGTTTAATCTGATCAAGGAGATAATCTGTGAGTTATTTATGTGAAGATTAAAGTCTGAGTGCAGCACCAAAGGGGGCGCCGCCACACTGGGAGGATACACAAGTCAGGTGGATGTTGGGAATAGAGAAGACTGAAGCTGAAGATGCCTGCCTGGACTAGCTCACAGGTGTCCATCTATTTATCATCCACAACAGTTGAACGTGCTGATGAAGAAGATGAAGACCTGGAGTACACGGGGTTAAAACAAACTTTAAAACAGGACATGAAGAAGAAATGATCGGTTTCACAAGAGGAGATGTTTCCACTGAAAGCTTTTAAAAACAACCTCCTGATAATGATCCTTTTTAATGGTTAATGGTGTTTGTTTACAGCGGTGTGTGTGGCAGGATACACTCCGTCTAAAAATGAGATCCTAGAGCTGCGTTTGCCTCTGAAACTCCTCGCTGATCGAAACAAGGTAACAGCCTGAATTTCAGCTCTTTTTTTATATTAAACTAGAGTCCAAGTATCGTCCTCTGCCTCTACTGTGTTTGTGTTTCTGCATGTTGAGTTCAGGGTCTCTGTGCAGAACGGGATTTCAAAGTTGCACACGGGGGTTTCTCAGACGGTCCTGTCCGCTGCCTCAGACACGTCCCAGGAACGAGGTGGGTTTCTAAGGAGTGAGTGGAAACAGACTTCTGACATTTCAGGGTTTTTTTGTTTCTCTTTACTTCCACTAAAAGTCTTCAACAGATTTTTCTGTTTCCTTTTATTTATTTCTCACAGGAAACTCAAAGTTTTGTTGTTTTTTGTAAGAAGCATAATTATTTAATTTTTACAGACACTTGAAAACTGTTAACTTTGTCATCATCTGTCTGATGTTGTTTTTTTAGGTGTGTTGTGACCAACGATGGGAGGAGCTCGGACCTGCAGGTGTGGGACCTCGGAGGAGAAGACAGCGGTGAGTTTCAGCAGGTTCAACATGAGCCTGAGACTAAGAAACCTCTCTGGAATAGACGCTGTTAACTAGATACGACAGGGTTTATCAAGCAGTCTAACTCTACGCTTCCTTTTTGTGTTTTTAGTCAGAATTTTATGATTGGTCTTTTTTTATTGTACATTTTAATTCAAACACCAGGGTTTCAATGTGCTCTGCTGAACGACAGCTGTGAGGTTTCCTTTTTAAGGAGTTTATTTAACTTGAGGTCTTGGGTCAGCTCTGTCATATAAAACTGTTTATCAGTCTTACTCTACACTTTCCTTTTGTTTATTTATTTATTTTTTTTAGTCAGGTTTTTATGATTGGTCTTTTATTGTCTGTTCTTGTCCAGACGTGATCAGGAGGACAGGAAACATCGAGGGAGGGCGAGACGTTGCAGAGAGCGGCAGCAGGATAGCGGCGCGGCTCTCGTCTCAGCCTGAAGTTCTTCACGGAGCTCAGAGCAGTGACGTCCGGCTGACTGAACTGAGCTCAGGACGGACTCTGTACACACTCGGTAACTCTGATGGTTAACATCACAACAGCGTGGCTCTGGAGTAGAAGAGTCCTGCCTGTTCTTTTGGGGCATGCTCAGACGACTCCTGCACTTCATTTCTAGTTCAGCTGCAGTAAACGACACCTCAGCCTTTTTGTCCAGACTCAGATTAAACTGAGTTATTAAATCTGAGTGAATGAGAATCAGAACAGCAGAGTTAAAATCATCTCTAGATTCAAAGATGTGAAGTTGACGGTGATGCAGTTTATAAAAACGTCTTTCTTTTGTCTGAACAGAGACCGACTCAGCAGACGCTCTGACCTCCTTACAGTTTGTGAGTGACAGCGTCTTCCTCGCCGCCTGCTCTAACGGGAGCGTTTATGTCGCAGACACTCGTTCTTCTTCAGCTCCTCAGCTCTTACCTCTGCCGGGATCTTCAGCTCCATCTCCCCTCTGGTGGACGGACGCCTCTGCAGGTCCGTCAGGCTGCAGGCTCGTCAGACTGTCCTCGTCGGGTCAGGCGGTGATCTCAGACCTGAAAAAGCCGGGAGAAGCTGTCAGTCAGGCTCAGCTGGGGGTCCAATCACGTCACTGCGATCTGAATGATGTCACAGTGTCGTGGGCTCCAGCGCTGGACGACTGTATCGCCGTGTCAGGTTAGTTCAAACAGAAATCCAGCTGTTCAATGTGAAGGTGCTACGAAGTGTTTATTGTTTGTTGAATGTGAAAATAACAGTTTAGCATAAAGAAACGTCTAACCTGGATCTGCTCAATGCCCAGAGTTCCCTCCACTCGAAGCACTTGGAGTATCCTGGATCATCTTACACGCCTCCCTCTCAGACCCTCCAAACACATGTAAACACTGACACGTGTTTCTCCCGCCTCCTTCCCGCAGGTTTTAGCGGGCTGGTTCAGATCTTCAACACCTCAGTCTGGAGGTCAGAGCTTCAGGAACCTCAGCCGCTGTTTGAACATCGTGGTCACACAGTTTCATCTCGGGATGAAGACGGCGTCCCCGTCTCTGTTACGTCTCATGTCTGGCATCCTGAGCGGCCGCGGACGCTGCTGTCCGCCGCCTCAGACGGCTCTGTGCATGTGTGGGACTGGGTCGACCAATCAAACATGAGCTGTTGACAGTCTGAGGTTGAATCTGGTTCTGAGGAGACAAAGACAAAAGGACTGGTGGACCTTCAGGGTTGTGGACAGTTTCCTGAAAGCATCAAACAGAATAAATGAGCGTCTGAAGTCTGTTTCAGCAGATCTCAATATGAAGTCTGGGTTCATGCTGCTGCAGACACTTCAGGTGTTAGGGTTAGGGTTGATGGGACTCAAAGTGAAAGAGTGACCCCAAAAGTTAGATGTGCATAGTTCACTGTGCTCAGTTTCCCACACCAGTGTAACCATTAGTTCCTTATTGTGTTTTTTTGTACTGTGTACTAAGCATAAAAAGCAAACGTATGAAACTCACACCCTTGATAACAACTGTAAACACGTGGACTCTGTTCTGTTTACCACGCCCTACAGGAACAGACAATAAAAGACCAATCATAAAAACCTGATAAAAAAAAAAAAAAGGAAGTGTAGATTAAGACTGCATGATAAACGGTTTTATATCTGACACTGTTGACAGAGCTGACCCAAAACCTCAAGTTAACAGGAAACTTCACAGCTGTCGTTCAGGACAACGCACTGAAACCCTGGTGTTTGGATAGAATTGTGCAGCTCAGTTACTGACCTGTTTTGCCCATGTGGACGCACCAAGTCTGTGAGACTTTTCTCCACCAATAAGAATATTGATCTTACCATGAGCTGAAATCTAAACCAATAAAACTGTTTTTTTTCCCTTCAACTTCTCAGTTAAAGTTTGTTCAGTCCACCTTTCAGACGAACAGTTCAGCTCTGCAGGAAATGTAAGGGCTCAGCTTTCAATTTATTTGGTGATGTCTTAACTGTCTGAAGCCTTTTCATACATGTGCTACACTCCTGATGAGGACATGAACCCAGAGAAACTGCAGCTGACAACAAAAGTGAAACCAAACGCATCCATCGAGACATGCAGGAGTGATAAGAAGAACTTTATCCCGACACAACATTCAATGATCAGGTCAGCATGTCTTCACCAACAGCTTCGTACATGTATCATCCGTGTGAAGTGGAAAATTGATATTCTGTTGAATCATGTGCAACATGATCAGCATTTAAATAATTATATTATTGACTCAACAGAATATAAATTTTCCACTTCACACAGATGATACATGTACAGAGGCTGTTGGTGAAGACACGCTGACCTGATCTAATTTTCATGTCTTTTAGTCCCAGTTTAGATAAAGCTAATGTCAGTCTTCAGGAGACTGATCTAAGCATAGGTGATTTTGACTGACTTTATATATTAACCAGAACCACATGACACCCATCTGTTCCCAATTAACCTGCTCACCTGTGTTTTTTTGACAGGGTAACAACTTTATCCTCCAGTGACCAACAAGATGTAAGCAAAATATTAAAGATTTTTTTTTTTTATTTCAGCTCATGGTAAGATCAATATTCTTAGTCTCACAGACTTCTTTGTCACGTGTTGCTGACATCAAATTATAAAGTTTATTATTAAAGTTAATTATTTTCAAAATAAATAAAGTTTAGCAGTTTGAACATTAAATATCTTGTCTTTGTAGTGTATTTGCTTGAATATCGGTTGAAAACGATTTTCAAATTATCGTATTCTGTTTTTAATTACATTTATCACAATTCCCCAACTTCATTGGAACTGGGTTTTTGTAGATACAAATTTATTTATCCTTTTGGGAAGATATGTCCATGTTCTCATTCATCCAGGTCATGGTTATGGTTATCTCATGGTTATCAACTCTACACAGTCCAGTTGCCTGTTTTAAGTCGTCATCCTTTTGGGAAGATTCCCTAAAAGAAATTAAAAATGTTATCATCCTGACAGATTTAAGCACTTTAATAACTTTTTATCTATTGTTGTTTTCCTGTTTTTAACTTTGTAAAGCACTTTAGTCAAGGCAAGACAGAAAAAAACTCACAAGGGAGGAGTTTGAGATGCAGTACGTCAGCATCAGAGGATAGAAGGTAAGACTTCACTGCTTATAAAGTCCAACCATGAGTCTGTGAAAGCAGATCCCGTTTCTCAGGAGGAAAGCGTTGGTTTTTGGCATTGGGTATGTTTTTGCACACACACACACACACACACAATTTTAAGTTTATCACCACAATGTATGCAGTGGTTCACAACCACCTGAAAAAATATCCATACTTGTTAAAAAAATTCATTTTAACAAAATAGAGAAGAAAGTATTTGAAGTTTACAAAGGTTTGTAATTAATGAAATTTATGAAAACAAAAAAATGTAAGATCCGACTCTTCAAGGTAACGTAGATGGAACAGTACTACCATTCACGATAACAAATTAACATTTCTGTGCATGTATGTTTCTCTGTATGTGTTTGCCTATTAGTTTAATTTTCTGTATGTGACAAGGACATTACAGCAAAGATGGGGCAGGGACAAAGCTTGCTTCAGAGGCACGGCTACACATTTGAGAAGCAGACAGAAAATGGCTTAATAGCCATAAAGGATGATGAGAGATTTCTCATAACAAAACAGGTAACATGTTTATTTATTTATTCTTAAACTGTCAGGTGCCTCTTCATGACCAATATTTACACAGTCTGGTATTAAAACAGATTTCTGAAAATCTGAGAATACTGGATGAGGTAGAAATACTCAAGGAGGCACAACATCCTCATACTATAAGCATCAAGGAGTACTATCCAGGTAAGTCTCACTTTAAATGTCATTGTCAAGTGAAATATATGCGGTAGTAATCTCTTTAATTGACTGCGCTTTAACAGTTTCGATTATAGAATCATTGAGCTAACGACTTCAATAAAGAAATGATATTTTTAGATTAGATCAGATTAGACATTATTTTGAAAAATTTCATATCTTTATTTTTAAGAAAATTCTGAATACATGACCAGGTGATTTTTCTGCATTGGCAAAAGCTAATTAAAGCTCCAACTCCAATGTCCACTACTCTCTTTTTACTATTTTAAATGGCTCTGCCATTAACCCTTCTACCTGAGTTACACAGTTGTTTGGTGGTTTCTTGAATTTGTATGTTACTGAGCAGTTTTATCTGCTACACCTTGCAAGATAAAAGTGATCAACTGACCACTTTCTATGTGGTGACAAAGTACTGTGAGGGAGGAAACCTAGCGAACAAGATCAGAAGGAAGAGCAACGAAGAATCAGAGGTACTGCTTATAAATGACTATAACTACATGTAGTGCTGGGCGATTGGACGATATATATCGTTGGCACGATAGAAAATGTCTATCGTGCCATTTTTATTCTTATCGTTTCGGGCGATAGGTTGTATTTAATCCATAGAGCTTGTGCCATCAGATGATTCATAGTAACAACAATAATTGCACATTCAGTAAGTGTATTTGGTGTCGAACGGGAAAGAAAACAATATTTTCTTACAAAGAAAAGGATGCGTTGACATGTAGGCTTGCATTTCTCTTTCGATTTTGCGACATGACGCCGCTTTACGTGCCATCTTTATGTCCAGCGCCTCCCGCCGTTGCGGGTTACCTGGGTTACACACGTGAGGGGATCATTGTAAGCAGTGCTTAATTTGTGCCGGAGCAAGTCGGAGCGCGATCCGGGACCTCTTTTGATCGGATCTGGGACCTATTTCAGCCGCTCCGGCACCTGTTTCATCTGCTCCGGGACCTTCCCTGTGGAGGATGACTTTTTTCGGGAATTCCCGTGGGTCACGTGATTCCCGCGGGATGGGAGTCATTTTTTTTATTAATCTCTTGATCGGGACGGGACGGGAAAAAAAGCAACGGGAGTGGGCAGGAGCGGGAACAACATTAAAAGATGATCATTTTCAGCCGTGTTTAACAACCAGATGAACAGGTGCGTCCATTTTTGTAGTCATCTCTCAGTGAGAGTAAACACTCTTGACCGCGCTAGCAACACAAAAGAACTACAACAGCGGTTTGACTTCCTGTCAGCTGGGAGCGCGGCTGCGCATTTGTACCCTTCAAGCCAGCAGCGAGGAAACGTAATTTTGTGACATTCTGTAGTTTTTCAATCATTTCTGGAGTCGTGGCGAATCAAATCACCTTACCTGTCTGCTCCTGATAGGCGAATAAAGCGCTCGGATTCATGCTCCGGTCTACCTACGTGCTTCAAGAGTAAAGTAAACAATGATGGAGGCAGAGAGCAGCTTTGGAGGAGAAACATCTAGCAGTGTGAACAACCTCTTCAAAAGAGCCCTAAAGACCTACCTTTTTAATAAAGCCTTTGGTTAGTTTTCCTCTATGCTTTTACTACCTTGCCTCTTACACTGCAACTCTATATATTTTATTTTTTTTTAATTCTTTTTTATGCTAATCTGTGACTGTCATTCTATTGCTTTTTTTTATTGTTGCTGCTCTTTTTTTACTGTGTACTGTAGCACTTTGAGATTTTTTTGTAAATGTAAAGTGCATTACAAATTAAATTTATTATTATTATTATTATTATTATGGAGTGCTTTGGCTCACACTATCAGCGTTTTCTGTAAGTGTTACATAACTTTGGGTGCGCACAGACATGAACGCACTTCAGCCACGTATTTGTTTATTCATTTTTCTAGTTTTAAGTGCTGGTCTTGTACTGGCACTGTACTAGTGCAGCTGTATACACTTAAATTTTTCATAGAACTGAAAGCATACCATAGCTATATCGTGATATATATCGTTATCGTGATATAAAATGATCCATATCGTGATATACATTTTTTTCCATATCGCCCAGCACTAACTACATGTATGTATGTATGTATGTCTGTATGTATGTATGTGTACACACACATACATACAAATATACACACACAAACACACAAATATATATATATATATATAGACACACACACACGCACACAAATAAAATAATAAAACACACATAAAATAATAATAATAAAAAAAAGAATGTTATTTTCTAAACATCCTCTCTTTTTGTTTAAGGCACTAGACTGGATTGCTGAAATCTGTGTGGCGCTGAAAGTTATTCATGAAAAAAACATTCTGCATGAAAATGTGATTCCACAGGTATGAGACCCATTTAATATGATAAAATCATTGATATGGGTTAATAAATGGGTCAGTTTTCCCAAACTACTGTTGCAGACTATTGTTCTCTGTTTGAGTAATATCACTTGATGCAGCCTTTTATATCAGTATCGTATCGGAAGTGAAAAAATAGTTCCGGGACAGATCCTATTTACACCAACTACATTCTTTTAAAAAACTCAAGCCTTTAGTCACTGAGCGCTCAAGATTCTTTTTTCTTCTTTCAGTTAAGTTTCCCCAGAAACCGAAACTGAAGGACAAGGTTCGCAGGTTGGGAAACTGACAAAACTGCACCTTTTAAACAAAAAGTTAAAACAAAAGTGGTTAGAAGCATGATTTGACTGTGGAAAAAAAGATCCTGATCTGGAAACATTAAACCTGCAACTGAATAAGCAACAGTAAATTTAAAAATATATATTTAAGAGTGAAAAATGAAAATAAATAATTTTATCGTAAGAATCTCAGAGCTGCAGCCAAACTATATTTAAACTGAAAAAAAAAAAAAAAAAACTTTCATACACTCTCATACACACTTATTTTGAATACAGTTTTAAAAATTTTTAAACTCAAGCTCAAACCTTGAACTTTCGGTTTCAAATTCTATTTTTTCAATTACATTTTTTTGTAATTGGCTGGATTTAGCTCCATATTCATGAAGCTGGTGGAGAGAAAGTACAGAGTGTGTAAGGCTGTGGTCATAGCAGAAGGTGGCTTCTTTTAAGACTCTAATATATAAAACATATTCTAGTCTGTCATCTATTTATAGTAAGTTCACAAAGCAATATCCATGAAGTGTGAGGACACCAATTAAATTAATAGAACTTGCAGATAGCAAGTTTGCTTTAAATATTTCTGTTTCTAGTGCTAACTAAGTAGTAGTTATCAAACTGAAAGGTACAGGTAAGTGGCTTTCTGTAAGATACATTATTAACGTCATGTTTCAGATGAAGTTTTTTGGAATTCAATTCTGTGTTGTAAAACTAAATTACCTTTTTTCTCTTGTGTAGAACATTTTCTTCACTGAATTTGGAAAGCTGTGTTTGGGGGGATTTTGGAAAGCCAAGGAGAGGTAATTAACCATTGTTATGATAGCAAATATAAAAATATAAAGCAAAATATATAAACATATTAATATCTTAAGAAATTCATACATTTTTTTATTTTTTTGTTGTCAACACAGCTCAAAAGATGCTCAAGACATTCGTTATCTGGCACCAGAGGTCTTCAGGAACAGGAACTATGATGAAAAAAGGTAGAGAACTTCAAATCAAAATGATAAATGTCTGCTTAAAACTACTTGTCAGGTTTGGTGGTTCGTTGTCTTCACATTTAGTTTTTTGTTTACAGTGAAATCTGGTCCTTGGGATGCATACTCTATGAGCTCTGCACTCAAAAGCAAGCCGTAAGATACCTAAGGATGTGTGCGATTAACAATGAATTGAATTTTATTACATCTGAGAGAAATCAAAACTCCAAACAACAGGAAATTCTATAGATAGGCTGGCTGCTCTGTGAGGCTGTACTTTAAAGATACAGCAAAATTTTCAAATTCACTGACACTGTTGAGTTCATTTTGATATACAATCACTAAGTCTAATGTTGCCTTTACAACAGGCGTGAATAAAATCATCTACTCGCTTAATTTGCAAATATCTGGACGTGCAAATGTTGTATTTACTCACTTTATTCGCCAGAATAATTCACAAATGACTTGCTTGATTTGCATGTTTGTATCGCGTGTCTGCAGAGAGCCCAAACACACGTGTGTTTAGATAGAATGAAAGAGGAGAGAAAGAGAGAAGGGGTTCCTTCATGTCAGGTCAATCTGTTTTCATCAAACATAACAGAGGTTGACCATACTGTGAGGATTCTGATAAGTTTAAACAACTTACCAGATAATCGGATGGACCTCCTCACTCACTTTCCTCCAGCTGAGCTCTTCTTTTTACTCCTGTCCTGGTGTCACAGACAAGTTTTGTTCTCCAGCTCAGGTGGCTGCATACTGTATGGGTCGTTTATCCTCCATTTTCCATATAAGTGAAAACATGTTTATTCTGTTTGTGATAAGTGATTTCATTTTCTGTTGTCCAATGTAAGTACAATGCTATTTGATCAAAACTTTACAGTTTTCTGCAACCACTACAGCCAATCTGGTCTCCAAGATTTTATGTGGTCCTACTCCATGTCTGGATGATGAGAAGTACTCTTCACAGTTTCATAAACTCCTGAGTGACATGCTGAACAAAGATCCTGCCTCTAGACCAACAGCCGGTGACATTTTGGGACGTGCCATTATTTTAAAAAGTCTACTGAAAAAGGTCTGACACATTTTGAAAAACAGAATTGATCTGATTAACACAATTTTGAGATTTTTTTTTTCTGTTTGAAACATCAAACATGCAGCCATACATACTAGGGGTGGAACGGTTCACAAAATCCACGGTTCGGTTTGTATCACGGTTTTGTGGTCACGGTTTTTCGGTTCGGTTCAGTATACATTGACTGTTACAAAAATCAATTGCGTCTTGTATAGTAAACTGAAAGAATGAGGCAGTCTGACATTCAATACATCATTGTGACAGTCTTAGGTTAAAAGGTAGGTCAGATTCTGGCAGTGCAAGAGAGGAGACATAGTTCCAACATGCTTTACATTTATTTGGCAAATGATATCTCTATCTATCTAAACAAAAAAGTAAAATGGCTCTTATAGCTCTGACCCTTGAATTAGTGCATACAAAAGAATTTAACTTTACTATTTTAAAAACAACATTATATACCATCAACATAAAGTGAAGCATAGGCTCTATCAGCACTAGACTTATGCCCTTTTAAAATCAACACAAAAACAACATGTTTCTCGTAACATGTAACATGTTTCAACTCCCTGATTATTAGTTGTTCATGAAAAGCTCAGTATTTTTCACTTGAAATTGAAGTGCAGTGAAGTGTGTGAAATACAATACAAATCAGGCTGTAGTTTTGATTAAACTTTAAGTGTCACTGTGTTATCTAAAGTCTAAACAAAATGAAATAAATAATCCCAATTAATAGGTCATTCATATAAAATGCAGCATAAACCAAACTTAACAGATCCTGCGCTCTACTGCACTCTCTCACACAACTCTGCTCATTGTATTATCATGTTCTTCTGCAAGAAGATCAGTTTGTCCACATTCTCTGCCAAGAGACGAGATCTACTTGCAGTGACAATGTCCCCTCATCTCCCACTCTGAGGTAATGTAATAGACAGTCACAGTCAGGAAACTTTCAGTTGCCCTGGAGGTCCATCCATCTCACACATAGGCTGTGTGAGACAGTTCTTTCACAATTTCCCGTCGGATCTTTTCATAAAGTGCGGGAATTACCGTGCCGCTGAAGTGTTTGCGGGAGGGGATCTTATATCGTGGCTCGAGCGCCTTTATCATGTACTGAAATCCCGCACCCTCAACCACGGCGTAAGGTTGCATATCTTTGGCGATGAAACACCCCAGTGCCTTTGTTATGCCCTTCGCCCTGTCCGACTCGTCATTGTACGGCTGTTTAAAAGCTGCAGAGAGAAGAAGTTGTGCAGGGTTGCCCCTCCTTGCGCTGTCAACAGCCACACTGGGATGATGTCTCCGTAAATGAACTGACATGTTAGATGTGTTCCCGTTAGCATAAGCAATGCGTGTTGCACAGTACTTGCACACTGTCGCACTTTTATCCACAACTTTCTTACTGCCTTCATAGTTCACCCTGAACGCAAAATGCTCCCATACCCCAGACCTATATAACGCTGGTGGCGCATCCTCCAGCCCCGAGTCTTCTCCGCTCGCCATGTTCACAGCTCCTCTACAACTAATTTCCGGGACACACCCATAGTTGCGCATGTGTATGACCCGAACGGGATGCAAGCACACCGAACCGGGACGGTCGAACCAAACGGTTCAGTTCGGTTTCTTAAACCGTTCCATCCCTAATACATACACTGTACTGTTGTATTTGCTTTGATCAACTGATGGCCGTTGAACTCTAACACTGACCTTTTAATAGAGCAAGACAACCGTGGAATTCCTCCAGACTCAACTGGCCAAACTTGAAGAAGTGGCAGGCAGTTTGGAGCAAGTCCATAAAGGCACCACCATCGCCAGCCTTACAGGAGGAGTGATAGGAGCAGCAGGTGGGATTACAACCATTGTGGGCCTTATTCTGGCCCCGTTCACTTTGGGAGCCTCTCTGATTGTCACTGGGATAGGAGTGGGAGTGGGTGCAGTAGGTGGGGTCACGGCTGGGGCCTCAAATGTCACAAACATGGTCAATCAGTCCTCTAATCGCCAAGCCGTTAAAAACATCCTCAAGGAGTTTGATGAGAAAATAAATGCAGTTAACATCTGGCTGACTGAGATTTGCCAAAGGTTAGAGATTTTGAGGGAACGTTTATCATCTCAACCACCATCTGAGGACAGCAGTTCAAACATGGGACAGCAGGCAGACAGTTCAAACATGGGACAGCAGGCAGGGGGAGCTGCAAGGCTCGGTAAGGGCTTAGGAACCGCTGCTGAACTGGCCCGACACCTCAGTGTGGCAAACATGGGCAGAATTGCAGCCCAGGCTTCCAGGTCAGTGCGTGTGGCAGAGGCAGCGACTGGTGTGCTCTCTGGATTATTTTTGGCATTTGATGTCGTATTCATCGCCATGGATGCTAGAGAGATTCACAGAATAAGACAGACACAGGCAGATGGTGAAACTTCCTCTGAGATCTTAAAATTTGTCCAGTCCGTCAGAAAGGCTGCAAAAGAGTTGCAGGAAATTTTGGATGGGTTCATGGATACTGTCTCAGAGGTCAAATTTCTTGAGCAATTGTCGAAATGAGGGTGAGAATGAGATCCTCTAAACCTTAGAGATACCCAGAGGTGATGTCATGCCACCTCTACTGATGTTATCTGCAAACAATTTTACAGACCATTGAAAAAAGATTTTGATTAATGCAGAGCAGAATAGTAAAATAATAATAATGACAAAAATATATAATAATAATAATCAATAGTCATGTGTGACTGCTTAAACTTACTGAAGTAACAAACTGGTGTTTCAATAAAGTGTAAGGCTAAGATTTTTCACAAACTTCTCTGATTTCTGTAAAAAGTAGGCACACAACACCTTTGTAAGAATCCAGCCATGTCTCACATCAAAAGTCTTTAAAAAAGAAGAGTTAATCTTTCAGAGATGTTTGTGAACTGTTTGATTTAACTATTATGTCAGTAATTTCTCTGCCAGAGCCACATCTTGAAAAAGTGATAATTAAAGATGATACCAAGAGGTGAAGCACATTCATAATCTATGATTATCTTTAACATACAAAAATTAACTGCAGCTTAAATGAGTAGGGATTAAACTTGACTATAACTCTGTATTTTATTCTGCTTGACAGTTATCCCTCCGCTCCTTGTAATTTTAAGCTCCATCTGTCCTTGTTTGTCCCTGAAACTGACGAGCAGGCAAGTGTTCATAAAATAATAATTTTTTCACTTCTTCAAATCTCTTCAACAACTTCGAGGATCTCTTGGATTACAGGTAACATAGGAGCTATTCAGCTCTTGGACAATAATGTCTTTGGGGACATGAAGAAAGTTAATATCATAATTAGCTTTCTTACAAATATTGCAATCCGCTAACGCACATGCTTGTTCCACGATTGTCCTCTCTACTTCTCCTAGTCTGGCCTGCATAGCGAGGCTCCGGTGGTAGAGCTTGGAATTGTGACGTAGGAAATCTCACTGTATCTGACGTTAAAAGTAGTCTGTAGTCTGACGTCTGGGTCTGATTACACCATTAATTGATGGAATATTCAGTAGAATAGTGACTGCATAAAAAAGGTTGCAATATGTTGTTTGGGTGCCAAAAACAAACAGTCAAAAAATCGTTTTTTAATGGAGGTCTAATGTCTGCATTTAGGACAAACAAGGCTGGATGGAGCTATTTCATGTCGACAGAGTTCTATGGGCAGCACCATTTTTTTGTACATATATATGTGTGTGTGTGTGTCTGTGCGCGTGTGTGTGTGTGCGTGTGCGTGTGCGTGTGTAAAAAAAATAATTTTGAATTTTGAATAAAATTTGAAGCCTTGATCTTTAAAAATGATGATAAAAATGATTCATGTCCTAAAAATGAACATAGAAGGAACTGCGGGTTAAAGTGTGTCTTGGTGGGGCACCACCTTGTACTTGTGAATACCATCAGAAATAAACTGACAGTTAATCACACAATGTAAAGCGCAATTAAACATTGTTTTGAAATGAACTGATTGATAAGTGAGCATGAGTGTCACAGGTTTTTAGTTTTAGTTGCTTTTAATGTGAAGATGATTTTTTTTGTGCCTGTTTTTCTTTTTTTTTTCTTTTCGTATGATTGTTTTAAATGATTTATTTGAGTAGTTACAATTGAATAGAAGTGGTTATCAGAATTGAAAATAAAACAACTTAGCGTCTTTGCTTTTTTGTGTACAACATAAGAATTTGCCACCTTAACTGTCTTTTTTGGACCTCCTTCACCTTCCTCTTACCTTTCACACCTTTGAATAACATTGTGACCTACTCTGATACTACATTCAAAACATCCAAGAGATAAACAGGCTTTATTAGTTAGTCATGTTTATAATTTTACCTGCTGATAAAAACTCTCCTCTGGGTGTGCAGCAGTGGCTGCTTTACTTTCAAAAGTTTCATGAAGTAGAGGCTTCATGGCGGACACAAAAGGCAGTCATTGTCGTGAGTGACAGATGACTGAGCTGTGAGTCTAACCTGTGTCTTCATAACAGCTGAAGCCATTATGACTTATGAGTGACTCACAGCTGAACAGTAGACTCTAAAAACAGCTTCTGAAAATCTCCACAGAGTCTGAGAGTGAGCGAGAATCGACAGAAATCTCAGACCCAGCACGGTTTGTCAGTATTTTGGTTTAGAAACTGGAGATAACATGACGGCTGGTTAAAACGGTAAACCACTCAATAGAGCAATGTGTTACCAGCACATGGGCATAAGGCATTAACCTGCAAATGAGTTACTTTAGTAAATCCTTAATCAGGAGACAAGCTGTTCTGTAGGTGCAAATATTTCAGACCACACAGGGGTTAAAATCTATTTTCAGGGATGGTGAACAATAATTGAAGATACAAGCAGTTTGCTGTAAATTGGTAAAAGCTAGAGGACATTGAGGTTTAAAATGAGTGTAATCTTTACCACTTCGGAGTGTAATTATAGCTGCAGCTTAAGTGTGACATGGATTGTCTTCATGAAAGGATCTATGTTTCTTTAAAATAACTGTGATTATAGTTATTATTGTAATTTTCCAGGTTGGTAATGGTCACTCTAATTGCCTGTCGCTCACAGTGACGCAACAACACATTGAACTTCAAATAAAGTTTAGGACTGAAACAAATGGAGAAAAAAAGATCACTCCTTCAGTTGCAGACAGAGAAGTTATTCCAGATCAGGGTCTAAAGCACAAAACAAAGAGGGGGCTTTTAACAAACCAGAGACTGATGTTGAACGTCAGACTGAAACTGATCCGCCCCTCTCTTTGACCATGACACACCTCACCTCTGATCAACAATTTTCACTCTGCAGAAACTTCAGCAACAGCAAAGGTGGTTTGATGCAGTCATACTTAAAAAAAAAAAACATATATCACAACTTGGGCTGGGGGATATGGAAAAAGTTTATCATGACATATTTTTTCATATCATTTGACGATACAAAAAAATCACTTGTCAATCTTAAATGTTCCCTGTTACTCTTAAATGAATTTTAACAGTGTTTTTCATTGGTAGCATGTCTTTGGCAATACATAAGCTACTGCGTCTGTGAGGTCTTTGTGTCATTCATTCATTCATTCATGTTTATTGGCTTTTTGTATAGTCTACCAAAACACAGCAAAATGACGACTATTGTAAAGCATATTGACCAGGGTCCGACCGACACAGAGTTTTTGGGGCCAATGCCAATTATTGGGGGGGATCCGATTACCGATTAATCAGCCAATTTTTAAAAATTTTTATGAAGTTTTAAAATTTTGTTAATTTAAGTAATATATCTATTTACTTTTTTTTAAACAAATGTCTGCTTTTGAGCCTTTCAAACACTTCTTCAAAGAATTAAAGGCAGAAAACATTTCCAAATCCTGTTTTATTGCTAAAACAACTGAAAAAAGAATGAGGTATTTTGTGTAAAGTGCAAACAGTTAACTTCCAACTCTTTTGTTCAAGGTGAAGTGGTCCCACACCTTACTACGCTCGCTTTCTTTTGACATCTGTAAAAACAACAACAACAACAAAAGTGAGAGAACAGCAAGTATGCATTAAATATGCATTATTTAAAAGAATCTGTCTAGCTGTATATGGGCCATTTTCAAACTCATGGCCTACATGAAGCATTTTTCTTAGTTGTGTTTACATAATATGACTTACACTACAACCCTGGCTATTTATTTTAACTGTAATAAAGATGATAAACTAATTCTTTTCCGCTTATTATAAATAAAGCTAACTCACATACATCATAAAGAATGAGGAACACTCGACAGGAAGACTGACTGATCATCATCAGTAATAGTCCACGTATTTATCATGAATCAAACTCGAACCAGAAAAGCGGGTTTGCATATTACACGGTGCTTCACCGTTAACTCGGAGTGACTGAGACCAGCACAGCGGCGAACATGGTGAAGTGGATTGAACTGAAACTTGTTGACTTATTGTGTTTTTCACAAACTGGTTTATTTCCCGTTGAGGCGGACCACTCTCCTCCGTGTCCCTGAGCTGCTGCTTCAGATCCGTCACTCTGCTGTGCTGTGAGGTAGTTAGGGGATGAAGAATGGCATGAAGTCGCTGTAGCGCCATCTACAGGATAAGTCGGGGAAATTTTCAAATGGCCGAACATTTTCGAAGTGAAACAAACAAAAAAAGATCATTTTAAATGAGTTTTCTACATCAACTGTGGTAACTATGAGCTCCAACATGAGGTAAAAAATCTAAAAGTCCACCATTTTATCCTGGAGGACTAATAAAGTCATCATAGTAGTTCAGGGGGAACAGAGAAAGTGAAGGAGTCTGATGATCAGAGTTTACCTTCAGATTGTTGAAATGTTTGACTTTTTCTTTTCTAAAATATAGATCTGTGAATGTTCTCAATCACTTAGAGACATTCTCATCTTCAAATGTTTTTTTTTGTATAAAACAGCTTTTTTAGCTGGAGGGATACGGCTCAATTTACCCCGCTCCTATGGTCAACTTACCCCCCCATACACGGGGTAAGTTGACCACAGGAGACCCCTTTATTTGTCCTGCTATATTCTGAAGATGACAGTTCTGTTTACACTCATTCTGTTGGTTTGCAGGGATTAACAACATCCTGAAATATCTGCAGAGACACGAGTTAGAGACAAAACTAGGATTGACTTGATGATGTGATCCGAAATATGAAACATGGATCATCACTCTTCCCTACTGTGCTATGGTATGACAGTCCAGTAAAACTAACGCCGGTACATCAGCTACACTTTATCTCATTTCTTACCTTAAATCAGACGTTAATCCATTTTCGTGGCTCTAAACAGCAGCACAGTGAGCAGACCGGACACAGCTGTGATTGTTCAGGTCCTCCTGGATCGGTTTCGGTCCTTCAGGAGCCGGACGGTTCGGATTAGCTTAGCTGTTAGCCTGTGAGACAGCGGGTGGCGCTGTTAGCACTTCAGATAGTGTTGTAATTAGAGGTGATATTTGTAAGGCTGTTATAAACACACCTAAACTCATCTTCAAAATAAGGATTTCTGCCGACTGTTCCGTCATTTTGTGCTGTTTTATCATAAAGACGTCGAAATAAAGTTTGCTTCGCTGATTTCAGTTTGTTTCTCCCGCCAACGGTTGTTCTTCTTCCTCGATTGTTTAAAATCTCGAGCTATAGTTCAACTGTCCAAACGGCTCTTTATCGCCACCCACTGAGCAGAGTGTGAACCTGATTTATGACAGTCGTTGGTGGACGTTTATATTTTGCTAAAGATAGTGGATTTATTTGAGTTTCATAAAGTATTTTTAAAAATAGACAATAAACTGTAGATATGCAGCCTAAAATAAACTATATTGTTTTGAAAAATTATATTTAAAATATACGGTTTAAAGAAATATACCCCTTTGTTGTGCATTTGAAAAAAGATACAGCTTAGTTTTACAATTCTTCCAACGCTTGAAACAAAAAAAGCTGACAAAACCTTAAAGATATGCTCTTATTTTTAATTTATTTAATTAATTTTATTTGTGTTTTCACTTTTTATTGCTAGCTTTACCAATTCTTGTTTTCATTTAATTTTAATTCATTAAATCCCTGGCGCTGCGTATGTTCACTTGTTTTTTCCCGTTTTCTCCCCATAGAAATATTTAATCACAGAACATGTTGTGTACCTCAGTATAACAGCTTTAGCGACACCCAGTGGTAGGGGAGAGTTATTGCAGGGAGCAGCAACAAAATCGATGCCTGTTTTCTCGTGTTCGTTTATTTTTCTGTGATCCAAAAAAATCAGTATGATTATTCATAAATGACGAATTTCAGGACAAAGATAACTGGTAATGCCTAAAATATTGAGATACGTCTTATTATATTGTGCAGAACTAGTTGGTGATAAATACTGTAATTTTAGTTGTTTTTTATTGTAATTGGTGAAAAATAATAAATACTTGATTTTGATTTCAGAGCTGTTAAAATAAGCGGTAATGTTGAGGACTAACATTTTCCAACTTTCAAAAATAAGTTCTAAGGATTAAATCTGAATAATTCTTTAATTTTCCAAAAGCAGTTTAATTACTCAGTTTGATTCTTCATCTCTGTGCTGTTTATAAATCACATATTCTTATTTATTTACATATAAAGCAGGACCGCAGCTCTTCAGACTCTCAGGTAAAGGTAGTTTCTGCTTCTCACCTTCATCAGCGTGGGTGGACTCAAGTGTAAAGCAGTACCAACACTGTAAGAACTGTAAGAACCCTTGAGTGAACTAAAGGACATAAAATTAATATTTATAAAGTAAAGATGAAGGGTTTGTTTTTGATGAAGAGCTGCAGGTCATTAGTTTACTGGTTTAATGTTGTTCATAAAAATGGATATAAAAAAAGACCGGTAAATGAAAGAAAACAGATCATTCTACAACTGCAAGTTTAAAAAAAAGAACATTGACCTTAAAGATCTGACTTTTTCTAGAATTGACTTTTTCAAGATTGTGGGAAACGAACAAATTCTGTTCAGTTTTTCCTGAACCCTGAGAAAGATCTGACAATTCAGACTTATTTCTTCATGTTAGGACTTTTTTCATATAAGGTTAAAACTCAATTTCTGATTTTAATCTCTGAATTAAAAGTTTAGTGTTGGAATTCTGACTTATTTTCTCAGAACTTTAAAAAAAAAATTTCTAAATTAAAGTCAGAATTTGACTTTTTTGTGTGAAAAAAAAGACAAATCCAAAAAATGTCTCTCCTCTTTTAGTTGTTTGTTGTTCAGTATTAATTATTAACACTGAAACTGTATTTTTGTTCTTTAACACCATAGACTGTATTTACTGTTTTATACTGTTACTGTTTTATTTGAAGCCGAAAAGTTCTCAGTAATTCCACGATTTCTCTTCAATTCCTGAAACCAGCATTGTGCAGTAGTATTGTACACATTCAGCAGGAGAGTCTCTGTGATGACGCTCGGTTCAAACAGCGTATCCCCCGGTGATCTACTCAATCTCTGTCCTCCCATTGGCTGTATCAGGTGTCAATCATAGAAAACATGAACCCCCTAATAACTTTTAAAAATTGAGCTGTACAGAAAAAAACAGGGGGGGAGAAACATTTATATTCTGAGTCATTCATTTATAAAGTTTGTCCACAGCTCCATAAGGAGGCGGGGTTTATGACCTATACTGCAGCCTGTCACCAGAGGGCGCTGTTCTCAGAGCGAGTCTATTCTAGATACAGCCTATGTTTAACACACACAGAGGTCTTTTGAGGTTTTCTCATTTTTCAGTAAATTTCACAGAAAATGAATAAAAATAAAAAGAACCAAGTCAGTCAAATTGAAGCAATACGTTATTTATAGATAACATATCAGGTTTCTGACAGAATTAGTTGTAAACTATGATATGCTGGGTTACATTCTGATTGATTAAGCCCTTTTTAAAAGAATTAAATTGACTAAAATGAAAGAAACAAAACGACACCATAAAAGAGAGAAAATTCAACCTCATGGAGACAAACAAACGTGATCATCTTTCAGTCGCACAGAGCGTCTCCTCTCTCCTCCACCCTCAGGATCTGCAGCTTTCCTTCTCCTCCATGAAGTCACGCTGAGAGCAGCATGAAGCTCTGAAGCTTTTCCTGGAGCCGTACCTGCTCTGGATCTCCTGCAGACTGAGGGGACGGAGGACAACGCTGGACCTTCAGCTGGACCTTCAGCTGGACTTTTCATTTCCACTCTAACAATCAGACACTGTTGGAAATGTTCGTAGAAACTTTTCCTTTGTGTCTACGTTTGTAAAAGTCAATCAGAAATTTGGACGTCCTTTAAAAGCTGCAGATGTGAGGAAGAGGAGGAGGAGGAGGAGGAGGAGGAGCAGGAGGAGGAGGGCCGAGCACAGGAAAACCTCGTCATTTGAGAACTGATCAGAACTGTACAACAAAAAAACAAAAAAAACCCAAACACATCTGTACAAATGTACAAAAATCAACAGGATTAAAACACAAATCTCCTCATTTTAAAAACAGTCTCTGTGGATCTGAAGTCCAAACTCATCCTGCAGCAGAGTCCCTGTGCCGGTTTGGTTAAGTGCAATCCACCGCACACCTGTACCCGGACTCTGTGGTCCAGTATAAAGGACAGCTGGTTAGTGATCGTTAACGTTAATTCCTCTAATCGATTTGGCTGCTTTTACTGCAGCGACTCATTAACTCTGTAAAAATCTAAAGACATGAAACAAGAAAAAGAAGATCCCTTTCTGCTCCCTGATCTGCTGCTGGGGGTCTCAGTTCAGGTTCAGGACTGAGTTTATGCCCTCATGGAGAAACTTCAGGTCTCAGGTGAGGAGGGAGAAGGTGTGCAGGGAGGTCAGAGACGTCAGGGGACAGTGAAGAGCTTCACTCAGACGTGTTTGGTACCTGCTCAGTTCACAGAGGCCTGAAGGGGTTCAGGAACCAGAACTCTGGACTTCTGCTTTTCATGATACTCAGAAACAAACGAGAACCAGTTTGTCGTCTTTAACGCCTGAAACAGTCAGGAGGGGAAAACAGCTGAAAACAGAAACCTGGTTTCATCATGTCTGAGTAAGAGTAACCGTCAAAGGTCAGAGGATACCCTGCTCTGTCCACCGGGGGGCGCCAACAACACCACAGAGAGAAATCAGGAGGATCTTTTTAGACAGACGTGTTTCTAACGTTTGATTTTCATGATTTAACTTCCTCCTCAAACTGCAGCTGCTCTGATCTGGTTTTTACACCAACAGTGAGGGATTAGACTGAAAACACACCGACTGAGAAATCTGGACAACGTGAACCCAGGAGGGTCTGTGAAGCTGCACTGACCCCAAACAAAACTGGACTAAAACTCTGTCTAGACCGAGTACCTGAACCTGGACTTTGAGGGACAGAGGGGGCATCTGAAGGTGGACGTTTCTGTGAGTGAAAGTGACGACTCAGACATCTGTTCACCTGAACTCTGAGCTCCGCTGCAGCAGGTCGTTCATCATAATCCAGAGACGCCTTTTCACTTCCTGCTACAGAAACGGGTCACATGATTTCAGTCACACACACCTGTCACATGATCTTTTCAGAGGAAAGGAGGAAGGAGAGGACGGCTGAGTGTGCAGAGAAGAGGGGGGGGGGTGTTTGTTTTGTGACCTGCTGCGGCCCTCTGACAGGAAGACTACGCTCCTACTTCCTGGATTTCCTTTCCAGTAAAACCGACTCAGCTGCCGATGGAGGAGGGACAACGCAGAGGGACGGACGACCAGACGACCAGACGAGCTGCTCGACGCTTCAGCGGCCGGAGATTCACTCGCTCACACCGACAACAGAAACAAACAGACTTCTTTATGTCGACTTTGACTCTGTGAGGAATTAAAACCTCCAGATTTCACCGTCATGGTCTCAACAGTCTGACAGGAGAGACGGTCTCTGTCCTCAAACTCTGATTTTCAGGGACATCAGTAAAAATCTGTTTTTAGACCTTTTTCCACCACAGGTAAACTAAACTGACCTCCACAGACTTCAACACTCAGACCGTCTCTTCGTGTTTCGCAGCTCTTCTTCTTCTTCTTCTTCTTCTTCTTCTTCTTCTTCTTCTTCTTCTTCTTCTTCTTCTTCTTCTTCTTCTTCTTCTTCTTCTTCTTCTTCTTCTTCTTCTTCTTCTTCTTCTTCTTCTTCTTCTTCTTCTTCTTCTTCTTCTTCTTCTTCTTCTTCTTCTTCTTCTTCACGCTTCCTAAACTTCCTTTTTTCAGTCGCTCCTTCAGACAGACAAAAATCACTCCCAGTGACACGACTCTGACGCTGAAGCTGCAGGAATGTAAACAGAAGCTGTTTTTACTATTTCATCTCCGCCCTGTTTCCTGACGGAGCTGACGGGCAGGTCTGCAGCTCGCTCACTCTGTTTGCCCGTCACGCCCTCTCTGTCAAGCTTTGCTCTGATGTTGAACACACATTTAATCCCAGTTTCTATAAGATGACAGGAGTTTGATGAGACGATACGTCGGGTAAATCTTCGCTGCAGCGGGTCAGGAGTTCAGAGGCTGCAGACCGAGTCGAGTTTCCCAAACGGACGATACCGAAGTTTATCACGACTCTGGACCGAAGGGGACAGGTTTGTGATTTTAGTTGTTTTCTGAAGCCAATCAGAAGGCCAGAAAGATGCCGAGAGGCGGAGTGGAGGCGGGTCTTCTCCTTCACAGCTACACCCACTAACACGCTCAGGTGAGTCGAGCTCCGTCAGGCGATTGGATCTGTTTTTAAAAGAGCCGCCTTCACTTCCTCCATCATGTCGGCGTTCAGCAGCGTTTACAGAAAATGACGACCTTTAACGGTTTTTCTGGTGGTTCCAAAAGCAGGACTTTCAGGACCCTCTGGTGCAGAACCAGAACCTAAAACGAGCCGTGGACCTGCTGGATAAGGACTCTGAGTTCGATGGTACTCGGGGACTTCAGAGTCCGACTCTCTGAGTGGAGCTCCTGTAGTGGAAAAACCGCCTTCAGCTTCTTCTAACTGTGCTTTTCTAAACCTCAGAGGTCCTGAGGGACTCGGGTTCGAACCCCCCCCCCCTCTGATGTGTGTCCGAGTCGACCCGTCAGGAAGCCGACTGGGTTCATTAAAAAAAAGGTCCTCTCACTCCTCCCTCCATGTTCTAGAAGGCACTGAGGTGACAGGCTGAGGGTGGAGTTAGTTCCTGGAGCTCACAGTGAGACCAGCTGATTTGTCAGAAGCATCTAGATTATTAGATCTGCGTGTAAAGCTCTAGGTTAAGAAGAACATCTACATTCTCTTTAGAAAAGTCTGAGGATAATCCTACAAAAGGGGGCGGGGAAATCCCCAACCTCTGTTAGAAAACACGCCCCTTTGGTGTTGGACCTGAGGGGGGGAGGGGAGAGAGGGCGGAGCTCTAAGGATGGAGGTTTTCCCTGCAGAGATGAGAAGCAATCATCTGGAGAAGATGGTGGAGAAGAAGAAGAAGGAGGAGAGGAAGAGGAAGAGGAGGAGGAGGAGGAGGAGGAGGCTCCTCATCAGCACCATCATGTCCTGTAGTGAGTCTGATGAAGAGTCAACAAAGACGGGGCGGACTAATTCCTGGTCACTCCGTTTAATCCACACGAACAGGAAGTTAATCCAGCTGGACTCAGAAGAAGGAGAAGAAGAAGAAGAGGAAGAAGAAGAAGAAGAAGAAGAGGAAGAAGAAGATGAAAAAGAAGAAGAAGTGGAGGAGGAAGAGGAAGAAGATGAAGATGAGGAGGAAGATGAAGATGAAGATGAAGATGAAGATCTGGTTTTGGTTTGAGAATAATCCTCAGAGTCAGACTCCAAACAGAAACAGAAAGGCGGGACTCCTCCTGGACGTGTGGACGGGACGCCGTCAGGAGGCGTGCGTCGCTCCTCAGTCACTGCTGTCGTCTTCGTCGTCGTCGTCCGACAGGTTGTTGAACTTTGACCCCGGCCGGTTGATGGAGTCTGAGCGGAGCGAGAGGTTTCCTGATGTCAGCTGCACGTAGCAGAACTCGCAGACTCTGACGGGTTTGGACGACTGGCTGGGCAGGAGGTACTTCTTCTCCGAGCACGGCCCGCACACCACGTAGCCGCACTTCCTGCAGTGATGGCGGCGGCTGACCGGTGTGAACTTCACCTTCTGGCAGCGCATGCACACCGTCGCCTCCGAGTCGGGCACCCAGACGGCGGCGTGCTCTCCTGTCGGGGCCTTCCCGCTTTTCTGCAGCAAGTCCCCCACACACTTCCCTATGTGGTTCATCCACTCGGACTTCTCCGTGGCGGTGGCGGCGTACACGGCGAAGGACTTGGTGGGCGTCTTGATGAGCCAGCCGTTGCGCAGGTCGCCCTCGTCCGGGACGGTGTCGATGGTGACGCTCTCCAGAGGGATGATGTGCTGCTTGTTGTACTTCTTCTTCTGGATGACGATGTTCCCGTAGACCAGGATGTCGTTGAAGAGGAAGAACTGGCGAGCTTTGGGTTTCTTGCGGCAGAGTTTGGTGAGGACGCCCTCGCCGATCAGAACGCGGCCTGGGATGGCGAGAGGCTGTCCGGCCGCGCCGAAGCAGCCCTCCACCACCGCGATCCGCTTGGAGTTGGCCTCGCTGTTGGCAAGCCGGTCCACCATCTTCACCTCACCTGAGGAGAAACACAGAGAAGAGAAGTTAGAGAGTCTCTCTGCACATCTTCAACACGATTAACAAGTTCTGGACCCGCCCACATTTCAAACCCTAAAAAAACTCACTGAGAGTCACATGACCCGACTCTCCAAACACACACCAGCGTGGATTAAACGAAAACTTCAAACATCGACCTGCTGATCGTCAGCGACCTCGACTTCATCAGAGCTGAGAGTTTCTCTCCCGACTCATGAGGCTCATTTACAGACGAGAAGAACGACCGGGTCCAAAAAGGAGGTTCAGGAAATCTAGATCGACTACAGGACTCTGGAGTCGGACTCTGGAGTCGGACTCTGGAGTCGGACTCTGGAGTCGGACTCACTGCATGGAGTAATATATCTGAAGTCTGATGAATCAAAGTCTGACCCTCTTTAGGGAAAACCTGAGGGGAAGACGTCTGAAGTAAGTCCAGGTGTCCTTTAAACGTAGAGCCGGGCGATACAGGAAAAAGTTTATCAGGATATATTAT